CCGAATACTTCTGAAAAGAACATATAAAAACAGAAAGTTAACTATAAATACCTTCAATTATTTTTTTGAATATACCTTCTTCAAAACAGTGAAATTAATCAATTGGCGACTCCCACATTGGAATAATCGAATTAAAAAAAGTGTGTTTTCCTTTTTGCATTAATCCGTCTTCCAAATTAAGAGGTACTCGGACCCCATACTCGTGACGGTCTACATTTAGTTGTTTTAGAATCATAAAAGTAACAGACCTTTGACGCTCTCATCATTGATTTTCACGAAAGTTGATTGGTTTAAACAGAATACACAGGCCCCCTTTGACGAATGACCCTTTAAGCCATATACCTTTCTTCTAGCCTACAAATGGGAATTTTTAAAGGAAAAAAAAATCAACTCACGGGATCGTCATGCGAGCCAGCAACAAGAGCTCCTTGATACCAAATCCCATTATGATGGTACGGCGTCGAAAAGCTGTTGATCACCCACTTTACGATTCGATCGTGAATGTATGAAGACGGGTCCACCTTACTTAGATAAATAGACGATACTATAATCGAGCTAGTTCGGGCACGATCGTTATCTTCGAAATCCAAACATTGAATAGAAAAAGGCCAGCACTTTCGACTAAAACTACATTCTTTTAAAATAAATTTATCGAAATGGTTTGCCTTTCATTTCTCCTCAGCTTTACGCCATCAAATGTACACATGAAATGTACAATGACTCTTTGGTTATCGTTTTCGATTTCTTTTAGAAGTCGTTTCTTTAGAATCCCTTCAGCCATTGGAGACGAGCATGGCTCATCTTGAAAAATTTTATTTCGAGTTTGCAATATTTTCTTAGAATTCAATTGTATAAATGATTGAAATCTTTCCGTTAAATCGGAAAAACATAATTCGGCATTTACATAACCAATCGCGCAAGTACATCTGAATATCATGTTATTTGCTATTGAATTTCTCCAAAAACAATTTAAAAAAAATATCAACACACGTAAATTACTTTTCATTGTCATTTCCACAGTTTCCACACACATTGATAATTGTCTGCTTGGCATTTTCCAGCAAAATTTTCTTTATTTCAACTTCATTTCGATTTTCTTCCATTTCAAAATAACGAATGATCGCTGAAAATTATGATAATGGTTAAAAACTCTTCAACCAACCTGTTTTTGAGCTAGTATAAGTCAAAAAAAAGTGAATCAACAGTAAATCTCGCGAAGATAATGCTTCCCATTGGCCTAAAGCGAAATAATTTCAAAAATATGCAAAAACGGTAACAACCTCTCGACGTAATGACTGTCTGCAAGTTGTCACAGCTCGACATTGACACAAAATCTTCTTCCGCGCAAGTGAGTTCATCTTCAGACGATTCTACAGAATCTATAGAAATTAAATCTTGCTCTGTTTTTACTTTTAGTTATACCTGATGTTAAGGTTGAAGTATCTCTATTTTCTGAAAATAGTTATTTTCTTCATTTTTTCTGTTGTTATCACCTGTTTCCGTCTCGTTCCGATATTCCCTATATATGTTTTCCATGATTTCTCGTGTGGTGTAACGATATCGCTTTCGATATGCAAATAATTTTGAATTTTGCGACATATCTACAAAGGAAATAAGGATTTCTTAGAGCGGGGGCAGTAAAATGCACGATTTTTTTGGAAAGTATATATATTAAAACGCAATATACGCATAAAAATCGAATATGAAAAAATTCGAAAATTTTCGAAAATTGTTTTTCGAATTAAGACGTCAATTTTAATGCATGTCCGCAGTGTATCATTGTGGTGGTTACACTACTGTGATAAAATCCAAATCGTATACGATCCTTGCAATAACGTATACGACGAGGAAATGCGGATGTTTCGTATACGATTACAAACCATTCATCAGAATCGTATACGATCCTATACGATTCACATTAACTAATACGATTACCATTAACGTATACGATTTTAATTTTATCTTATACGATGAAGAAATTCGCTTTTTTCGTATACGACTAGGAATCATTTACCAGAGATTGCGTTTGGTCTCGTCAATTTTATTTTATCACGTTTTTTCCAAACATTTTCGAATTTCGTTTTCTTTTCGACGCCGCCAAAAAGTCCATGTCGGCCCCGGCGAAAAACCGACCGGTTTATTTTCGAACGATCGTGTTCGAAAAAAAAAACCGCGGCGAATTTCGATTTCGATTTGTATATCAATGAATTTGATGCGAAAATTCCCGAAAAAAATCCCTGCAACGATGTTTTTTTTTTCTCATCAAGAATCGCCGAATTTATTTTCAATTTCAAAAAATCGAGGAAAATGCTTTAAATTTGTGCAAAATCGTAAATTTTAACAAAAAATTGCGAAATTTTGGCCTAAAATTTCGAAAAATGTCGTAATTGTCATTGAAAATTTTTTAAAAATAGCGAATTTTCAAAAATTCCGGAATATATCCAATTTTTAATCGAAATTTGGATGCGAAAAATGGCAAAGTCGAATTTTCTTCTAGAAAATCGCAATTTTTAAGAAAAACAATTTTTTTTGACTTGAATTCTTCAAAAGTCGGTTTTTTTTTTCGGCGCCACCGAAAAAAATCGTCTAAATTCGAAATTTGCGCTTTAAAATTGATGTTGGCTACTTATGGAATGAATTAGAAAAAAAAGGGAATCAAATGTGGAAAAATAGAAGATTAATTGGCCGATTTTTGACAAAAAATTGAAGATTTCCAAGAGAATTCAATCCATTTTTTGGGTGGTCGCATTCGAAATCGAGAAAAATTTTGATGGATCGATTCAAAGGTTCATTTTTTACGTTTTTAATCTCAGGAAAATGAGAATCAATTGGATTCGAAAAAGAAATTGACCAGATTCGATTGACAACGTGAAAAAAATCTTCGAAATCCGTCGATTTTTCTCATTTTCAATTTTATAATCGATTTTGATTGAAATTATTTTCAAATACGATTAATTTTCATTCATCAGAGAATGATAATCGACCAGCAAGCGGAGTTTTTTCTAAATTGGATCCAGGAAAATTAATCGTCGATGAATTATTTTCTGTCCACTGAAATGACAAGCCATTTCAGAGTAAAACTTCTGAAAAATTTATTGACTAGATTGAACATTTTGATGACCCCTTTTGTTGGAAGCGCTTTGTCTTTCATTTCTAGTGCTCATCAATAATATGGATCTATTCATTACTTTAAAACATTACAAATTTTTCCATTCCAATGCACTCTTTTCACTCTGATAAATGAAAATCGAATGGGATTCGAAAATAATTTCAATTGAAATCGATTATAAATCAATCTTTTTCGAAATATTCCAAAATTTCGATCTCAAATCTGAAAATGTGAAAAAAATCGATCGATTTCGAAGATTTTTGAATCGAAACCAATTTTTCAAATCGAATTTCTTTTCTTTTTCAATCGGGTTAGTTTTCATTTCATTTTTCTTCGAATCCATTTTTCTGAAATTGCACCATTAGATTAAAATCGCCACCAAAATGAAATTTTTGTTTAAAAAAAGTCTCCCGGTTGCTTTATCGCCATTTTTTGGCGTTTTCTGTCCGCGTTCAAAATCTCTCCAATCGTTTGCAAATTTCAAGAAAAATCGACCGATTCGATAATTTCTTTTTTTTTTGAAATTCAGCTTCTCACCGCTCATATTCAAGCGCGCAATTGTGTCCAAAACAAAAATAGATGAGAAACCTTGAGACGTCGGCAAATTCATCACGGAATGAATGACTCATCGTCGCATCCATTCTCTGACGTCTCTCGATTCGACATGCTCTCTCTCTCTCTTTCAAATTTTCTGCCTTGTCGTATGGCGTAATTTCCTTTCGAATTTCCGAATTTCGCGGTGCGCGCGCGCGTCGACCCGATTGATATATGGGCGGCTCTCTTCGTCCCCTCGTTTCGCCTACTCTCTAGCTTCTCATGCTGCTGCAGCTGCAGTAGCCGCACCAGCTAGTAGTAGTAGTAGTAGTATTTGAATTGACAAAAAGGACGCCGAGGTCGTCGTCGTGTTTAGAGAACGAGAACGAGAGAAGCAATCGGCGGGCAGTGTGCGGCGTCGAGAGAGCGCTAGACGGCGAGACGCATTCTTGGCACGAAGCCAACAATCGATTTTAGGCGAACACGACGAAAATTATTGAAGGGCATTTTTTTTGGGGGGCGAGAATTCGACGAGAATGTGTCGCGAAAAATTTTTGGGCAGCGATTCGCCGTGAAATTTTTGCCCACCCTTCTCAGTTTCGATGGTCCCATTTTTTGTTGTTGTTGATGAATTTCGAATTGGGCGCTCTTAACAAGCTTCCCGTTCAAGATTTCTGTTCACATTATTGCGATGAAATGAACATGAAATCGAGCTACGGGTAACTCGTGCGAACGCGAATGCGCCTATTTCGAATATTAGGCAAGTTGGAGGAGGAGGAGGAGGAGGTCGACGGAACCGACCGAACCCGACGCAAGCAGACGAATACGAATGCGAATGTTTTGGTGGTGTCGGCGGGGCGGCGACGGACGGCGATGGGGGGTGGGGCGGCACTCGTCGGCTGGTGTGTTGGCGGGGCGGAGCTTTGCGCAGGCAGGCACGCGCGCGCACGCACGCACGCACGCACGCCCCGTCCCATCTGACGAGGTCAGGCGGTCGATGGACGTCAGTGAGTGGAGACGCAGAGTTGGTAGGCGACGCGAGCCGCGACGCGCGTCTTGATTTGCGTTGGAGCGCGCTTGCGCGCGCGCGCACTGATGTTTTGTTGAGTTTAATGCCCATTTTAATTTGGATGGGAGGCGTTGAGGGTGGGCGGATTTGCATTTTGAATTTTTGAAAAATTTGTTGGAAATTTGGAATTTTCACCACGAAATCTATCAATTTTTTGAAATTTCGAAATCGAAAGTTATTTTTTCGCGAATTTTGACAATTTCCAATAAAGTTTTCCACGAAAATTGGTTGGTTTTTGTTGAAAAAGAAAAGAAATTGAGAATTTCGATTTTTTTTTTGCAGAAGGAGATGGCCGATGAGGATGTGATCGCCGATGTTCGAATTGTTCTCGTCGGCGATTCAGAATGCGGCAAAACGTCGCTGATAATGAGCCTTCTTGAGGATGAATGGGTCGATACGGTGCCGAAACGACTTGATCGGTAGCCAATTTTGCTTTTTTTCCGCCTTCATTTTGAGTATTAATTTCGAATTTTGACGAAAAATGAATAAGTATTGATTTTTAGTGAATTTTTTGAAAGAGATTACGATTTTTGAGACATTTCTGCATTTTTTGGACGAGGAAAATTTTGAATTTAGACAAAAATTGATATTTTTTTTTGCAAAATGCGATTTTTGGGAAGAATTTCGCAAAAAATTTTGCATTTTTCGAATTTTTTTGTGAATTTAAACAAATTTGATGATAATGATATCGTTTTTGAATTGATTTGTTTTTATTTTGCAATAAATCTTATCCAATTTTAATAATTGAAGAAATTTACGATATTAGAAGAAATAAAATTTAAATATGTTGAAAATTGCCAAAAATTGTATTAATGAAATAAAATTCGCAGTAGATTTTTAAAAATTAAAAAAAAATATTTATATTACATTAGATTTTGGCGTAAATGGGACTTTAATTCATGAGATTTTCTCAAATTTTGTGCATTTTCGGTAATGGGAGCCCCAAATTTGGAAAATTCAATCGAAAAAATGAATTTGAAAAAAAAAACTTGAAGAACAGCCATCGGAAATTGGCTAAATACGACAGATTCTCGAAATTTGACGATTTTTGGCCAAAATTGAGCAGATTTTCTCGAATTTGAATTGATATCGAAATTTTGGCATCGAAAAATCACGATTTTCAACAATTTAAGCGCGATTTTTGTTTTTCACTACAAAAATTTACTGAATTTTCACTCCAATTCAGCAAAAATAAGAAATTTCTAGAAAAGAAAATGGAGATTTTCACGTTAAACTATATTCTTGAGCCTCGTTTTTCAGTTTGAAATTTTTCGACTGAAATTTGGGGAAATTTTCCACGAAATCATGAAAATTTTGGGGAATAATCGAAAATTTTTGCAATTTTAAAAACAAAGGGATTTTTTTTTCAAATTTGGCAATTTTTGTTTGAAAATTAAAATGTTTAAATTCAGAATTGATTTCAGCATTTTAAAGGCAAAATCGGCATTTTTTTTTCTCACATTTCTCGAATTTAGTTTGAAAATTAAATTTTTATTCCGAAATTGAGAATTTCAGCGTGTTTTTCAAACCAAAAAACGAAGAATTTATTTTTTTTTTGAAAAAAAATTTTTCAGGGTTCTTATTCCGGCTGATGTGACGCCGGAAAACGTGACAACGAGTATAGTGGATCTATCAGTGAAAGATGAAGGTTGGCAAAGATTTGAGCTATCAAAACCAAAAAAATAATAATTGAATTGAAATTCAGACGAAAATTGGCTAGTCGCCGAAATTCGCCAATCGAACGTGGTGTGCGTCGTCTATTCAGTGACCGACGACAATTCGGTGGAGAAAATCGAGAAAATCTGGTTGCCGATGGTCCGACAGGCGTTCGGCGATTGTCACGAGGTGCCGATCATTTTGGTTGGCAACAAATCGGATGGTCCCGTCAATCATACGGAAAAGGTGATTTTTTTTTCGAAAATTTCCAATTTTGGTGAGAAATTTGGTTTTTTTTAAAGATTTTAAGTAAAAAAATGGATGAGAAAATGCTGAAATGATTTGACGTTGGTCATCGGAATAAATGAATGAATTTTGCTGTGCGCCACATCGCATTATCGAATTAGGCAATTAGCGACCGGCCGAATTAATTGATTTCAGATTCTTCCGATAATGGAAGCGAACACCGAGGTCGAAACGTGCGTCGAATGCTCGGCGCGGACGATGAAAAACGTCTCGGAGATATTCTATTATGCGCAAAAGGTAATTAATGAATTCAATTGTTCGCCGATGGAATTGAATTTCGTCGAAAAATGTTTGATTGGTTTTGAATTGATTGTTTGTGCCGATTTGCGGTGGGTTTGATTCGCAGGTTTATCACGAGTACGGTTGGTTAGTGTTTAAATTCGAATTTGAATTACCGCCAAGAAAAAAGTGCCGATGGTCCATGATTTTTTAATATTTTTTAAATTTGAATTACCGCCAAGAAAAAAGTGCGATGGTCCACGATTAAAATTTGAATTACCGCCAAGAAAAAAGTGCCGATGGTCCATGATTTTTTAATATTTTTTAAATTTGAATTACCGCCAAGAAAAAAGTGCGATGGTCCACGATTAAAATTTGAATTACCGCCAAGAAAAAAGTGCGATGGTCCACGATTTTTTTTAAATTTTTTTTTAAATTTGAATTGCCGCCAAAAAAAAAGTGCGATGGTCCACGATTAAAATTTGAATTACCGCCAAGAAAAAAGTGCGATGGTCCACGATTTTTTTTAAATTTTTTTTTAAATTTGAATTGCCGCCAAAAAAAAGTGCGATTTTCAATTGAAAAAGAAACATTGAATTTGATGCGATTCGCGATGTTTGCGGACTTTTTGGCAATGCGCCTTTAATCGATATTGATCGATCGAATTTTGAAATTCTACTGAATTCCATTTATGTTTAGCGTCGAACCAACTGAAATTCTTCCATTTTTCTCGACGCCAATCTTGATTGTCATTCCGGTTTTCAGGCAGTGATCTACCCGACGCGTCCGCTCTACGACGCCGACAACAAGCAGTTGACAGATCGCGCGCGGAAGGCGTTGATTCGAGTGTTCAAAATATGCGATCGCGACAACGACGGCTATCTCAACGACACGGAGCTCAACGATTTCCAGAAGCTCTGTTTCGGCATCCCGTTGACGTCGACGGCGTTGGAGGACGTGAAGCGCGCCGTCGCCGACGGTTGTCCCGACGGCGTTGTCGCCGACGCGCTCATGCTTCCCGGCTTCCTCTATTTGCATTTGTTGTTCATCGAACGCGGACGACACGAGACGACGTGGGCGGTGTTGCGCAAATTCGGCTACGAGACGAATTTGAAATTGGCCGAAGAGTATCTGTATCCAAGATTGTTGGTGAGTGGCTCGTCGGAAAAAAATTGCGCAATTTCTGCTTTTCGCGACGAGACCAAAAAAAACGAAAAAAAGAATGGTTTTGTAGGTGCCGATCGGAAGCTCGACGGAATTGTCGCCGGAAGGCGTCCAATTCGTTTCGGCGCTTTTCGAGAAGTACGACGAGGACAAAGACGGTTGTCTGTCGCCGAGCGAACTCCAGAATTTGTTCTCGGTTTGTCCGTCGCCGGTCATCACCAAAGACGTAAGCGGCTCGAGAATTGCTCTTTCGATGTTTCTTGTTGCGGTTATTTTTTCCAGACAATTTTGGCGTTGGAGACGAATTCGAGAGGATGGCTCACTTATAATGGATATATGGCCTATTGGAAGTGAGCGACCATTTTTTTTTCAGTTTCCATTATTATTCTGTTGTACGTGTGGCGGATTTTCGAAAATTTTCAGAAAATGCGTATTTTTTGGGGTTACGGTAGCGCGAAATGTGTGCAGCCATCTTCACGCGAAATTGCACAGATTTGTAATTTTTTTGGAGCAACAAATTTTGTCATGAAATTTAATTTGTTAAAGGCGCATACCGTAATCCGACATCTTGTCTGATTTGAAAAAAGAATATTTTGTGTGGAAACGCCGAAAAATTGGGCGGTGTCGTCTTTTTTTGTCTAGCAAATATACCATTTTTGGTTTTTTTTTTCTTCCAGCATGACGACTCTCATCAATGTGACACAGTCAATGGAACAACTTGCCTATTTGGGATTTCCGGTTGGTCGAAGTGGTCCCGGAAGGGCGGGAAACGCGCTGGACGCGATTCGAATCACGAGAGAGCGACGAAAGGATCTGGAAGCGAGGGGGACTGATCGAAAAGTGTTCCAATGTCTTGTTGTTGGCGCCAAAGATGCGGGAAAGGTGAGAAATTTGAAAATACGTTTATTTCGAAATTTTTGAATGCTGCATCTGCGGACAAAATCATTTCGTGAAGTTTGGGATTCCCAAACAAAAAAAATTGCGAAAAATTCTATTTGAAAATTTTCGCCGCATTTTTTTGTGGAAAAATTTCAAGAAATTGATTTTGATGATTCAAAATTGTCGAGTTTTGCGCGACATTTTCCACGTTTAACTAATTTGAATGTTTTTCGTTTGAAAATTTGCGCAATATTCAAATCGATAATAACATTTTTTCGATTTTTTTTTCAATTGAAAATCGAAATATTGCGCTTTTTCGGTTTGAAAATTCGCGGAAAATTTCAAGCCATTGTGACGACGAAAAAATTGGCAAAATTTCTGGCACCGCCGGGAAATTCGAAACGATGACGCACACTGATAATGACGTATTCAGACGGTGTTCATGCAATCGCTCGCCGGACGCGATATGGCCGACGTTGCGCAAATCGGGCGTCGCCATTCGCCGTATGTCATCAATCGGGTTCGCGTGAAAGAAGAGAGCAAGTATTTGTTGTTGCGCGAGGTCGACGTGCTCTCGCCGCAAGACGCGCTCGGATCCGGCGAGACGGCGGCCGACGTCGTCGCATTCCTCTACGACGTCTCCAATCCGGACTCGTTCGCCTTCTGTGCCACCGTCTATCAGAAATATTTCTATAGGTATATTTGTTTGTCTCAAAAAATTGGCCAAATATGTCCCAAATTGATTATTTTTTTCTCTCTCGCAAATTCGCCACAAAAACGGGCCCGAATGACTTTTTTCGCATGCGAATTTTGAAAGCGCGGATTAACGGCGAACATCTGGTGGCACTTTGATGATGCGAACGATTATAATGAGTACTTGCCCATGTATGGTTACATAATGATGAGCTCAGTGAGCAGGTGCACAACATTGCCGAGGTCATTCGCCGCATATAAGTCTATTTGTCTGGGGACCACAAATTGGAGCGCATTTTTCTATTTTTTTATTACAAAAAGTGAACATTTTTTTAATGGGAAATACAAATTTTGAAGGGAAATTTTTAAACATTGAATATTTAAAGATTATTTTTTTGGGTTTTAAGCGAAAAAATTGAATTTTTTTTTGAAAACTGAGATTTTGACACGAAAAAAAGTTGAAATGTTTTTTTTTTCGAAATTTGTTCTGTATGAAATGAGCGAAATTTTGAGAAACTCGAATTTTAATTCGATTTGTGAAACCGAAATTCGCGATTGTTGATTTTGCAGAACTAAAACGCCGTGTGTGATGATTGCGACGAAAGTTGAACGAGATGAGGTCGATCAGCGTTGGGAAGTGCCGCCGGAGGAATTTTGTCGGCAGCACGAGCTTCCGAAGCCGATTCGATTCGCCAACACATTTGTAAGTGTGAAAAATTGCGAAATTTCGAGAACAGTTTGCTTTTTTTGGGTTGAAAAATGGGAATATTTGAAAAAAATAGAGATTTTTGGGTTGAAAACTGCGAAATTTTACTTTTTTTCAATCGCCAAATTGAATTTTTTTATTGTTTTTATTCAGTTTTGAGAAGAATACGCGACATTTTGAATTTTTTTCAAATAGGAAAAACAAGAAAATCGACTGAAATTTGTCTTAAAATTGGGAGATTCCAGATTTTCCCTAAAATTTTGAAAATGCCACACAATTTTTTGAATGGTTAATTAATTGGAAACGCGAGAAATGGGAGATTTTTAGACTTTTAAAGTTTTTCGAATGAAAATTTGCAGATTTTTGAAAATCTAAAAAATTGTCCGAAAAGCGAAAAAGCAATTTTGCAGATTGTTAGGTTTTTTAGAAAAATACAAACAAAAATGCACAAAATGGGATTTAAAAAAATTCTTTTTATGAAAAAACAACACACAAAGCTTAATTTCTGAATGCGTAGATTTTTTTGGAAAAAAAGCGAAATTTAAATTTTTTTTTACAAAAAACTGGAATTTTTGAAATTTTTTTTTGAGAAACAAAAAACTTGCAGATTGGAAAACCGAATTCGGCGGTATTCGAACAACTTGCAATGATGGCCGTTTACCCGCATCTACGTCGTGTATTCTACCTTCATGATTCGAATTTGCTCTCGAAATTGACATTCGGAGCCGCGATAGTGGCTCTCGCCGGGTTTCTGGTGCTCAAAAACTTGTAAAAATTCATTCATCGTCTTAAATTTGCCTTTCGGGTATCGATTTTCTGTTTCTCTTCTAATTCGTTTTTTTTTTCGCGATTAAACCCCCATCCATCCCCGTGTACTGTTGTTCCTTTTTTTTTAAACAAGTCGTGTAGGATTTTTTAAATTTTTTCAGGTCTTTTTTTTTGACTATTGGCATTTTTTTTTGGGATTTTCGCTCAATTTTCAACCGATATTTTTGAGATTTTGATGATAAATAATTGAGATTTAAGGTGGTGCCTCGAATTTTGACTGGAAATAAGCAAATTCGGAGCAAGAAAGTTCACGACTTTCGAAAAAGTCGGTCCAGCTCCTGGTATTCTTGGCTGTTTCGTGATTTCCTGTAAAAAAAAAATGGCTGGCAACTAATTGTTTGCGGCGTCGTTGTTAATCAATTATCCCTTCCCTCTCAAAAAATAAAAAATGAAATTTTTTGTCAACTTTTGGCGTAGCAAGACTTTATCAATTCCTTCAGGGTTGGTAAATTGAAGCCGGGGCCGAAAGCCGGCTTTCGGCTTTTTTTTTGAATTCCCGCTTCGGCCGTGCGGCCGTAAACAACGGAGTCGGGGGACGAATCGCGGGTCGAAAATTTGACAGCGAAAAAAGCCGGCCGGGCCCAAAATTTAACAACCCTGAATTCCTTGAATTTTGCCGTCACCAGTTGTCGGAACACGGCCACGTTGCACCTCCACGTGCCGTGGGTCATTGAGTGGCAGAAAGTGCATGATCTGTCCTTCCTGGCCTGGTTCTCCGCTTTTTTTTTTACGGCCCATTCGATCTGCTCTCTCATCGCCGGTGGAAGGCTCCACTGTTCTTCCGAGCCTCCATTAGAACTCGTCGTTTTTCGGCGCGTCACTCACCATCGCTCTGACCACCGTGTCATATCCGCCGTCGCTGAAATTCAACCAATTAAACTTTCCAAGTTATAACCGTCAAAAGAAAGGGCTACGGCGAGAATTACGACAATGGTTGCCATCAGGCATCCTTTCTCTTTCAACTACCCACCGGTCGATGCACCTTTTTGCCATTTCTCCACCATTTAGTACTTTTAAAAAGGCACCAAAAGGTAGTCCATCATGACAAATTTCCGTCGGGTGTTCTCCTGGCTTCGATGACATGCTGTCCTTCTTGTTCGCTATTGAAGGTGCATCGTTCGTCTTGTCTCGTTATTCACCACGTCACCGAGATATGGGAAATTATTACAGTATCAAACAGCAATTACGACGATGACAACCCAAGTCAAACTCTTAATCCAGAAACTGAAAACCCATGAGGCTAGACGAGTCTCTGCGGCTGGGACGGCGAATGCTCACATGGACAACCTCGAGGGAAGCATTCCCTCGTTTGGAAGAACTCCGAACGGCTAGGCCGATTTGGACCACGCTCAAGAAGGCTTTGGAGGACTTGGTCCGACTGGCCGAGCTGGAAACGGCGGAAGTACGGCGAGTCTGGTTAGAGACCGTCGAAACGGTTCGAGGCGTATATGGAGACGCTATGAGAACGGAGGAGGAGCCTTCAGACCCTAGCGAGAATGAAATGAGAGAGAGGAACCGTTAGTGAGCGAGAGCTCCAGAACCGGGAACTTCTCGGGAGTTTCGAGACATTCACGGCAATTTTTAAGTAAATAAAAAATTATTTTTTCTCCTTTATGTTCGTTTCAATACCAACAAATGCTAACAAGTTAAAAATTGAAAGTTAAAAATGATTTATATATCATCACTGCTTAAGCAGACATTTTCAAAATTCTGAAATGCTTGATTTTAGAAGTTTCCCAGATAGTTTACGATTAAGTTGGAGTTTAATTAAACATTATAATTATTATAAATATATATTTAATATATTAAAAATACTAAATAATCAGAGATTGAAATTGTTTTTGCAAGTTTTCTAAAATTTTTGTTTTTGTAGTCATTTCTTGAATTTCATAAATTGTTACGTATGAATTTAGATTTTATTGAACTTCAATTGTTTCTCTTAAGCTTCTACACGTCAGAAAACTCCAAAAAATAGTTTCCCTGTAAAAAATCAAATTTTCAGCGTCGAAAATCATCGTGGCTGAGAATCTCGCCGTGACCGTGGTCTAGGTTTTTCTCTTCCACGCCGTCGAAAATATTGCGCGGTTGTTCCTAAATTCTCACTTTTTCGGTCAATTTTCCGCGTTTCTTGTCGTCATTTTCGGTTATTTTTATCAAAAAATGCTCAAAAGCCGAAACTGGAAGTGGTTTTCATCGAAAAGGTGCGTAAAATAAAGGTAAGCGGGCGATTATTTTCAAAATTCCGAAAATAGTTAATTTTGCAATTTTAACGCGTTCAAAATTGAAATCTTCTCGTTTTTCAGACTTAAACACTCATTCAATGAATATGTAGCGGATTTAGAGCAGAGGAATTTATTGCGAAATTCGTTTCCATCGTATTTGAGTTCAAAATTCTCTGCTGAGCTCAGGTGCCGAATTTTGACAAGATTTAAATTCAAAATCAAATTTATTTTAGCAAATTGCCGCCATTCGCATATGCTGGTTTCGATCCGACCGCCGATAGTCTTCATGTCGGCAACCTTGTGATTCTCACAAATTTGCTAAGGGCTTCCAAATATGGCATCCGACCGATTGTGTTAATCGGAGGAGCTACGGCGAAAATCGGCGATCCCAGCGGACGGCTTTCCGGTAAATCATTCTTTAACATTGTATGATTATTGCAAAAATTCTGTAGAAAGAGAAGTCATCGATGAGAACGAGGTGATTCGGAACAGCGAATCAGTATCCAACCAAATCAAATCGATTTTCAATCGAGCTTCAACTTCCACAGAGCCGCCGATAATGCACAACAACTATGAGTGGTTCGAAAATGTAAATTTTGAAAGTTCTCATAAAAAGTTTTTATATTGAATATTTCAGATGAACATGATTGATTATTTGCGAAGATGCAAACGAATGCAATTGGCTGAAATGCTTCGAATGGGCGCGGTGAAATCGAGAATGGAAGCTGGAATATCGTTCACTGAATTCAGCTACCAAACAATGCAGGCTTTTGATTGGTTGATTCTTTCAGAGAATTATAATTGCCTTTTCCAGGTAATTAATTATTTAGAGCTTAAAGTTGAGAGAAAATTGAGTTTTTCAGCTTGGCGGCTCCGATCAACTCGGCCATTTGGATTTCGGTGCTCATTATATCAAACGGCTGACGAACAAGTTCGCCGCTGGGGTCTGTTTGCCGCTTCTCGTTGATTCTGGAGGCAACAAATTGGGAAAATCGGTTGGCGGTGGATCGTTGTGGCTGGATGCCGCCAAAACCTCGCCGTTCCATTTTTATCAATATTTCAAGCAGCTTCATGATGATAAAGCTGAAGAATTGCTGACGATGTTGAGGTTAAACGAAACCTGAAATAATTCAATGGAGTTGTCTCTTTTTCAGCCTTCGCCCGATTCTGGAGCTCCGTGAGATTCTCGAAGAGCATCGGAGCAACTTAGGCAAATGGGTGGCTCAAAAAGAGCTCGCTTCTGAAGTCACCCGTTTCGTTCACGGCGATTCTGGCTTAGATTCTGCTCTGCGGTGTTCCGAAGCTTTGTTCGGAGGAAAATCAGCGAATTTGTCGCAGTTGAGCCGCGATGAGATACTCCAACTCTTTGGGACTCACTTGGAGTTGAGCAGGTCCGAAGTGCGAACTTATGGAGATCTTGCGGATCGCACGAGAAATGATCGGAACAAAGGAAGCGTTTTGATGCGGAAAGGCTCATTCTCGGTGAACTCTGTCAAGGTGTTAGAGCCTGAGAAAGAGCTGGATCAGGTCGGACTCGAAAATGCTCCGGATTTGAGCTTGATTTGTTGGGGGAAGCGGAAATATCAAATTGTTCGATGGGTTTAATGAAGAGTTTATATATATTTCTTTGCATATATTTTTTTCAATTTTGGCGTTTTGACACGCTTTCATATCTCTTTTTCAATCGCTTTTTGTTCGTCTTGTAAATTTTTGTTGGACACTAATGATCATTGATGATCACTCGATTTGCAGAAATGGCAGACACCCGCGAATTGCCGGTGTTCGCTTACATCGAAGAAGCGAAACAGTTGTGGGAGATTCGCGAATATCTCAACAAGAACGAGGCGGTGAATTTGGATGCGAATGGTCCGAAAGACGTCGCGCAGAATCTCATCGAGATCTGCAAAACGCTTCATTTGTTGCCGGCGTGGGCTCAAGAGGTACCATTTTTTTAATTGAAGAATTACCCAGTAATTTGAGATTTTTTAATTTTAATTTGACTAATTAAAAGGATAATTGAGAATTTTGTCGATTAACCATTCTTAAGTTTCAGGTAGAGCCTGTGCTCAACTCGATTTGCTCGTTGATCGTCATTGTGCCAGCCGAAAACAGCGAAGCCGTCGTCACTTCGTTCATTCAAGCAGTTTCCCCGAAATACTACAAAGGAATTGGATGGAATAGCAATGTATGTGCCTTTAAATCGTTGTAAGACACGCATTGTTCCGTTTTCAGGCCGGAATCGCTGTGCGTGTGTTGTCGAATCTGTTCAAAGGATATTCGAACTTCAAAAAGATCCAGGCGATGACGTATAAGGCGCTGGTGGAGATGTGCGCCGAATCGCGGCTCATCGGCGAACTCGACTGCGACATTGAGACGCTCAACGAGAAATTCGCGTATTGGGAGACGCCGGTCGAAGGACAACGCGAGATTCTTCGACTCGTCCACAACGCCCTTCTTAATGATCATCGCCCTGATCAGGCGGCCAAGATCATGACGGTGCTTCTCGGCACTTATACGGAGAAGGACGCTGCGAACGCGCGTCAGGATGCGATGGAATGTGTGCGAACCGCCGTCGTCGATCCCAAATCGTTCTCGTTCGACCATCTGGAGCGACTCAGCGCCGTGCGGGCCCTCAAACAGTCGGATCCGCTCATGTTCACTGCTCTCGAGCTTTTCGTGTCGGGAACCCTCAAGGACTATCAGGAATTCGTCAAGAAGAATCCGACGTTCATCAGCGAGCATTTGCGGGTCGACGAGGCGGTTCTCATCAAGAAGATTCGTCTTCTGACGTTGATGTCGTTGGCTGAAGAGAAAAATGTTTGATTTTGATTTTCGATATTCGAATTTGCATTTCTCTTCTTTTTTCAGGAAATCAGCCTTGATGAATTGGCCAAACAACTCGACATCTCTGCTGATGAAGCTCTTGAGGAATTCATCATCGACGCCATTCAAGTCAATGCTATTTCGGTGAGAATTTGAATTCTATTGACCAATTATACTTTGAATTGAAAAAAATTTAATTTTAAAATGAAAATTGGGCAATTTTGTTATAAACTTTGATGAAAATGTAAAAATCTCGATAATTAAAGGGGTTTGAGCCATATTTAGATAATTCAAGTGTTTTAAACAATTTTGAAATCAATTGTTCAGAAAATATTCTGTTTTTGATTGAAACAATCCGCGTACGTTATTTTTGATGTTTTATTTTGTTTATTTTATAATTTAGTTTTAAAAATTGACACTGATTTGATAGGGAATAAAAATATGAAAAATTTGATGGTGAAATTGAATGGTCAAGAAGAAAAATGGATTAAAATGAGAAAATGTAGTCATTTTTTTACTTCACTGAATTTTTCTTTATTTTTATTTTATAAAATGAAGAAGTAGACTTTAAGAATTTCCAATGCAATTTTTGAAATTCCCAAAAAAAGTGAAGAATTGATTTTCAGGGCAAAATCAATGAGATGACGCGAAAATTGGTGGTGAACAGCTATCAGCATCGAAGATTCGGACAAGAGCAATGGGTTGTTCTTCAGGTTTTTCGAAAGATTCCCCACAATTTTTCCAATTGTTTTTTTCTCCAGAAGCGTCTGATGACGTTGATTGCGAATCTGAAGCAGACACACAAGAATATTCAGGATGTCAATCATCGAATCACCGAGGCCACAAACGCCTAATTTATTCCATTTTTGTTGTTGGGTTTTTCTTTTTTTGCTTTTTTTTTCATAAATATCAAATTGTTTGACGGGTATTATAAACAATTTGGTACATTTTTCCCAATTTTAGTCTATTTTTTCGCGTTTTGACACGCTTCCTTTATATTTTTTAATCGATTTTTATCATAAAACGACGCTTTTTTATTAAATTAATGAAATGCGGGAATTTTTTATTTACTCTCAAAATTAGGTTTTTTTTTATATTTTCAAATTTAAGAAGTTTTCTTAGAAATCGATTTTTTGCGGATTTGAAGAAAATTACCAACCGTTCGGTTTTTCTTGATTTTGATTTTTAGAAAATGTTTATTATCCCTTTTTCAAATTCAAATTTTCTGAACATTTCGAGATTTACAGGGGAAATTTTATTTTAAAATTGAAAAAATGCTCAAAAATATTTTCGAATAGATCGAATTTTTGTGAATTTCGTTGTTTTTGGCTCGAATCGAAATCAAATTTGCTCATAATTGTTTTTATTTTGTTTTGCAGCGCCGCCGCCGCCGCCAATTTGATTGTATGAGCGCGCGCGCAGCACACAGCAAACTCCAGAAGCTCGTACTCGCCACCTATCGTGATTTTTTGCGTGCCGCCCGCGGTCGCGACGAGACCATCCGCGAGCATATTCGCGACGAGTTTCGCGCGGCGTCGAAACGTTTCGCCGTCACCGACGTGCTGCTCATCGAGCATTATCTGCGACGAAGTCAGCGCCAACTCGACGCGATTCGAAAAGGCCACATTGAGAGGATCTCGAGCATTGCGACGACGAATCGCCACAGCCAGCAGCAGAAATAGACATAATAAGGTACATGAATTGAGCTGGACGTTTGCTGAGTGCTGTGCAATCAGAGTTGGGCGGAATGCGGAAGCGGATTAGACTGAGACAAATGCCTGTTCAAAGGGAGAAGGGGTGGGGGCTCCTAGGCGGAATTGCGCCCAACTCTGTGTGTCAATTCTTTTTGATTTGTCATTTTTCAAAAAATTTCTTTTTTTCTGGTTTTTTGATGGAAATTTCGAGAATATTGATGACTCTTTGCAGTTGCTTCATGATTTTCAAACTTTGGCCACTTTTTTTTTTAATTTAATGTAGTCGGGGTTCGGTGATTGCTCTACGCGGGTAGATTCACGCGCATGCGCCTCGAAAAGGTCTCGCCACATGGGAATGCTTTTTTTTTGCTGTTTTTCGCGTGAGCGTTTTATTTTTTCTTGATGAATTTGGCATTTCTTGGATTTTCTAACGACGTTCAATTTGAAAATTATCGAACCGACCCATAAAATACAAAATAATCTGCTAGTCGGTGCGAGACCAGGAGAAAGACGCATGCGCGTAAATCTATCCGCGTACAGCAGTCGCCGGACGCCAGCTATAGTTTAATTTCAAATTTGCTCGGAATTACTTTAATTGTCGAATTTCGACTGGAATTTTCGAGAATTGGCTCAATTTATTGATTTAATTGTTAAACTTCGTAGGTTATCTACGACTCATTAAAAAAAAAGCTGATTTCTAACAAATTAAGATATTTATAGAAAAGAAGTTTTTTTTTAAAACTTAAAATTGCACTATCTTCTTAGTTTTTGCAGAAAGTTCGAATTTTTTTCTTAAAAGCGAGGAATTTTGATTGAGTAAAGACATTCTTCGATATTTTTTTTCGCAATTTTGCAAAAATCAACAGCCAGTTCTGTTTTTTTTTCAGTTTAAATTCGATTTGAGAATTTTTTCTGAAATTTTATAATTAAAGTGTAATTTCGAATTTTTTCCAACGAAAAGATTGACTCATCCTCGAATGTTTCCATGTTCCTCCCAAAAAATCGCATTCAACTCAATTGTTTCCCTTATTTTCAAAACGAAGTGCTTACAAATTTTGCGTCGATTTGCAGAAATGGCAGACACCCGCGAATTGCCGGTGTTCGCCTACATCGAAGAAGCGAAACAGTTGTGGGAGATTCGCGAATATCTCAACAAGAACGAGGCGGTGAATTTGGATGCGAATGGTCCGAAAGACGTCGCGCAGAATCTCATCGAGATCTGCAAAACGCTTCATTTGTTGCCGGCGTGGGCCCAAGAGGTACCATTTTTTTTTAATTGAAGAATTACCCAGAAATTTGAGATTTTTTAATTTTTATTTAACTAATTAAAAGATAATTGAGAATTTTGTCGATTAACCATTCTTAAGTTTCAGGTAGAGCCTGTGCTCAACTCGATTTGCTCGTTGATCGTCATTGTGCCAGCCGAAAACAGCGAAGCCGTCGTCACTTCGTTCATTCAAGCAGTTTCCCCGAAATACTACAAAGGAATCGGATGGAATAGCAACGTATGTGCCTTTAAATCGTTGTAGGACACTCATTGTTCCGTTTTCAGGCCGGAATCGCTGTGCGTGTGTTGTCGAATCTGTTCAAAGGATATTCGAACTTCAAAAAGATCCAGGCGATGACGTATAAGGCGCTGGTGGAGATGTGCGCCGAATCGCGGCTCATCGGCGAACTCGACTGCGACATTGAGACGCTCAACGAGATATTCGCGTATTGGGAGACGCCGGTCGAAGGACAACGCGAGATTCTTCGACTCGTCCACAACGCCCTTCTTAATGATCATCGCCCTGATCAGGCGGCCAAGATCATGACGGTGCTTCTCGGCACTTATACGGAGAAGGACGCTGCGAACGCGCGTCAGGATGCGATGGAATGTGTGCGAACCGCCGTCGTCGATCCCAAATCGTTCTCGTTCGACCATCTGGAGCGACTCAGCGCCGTGCGGGCCCTCAAACAGTCGGATCCGCTCATGTTCACTGCTCTCGAGCTTTTCGTGTCGGGAACCCTCAAGGACTATCAGGAATTCGTCAAGAAGAATCCGACGTTCATCAGCGAGCATTTGCGAGTCGACGAGGCCGTTCTCATCAAGAAGATTCGTCTTCTGACGTTGATGTCGTTGGCTGAAGAGAAAAATGTTTGATTTTGATTCTCGATATTCGAATTTTCATTTTTTTTTCAGGAAATCAGCCTTGATGAATTGGCCAAACAACTCGACATCTCTGCTGATGAAGCTCTTGAGGAATTCATCATCGACGCCATTCAAGTCAATGCTATTTCGGTGAGAATTTGAATTCTATTGACCAAATTGGAAAAAAGATTCAATTTTAAAATGAAAATTGGGCAATTTTGTTATAAACATTGATGAAAATGTAAAAATCTCGATAATTAAAGGGGTTTGAGCCACATTTAGATAATTCAAGTGTTTTAAACAATTTTGAAATTCATTGTTCAGAAAATATTCTGTTTTTGATTGAAACAATCCGCGTACGTTATTTTTGATGTTTTATTTTGTTTATTTTATAATTTAGTTTTAAAAATTGACACTGATTTGATAGGGAATAAAAATATGAAAAATTTGATGGTGAAATTGAATGGTCAAGAAGAAAAATGGATTAAAATGAGAAAATGTAGTCATTTTTTTACTTCACTGAATTTTTCTTTATTTTTATTTGATAAAATGAAGAAGTAGACTTTAAGAATTTCCAATGCAATTTTTGAAATTCCCAAAAAAAGTGAAGAATTGATTTTCAGGGCAAAATCAATGAGATGACGCGAAAATTGGTGGTGAACAGCTATCAGCATCGAAGATTCGGACAAGAGCAATGGGTTGTTCTTCAGGTTTTTCGAAAGATTCCCCACAATTTTTCCAATTGTTTTTTTCTCCAGAAGCGTCTGATGACGTTGATTGCGAATCTGAAGCAGACACACAAGAATATTCAGGATGTCAATCATCGAATCACCGAGGCCACAAACGCCTAATTTATTCCGTTTCTGCTTTTTTGTTGTATTGTAAATATCAGATAATCTCGGTTAATTGTGGGAAACCGAAAAAAAAATGGATGAATAAAAATTATGTTAAGTCCGGAAATACGTCAGCGCACCGAAAACACGCCAGCGTATGTTGTTGTTTGCGCGTTACGCGTGCCGCGTTCTTTTTTGCCGTTTTTTTGTTGTTTTTTTTTTCAAATTTCAAACTGATTTATTACTAATATGGCGCGAAAAAATAACAAAAATGAGAATTCGGAAGAAAAACGACAAATCGCGTTTGCGGAGATTCATAAAAAGGTTTGAATTGGAATTTGAATTTGTTTTATTTTTCAATTCTAGATGTGTCATGTTCGAAATAAGCAGGATACGGTGAATGAGGCGCTCGAGCAATTGCAGAAGTTTGTTGAGAAGGATACGAATTTGTTGATTGCGAAAAATAAGGTCTCGAAGAGAAGACTAGGGTGTTACTTGAATTTTTTTTCAGAAAATTTTATGTGAACATTTCGATTTTGCGATAAAATCGAGCATTTTTTGCAATTTTCAAAGTTTTTGTTTGATTTTTGAAAAACGTTGACGAAAATTGAATGGCAATTTCAAAAAATGCTCAAAATTTATTGAAAAAATCGAGTTTTCGGTTTCAAAATTTGTAGAAATTTCTAAGAAGAAAAATGATTAAATGGTAGTAATAAAGAATTTTCGAATTTTTTCTGCAATTATAAATCAACTTATTCAGATTATTCCGAAAAAGTTCTTTAAAAAATAGACTTTTGACGAGTTTTCTACAATTTTCCGCTGAAAATTGTAATATTTTGAGATTTTCCCGAAAAAATAAATTTTTTTTTGAAAATATTGGAGAATTTCCGTTAAAAAATGTGAAAATACATTTTTTTTTTCTAAAAAAATAACTTTTCCAGTGTAAATTATTTTTAAAAAGAAATTTCGATGATTAAAAATGCAGAATTTTCGGAAAATGTTAGATTTTCCGAAAAAAAAAATTGGGAATTTATGGTTTTTTTCCAAAATTGATCACCAAAAAAATCTTTAATTTGAAGAATTTTTGAGAATCAATTTTTCCATCAAATAAAAAATTATAGAATCCTTTAAAAATCTGTAATGCTAAAAATTGCGGGCCAAAATAATGTGAAAATCGTATTTTTCAGGTGAAATCGATAAATTTGCATTCGAATCTATTGAAAACGTCCGAATCTCATTGCGAATATCTCAGGTATAATTATTGGGTTGGCACTGTCTTGGGTCTCGTATGGAAAATTTTTGAATAGCAACTTTTTGTCTATTCGAACCATCATATAATGTGAAATAGCGTTGCATATTTTGCCATTTTTCGCCGCATTACCTATTTTTCAATTCTGAACACATTTGATTAAAACCATCTGCGGACATTTTCGCGTTGGCGGCAATTCAAAAATGAGGGTTTGACAAGCCTTGGGTCTCGTAGGGAAAAACAATTAGAAGCGAGAAATGTGAAATAATTAGCTTCTTTAAAAAAATGTTTTTTTTTTCGAACAGATTTGTTCATTATTATTATTTTTGTGTGATTTTCAGAAAATTGCTGCACGAAATCGAGCGTCTCCGAAACGCCGACTACAAATCGAAAATGCGCGGCGAGATCAAACGACGCGATCTGATGGAGTTGATTCAATCGCAGGGCGAGACGCTGCCGTTGTGGATCAACGTCGTCGACGGATTTCCGGGCGAAGGCGTCGGCGCGATCGCGATCACCGATTGCTCGAAAATGGTGCCCGGCGACGCGGTCGCCGCCTATTCCGGCGACAATTGGATACTCGCCGAGGTATTTTTCGAGGCTATTCAGTCAAAAAATGAGCATTTCCATGTTGAAAATGACACAAAAATTGAGGAGTTTGATTGAAATTTCAAATTTCTTTCTGGAAAATCTCAAAATTTTACGATTTTCACTCAATGTAGAAATTTTTTTCTCGAAAATCTCAAAAATTTGAGAATTTTTAGTTTAAATTTATGTTTTTTTTAGAAAATCTTAAAAATTTTAGAATTTTTAGTTCAAATTTAATTTTCTTTTGGAAATTTTCAAAAATTTTAGAATTTTTATTTTTTTTTTTAAATAATTTTTTAGAGAACCTCTTTTTTTAGTTCAACATTTCAATTTTTGGAAAATCTTTAAAAAAATTATCAAATCGCGATTTTCTATTAAAATGCCCTCCTAAAAAATTTAAACTCCAATATTTTCGGAAAAACGCCAAAGTTTTGGGAATTTTTTGTAAAATCTCAAAATTTTTAACGATTTTGTTGGAATTTCCATATATATATATATATATTTTTTTCATTTTTCCGATTTTCAACATCGATTTTTACTTGAAACTCAATTTTTTCATAACTGGAAAGAATTTTCGTTTGAAAATGTCACAAATCGCGATTTTTGCAAATTTCTTTTTTTTTTTAAATTTCAGATAGTTTCATGTCAAGGCAACGGAAAATACGAGTGTCGCGACGTCGACGACGAGCAGAAAAAGGTGTCGATATTTTCGCGCCAAAAATTGGCGTCGTTGCCAAAATGGCGAGCGGATCCGAAGCACGACAAACACGCGCTATTCCCGCCGGACGCCATCGTTTTGGCGCTTTATCCCCAAACCACGTGTTTCTATAAAGGTTCGCTTAGTTTGTTTTTTTTTTTTAACTTGAATTTTGGCCTCGAAAATTCACCTTTTAGATAAGAAATTTTAGAATAATTTTGAATTCTGCCTTTCAAAAAATTTGGTTATTCTCGAACGGAAATTAATTGGAAATTTTTCGCCGAAAAAAAAGTTTTTGCGATTTTTCTTCCAATTCTCAACGCGATTTTTTTTGCGGAATTGAAGTTCTCAACAATCTCATCAATTTTCTAAGTGAAATCCAAAAAACCCGGATATTTTTTGTCCAAATTTGGATTGGAATCAATTTACGCGAAAAATGTCGGATTTTTCGAGTTCCTAATTACAATTTGGCTTTAAAAATTCTCAAAACGAAAAATTTTTTGCTTGAAAATTTGGGGACTTTCGATGAAACGCAATTTTGTTTAGGTGTCGTCCATTCGACGCCGTCGACCGCCACCGATTCATATCAAATCGCGTTCGACGACGCTTCGTATCCGTGCGGATACTCGCCGCCAATGTCGATTCCGCAACGATATGTGATAAGCTATCGAGAAGTTCGCGGCGGGAGACGAAAAGACGACGACGATGAATGACGGCGACGATGCGCCTTGAATCCATTATGAATTCAACACATTTGATCTCAACTAATAAATTATTTCGACATGTAAAAATGGTGAATTTCGTTTTTTTTTTTCGAAAAATTCAAAAAATTCGAACCCCCTTTTTTCGGAAAATGAGAAAATTGAAGTGGAATCCTGACCAGAGCTGCCCGGAATTCCGTCTTCCGTAACATTTTCCTGTTCATATTCGAGCTAGATTAAGTTTGTGTTCCGTCAAACATTTTTTGTTTCCTTAGCTATGGTCCTGACGCGATAGCTTCAACCCGACACGAAACTTTAGGGCATTATTGTAGCTCGGATTTTGAGGGTCCCAAAATTCGAAAACAAATTCTGTGAGAATCTTTTAATCTCGCACAAAACAACAAAAGACAATGTTGAAAATATCGATGGTCCCTTGATTGGATTGAAATTAATTGCGAGCAATTCCGATTTTGTTTTGAATTTGCCGCAAAATGCGCAAACAGATCTCCTCGCGAAACGGCGGCGCCGCAATTTGAACCGAAATCGGCATTCCGCGACATCCCGTCGATTCGCGTCGTATCAATTGATTCCATCGATCGTCGCAAGGCATCGTCGCCTCGTCGACGGACTCATCGTTCGCCGAGACGCGCGTTATCGGAATTGTGCCGGCGGCGAAATCGACCAAATTGAACAGCGACGTGTAGCTCGTCGCGCTTATCATCTGATTCGGGATGCCGTGATGCGGCGCAAGGGTTCCCTGCAAATTTCTAGGGACTATTCACATTTTGTCGACGTTTTTTTTTGTTAAAAAAAAATAAATTTTCGAAATTTTTAGGGACTATTGCGGAAACCCCGCATTCTGTTTCTAATTTTCTAGGGACCATTAATGCCTTTTATTAGGCAAAACTTCTAAAATTGAGTAATTTTTTGGTAGCAAATCATCAGTTTTGAAAAAAAGTTGCCAATTCGTTGACATTTTGCAATTATTCGCCAAAAATTCTCAGAAACTCCATTTTTTAGATAAAAATTTCGGAATTTCGGTGATTTTTCGCTAAAACGCAAAATAATTGAAGAATTTTTGGAATTAAAACGTCGGAAATCTTTCAGAATATCGAATTAGCCAAAAAAAATAAATTAAAGTAGAGAAAAAAACGAGACTTACAAACGCCGGGCACACGATCGCATCGAGCTTCTGTTTTCGCATCGCGTTGACGAATTCGTGTCGGTAATCCTCAATTTTCTCGTGCATTTCGCGCATTTCTACAACATTGCTTCATTAAATCCGAAATTTCCCTCAAAACAAAAAAAATGAAATAGGCAACCTTCCGAATTGTGCGGCAATTCTCTCAAAACGCCTTTCACACGTTCATCGGGCAAATATTTTCGCAAAATTCGTTGAATGAAGTACGGTAGGCGGGTCACCGGTGGTCCGACGTAGCATTCCGGCGGCACAATGTCCTAAAAATCACCAAAAAAAACTTCAATTCTAGATTTTTACGCCACCAGAATTCGGTCGCCACAAGACCCAACCCAATTTTCGTGTTACGCGCCTTTAATCAAATTATTTACTTTTTTTTAATTTCGCACTTTTCTTTCCAATTTTCTGGAACTTTCGAATTCGGAAAATATTTAATTAAAGGCGCACGCAATTTTCGTGCTGATTCTTACAGCGATCGATTCTAGCGGTCGCATTATTCCGAAACAAATCAAATTATTTAAAAATTCAAATTAATTCCGCAATGCGCGTCTCGGTGTTTGCGGAATGACGCTGTCTACCGTAAACCAAAAAAAAAAATTGAAAAAAAATTTTCTGCGATTTTTTAAAATGAACAATTTCAACGTACATTGCTTAGAAGCTCGTTCAGGAACACTCCGCCGTCGGACGTGGCCGCCGCGCAAAAAATATTGAACGCGTGCGCCGCGCGAGGCACACAAAACTCTTCGAGATGATGGCCGAGCTCGCGGAGCACACCGACCGCGTCTAAAACCGCTCGCCGATACGCCGCCGGTGCCGTTTGATAGCCGTCGAACGTGTAGTAGCCGATGCGAAGCGGTTCGTCGGAATCGTACAAATGCTCGCGAAAGTTGACGGGCGGCACGTAGAAATCGCGACGGCTCAATTCGGAATCGTTCCACTTCTGAAGTGATTCACATTTTTTCTTCTTCTCTCGTTCCAAATCCAATTCATACCAATCGCAAGTATTCGACGCAGGCGTCGATCGTCGGCGCGATGGGACCCTCGACGGTGACGAGCAGTTGGCGGCCGGGAATCGACGAGACGGTGCCGAGCTGCGAGCCACGTCGCGACGAGCTCTTGAACGCGGCGAGACCGCAAAACGTCGCCGGTGTGCGCACCGAGCCGCCGACGTCGGTGCCGATGCCGAGCACGCTGCCGCCGGCGGCGATCAGTGCCGCCTCGCCGCCCGACGAGCCGCCGGGCACACGCGACGAATCGCACGGATTCGACGTCGAGCCTAGAACAAATCAGATAACAACTTTTTTTTTCATTTTCATTTTCAATTGGTCTCGACGGAAACGAATTATTTCAAATTTTCATCTTTCCCATTATTCCATACGAGACCCAAGGGTTGTCAAACTCTCATTTTTGAATTGCCGCCAACGCGAAAATGTCCGCAGATGGTCTCAATCAAATTTATCTTGTTATGAATTGAAAAATTGGCAATTCTATTTCTGATGGTGAAATTGGACAAAATTTGCTCCTCAAAAATTTTCCATACGAGACCCAATTCGAATGATAAATGCTGTGACAAAAATTTATCGTAGATCGGCTTGTGAAACAATTGGGTCCTGCCTTTTTGAATTTCCGTCAACACGAAAATGTCCGCAGATGATTTCAATCAAATTTATCTCACAAAATTTGCTCCGCAAAAATTTTCCAGACGAGACCCAATTCGAATTTTTCCAGACGAGACCCAATTCGAATGATAAATGCTGTGACAAAAATTTATCGTAGATCGGCTTGTGAAACTCTTGGGTCTTGCCTTTTTGAATTTCCGTCAACACGAAAATGTCCGCAGATGATTTCAATCAAATTTATCTCACAAAATTTGCTCCGCAAAAATTTTCCAGACGAGACCCAATTCGAATTTTTCCAGATGAGACCCAATTCGAATGATAAATGCTGTGACAAAAAATTTACCGTAGATCGGATTAGAGCATCCGAAGCTCAATAGCGCCTGCGGGACATTGGTGTGCACAAACGGGACGGCTCCGAGACGAATGAGCTGGTCCACCGAAGCGGCGTGCTCTCGCGATGGCTTGTACAGATGTTGAGCGCATCCTTGCGTCGAGTCCATGAATTTCACGCGAATGCACTCCTTGATGCTGATCGGAATGCCGAAAAGCGGCGGCTTACAGTAATCAGCGTCCTTTAAATTCTGCTCGAGACCCTCGGCGATCGTCAGCGATTCCTCGATGAACATACAAATGCAATTGGTTGTCGCGTGCGATTTCAACGCTTTTCGTTGGAACGCCAATAGGGTCTCGACGGGAAGACATTTGCCGGATTGAAGGGCATCTGAAAAACGCGCGGGAATTCAAATTCGTTTTTTTTTAAATCGTACCTCGAAGCTCGAAAAAATCGAGATTCGCGATCTCCTCGAGGCGATTTTCGTCCAATTTCTCGAAATTCTGCAACATTTTCGTTATTCCATCGCCAAATTTGGCGCAAAAAATGAATTACCTTCCTCGCCCACTCGAAATTCACAATTTGCTCAGCTTTTCTTTGTTTTATCAATGTTTCGAGCTCGCCGCGTCTTCGCTGAAAAGAAATCGACATAAAATGTATAACTCTCGATATTTTACCCGTTTTTCGATAAAATAATATCCGAAAATGGAAATCAATAAAAGAAATACGGGAAGAAGCATTTAAATGCGAATGGAAATGATAAGCGCCATCGTTATCATGATAATTTATTGGAAAATTGGTGAGCAAAAATGACGAGTCAACAAGAAGGTGAAATAAATGATTGCAAAAGAACAAAATCCAGTAAATATAGAAAACTTTGAGGAAACTCGAATTTAATTATTCATCAAACTTGATTTTTGATTAAAAAAAATCTAACTTTTACACTAAAAAATTGTGAAAAATTGGGAAAAATGGGAAAAATATTTGAAAAAATTTAGTGTGCAAACACGCCACGCAAAAATGCACATTTTCTGTCAACACCACGGAAATTGAAAATTTTTGAATTTCATCGGTCAAGTGTAAGAAAAACGATCAAAAATCACTTGAAATTCTTAAAATTGAATCAAATTAATTCGAAAAGCGACAAGAATGATCGAAAATGGAGCAAAAGTCCGAAAATTTTTCTTTTTTGTTTAAATTTACAAACTTGTTAAGAAGAAACTGAAACAAACTAGTTCTTCTGATTTCAATTTTTGAAATAGAAATAAATAATTTCGCATTTTGTGTCGAAAATTGGTTAAACGCCAAAAACTGCTTCATTTTTACAATGAATTGCCGTTGAAACGCGGGTTTTCACGATTCCCCGAATTTTCAAAAGGAAATTAATCGAAAAAATGTGAGTTTAATGGAAAATTTAGAGTTTTCGATAGTTTTTGGTGAATTCCGTTATGTTTTTTTTGAAATTTGATTAAAAACGTTGCAAAAATTGCAAATTTCTGCTCGAAAATTACAAAAAATCAATTTTAAAGCCCCCTTTTTTTTCAGCAGCCAATTTGTAGGCACATTTGGAAGAAGCCGTTGATTCTGAATCATCGTCGTCGACGCCTTCTGACGATTTTTCACTCAATCAGCAATTAAAGGTTGCCATTTTTTGTGTTTGAAACGCATTGAGGAAAAAAAAATTGGTATGCGTCTTTAAACCTACAGTAATCTGTCAATGGCTACTCGAAAAATGCAATGTTTAACAACAAAAACAATTGAATTTTCTTGCCGCTTCAAGACCATATTTCGAAATTCAACAAAGCGCCTACAGTAATCCATTAGCATCAAATTATTTCACCACACTTTATTCGGGGGGAGCGCAAAAACCAAAAATGATGAGAAAAGAGATAGACAGACAGATAGCGAAAAAAAATGAGCAACAAAAGTCAGCAGCTCACAGAAAATCGATTGAGAATATGAAAATAAAATAGACAGTCGTTTGTTTTTTTTTCGTTTTCAATTGGTGGGTGGATGGGTGGGTGGTGGTTGGTGGGGAATAGAAAAAAATGATTGGGGCTGGTTGAAGGGACCATAATAATGATGATAAGGAAAAATAGCATGAAATAATAATGCAAACCAACATCGTTTTTCTTTTTTGCGCAAAAAGTGGGCGTGTCGCCAGCTCGTCGTAAAATGAGCGCCAGGGTCTCGAGGCGAACGACCGTTTTTCGCAAACGAGACCCGCACGGCAACAATCGTGGCGTTGGACCCAGCAAATAAGAGAAAGAAAGAAGGAACAACGATAATTATAGAATAAATGACAATGATTGGAATTCGAATAATCGATTTTAGATGATGCAGAAAAAAAAAATAGTTGGTGTGGGTGTGGAAACCGGTTAAAATTTGAATGGGAAAAAAAGAAAAGCAAAAAATGTCCTTTAAAGGAGCAACACCATGAAAAGCTCGAAAAAACTCAAAAGAGAATTTGGGGGGGGTTCTAAAAACATGAAGAAACGACCCGAAAGTGCCAAATATGGTAGGATGAGAATTATAATGGACAAACAAACAAACAAACAAAAAGTAAATCATCGAAATTATACACAAAGCATTCTCGAAAAAAAAACTAGTACATATAAATGGAGGACGAATGACTTAAGCGAATCCAAAACCTTCGGTGCACTCGCGAATCGCCAACAGAAGCGAGTCGCGAAGCTTCTCGTATGATTCATATTGCGGCAAATCGATTTGATTGAAGCTGAAATTCGTTTCTCTCAGCAAAATTGTTTTCAATTCGAATGGACTATTTCAAATTTCGGCGCCAAATTCAAATTTCCCGTCATATCTTTTTTTTCGTTTGTCTAATAAATTTTATTGGACTTACTCGTCAAAATTTCATCTCATCCCACAAAGCAGTCATTTCAAAGATCCAAACACTCAATTTAATTTAGAAATGCGAAAAAAATTAATTAATGCATTTGATGTACTTACAAAATTTTTAAGTATTCACAAAAAGAGTCAACTTTTGGCATAATTGAAATTTTCGACATTTTTAAAGGTATTTTCAGCTCAATTCCAATTTTCACAAATTAAATTAACGATTTCAGACCAAAATTCGTTCTCAAATAATCAAAAGCGCCGATAAAACTCAAATTTCTGCTTGTTTTTTTTTTCGAAAAATTCATTCTTCAATTTGCCTACCATGTGTGTGCCGCTGGCAGACGATCTCCGCCTCTCGTGTCAATATGAATACTAAACTTCTGCACTCCGTTCATGCCTTCGAGCGATCCGAAACCTTGAAGTGGCACCTAGAAAAAAAACGCAATTTCTTCGAAAATTCGCCAATTCTCAAACCTTCGATGTTCCCGTAACGAACTGCAAGAATTTCGCCTTGTCCTCCTTCTCGAACGAGCGCAACGCGCGCCAGAACCACTGAATCTGCGCGCTATTCTTCTGATAGCCCTTGTAATCCGTGTTCGCCGCCAAATCATCGATATCGACCGTCGGCAGTCCCGAGATGAGCAGCTCGAGCTCTTGCTCATTGAACATCGAGATGAGCTCTTTCGGAATGATCTCATAGAATCCTTCGAGGAACGCGTCGAGCTGCTTCCTGATCGAGCCCGTCATCTTCATCTGGCACACGAGCTTCACGTACTCCTCCTTGTTCGCGTCGGTCACTTCAATCTGCGATCCGCCGGGTTTGAGCTCACAAACGGTGTGTTTGCCAAACTCCTCAATCTCCGTCGTGAATGTCATGTCGAGTGCGAGCTCGTCGATCGGATTCTGCAGCAAGAACTCGAGCGATTTGAAGAACGCCGGGTCCTGAAAATGATTAATCAAAATTTCAACAATTTTCGGCATTTTTTTTAAAGTTTCACTTTTTTATTTCGAAAAATCACATTAAAAAGAACTATCAGATAATAAAAAAAGAACCTAAAAATAAATTTCAGGAATTTTCAGCAATTCTGCAAGCAAAATTTTGGTTTTCTTCCCCAAAATCCTACCTCACTCTCCATGTCCTGATATCTGACCGGCAGATTCAAAATGTGTTTGTAGAATGCACGAGTGAAGTAGCAGTCCAAGTACTTGTGATCGAAAATCGCCTTGGCAATGAGTCGTCCAACAAACTGCAAAAATTTCCAAATAAGACAACGTCATCATCGACAGAATCCCCCAACCTTGAAGTAGTCCAAATGTTCCGGATTGATGTACGACGCCTTATTGATCATATATGTCACCATATCACCCGGCGCGGTGATGAACAACGCGTAATTCGGATTGAAGATCTCACGCGTTATCACCGAATACCATTCGCGAAGCAGACCGCCGGCATCCTGTCCCTCTTCGCCCTGGAAGATCACGTAGAAGCGATTTTTCCAATCGGCCGGCCGAAGGCGGAACAACTCGCGGAACGAGTCCGAGAAGATTCGCGCGCGATTCACTTGAACCGACACGTCATTGCGGCGATAGCGCGTTCTGAAATCACTTGTTGAATATTATTGGCAGAAGTCACCAATCAATCATACCCTGGCTCCAACTTGTTCAATTCTTTTCTGAAGTACTTCCTCTTCACATCAAAGTCGAGAAGCTTCGGATATTGGGTGAGCACCGAGAACGGACCCCCATGCGACAACACCGCATTGTTCTGCCTCAACGCCTGATTCAACACTTCGCGATGCTTCTCAGCAAACTCTATAAGTTTCGCCGTGTCCGAATCAAGTTCCTCATGTCGCGACGCGCTCGCGATGGTGCTGGATGGTCCCTCCACCGATGTGCTAGTAGTGACGGCAGCCGGAGCAGCACTATCCGACGGTTTCTTCTCCTTCTTATTCGATGAAGCGTAGACCAAAAAGAACGATTCTGCAGCCGGCTGAAGAGCCAAAACCGCGTGCGGATCCGAAGCGCGTCCCAATCGCTGAAGGCATTCCGACAACGAGTTCCACAACGATTCAAGTGAAGCGAGTTTCGACGACAATCGCGGCTCAACATCCGGCACATCCGGCTCATCTTCCTCTTTCTCTTCCGGCACTGGATCTGGCGACGCCGGACTAAGAGCCTCCTCCTGAGCTGGCCCTGGAATCGGTTCCGGTGCCAACGTCGTCGCTCCTTGATCAGCGGCAGCCTGTTGCTCTTCAAGCTTCTTCTTTTCAGCCGCCTCCTTCTGCTTCTTCTCCTCCTCCTTCTTCTTCTTCTCGGCTTCGGCTTTCTCGCGTTTTACTCGATCCTTCCTCACTTGTCGCATATGCCCGCGAACTTTGACCAACGTCTGAAGCGCCGACAACAACGCGTACTGGGCTCCCGTCTTGTCGGTGAGGGCGGTGACCGCCGGCAATTGAAGTTCCTTGCACGAGCTCATCATCAATCTCGCGTTCTGCTCGCCATCAATTATCAATCTCTCGCCATCGAATCTTCCTACAGTAACTCGTCCACCGCTGCTAACATCCAAAACCAACGGTTCCATTCTTCGCGAGCTCGTCGACTCGTCAGACGGCTGTTGTTGCTGTGGTGATGGCCGGGGAGCCAGACCAGCTCCATTCTCATCAATCATCTCAACATCTTCATCCGTTTTCTGCGCCTCGTCGAGCTCGACGATGAGTCGATTAATCTGCGGCTCGAGTTGTTTTCCATAAGAAGCTACAACGTTGAACAGCCGATCGTAAATATACATTGCCGTCATGTCATTGAACGCACGCATCGCCTCGGCGAGAAGTGTCCTGAAACAAAACCAATGAAGTTTTATATTTTCCAACGAAAAAAGCTTACAATCCATCATTTAATCCATCGTTAGCATGTCCTTTTGTGATCGCCAGGATCACCAATTCCAATGCTTTGCTGATCGGCAAGAAGTCTGGATCTTGAACATCAAGCTTCTGAAGAGCATCGTTCGGAATCGTTTGGAATATCTAAACCAATCGAGTAAATTCTCCAAAAATTAAGCCGAATCCGCATACCGTGCTCGCCACCTTCAGAACGCGATCATTTAGAGCCGCCGTCTTGCCAATCATCTCCTTCTCCAACGACATCATCAAATGAACAACGGGGCACTCCTCGAATTGGGTGATCGCCGGCACTTGCCAATCTTTGCGTGTCGGCAATTTCGACGAGTTCTGAATCATCGTCCAGAACATGTCGAACGGCGGCGATTGTTTCGCCGTTTCGGTCGCATTCGGTCCACTTCGGAGACGATTCGGCAAAAAGTTGCCCGGATAGGATTTGGCAATGATCGCTAACAAGTCGAGAATGTTGCGACACAACGAGCTGGCGAGCATCGAATGAATCGCCACCTTGCTTCCGTTCTCGCCAATCTTTATCGCTCTCTCATTCAATCCGACACCGCTGACAGTGATGCTGTCAAGCCATTCCGGCACCTTCGACGCAATCTGAAAACATCGTCTTCAACACTACAATCGTCAATAATCTCGACTACCTCCTCATCATCACAATTCGACTCGCATGCCTTCTTCAGAAGCGCAAGAAGGCACCAAATGACGAAATCACACGAATGCGAGTTGACGCAAACATTGCGTAACACCTTCTGAAGGCGATTGTACGAGATTCTCGAGTCGACGAGGTACAACAAGCACAACGTGGTGATGGCTTCACGATCAAGAACCTGGGTGGCAGTTGGCGAAGCTGGATGAGCATGCCCGGCATTCTGTCCTATTCCGCTAGCTGAAAATTAAAAAAAATCATGATTCTATCGAAAATCTCAAGTTGCTACATTGCGGCCTTCCGCCTCCATTTCTCGTATTCCTTCGCAACATCAATCTCTGGTATCTGAACATTCTCGGATCGACATGAGTCGCTCTTGCTCGTCTCGCTTCATCCTGCATCGCTTGCGGTAGCCCGGCGAGTTCCGTCTCGTCCATCTCAGCAAGAACTTGAGCTCGTTCGTTTGCCGGAAGCGACGCGATCACAGCGGCGCCATCCAATTCCGGAGCCGGCTGAGCCGGAGCATTCGCTCGTCTCAGGGCCTCCTCGGCTTCACGCACCGCGCGCTCGTGCTCCGCCAAAATCTCCTCTTGCAGTTCGGGCGGCAACGCATTCAAGAATTCCGGACTAATCGGCTCAACAATCGCTCGGACATCGTTGGCAGCCGGAGCGGCAGCGGCGTCGCCACCAGCCGCCGCCGGCATTACAGCAGCCGGTTGAGCTGCTCGCTCAGCTCGTCGTTGCCGCTGGAAGTCGCGAATCACCTCAGTGCGCATTTCTTCCGGAAGCGCGATGAGGAATTCCGGATCAACACCGTCAGGAATCTCAATGTCGCCCAAAATCGCCCGGAACTCTTCAGACAGCGGCGGTCGTTGTGGGGCAGCATCTCGTCCTTCAGCAGCTGCTGGTACTGCCGCTTCGGGAGCGGCTGCAGCTGGCTCATCACTAGTCGGCGGTGGTGGTGCCTGCTCAGTGGGGGGCTCGTCCAAGTTCGCCTCTTGAGCCGGAGCGTTCACAACTTCCGGCTCATCAAAATCTTCGGTTCCAGCAACCGATGAAGCAGCAGTAGCAGCCGTTGATTGCGGTAATCTCGAATCATCATCTAGAAAAAAAACAACGTTTCAAATCATTAGATTCCAAGAAGATCTTACCTCCGGTCTCCATAGGTTCCGGACCATTGGAAACCGCAGAAGCATAACTGCGTTGAGCATCTACTGCCGGTGTGGTGCTAGTCTCTTCTCCTATAACATCCGCAATTCAATCAATCGATTGTCAAAGCTCTAGTACAAAAAATCGTCTTACCAGCAGTCCTTGAGGCGTTCGGCACCGTCGTGTCCGAAACCGTATTGGTCGTTGATGTGGCTTGCGGTGTTGCAATCGGAACCTCACTCTGCTCCTCAGCCGCAGTCGGCGCTTCTGACGTTGCCGATGGCGCAGCTGTAGCCGACGACGACGATTCGCCTTGCTCGCGGGCGACTCTCTCCTGCTCTTCCTGCTTCTTCGCCGCCTGCTCTTGACGTGCTCGTTGCGCGCTCGCCGCCGCCTCTTCCTTCTCCTTGGCCTCACGCTTGCGAGCCTCACGCGAAATCAATGAATTCGCAATGACGCACACATATCGCACCGATACCGGCTCCATGATGCTCACATAATTCTCAAGTCGCTCGAGGCACGATGTCACTGTCGCCACCGACGAGCTCGTCATTCGTCGTCGATCCTCATCCGGTGAGTCGCGAACCCGGAATCGATGTGTTCCTCCGCCACTGTGCGCTCCGTGGAACTCCATGATGCGATCGAGAAGATTCGTCGTTTGCCCGATGGTTCGGTTCATTCCAGCAGTTCCAGTCCGCATTACAATCGGCATGTCAAAGTCGCGCGAATTCGCGCCACCGATGGCTCGTACACTTCGTATCATCGATTCCATCGTCGGAATCTCGTTGCCACCGCGTCGAATCGCGTTTTGACGATGAAGGGTGGTGCGAGGGGCATAAGTGAGTGGCATAAGATCTTGACGTCCAGTAAGGAAACTTCTTGGACCTGGAAAAATACAGAAATCAAATCAAATCTGAAGGCAAACACTCACGATTTCGGCTCTCATTATTCTCCGATTCTCTCGACAGCAACGGATGAATTCCGGCGATCTCTGTGCGAACCGGCAATGGTCGTCGGCTGCCTCGAAGCCACGAATCCCAATCGTCGCGCATCAAATCGTAAATCGACGATTCTCCACGATCGAACAAGAACGTTCTATCGAACATCGGCAATCTTCCGAAATGATCCCAATAGTCATCTTCAAGAGTGTCAAAGTCATCCTGATCGTCCTCTTCAAAGCTTCTCCAGCCATCCTCGTCATCATCATCAATGAGTCGTCGTGCTCCCGGCTCAGTAGCATCCTGAAGAGTCTCCTCCACCTCACGATCCTCATCTCCCATCTCATCGTCATCATCATCGTCGTCATCGTCATCGTCGTCATCATCATCATCGTCATCATTATCGTCATCTTCTTCTTCATCGTTCTGCTCTTCCTGATTGTGCGCCTCATCTTCATTCTGATGCTCCTCGTCTTGTCGCTCTTCGGCCATTTCAATATCATCGCCATGAAGTGGGATGTTGACGACAAGATGGTCAGCGTTCTGGAGCGTCTCATCATTTGGATCCTGATCCTGCTCGCCTTCTCCGTTCTCATAATCGTCACCGCTTTCCGAGACCTCCGACAGCTCAGATCCGTCTTCCTCCTCGCCACCATCGGCAGCGACAGCAGCCGCAGCTGCAGCAGCTCCGCGATTACGAAGAAGTTCGAGCACCTCACGATGCTCATTATCAATGGTATCGAACAACGATCGATTGTCGTAGATGACGCGAAGCTCTCGGAAATCATTGTCCTCTTGACGTCTCTCGCCACCGCCCTCTTCCATCTCGTCGTCACGAACCTCCTCTTCCTCTTCTTCCTCTTCACCAACCTCATCACGATTCTGCGACGCTTCGCGATTCGTCGTCACATCAACCTGCATTCGTCCGCGCGTGCGATGCGCCGTCGTCGATCCGCCAAAAGCTGACGAAGCGCCAGTTTGTGACGTTTGCGGTACACTTCCCAATCCCTCCATCAATACCTCCAACGTCTTCAGTATCTGATTGACCGTATCGATGGCCTCCTTGTCAGAAAGTCGCAGATAGGTGATCGCCTTGACCAAATCATTTCCAATCTTCTTCTTGTGAAGGAGTTTCATAATGTTGTTCGGTTGCTGACGTTCACGCGGTTGATTCGCCGATTCTCCCGGAGGATGATTTGTCGGCGGCGTCGAATTCGACGATGGGCAAGCATTACAAATCGTTATAATCATTTGGCAAAGCTCGGAAATCTAAAAAAAAAAATAGAGATAACGAAATGAATCAGTCAGCCATGACTACCTTCTTCGATGTATTCGGATTTTCCGTCTTCTGCGATTCCTCCGCCGCCGGCTCTTTCGTGTTCTTCAACGCCTCTTCACAGAGTGTTCCCAGCGTATTCTTGACATCCTGCACAAGGAGTTCCTGAGTCTTCGAGTTCGTCGCAAACGCGGCAATCGTCGCAATCAGTGTTTTGAGGACATCCGAAATTTGCTGAAAAAAGCACAAAATTCAAAATTGCCGAAAAAAAAATAATATCGATGAATCTTACATCGTTCTCCGGTGTGCACGCAATGTACGTTTCCATGAGCTGATGAATCGCGCTTTTTCCATTATCGCCTTCAGCCTCGCAAACGAGAATCGACAATTGCGGATACGATTTGACGAGCTCAGCGAGCATCATCATCATTTTCGATTTGGTGAATACTCGTCCCGACGCGTTCTTCGCATCAAACTCGCCACGCAGAATCTCATTGATCACCAACTTCACAACATAACGCGATCGATCCGACGACTTCTCCTCCTTCGCCACCTTATCCTTCTGATGCGGAATCGACGAGATTGTCGAACCGCTCAATTTCGAGACGCGCTCCATCACCTGCATAAAGACCGCCGGATTGCGACTCGACAACGGCATGAGACGATTGAGCGTCTCATAGAAATCCTTGGGCTTAGAAATCGCCGGCGTCATCAGATATTCAAATATTTGCGGTTGCGGTTGTGTCGCGATCGAGGCAGTTCGGATAGCCTTTTCAAACGCGTACGCCAACAGTTTCTCATCATCGATGCAATTGCGAATGATGATCGAGATGTGATTCGGCACATTCATCGTCGGATTCGCGCGCAACATTAGCAAATTCTCCAATCCGTCCAATTCGATGAATCGTTGCGCGTTCTGCGGCAAACGCGTCATCCGCGCCGCAAAACTCAGCAGCGACTGACAGCACAGCGAATGAACCACCTTCTTTTTGAACAGCTCGACGACAATCATCAGAAGTTTGTCGTTCTCGTCCGGCGTCCAAGTGAGCCGCAAATTTTCCTCGATGAACTCGTCAACGTTGATCGGCACATCTTCAGGGATCTCGACGCGAATCGGATCACGAATAGATTGCGAGTCGGTTTGGCGCATATGGCAAAAATCAACTTCAAGCTTCTTTGCAGCTGAACGACTAAAAAATGACAATAATTAAAAGGAAATTTTGAGTTGTAATTCTCTTACTTGTGTCTCTTCACCGTCACCTTCGTATTCTTCTCGCCCTTGAGGAACGCTTCTGTGAGAATCTTCTCCGCACCTTCGTCATACTTGTACCATTTGCGATCTAAAACCAATTAATTGGTTCTTCAGCATTCTCCCAGGTGATGCTTACCCTTCCTTCTTCCAGTTCCCGTCTCGGCGGGCTCGTCAATTCCGTAATACCACGACAAATTGGTGGTGATCTTCTCCAAATACTTGCGTCGCGCCTCACATCGGCAGTTCTTATCAAAAATGTCAAGCCACAAGATCGCGTGCGACAGAATCCTGAAAATCATTCACATTTATCCTATCATTTTAAACTCAATTCTTACAAATTCTGAAGTTTCGGATCCGTCTCAAACTTCTTATCGCAAAACTCCAATAGCTCAATGATCTTCTTCACCATTCCGCGCGCCCGAATGATGTCCATATAAGGATCAGCGATCTTATCAAACAGCAAACAAGCAAAATGGAATCGGCAAGAGAGCGTCTTGACAAGCTCCAGTGGAACTTCCTGATCATCGGGTGTCTTGAGAACCTCGTCGCACATCGCAATGATCTCCTTCGTGAGAATCTCGTTCACCAGCGTGTTCTCTCTCCATTCCTTCGACAATGACGCGTAGACACTTCCGACAAGATCCGAACAAGTGAAAATGAGATCAGTGTTGACACAGATGAGCTGTTTGATGAGCGGAATGAGCTGTTGGCAAGCGGCCTGGAGCGATATGTCTTGCTGAAACATCTAAATTGTGCAAGACCAGAGATCCGATCCGACACAAACCTCAATATTGGCATCTTGGATCTTTGGAACGATTGGTGGCTCGACCTTATCATCATCATAATCAATATCCTCAGAAGGCTGCGGAATCGGTACCGGTGCAGTGCTCGACGAAGCTCCAACGTTATCTCCAGGATTCTGAGCCGCTGGCGGATCATCGGGACCATAAATATCGTTCATATCATCAACCTGAATATCGAACGTGAACGCAATTTTTGCCGACACCGATCAACTCACAAATTCATTCTCAACCAATGCGCGAAGTTCGCGAAGCGTCGGCGGATCTCTCGTCGTCACCCGATCGATGAGTCGCCTAAACGACTGCATATTCTCAACGGGATGTTCGAACACGTCGCGTTCGGTGGCTTCGCGAAGAAGCATGTTTGCCGCTTCGTCCGTCGAACTCGTTCGGCTCAACGCCCGAAGAACCGCCGTTCGCGGAAAACCCATCTCGACAAGTCTGGCGATCTGTTCGTCTTCGGGGACATCCTCCTCCTCAGCGGGTCTTGGTGCCGGAGTCGGCGTTTCAGCTTCAGCCTTCTCGGCGTCAATGTTGCGGAAGACCTACAAAATAGCGATGATCCAGAAAATGGGAATCGCGTCGTATGGACAAAAAACTCACATCTCTGAACACAACGAGCGCATGACTGCACAATCTCTGATAAAGCGACAAGTTCGTGTCGATGGAGGTGATCTTGGCGAACAGCAGTCGGAAAGCGGTGAACATGTCCTTGTGGACAAGCTTCAAATATCTCGCCATGTCAAAGTCCAAGTTCCTCTGACCGCGCGCAAGCGCCTGATTCGTATCAGCCATCATGTTGAACTTATTGACAAGATATCCGGTGAGTTTGCACCATTCAACAAGTGCATCCTCCAGATTGCCCTTGAGATTCTCTTTGGTCAACGCCGGAACGAGTGAATCGCAAAGAAGCTCGAAGAACGCCTGATGACATCCGCTCTCATAGAAGAACTTGATGATCGTCGGCGTCGTTGCGCGACCACGATCATCGAACAACGCAGTGCTGAGCTGCGAGAGAATGTCGCGATACAACGCAAATCTGAAATGTTGAATCTGAAGACGAAATTCGAGAATCAAAAAGCTCACGTCATCGCGTTCGGTTTTCCTTTCGGCTTCCACTTCAAATCCTGAAACATCGTCTCGAATATCATTGAGGTGCATGTCCTGCAAAAAAAAAAGCATTAAACTTCTTGATATTCTCGGGCTTTTCGCTTACGACGCAGCCGGCGAGGCACCATTTCCCTCATTCGTTCGTCGAGTTCTACGATTGTTCGACATCACATTAATCGATCTTCCGATGGTTCCCAAAAGCTCCGAAACGCTTCGGCTCGTCTTGATCACAATGTCGGAAAGGCTCTTGTGATTCACCCAAAAGTCGTGCTCATCCTGCGTGATTCCGGCGAGCACCCAAGCTTTCTCCTTGCTCTCCTGCACATCTTTAAGTTGCTCGTCGCCGCTGGCGCACATATCAATCTGTTCACTGCTAATCGAGAATGAGCTGAAATCTCGTTTTGCTTCTTTGTGAATTATAGAAAAATATGCTTACTCCATCGACGACTCCTCCTTGATCGGCGCCAACAAATCGTTGTCAGTCTGTGTGGCGCATGTGCGAATCGACGGCTTCAACACTCGAATCAGTGCCGTTTCCCAAACTAAAATTCTCGACAATCGTCTCAAGTAGGCGTACAGCTTCTGCCCCTCGGCCGCTCTCCACGACTCGAAAATTCGGAATCGCAATTCGGCCTGGAATTGCGCGCCGATCGTGCACTTCGTGACAAGCACCAACACCGGCATGATATTGTTGAGATTCGTCAATCCATCGCTAATCAACTTCTCGCCGAGATGCATCATCATGGATGAGGAGCTGACGCGATCCGTCGACGATCCTTCGGCCTGATTCATCGGTGGAAACTCGGTGGTGTTCTTCGCAAGAAGCGGTCGAATCGTCTTCGTGAACGCCGACATCAACGAATTCATCAGTGATCCCGACGACGTGCTGTGTCGCTGGAACACAATAAACTTGACGATGTTGGCCATCGATTGCGCATAGGAGCTCTGCGCGATCTCATTATTCAAGCACGGCAATTGGCACAACTCCAACATCTTCTCCATTCCACCAGCTTCAATGAACTCATCAGTCATTTTTATATTCGACGGTTGATTCATCAGAACATCAAAAATCTTGGCGGCGATCATCATGTAATCTCCAAGCGGCAAAATTCGACGTCCATTGCTATCCTCGCAAACCATGTCGAGTCCAACTTCGCTACGTCCAGTGATTTTTGTTGCCGTCACCTCCTTGGGCTTCTTCAACGCTGCCGACGCCTCTTCGGAAATCGGGCATCCTTCTCCACTCATCTCATCCATCGAGAGCTCGGCTTGCTCATCATCAGACTCCTCCTCATTCATCTCCAAATCGTCATCGTCCTCATTCTAAAAGTAAAAGTTGAACTTATCGAGAAGAACATTAAATTTATTGATCTTACATCATCTTCCGAGTTCGCCGCCGGATTCTCGAGAAGATTGTTGGCGATCGGCTCAGCAGCTGGCGGCTGCGCAACCTCCGACGCGCTTCCACCAATCACCATGCTCTTCGATATGTGCTTCGCCAATACCATGACGACTTCGGTGTTCGGCGGCGGCTCTTTTCCAAACTCCACCAAACGATCTAACACATTCAACATCGACTTCAGAAGTTGGGCCTTCAGCGACGGATAGTGACGAAGCAAATCGTCAAGAGCTCCGCCAATACTCTGCGCGGCGTCTGCTAGAAACACATATTGAGAAAAATCGTCAAATTCAATTCTCCGAAAGATACTCACTCAATTCGGCGCGTTTTCGTTTCATCGTCACCAAAAATTTAACGCTGAGAACAATACGAAAAATCTGATCAAACGGCTCATACGATTCGAATTGCTTCAAACCGCGTTCGTTGAGGCACATCGCCGTGAACACGTTGCCAATCGTCGATATCACATCGCGGTTGTTCGGAAGCTGTAACAAAGCTAGAATCTCTCGAGGATCCCCGACAATCATCCTACCTCCTTTCGAAGCATACTCTGAAAGAGCACATACGGCACATGCCGACGCTGAAGCACCGACAACTCGTCGGGATGTTGGTAGACATAGTTGGTGATGAGCTGAGCCGATTGATGGAACAACGATGGTGAGTAATATTCCGAATTCGACAAAATGTGCATCAAAGCCTCTGGCAATCCACCTTCCATGACTGAATTAATAATAAAATTAAAATTTTCTTCCTCAAACTCTTACTATGTCGAATGCTGTCGCTAAACTGCGGATCTTGAATGGCCCTCTTCACAAACGTCAAAAGTCCCTTGATAAGACCACTTCGCTGCTGATGACATGTCTAGAGCAAAATCGTCTCAAAACGCAAAGACTCAATCAATTTTCTTACCAATCCCGTAGAAACCGTCTTGATCCATGGCCCTCCTTGAATATCCGTCTTCGGAGCAACAGTAGTAGATGCTGGCGGTGCTGGAGCAGGCTCGGCGGCAGCAGCCGGCACCTCATCCGTCTCCATCGGCTTCTCTTCCGCAGGCGCATCTTCGGCGGCTTCTGGCGCCGCCTCCTCCGTCTGATCCATTACCTCTTCAGGCGCTGGTGCCTCCGCTGCTTGCGGCTGCGGCGGTGGTGGAGCCGGTCCGGCAGGAGCATCATCAAACGGCAAATCGTACGATGTGTCGATCATGAACGGCTGCTCTTTGCGGCACTGCTCGATTTCATAGCAAATGCGATTCACACAAATCTCCATTCCTTTATGCGTTTTGAACGCGGAAACATCAATCGTTGTGAACAAGTCGATGATTCGAGCGCATCTAGAAAATTATTCGAGTGATCGGAGCATTCAATAATAACTCATTACCTTGTTCCAAACGTGATCAACTCAAGCGGCAACTCATGGTATCCAATAACGCTGAGCAACGTCTTCGTCAGCCCACTACCAACAAGCGTCTCACCACCAGGCTCGATACTCGCCAAATGATAGATGAATGAGAAGAGCGCGGTGGCGAGAGCAATCGACGGTTTGCCCGGTTTGCTCAAATTCTTATTCTTCAGCTCATCAACTACCTGCCTCGTCAGCACCGACAAATAGCCGTGATACGAGCTCGCCGACAACGCCTCGAGAATTTGTTGCACTCTAAAAAAAAATCCAATGAAACGGCGAGCAAAACGGGATTTTGGTCATTTTTTTGGGACGCCGAGCCATGGAATAAGAGCAGCAGCTCGCGGCCGGGCCACAAAAAACAACAACAACAACAACAACAACAACAACAACGAAAATTTTCTCAATGGCCCGTTGTCTCATTCCACAACCGCGAAGTGCGCAAATATTCAATTTGGCGAACCCTGGATATTTTGAGACGAATATGTACTTCGGCTCTTTTTCGTAGTTCACAATACTGCACAGTGTGGCGAGGGCTTCCGTATGAATCGCGTCAAGCATCGCATACTCCTTATTGCAATCGGCTTCCCTACAACCATCAAATCCATTGATTCTCCCCGAACCCCACATTCGACAAACCTTTCCGTTTTCAACAACGCCACCAACTCCTCTATGAATCCACTGTACAGCAGGCCGTTCAGCGAATTCTCATCCGTATTACACCGGCTGTAGACTGCAACGAAAAATCAAAGCTCGACATCAACACGCCAAGATTCAGCCACTTACTGAGTGTGCTAACCGACAACAACCGAACCACCATACACTTGAATCGGTATTGCCAATTATGGAATCCGTTGAGCATTCGAAGGCGCGCCAAAAGACAATAGCGATCTTCTTTGCTGACGGCGGCGGCACTGCCGCTCGGCGACTCGCCAGACTGCATTTGTGCAATATACTTGTCAACGAGCTCCGAAATGCTCTCATCCGGCTGCAAATCATTATTATCTCGTTTTCGGCCTCAATCCGACTTTCAATCATACCCCTGGCTTCTCCACAACAACCGAACGCTGTTTGCCGTCGGTGAACTGGAACGGGAACAACGGCGGCAAGTTCGGCTCGCGTCGCACACACTCAGCCATCTTCACCGTTCGCAATTTTCCGCCCCAACACTGCGCGATCGCCGTGAGATTCGAGACGAGCATGTGTTGATCGGCGGAGCTCAATCGTTGCGTCAAATATTTCGAGCGTTTGCCCATCGTCTGAAGCAATCGCAGAATCTCGGCGAGCACTTCCATATCAGTGCTTTCCATCAAATCGAGAATTCTCTGCAAAAAAAAAACAAAACATGAGGAAGTTTCAATCAATTCCAAGCGCTTCTTACATCCATACTACGGTAAACCCGACGCGAAGAAGTGCATTCAAACAAGAGCACGGTGAATCGAATGACGGCCACCGTTTGACGTTTCACTTTTGGATCGCGATCGCAGCACATCTCGCCGCGCGCGTCTTTCGACGTCGCCGCCTCGAGAATCTCGTCGCACCGATTCAAGACGTCAGTCCAACGGCAGAGCTCGGTCTGGAAAAAGAAATTGACGTCCTCGATGGAGTTAGATGAAATTTAAATAATTCGAATTCACGATTGGAAATATAAAAAGGAAGGTATTTGAAAACAAAAAAAAATAACAATTTTGAGAGATTTTGAAACGCAATTCAGAAGTCTCTTCGTCATCAAATCACTTTAAAACATCCTCCCTTAATTTAAAAGGAAACATGCCAAAAAAAAATTTCTTTTGTGTATTTTTTTTCGAACACCGTTTGTCCCAAAAATTCGCCAACGTTTTGCAAAATCAACACAAAAATTAGCGTTTCGTCAAGCCCTTTTCAAAATTATCAATAATGTTCTTTTAAATCAATAGATTCCGCCTACCTTGCCCATAACCGAATGAACTTCGCGTCCTTTATTGATCTCGACGATAAACTCATCTGTCGTCTTCGCGTTTCTGATATTCGCAAGAAGAGCTGCACTAGCAGGAGGCTGAAAAATCATTATTATAATTTTTTTGTGTCACAAATAGTCATATTCGTACCATCTCGCTTGATGCGCTCGTGCTCGCCGCTTCCTCCTCGATCCTCATCGCGAAAATTCAAAAACAAAACAAGAAAAAAAAAACAATGCCCGTAATTTTCCGCACAAACAGCCAAACACAAACAAAACAAAGTTCGTCCTTCTGATTCCTCTTCCTTCCTTGAATGAGCGCCAAAATATTGACCTCTGAAATGCAAATTTCTCAATTTTTCTTTTGTTCAACGACGCAAAAAAAACTGATAAAGAAAATAAAGAAAATCGATAGAAGTTTTGTTTACATTTGGCACGACAACAAAAAGAAGGAAATAAAAAACTTTTGCGCGAAAATCAATAGTAGATCAAATTGACGAGAATAGTTCTAGAAAAACACAATCAATGGTAAGCTCGATGAAATAAAAAAATTTCGTAATAATTTTGTGGCGGGAGAAAATGGTCAGCGAGTGCGCGCGCAGAAGAAAAAAACAACAAAGACAAACAGGCGGAAAACCGAATTGATTTTCCCATCAATATTAAAATCGCAAGCGGTTTCCTGGGAAAACCACAACAACAACAACAACAATAATAATAATAATAATAATAATAATAATAGCCATATAAGGACGAAGAGGGAAAAGCTGACGGCGAAACTCAAAAGTAACGACGGCGACGAAAAACGCCACGAGGCGGAGAGCGACAGAGACGGAGAGGGGCGAGTCGGGAAAAAAAACCGGCGTTGTATACAACAGAGTGTGAGAACACCACCAGCCGTCGGGGTTTCGGACGGAAAAGGAGAGAGAGAGAAAGAGAGAGCGAGCGAGCCGAGTCGGGTGCAGTCAGCCGGGGGTCTCGGCCCCCCCTCTCTCTCTTCCAGTAAGCATGACCGCGATTTGGTCTCTCATGCAGGCGAGCGGGCGCGTGCGCGCGCTCGAAACCCGCATATACGGTGGCGTTCGTTGCAGATGTGCGCGCGGCGCGAGATTCCAGACAATGCGAGCGTGAGAGCACCGCACAATCTTATCGAGTCGACCGACCGCTGAGGCGTTATCATCGTTTTTCACCTGTACGCAAAACGATGACGAAATCTAATAACACGCTACTTAAGTGGTCCCGAAATAATGATTCAATGAACAATTTCAAAATCCAGTATGAGGCGGTTTGAGGAACAGTGTCGGGCCACTAATGAGGTTGATCAATCCCTAATTTATTGGGTGGAATTGCTCGTAAATCACACCCCTAGAAATTTACGAGATCCTAAGTCGAACACTTTGCTTACCATGAGGAATTAATTTCCAGTAAATCCACGGCCCTTTTTATGAAACTTTTTTAGCAGAGAAAATTTGCTGTAAATCTACGTCGTGAATTCCCACAACGAATTCATGGGCTAGATTTTGCATAAGGTCAGAATCCCTTATTTTTGAGAAATTGCGCCTTAATCCACGCATTCTCTAATGAGATAGAGCTACTAGTTCAAGAAGTCAACTTCTCTGAGATCTCGAAAGCGAGCTTATTTAAATTTGGGTCCAACAACGATTTTCTAAAAACAAATAGAAAGCATTTAAAAACGAAAGATTTCCTCATAAATCTATTACGAGAACTCTAAAAAATCTCGTGTAAATTCACATCGATCAGCAAAAAAATCAAGTAAGCGGCTGATTATAAAACTTAACCTCATTGCACTAATAGCTCTTAAAGCGATTAGCGGCACGTTCAAAAAGCCAAAAGTGAAAACGAACTTAATAGGTAATTCAAAAACGAAAAAAGACTCCCATAAACACACATCCTATAAAACTGGGTAATTTTTAAAAAATACTTAAACGTCGGTCTAGAATGAAATACGCACTTATGGAGTTTTCTAGAAGCTTCTCGAATTCACGCGATTTGATTCCTAACATAGAATTAATGGAGCAATAAAAAAAGCAGCTACAACCACGAAAATGATTTAATTATCGGTGCGGTTAATTTCGACCGCTTCGCATGACCGCGACGTGACAGAAAAACAAAAAATAATTTAATAACAATTCAGCGCAGAAAAACCGAGTGAAAATGTTTGAAAAGCGAAACAAAATTTCAAGACCATATGAATCATCATCGCGTTGCGGGTCGCGGCGCGTTCAAAGCGATGCTTTTTCGCATTTCTTCGTCTGCCGCAAACGCAAATGTAAAACGAAATTAACAATAATAATAATAATATCATGGGGAAATTTTACATATAACGCGATAAACCGGAGATTAATCGGGTCACATGCTTCCAATAATCGGCTTCTGCTAGCGGATCCGTAGCAGCAGCGTCCGGAATACAATGATAATTATACCTATAAAGTGCGGACAAAAAAGTGAAATGACAAAATCGATAATTTTCGTCGCGTTTTCTCGCCAATTTCTGCATAAAGATCGCAATTTCGAAATTAAAACAACTTTAGAAGCCATGGAAACAAGACGAAGCGGAGAAAAATCAAAAAAAAATTTATGGGAGCGTCGCCGCGCAAAGATGACAAATTTCGAATATGATGAGAGATACGAAACGAAATTCGAACACCGCGTACACCGCGACGCACAATTGCGGACGCGTCGCGAGCGCCAAATTCAAATCTGCGCTAGGAAAAAAAAAACAACCCGTGGTTTAACCGTAAAACTGGCAAATTAATTAGTATTTTCGGATGATTTCAGTGTCGCCGTCCTCCTCGTCGATTTCGATTTGATTGCGATACAGCGATTTGTCGACGCTTCTCGCGAAAAACGCGCTTTGCACCGTCCATTTGATAATAAAACAGAACCATGTGCCGGTGAACCATAGATTTTCGCCGTGCATATCTGAAAAAAATTGGGACGAAAACAATTAATCCAGCATTTTTCGGTGACCTTTTATGGTTGCCGCGCCCATATGATCGATTCCAGCGATTATATAGCATGTGATAAGGCCGGCCAATGCGAAAATCGAGAAAATTATGTCTGAAACTTTTAGCCATATTTTTTTTTCTCTCGAAATTCTCAATTCGAGGAATTGTTTGATTTTAATGGTTCTTCTTATCATTTTAATCAATGATTCTTTAGGCCAACAATCATTGTACAATTGATTTCGTACACACAATTGAGTGCATATCAAAAATATTTAATTGAAATCGAGAGAGAATTTGGAGGAAATTTTATTGATTAAATTTAGCTTTAAAAAATTAAAGGACCACGTTTTTCAGTGGAAATTTTGATTATTTTAAAAAATCATTTTTGAGGACTTTTGATTTTCTTGTGGAAAAAAATGAAGAAATTTAAAATTCCAAGAAAAATTATTTTTTTCGGAAATTCGGGAAAATATTTTTAGAAGCTCCACTTTTTCGAAACAAAAATTTGAATTGAAGTTTGAATTTCAATTTTTTGTTGATTGTGATCAAAAATATTCTTTTAAATTCTATTTTTTTCGCTTCTCTAACCAGATTTTTGATTTTAAATAAAATCTAAAGAAAAATCTTAATATTTGTGCTAAATTATTACCAATATTTTCAAAATTTCTGAGCTTTTTACCAATTTGTCGATAATTTTCTTTAAAAATAATTTTTAGACGAACTTAACCAAAACATCCAAAAGAATGTTGAGTGCTTCCAGCTAACAATCCAATCCTTCTTATAAGCCCAATAAAGATACAAAGTCATAAAAGCGAAAACGACCGAAATCGCGCAAACAATACAAGCCGACCAATTCTAAAATTGATTGATTGATTTCGATTGAAAAACAAAACAAAACAAAAAAAAACTTTAAAATAGAATATATAGCAGGCGATGTAGATGAAGCCGAGGATAATTCCGCATATCGTCCATCCGATTTTCACGTTGATGTTGCAAATCAGCTTGCAGCAGCCTTCTGATGCGGCGGTCATAATTCTCGAGAATGGTTCGCGGTTATCTGTTGCCTCGTATTCATTCTTATCGTCCGTTGCATCATATTGCCCGTTGGATGGCACCATCGCAAATGCTTCTGTATTTCTGAAACCCCCGCACGCTTTTGGGTTTCTGTACTTTTACCCGCGATTCAGGTATTTTCACTAATATCAATTGGCCCATTTTTTTTTAATGAGGTTGGGTCTCGGCGCGAATTTCTCTCAACTTTTTTTTGATAAAAAAATTCTCAAAATTTTGAATCATTTTTAGCTGCCTTTCAGGTCTCGAAGAGAAAAGACAATTTTCTAAATTTGTGTCAAATTTGAAAAATGTTAATGTGAACTCTCTCACCTGTCACAAAATAAATGTTGGCGGGGTCTCGACTGGAATATCGAAAATCGATGCGAAACATTTCAAGACGAGACTACATTCTCAATTCCCACGCTTTTTTCTTCGAAAAGTGCTATTTATATGTAGATTTTTTGATTTTCGAATATAAAACTGCAAGTTTCAATTTCGACTCGTGTAGATTTACCGGATGCGCCTTTAAGGTCTCACGCGGACAAACATATTTGGCGGGGGGGGGGGGCGGTTCGAGAGTTGCTATTGTTGGCGTCAAACGACTTGACGAAATTAAAAAAATTATTGGCTATGTGCCAATGCGTCTCGAGGCAGCGAGATTGCGTACATTGCATTATAGTGTACGCGCATTTAATATTCAGTCAACAAAAAATTTAAATCTACACTGATTTCGTGAATTTGAAGGCTCCGCCTCCTTTCAGTCGTTTGACGCCGACAATAGTTTGAATTACAAGAATATACCAAAGCCATTAAGAAAGAATTAAACGTTCACGTGAACAACAACGAAATAATCATTAACATGTAACGAGACCTTTAAAGGCACACCCCGTAAAAGTACATCAATCGTCGGACGCCGACTATATGCGCCTTTAAAAGTTATACTTTCGAAGGAACAATTTTGAAAAAAAAAGTTTGAAAAAATCGAAAAAATGTCGATGTTTTTCATTTAAGACGCGGAGAGCTCGAAACATTGATAAAACAAAGAAAATCTGACAAGCGAGGTTATTTTGCTGTCCGTCTTAAAATTTTTTATTTTTTGCATACAGATTCTTTAGAAAATTTCCAATCGAATGAACTAGGTCTCTCTCTACTTGCGCAAACTTCTAGTTATAGAGATATGGACCATCAAAGTTTTAGCCCCTCCTTTTGTGAGCAAAATGTGAATTTCGAGTAGACTAGAAAATTAATTCATTTTTTGCGCCAAATTTGGAGATAGAATAACGAAAATGTTGCAGAATTTCGAGAAATTGGACGAAAATCGCGTCGAGGAGATCACGAATCTCGATTTTTTCGAGCTTCGAGGCACGATTAAAAAAAATCTAAAAACGATTTTGAATTCCCGCGCGTTTTTCAGATTCGAGGGTCTCTAGCAGAATTTAAAGGACGCTGATTACTGTAAGCCGCCGCTTTTCGGCATTCCGATCAGCATCAAGGAGTGCATTCGCGTGAAATTCATGGACTCGACGCAAGGATGCGCTCAACATCTGTACAAGCCATCGCGAGAGCACGCCGCTTCGGTGGACCAGCTCATTCGTCGTTTCGGAGCCGTCCCGTTTGTGCACACCAATGTCCCGCAGGCGCTATTGAGCTTCGGATGCTCTAATCCGATCTACGGTAAATTTTTTGTCACAGCATTATCATTCGAATTGGGTCTCGTCTGGAAGATTTTTGTAGAGCAAATTTTGTCCAATTTAACCATCATAATATGAAATAACATTATGAATTTTAAAGCAAATTCAATTCCAATTCTTTGGCGAATTGTTGCATGCGCCTTTAATGTATACTGTTGGATACGTAGCCGAATCGCGAAACATTCATCGATACTTTCAAATTTGTTGCAAATGGCGGAAAATTCGGGACCTCAAATTACTCTCAATTTGTTCGTCCCCCGATAATTAGTGATTTGGCAAGATACCGTATAAACTAGCTACAGAGAAAACACGAGCATCGTTGAGATTGATTCAACCACTCCCCTGCCCTCCGGAAAAAAATCGCGTTGGTCCACACAACGACTCAAGGTGCTACTCGTTGTAATAATTTATAGTTTAGTCGACTATTTTTCGCCCGCCGCGAACAACACCTGACCTCCGTGAGCCAACAAAATAGTAGTTAGTTTAAAGTTGTTGATTAATTGTTTCAATCCGTAACAAACAACAACTGTTCGATGGCTTCGCGGAGGCCTCAAAATCATTTTCGACAAGAAACAAAAATCACAATCGCCCCTCCTCATCCAATAATGTTCATGTGGCTTCTCGTTTTTCCGCTTCTCGTGTTGGCCTCATCTAATGGGTAGGAATTTGAAATTTTGAATTTCGCGCGCTGCCAATTAATTGGGTCAAAACGATTTCAAACTTTTTTGAATAACTTAAAATTCAGATGTTCTTTCACATTATAAATAATTAACACTTACGTCTTGGTGTTTTTGTTCCCATCGAGACCCAAGGCGGCAATTCAAATGATACAGTAATCGCATCTCCATAATTATTAATTGTAGAAGTGTCAAATCGAATGTGTCGATCGAATTCGAGGGCGACCCTTTGGGCCAGCAGCTCCTCTTCTGCGAAGATGCCTACAAGGTATCAATATGGTTTCAATTTCGCCAAAAGAGCACATTTTGAATTTCAGAACTTGCGAGACGACACCGAATCGGATAAGATGTTGAATGAGACGCAAGTCGCCGAATTGCACAACTACTGTGACTCTTTTCTTGTAAGAATATTCTTAAAAAAAGGGGGGGGACCTCTAAAAGAACAAAAATATGATGAAAAATAGATAAGAAATAAAAAAGAACAAAAATTCTACGTGAATTGAGAAGTAAACAACATGTCGTCAAATAAAATGCACCAATCCGCAATGATGATCTCTGAGAATTCGAAACACCAAAAATTGGGTGAAATGCTCACTTATAGAAATTTATGACACAGAGAAGACGTTGAAAATGGGTGGGATTTAATTATCCGCGCGCAAGTTTGACGCCATGGTGCCGTTTACTGACGCACCTTTTGTGCATCAATACAATTTATTTTTGTTAATTTTTTATTGGTTTTTTGATTACCACGTTTAAGCTATTCGGATATGTTTTTGGGTAATTGTGATGGCTAGCAAAAAAAAAGTAAAATGTGAGGCCGGGATCCTTCATTTATAACGGGCCATCGGATCAAGCAGCTTCATACTGTGCTCAGTTAACCACTCGCGGCATTTTGGTGATGTAATCGACTCAACAAAAAAAAAGGACGTACCATCCGTCTACACCACTAAAGCACCTCAAGAGTGGTGTGAGACAAATTTTACCGGTTTCAGCAAGGCATGAAACTCCCACTTGACTTCTAGAGCAGGGGGAAGTCAACACAGAAAAAAAACCTCGCTCATGCGTAAAGGCTCGGAAGAAAACATTAGTGGCAGAATTGGACAATTTTTCCATCGAATGTCTGTGGAATTCTACCCTTATCCGTGGACACCAAAGCTGCACGGAACTTAAATTATCTAAAAACGAAACGCGGATCAGGAAAATGTCACGGAAGACGGAAATCCGTGCAGTTTCCATCTGTGTCAGCCGCATTTTACCTGTGGAGCCATCGTTGTGCGGGTGCTTTGCTAACTCAAAACCAATTGGTTCCGACAAAAATCGGTGCCGGAATCAACCTTATCCGATTAATAATTCTACGAATAAGTTTGGAAAATTGTCGTATCCGATTGATTATTTGTCGAATCCGATTCGAATTGAAATATTAAAACAAATCGGAACCGACAAATTTACAATCGGATCCGATAATTTTACAATCTTATCCGTAGAATTACCAATCGGGTCGGGTTGATTCCGGAGCAGAATTTTGTCGGATCCGATTGGTTTTGAGTTACCAGAGGGACTAAATCGCATCCTGTAACGTAGAATTTTCGTTCTTTTTTTTATTTCTTCGTTTTTTCGACATAAACGAGTTGCAACACCAATTACATACTTTTGTCATTGTAATTTAAATCTTCGAATAAGAAGTTCAGCGATTCAAACGGAAAGATCAGGGAACCCATTTCGATATCGCCACAAACCTGGTAAAACTTTAATTAGTCTAGACAAAAGTCGCCTACGGTTTACGCCGAAACCGCTAAATTGAGGGCGAGATGTAACTGGAGTGTCGTACTGGTAGGGTTTTGGGACAAACCGCGGAACTTTTTCGAATCGCTGAGAGGATTTCTTTTTTTGTCTGTCTAAACCTTGACGCAATTTTGCACACATTTCATTATACCCCAATCAACCTCATTTTAAAATTATCTTTATTAAATTTTTGCGGACCAAAAATCCACTTTCACCTCATTTAAAAGTTTTTTTTTTGGTTAAAAATTAATTAATGTCGAAGACGTACAAATTTGACAAATTTGAATGATCAAACGCGTTCGCTATTTTTGATCTTAGCGCGAAATCTACAAATTTTCGCATGCGTTCGTCCTCGACAATATCGATTCGCAAACAATTTGAAAACACAATTTCAAACTTAATTTTCATTTCACTATTTCTTTTAAGGGCAAATTCAAAAATTTGCGTTGTGGTGTTGAGGATAGCGACTGGTGGTGTGGTCCGCGGGGACACGTCGTTGATTAATTAGCGTTTATTTGAAATCTGAGAAGGAGAGAGAAGAATCAACAAAAAATAAGCGCCCTTAAATACTGGGTTGACGTTCTTCTAGAAAACCCGTGCAATTTCTACTAAGTGAAATATTGTCAACAATTGAGAGAGCGCAGACAACTAGAGGGGGAGAGAGAGCGTGCTGTTTGGCGGAGACGCAGGCGTTGTCTGTAATAATTACGAAAATATGGAATTTTGTGGGACATTTCACAACAGTTTTAACACATACGAACAAAAAGTGAATCATTTTCGCAATTTATTAATTTTCCTGCATCGATTTTCGCTGTAATAACAAAATAATCGTTTTGCAGCCGAAGTTCAAGCATTGTTTCGAGCGCGACGTCTACGAGCACATCAGAGACACGTGCCAAGTAAAAAATCGTATCGAGATACCGCTGGAGTTCTGCGTCGACATCGTAATCAATTCCAAATCGTAGCCATCAATTTATTTTCATCATTTTTTTTGCAACAGATTCGACAATTCCCGATGGACATTGCGCTCTGCGGCGGGGTCCATCGAATGGATTTGCGAGAAGTGAGACGAACTCACGCGGCGCCATTTGAAGGTGGTCACGGCGCGGACCATCAAAAATGGCGTCGACGATACCGTTGAAACGCGTTCATCAATAATTTCAGGTGTCGGAACAAAAGAAATGCGAGCTCGTCGAGAGCCGCTATGAATGCGTCGTCGAATATTTTAAAGGACGATGCGGCGATCAGCGAGTTGAAGCCGATCTGAAGAAGGTGGGCGGTGTGCATCAAGAATTGCGATTGAGCACCAATTTCAGGGCGCTGACGGATACATCGGTCAGCATTTCAAGTGCAATCAGCCGACGACGAGTTAAACATTGGTTTCATTTTGTCGGCTTCTAAATAAATTATTTTTTCAATTTTTTGTTACCGACTAATTTCGGGTAATCTCCGCATAATAGCACGCCTTCGCCAACTCGGAAATTTTTATTACGATTAACGCAAATAAAAGAATTGCCGAATATTGAATGATGATGATAAAACAGCAGGGATGCGTTTGTATTGTTTTAATGGTCCCTTATTGTCGCGTCACCTGCTGATCTGTGATCTTCTTGCCAAAGGCTCACCAAATTGCGCAATTAACACCACTTAATTATCAAAGACTATGCGAATGAACAATTTTGGGAAGAAGACATTAGTGGCCTTTTTTCAAACAAAACGAACTGTTTTTGGAGAAAATTTTCTAATTTAAAGGCGCATTTAGCAAAAATTGTGAATTTCTCAAGTGAAAAATGTAAAATTTATCACATTGGTGCCAATCTTTGCACATTTCTGCTAAGTTTCCACAGAAATCTGACATTTTGAGCTTATTCATCATAGAGTAAATTATATATATAGAGTCAAAAAAATAGACATTATTTTCGTAAAAATTGTCCAAAAGAGCACATTTTTCACGAAAATAAGGATAAATTTCGAAAAAGGTGAACATTTTTAGATTTTAGCAAAGAAAATCCGATAAGACGGTGAATTATTCATAAATTCTCGTTTTAAAAAGCAAAGACGAAATCGAACCGATTAATATGTCCAAATTTTGTGCAAATTCTTAGATTTTACCTAAAAATGAGAAATTTTTTGGTAAAATCGGCGAACATTTTGAAAACTAAAATTAGTGACGAAAAAAGTGAAGATATTTCCACTAAAACGATATTTTTTGCAATTTTTCACAGGAAAAATACCTAAATTTTTCAATTTTTTACTAGATAATCATGTTTTTTTGGAAATTATGATTTTCGACTCAAAATTCATGCGAAAACTACAGTTTTAACTACGGAAAATTCCAGACCATATTAACTCCATGCCGAATTTCTAATCGTATAATTTCTAAATAAAAATTGGAATTCCAAGGTTCGTTTTTCACTAGTTCAAAACCCTTCCCTGATCGTCAAAACTAAAAACAATTTTTCGTCGAGGGACCTTCTTGGAAGATTCTGGGACCACTCAAATGTTTCGGATTCATTCTTGCCGGAGTCTCTTCGAAATTCCAAGTAGCCGTATTCGCTGGCCACCCGTTACTGATCGATGTTTATCAACGCACGCGAAAACATCGGATCAAGTTACGGGTACCCCGCGGCAACCGCTCGGAGGGTCCCACTGACACTGAGTGTGAATGGGACCAAGAATACAGATGAATATATATGGGTCTCGATGGGAAGATCGCCGAGTGACAACTCTAGTCACGACCATTATCGCGGCGAGACTCAAGTTTCACTCGGTGATCCGCCGCCCGAGAGCACATGGGGCAGATAGTAGTGGATTGGATTGGATCGGATCGGATCATGGAGCAGAATGATTACCAATTGCGCAACACACCCTATTTATACGCCAATTGTGGGCGTGGCCACAGAATGGGCGGAGAACGTCCGACAGGCAATGTTCCCAGGAGGAACTCGCACCCGAGGAGGGACGAGGAGAACTTTGGCGAACAATGGAGCAGTGGCGAGCTGAAAATATGAGTTTTGAGACGAAATTGTGAGAATTTCTAGGCAAAATTACCATTTTCGCAAAAAAAATCGAGTTTTTCAAATCGAAATTGGCATTTCGATCGAAAAGTTGCGGAATTTTGACGTGCACTTGCAATTCTTTGCAAGAAAATTTCAAACATATGACACAATTTCAGAGTTTTAAGTTTTTCCGGCGTTAAATTGGTTATTGAAAGTGTTTTTTTCGTTTTTATCAGCAAAAATACAAAATTTTATGGAAAAAGTCACAATTTCTCTCATTTTTAAGTTAAAATTTCAGAATCAGCACTAAATTTGGACATATTATCCGATTCGATTCCGTCTTTGCTTTTTAAAACGAGAATTTATGAATAATTTACCATCTTATCGGATTTTCTTTGCTAAAATCTAAAAATGTTCACCTTTTTCGAAATTTATCCTTATTTTCGTGAAAAATGTGCTCTTTTGGACAATTTTTACGAAAATAATGTCTATTTTTTTGACTCTATATATATAATTTACTCTATGATGAATAAGCTCAAAATGTCAGATTTCTGTGGAAACTTAGCAGAAATGTGCAAAAATTGGCACCAATGTGATAAATTTTACATTTTTCACTTGAGAAATTCACAATTTTTGCTAAATGCGCCTTTAAATTAGAAAATTTTCTCCAAAAACAGTTCGTTTTGTTTGGAAAAAGGCCACTAATGTCTTCTTCCCAAAATTGTTCATTCGCATAGTCTTTGATAATTAATTGGTGTTAATTGCGCAATTTGGTGAGCCTTTGGCAAGAAGATCACAGATCAGCAGGTGACGCGACAATAAGGGACCATTAAAACAATACGAACGAATCCCTGCTGTTTTATCATCATCATTCAATATTCGGCAATTCTTTTTGGTAATTCTCTAAAGTCAAAATTTTTGAGAAAAGAAGAACAAACGGGAATATTGAAATCTCAAATAAAGGAATTAATCTACCAAATAAGGGAATGCGTCAATTTTCGCGTCAAACTGTGACCAACATAGGGTTTTGCAATGAAATCTCACGCTGTTTTATGATACAGCACTTTGATCGAGGGTGGAGAATTGTTTGCATTCTCTAAAGTATTATAAAACGGAAAATCACCACAAAATCGTTGGTTTGACGTTTGAATACGATTTGAAGGACGATTTGGAAAGGAATTTCGCCTACCCAAAAAAAAATGTGAATCGTTCCGCCTCGATAGATTGCAATCTTCGGGTGACGATTTCAATAGATAAGAGTTCAATTTGAAATTTGAAGATTCGCTAAACAATTCCATTGCTGCAAAAATTAATTATGTCAAAAATTGTTCGAAGAAAAAAGAAAAATGAATTTCGAAAAAGAAAAATACAGTGTCGTCAAATGAAATGCACGCGTGTCCGCAATACACTCAATGCGCCTAGCTCTACGCGCAAACTCATTTTCAGCATAATATTCGACGTCTTCTCGCAATTTCTCGACAAAATCCAGTTTTCTGGAATGGCAATAATAACAATAAAAGTGATAAAAACGTCAAAATTGGCATTCGTCAAATCCAGTTTTTATTGTTGCATTCAATGAAACGAATGATATATATATATGCGCAAGGAAAAAATATGAATAAGCCGAAAAGCCGGTTACGAAATAATAATGGTTTTTGAGGTTTTTCCGCAGAACGAGGCCGATTTGAAGAAAATGACAAATCGCGGCGGCGGCGACAACGAAATCGCCGAAACAAGAAACTGACCCAGATATACCACGCCCCGCTAGTGCGGATAAAAAGCGCAATCCTCAAAAAAACTGAAGATCCTCTTTCTCGAGATCCCATCCAGATTTCACCAATTTTCCACATTCGGAATGCGATTCGTTGCACTTTTCCTAGTATTTTCCATTCTTGCAATTACAGTCCGCGCCTGGAATCGGCAAAGTAAGTTGCACATCTACCGCGTTCTACACCGACGCACAAGTCCGAAGTAATGGCGCAGTTGTTAAAAATTTCGTCCACAGCACATTTTGCGCTTTTGGTTCGACCCCCCATTGTGGAAATCTCATTTTGCAGACCATTTTGGCAATCCGTGCTACCTTTGCAAGTGTTTTGTCTATTATTCCGATCGTGATGTTGGTGTTCCCATCAGACCTTATGCCATGGCCATCGACGGCTATGATACAACAGAGGATCGTTGTCTGGCCACATGCCAACGGGATCAGGTAATCCAAATTCTTTATTTTCTTCTTTTATTTTTGTTTTTTTTTCTTTAGCGCTGCAAAGCAGCCGTTTATGGAATGATTGGAGGACGTAGTGTGTTCACATGCGAGTTCTACGAGCAGCTCGACACACGATCATCGCCTGTTTACGCGCCATACGTAAATATGTACATGAAGCGAGCTCAGTGTGCACTTCCGATGGCTCATCTATCATCAGTCGAGATGATTCCAGCCGACGATTCTTCGATAAAACGCCGAATTAAACAAGAAAAGCTGATGAAGCGAAAAAACCCGTTCCTCGGCTAATATATTCAATTTTATTAGCTTAATAATTCAAATAATAATAATGAGGATCTCATATAATAATAGTAATAACATATTTTATAATAAATCGTTTCGATTCGGCTTCGCAATTCGTCTCAAACCCAAAAATCTCGTGGGCGGGAGGGCAATCACAGATAAACGGCGGCATAGGCACAATGGAAGCATAGTGGAACGGCTGTGGATATCATAGGAATCTTATATGCAAGTTATATGGAAGCATAATGAAAGCATTTTTTTGCGGAACCGCGTGTTTCGTATATGGAATGAGCCGTATGCCTTCCATATGGGAAAATAAGAAAACAATTTGATTGCTGTATTCAAAATTTATTTCATATTAACACATTTATTTAATTTAAAATAAAAAAAAACAACAATGAAATGAATTTCAATTAAGATATAATCAAACCATTAGTTACTGGCAACTGCCGAACTATTCGAATCATTGTCAGTACTGACATCGAGCGGGACGCTGTAATAAGTAGAATTCATATCGTTCACACTTGGTTAAAAAGCCGTGTTATGATATTTTTAAAAACAACAACTATTGCTAAGAAATTAGGCAAAAGTCCTAATGCACATTTAACCTATCCTTTTTTCGCAAATATACGCTTGTAGAAAGAAACCGTTATCGAATTTTTACCTTTTCTCCACTTTTCCTAGTCGCTACACTTCGATTATAATGGGCCTATTAATTTGAAAAACTTGTAAACCATTGTTACGTAAACAAAATTTTTCGAGAAAATACAATCAGTTTTTTTTTACATCAATAATTTTCTTAAAAATAAAAATAATTTATTTTTATTGCATTTTTGGAAACCCTTTAGTGCACAAAATAAAAAGTGAATTGGCGGAAGAAAGAACAACTCCAAAATTTGAAGCAAAAAGGCATTTTGGTTAAAATTTCAAAGACATATGAATACTCACATCTGAGGGTTGCTGGTAGAATCAAGCAGCTTCCTTAATTGCGCCGCGAGCGCTTCCGGCGCTACACCAAATTTCCTTTGAAGTCGTTGGCGCATTCTATCGCTTAATCAAATAAATAAATTAATAGTCATAGTTCAAAATCTTACAGAAGATTATCCATGACTTCTCGAACCATGCGTAATGCTTTCGCTTTGAAGTCATTTGTCGGTTGTTGCCCAAAGCCATGGATAAGAGCATCTGTAATATAGATATTTGCAATAAAGTATAGGATCTTTATATAGTCGGCGTCTGGCGACTTCTGTACTAGAGCCCCACTTAAAAAGATAAATGCCACTGAATGATATTGGTACGAAGGCTGTACGGCAATCGGAAATTTCGGCGATTCGGCTAATGGCAAATTACCGATCGAAATTTTCTTCGGCAATTTGAAAAACCGGCAATTTCGGCAATCGGCAATTCCATTGCCGCACAGCAATTGTGTTTAATTTCTCATCGAATCCGTTTTATTTTTATTTACTTTAACATATTTTTTATTATCGCTCGCTTTTTTCTTTTAATAAAACATAATGTTTTGAAATTTTTTACAGATGAAGACAAGATCGAGAGTGTTGTCAGATATAACTGAAACTGCTCTAGAAGTCAATAACAAAGAACCAGAAGTCCCTAACATGGAACCAAATTCGCTCGACACTTCAGATCCAGATAGTCCAATTTACTCGCCAACTCAGCAAAAAAATTTTTCTCCACAGTCCTCACAAACAACAAAATCAACGCCAATTCCTAAACCTTCGTACGCCCAATTTGTAAGTTGTTATCATCAAAAATTGGCCTGTTCGACTCCAGAAATGGTTTCAATTAGAAAAATATGCGCAATGAAGTCTTTATAAAGTACTTCCTAAGTTTAAAGCTTGTTGATTATTTGGTTCCAATCAGGGCTGTGCGGCAATGGAATTGCCGATTGCCGAAATTGCCGGTTTTTCAAATTGCCGAAGAAAATTTCGATCGGTAATTTGCCATTAGCCGAATCGCCGAAATTTCCGATTGCCGTACAGCCTTCGTACCAATATCATTCAGTGGCATTTATCTTTTTAAGTGGGGCTCTAGTACAGAAGTCGCCAGACGCCGACTATATAAAGATCCTATACTTTATTGCAAATATCTATATTACAGATGTTCTTATCCATGGCTTTGGGCAACAACCGACAAATGACTTCAAAGCGAAAGCATTACGCATGGTTCGAGAAGTCATGGATAATCTTCTGTAAGATTTTGAACTATGACTATTAATTTATTTATTTGATTAAGCGATAGAATGCGCCAACGACTTCAAAGGAAATTTGGTGTAGCGCCGGAAGCGCTCGCGGCGCAATTAAGGAAGCTGCTTGATTCTACCAGCAACCCTCAGATGTGAGTATTCATATGTCTTTGAAATTTTAACCAAAATGCCTTTTTGCTTCAAATTTTGGAGTTGTTCTTTCTTCCGCCAATTCACTTTTTATTTTGTGCACTAAAGGGTTTCCAAAAATGCAATAAAAATAAATTATTTTTATTTTTAAGAAAATTATTGATGTAAAAAAACTGATTGTATTTTCTCGAAAAAATTAGTTTACGTAACAATGGTTTACAAGTTTTTCAAATTAATAGGCCCATTATAATCGAAGTGTAGCGACTAGGAAAAGTGGAGAAAAGGTAAAAATTCGATAACGGTTTCTTTCTACAAGCGTATATTTGCGAAAAAAGGATAGGTTAAATGTGCATTAGGACTTTTGCCTAATTTCTTAGCAATAGTTGTTGTTTTTAAAAATATCATAACACGGCTTTTTAACCAAGTGTGAACGATATGAATTCTACTTATTACAGCGTCCCGCTCGATGTCAGTACTGACAATGATTCGAATAGTTCGGCAGTTGCCAGTAACTAATGGTTTGATTATATCTTAATTGAAATTCATTTCATTGTTGTTTTTTTTTATTTTAAATTAAATAAATGTGTTAATATGAAATAAATTTTGAATACAGCAATCAAATTGTTTTCTTATTTTCCCATATGGAAGGCATACGGCTCATTCCATATACGAAACACGCGGTTCCGCAAAAAAATGCTTCCATTATGCTTCCATATAACTTGCATATAAGATTCCTATGATATCCACAGCCGTTCCACTATGCTTCCATTATGCTTGCGTCGCGCTTAATCAGTGATGTGCCTCGCGCCTCTCCGGGCACCGGTGGCTGCTTCCATGTTCGCGTTCATCTCTCAATTCGCAACATGGATAGGAGCTACGGGTAGGCGGTGAGGGCGAGTCGGGCGGACTGGCGACGAGCGCCACCGACAAAAGCGCGTCAGCGTGCGGCGGCCGCGAGGGGCCGGTGCGCGGTGTCGAACCCGCGACGCGCGCGAGCCCCAACACCGCGCGGCACCCCAACACTCCGACCACTACACCATGAGCGTCACCGTCGTTGATGGCGAGCCGCGCGTATATGAGAGCGGCCGGCTGGTGTCCGCTCGCGCGCGTGCGCGCAGTACGCCTCGCGTGCGCAGACAGACATCAGCTGACCGTTGGTCACTCGGCGAGAAGGAGGCGCAAAAGAGGCATACGAAAACCTAGGCCATCAACATCATTTCATCGGAAATATTCGAATGGTCCCAACGCGATAATTACTGTAGTTTTTTTTTTGAGGGAGAATTAACCGCTTTGCCACCTGGCGTTTAATGAGCGGTTTGCAAAGCGAAGGATTAGCGGAAACCTTTGCAAAGAAATTTTGCTCGTGAGCTGGAGCAGGTGGATGTGAGCCGGAGCAGGTGAAGACCTTCAATTAGCGCCATTACTAAATTGCCTAGAAATCCGCAATAGATGATTTCACGTTTCATATTTTTCATCTGCGGACAACTTTCGAGGTCGCAAAATTTTAATTTTCGCATCGAAGATGGCAGAATTTCGCGCAGAAATTTTCCACATTTCATCCTATCCTTATTTATCGACGTTTTTCGTAAAAAAAATTCTAAATTCGTGGATCATTCTAAAAAAAATAAGCCCAATGAAAAGACGGTGCTGAAAATTTGGGATTGAAACACAAAACTTCAATTTCGGCCACAAAATATAACCATATTTGGCATTTCTACTGAAATTTAACATTCTGAACACAAAAACCGATCATTTGATGCTAAAAATCGAAAATTTTTAGCTGAATTTTCATTTTTTCGAAAGAATTTGAGCGCAAATTTGGAATCTCTCAATTTCAAGACAAAATTTTCAACATTTCAATGTTTTTTTGTACATAAAATCCATAAATCGTAAAATTTTCGAATTTCCTTCAAAAATGAGCAAATTTGAGGTGATAAAATCTCAAAATTCTATTAAAAACTTCACATAATTCGATGTTTCAGTCCAGAAATCAAAATTTTTCCTATTAAAAAAAAAAAAAAAAAAACAATAGGCGTCCTAATCAAAAATTCTCACGAGAAAACAAGACGAGGGGAAATTTCCCCCCGGTAAGCCTCTAATGGTCCCTATAATTCGGTGTCCTGTTGGGATATTCTTGCGCAAGGCACACACATATGCACATTCAAATCTCGCGGGTTGCGCGCGTTGTTGGCGGCACGCCAACAATGTGGGCGTGGTCCGAGATGGCGTCACCACCACTACCACCAATGCGTACACCATTCACCAATTTATTTGTTCACCGAGTCAGTCAGTCCTCACCATTCAACGCCTCTCTATTTTCAGTTAACGAACAATAATGAGCAACGACGAGCAACAGCAAAACGCCGAGACGAAGCCCGAAGAGGTGCCGCTCACCGAGCCGACCGAAGCCGCTCCGGAAGAGCCGAAGCCGAAGAAAAACTGGTTCACCTGGGGTGTAAGTCGAAAAAAAACCTTTCCTCATTGCTCATTTTTCGTTTTTTCTAGAAGAAGCCAAAAGCGGCCGCCGATGTGACCGATGAGGCGAACGTCGAGAATGGCGACGAAGGCAAGAAGGAGAAGAAGACGTGCTGGTGGAAGAAGTGCTCGAATAAGGGCGAAAACGCCCAGAAAGACGAGAACATCTCGATCGGCATCGATTTGGTGCATCGCGACGAGCGCCAAATCAACAATCACGTCCAATTCGATTTCGGCGACGTTTATGGCGAAGCCGATTCGCAGCATTCATGGGATTGCGTCTGGCGTCTGAATTACAAAGTGTTCAGGTTGGTCAAATCATGAATCATACCAATCCAAATCTCTCAATTTTCTTCAGCTGGACGCGTTTGGTCGTCTACAGACTCCTCGGACTCATCGCGTTGCCGTTCACCATCTTGTTCGCGATTCTCTTCGGCGTCGTCTCATGCTTCAACGTCTTCCTCGTCCTACCGCTCGTCAAGCTTCTCTCGATACCCGGAAACGGTCTCGCCAAGATTTGGCATTGGCTCATTCACGCCGTCTTCGATCCGCTCGCCTCATCCATCGGATTGTTGTTCTCGTCATTCACCATTCGCAAGTACGGCATCAATCAGGAGACGACGGCGCCATGCGTTTAATTAATTAATTAATTAATCATTAATTGCATAATTATCCTGTAAATATGGATTGAATTGAATTAATAAATTGGTTTTGATAAAGTTCTTTTTTTTTTTTGAATAAATCGAAATAATTATTAAAATCCTTTTTATTCTCTCACGAATCAAATTAAATCATTTGTACAAATTCAAACGTCACAAAAAAGGGCATTGCGCAATTTTCAAGGAGTTCTTGATTCTCATTGCGCAATCAGTCCCCCCACACACACATCTCAACTAGTGCTACCGTAGTACCGCGTAGATCTAACAATCTGACCTATTTAAATAAGCGCTACAAAACACACATTTGCGACGAGCGTTCGGCCACGTTTCAAGTGGTAACACGTTAAAATAAACAAGTTATCCGGTTACACTGATTGTTATAGCCCGAATATCGTTGAGACTTTACGTTTTCGCCGCCAAATTTTGGACATGGGAGATGGGAAATGCAAAATTGTAATTGGAAAATGTCGAAAAATTAGGTTTTTTTTTTGCCAATTTCACACAATGCTTGTATATCTGAGATTTTTAGCATAAATTTAGAAAAAATTACATTATTTCCATTTTCATCTGAAAAAATATTCAAAATTTCTTGATAATAGGGGATCTCATTTTTTAAAAAATCGGCAAATCATCTTTTACACAAATAAAAATCCAAATAGACATATTTGGGTTGGGCGAGCAATTCTCGTGTTCATATCCGGTCATTATGTGTACACGGCGCCACCAAACAATGCACAATTCCATATTTGGATGGTCCGTGCGATTCCGCAACACTCAGCGGTCCTTCATTGCGCGTACCGGTCCGGTTGCGCAATTCGCACAATTATATGATGACGATGTCCGTTCGACGAATGTGTTAATCCATTCAAAACGAGACCCTCACAAATCAAATATATTACAGATTACATCTTCGGAGCCTCGTCGTCGTCTTCCCAATGGGTTTTTATCAATTGTTTGCATCTACTTGAATGGATTGGAGTTGTTACGACGACTGATGCTGGTCGATGTGAAGATTAGCGCGTCAAATCCTTGAATTTTATTCTCAAAATTGTTGATTGCCAAGGAGGAATAATTCTTTTTTCAAATTTCTGAAAATAAAAAATTTTAATTCCAATAAAAAGTCAGACTATTCATAAAGCTCGCATTTCTTTATTAAAAACTTTCTAAAAATAAAATAATGAATTAAAAAATAACAGTAAAACCGGCATCTTACGGGAAAACGAACAAAAAAATCTAAAAATTATGACGCCAATAAATTATTTTTTCAAATATCGGTATTACGGTATTCAGTCCGCAAACACGTCACGCTCTGTTGCAGACATTTTTTTGTCTTAAATTGAAACTTCGATAGTTTTCAATGAATTTATTTGTCAAAATGAAAACAAAACAACATTTCACAAACAATAAAATAATATAAATAATATAACTATTTCAATCCGCCGCCATTGAACATTGCATTCATCATTTGAGTGGCTTGGCTGTGTGATATGGGCGCGTTGCTTTGAAGAATCTGCAAAAAATCCAAACTGAAATCAATTTCTGATTTAATTATTAAATTTAATTATTTTCAAAACTCGAAAAATTCGTGTAAATTCTGAAAATCGTTTTATTTCGCAAAATTCGGAAAATTGAAAAAAAATATCGATCCACATTAAATTTGCAAAATTTCATTAATTTTCCGGAAAAAAGAATTGAAAAATTCATTTCTCTTATCATAAACGGTCATTTCCGTCAAAAACAAGTTCAAAAATCTTCAAATTTTCAAAATTTTGATGTGTTTTGTTTAAATTCATAATTTTCACCATTATTTTTTTCAAAGGAAATCCCAAAAATCCACTTCACTTATAAAAAAAAAACCGAATTTTCGTTGAAAACTTTCATCATTTTGCAATTATTCTTTCAATTTTCATCCAAAACTCTTAAAATCTTTAAATTTCCAGCTTAAAACCGCCAAAAATTCATTTTCTTTTATTAAATAAAATCCCAATTGGCGAATACTGTTCAAAGCGTCTCGACTGGCGTAATGCCAGCTAATTAATAGATTCCTCCCGTCTGGCTCGCATACCTGATTAAGAACATTTGCAAATGCCGCCTTGTGACCCGGCGACATCTGCGCGATAATTGCCTTCCGGTTGTCATACATCGATTTGAACAACGGCGAGATTTTCGGCTGAACACTTCGCGGCTGAAAATTTCTCAATTTTTTAGCGATTCTTTTTTGTTCTTCATTTGGTTTATTTTTTTTTGTACAATCCGAAAATCATTTTTTTTCGCCTTGAAAATCTCTCTATTCTTTTCTGCACTACCTCTTTAAAAAATTGAAAATTCACAAAAATTTGAATTCGCAAAGGAAAACTCGAATAGATTTTGCCAAAAAACTACCAAAATTTTCGCAGAAACCAAAAAAAAAATTCAATTTGTTCACATTCACACCTTCTTCCTATCATTCTTCCTTCGATTCCGTCGCCGCTGCCGCGAATCCGACGGCCCTTCGTCATTATCATCCGATGACGACGACGACGACGACGATGAAGAAGACGACGACGACGACGTCGAGCTGTCCGAACTATTCGATTCGGCTCGCTTCTTCCTTTTCCTCTTCGGCTCAACCTTCTTCGCCGCCTCTTTCTCCTCGTCCGAATCGATTTCGCCCTCGTCAAGCTCTTTGGCCGGCTTCGGCTGAGCTGGAGCAGCCTGCTGCTTCTTCTTTGGCTCGACCTTATCCGACTCCTCATCGTGCTCATCCTCATTATCACCCAAACCGCGTTTCATGATGCGTATTTTAAGATCGCCGCGTCGTTTCGCTTTGCGTTCACGGCTGAAAAAAAACAAAACAAAAATTTCTTTAAAAATCTGAAAAAATTTCGCATTTTCTCGATTAAAATGTCTAAAATTTTGCAAAAACATTTTTTCTTTGCCAAATTGGCAATTTCTATTTAAAAAATCAAATTTTCTGACTTCAAATCTTCGAAATCTCAATTTTCGGATAATTCGTCAACTTTAAAAAACGAACAATATAGATTTTTGATTGAAATTTTCAAATTTTTCCAAAGCTGAAACGCAAATTTTGCCGCACCTCCACGCTTCATATTCCTCCTGCGTCATGTTCTGCGTGATTTTCGCCAATTTCTGCTGTTTTCGACTCAGACCACCCGTTTTTGTGCTCTTGTCGGGTCCCAAATCAGCGCGAACCACACCGCTCGCTTTTGTCTTCGAGATTCTGCAAACGAAAAAAAATAACAGGTTAATCGAGCATTTCGTTAAAGAAAAAAATTAAAAAACGGGGGAAATTTTCCCAAAAATCCAGGCAATTTTCTATTAAACACTTGAAAAATTCAATTTTCGATTTAAAAATTTCCAAAAAAAAGATCGTTTCACAAAATTCTTAAAATTTTCGGCAAAAACGAGAACAAAAACTCACTTGGCCCACGATTCAAAGCTCAGCGTCTCGCCGCCCATCACAAAATTGCCGTGATCATCCTCATCGATCTCGATTTCGCCCTCCTCAACCACCAATCGTTGGCGATTTTGCGCCAAAAACGCTCCAACACCCATCAAGCTTTTCGTCTGTTTGGTTTTTCTGCAAATCAATTCAAATAATTAGACGTAAGCGTCTCACAAAAAAGTCTACTTGGCCTTCTTCTTCGTCTCAGCTTCCTCCTCAATCGGCTTATAATCGACAGTTTCCATTCGGACCATCGTCGGCCGATCATGAAATTGTTCGGACATCACTTCGAGCTTCCATTGCCTTAACAGCGTCTCGATTTGCTCTCGCATCCAGTGCATCTCGGTTCTTCGAAGATGATGCTCAAGGACTTGCTGCATGACCGGTTTGAGTAGCGAGTCCGGCAATCCGCCGTATTGCGCCGAGACGGCGTCGCAATGCGCGTACAGCTCCTCGCAGTCGTTGATTTCGGCGAAATTCACACGCTCGTCTTCAATGTGCTGAAAACAATTTTTTATTCGAGAAAAATTCGAGACGATTTCAAAAATCGTCATTGTGCGGCAAAAATTGAAAATTTTTTCGTTAGTTTTGGACGTTTTTTTTTTTTAATTTTTTGATATTCTGCAGAAAAATTGCCAATTTTTGAGCACGAATTTCTCGTTTTTTTTTTGAGATAATCAAAATCCACTGTTTTTTTTTTGAAATATCGAAATTCTCGGGGGGTAACAATGGATTCAGCCTTAAATTCAATATTTTTTCTTTTTAAAGAATTTCTTACCATTTTCAAAAAGAAAAAAAACTGGAAAAAATTTCTCGAAAAATCTTTCCATTTATTTCTTGTACAATAAAAGTTTAATTACCCAAGTTTGAGGTCTTCCTACTACCGACTAGTCGATTAAGAATGTGCAAGAGAGAGCCGTCATAAATTTAAAAAAAAAAATTGCCTAAAAATCACCCGGCATCGTTAACCGCAATAATAGAAATCTGGAGCTTTCCTATCACGAGTGGGACTCAAAGTGATTTGATAATAATTTCCATCTGCCGACAATTCTCCGGGATTTCAATAATGCGTTATTTTTTATAAAATTTTCGATTTTCATCCAAAATAGGAGGAAAAAAAAACAAAATTATTGAAAATTGTCCAATCTTTAATGTTGAACAACTGTAGTTTTCATGGAAAATCACACAAATATATAAAATATGGCAAACCTTAAGCAATCTATGAAAAACTTCAACATCATCGACTTCGGGCGCCAAAATTTGAGACTCGACGTTTTCGAGCGACGACGATTCGTCAGGAATCGCGCCTTCCTCGTCATTTTCATCCGGTTTTCGTCCGTTCGCCAACAAAAATGGTTTCGCGGCTGTTTCTTGGCGAACAAAATTCAAATAATCGGCAACGGTGACGAGTCTCAAAGAAAAAAAAATGCAAATTTCGAAATTTCATGAAAATCTTACTTGACAACGGTGTTCTGCTCACCATCGTCAATTGGAAAATCATCAGCCTCGGCTATAATAGAACCAGCCGCGTCTGCATCAGTCACAACAATCTGAAATCAAATAAAATTTTGTTCAAAAAATATCGAAATTTGACAGACTTCCGCTTGCATGAAGCCAGGATTCGTGAGAATCGGCAGCATTTGGAAGTTTTCGATGACTTCTGTGCCAACGATGCACTCCAGAAGCTTCTTGTCCGCACTTTTTGGTAGGTTCAGGGCGTAAATGGTTCGGCATTTCACCGATTCCTCTTCCGAAGGTTTGAAATAGCTTCCAGACGGGATGCTGCTTGCAGCTTCAACTAAAAATCGCTCAAATTTTGACAAATTTTCGGGGGAAAATTTGCTTACAAAACACTGGATCGACGCTTAATTCAAGTCTCGCGCCGTCTATCGTGATTTTTTGCAGAACAACATAGGAATCGCGAGCTTCATCGATTGTTGAGAACTCTAGCGTGATTTTTCCATATTTGACGTGCTGAATTTAACACGATTTTCGTCAAATTTGCATAGTTTTTGGCACCTTCTCGCTGCTTCCTGGCGGTCTCGCGAATTCTGCGCCGAACGTCTGACATTTGTCGAGAATTTTGGAGAACTACAACATGAAATTGGTTATTTCAATTTGAGAATCGATTAAAATTTACCTGAAAATTCGAAAGCCAACCACCGGGATGTCGCAAATTGCTCAATGTTATTGTTTTTTGGAGTTGCTCAACTTTCTCGCCATTTTTTTCCTCATTCGCCGATTCTTCCATAAATATTCGTTGGCCCTAAACGCAATTTTAATTCAAATTTGCAAAAATTTGACGAAAACCGTGAAGAAATCACAAATTAGCGGGAAAACGAAAATTCGAAAAATTAGAATGGCGGCCAAATTCTAGGTCGTGAGAAGTCGGCGGTCACGGCCATCACAGAATTTTAAGATTTTGGAATTTCGAATAATCAAGATTCCAGAAATAGAAATTTTTAGAGATTTTCTCTTATATATTATTAGACGACGAATAACGAAAATTAGCGAAGAAATTAAATTTAAAGGTCAACATTGAAAATGAAATCTAATCTACGAAAACTTGTGGGAAGAAATTCCACAATCCAAATGAATTGACAAAAATATTAAAATACATCACATTTATTAGACAAATTAGTTAATAATTAGTACATTAATTAATGAGATTATTGATTATTTCGAACTGTTAGATTATTCATATATTTTTTGCATTTATACGCAAATGCATTGAATTCCAGCTTCTTGGCAACTTCATATAAATCGCGAACATTTCCATCTAGAAAATTAATATTGTATTAAACTTTAAATTAAAATTAATTACCCGTGATTGGATCTTCTATCGGCATAATCGAATTAAGTAGTTGGACAACATCAACAAATTTCACATCTTCCAGTTCAATTTCCTCTTTATCTCGGTTTTCTTCGAAATATCGCCGAAATTTTTCAGAATGCACTATCAAAACCTGGCAAAAAATTTCGAAATTGGGCAAATTTATCGACAGACCAATTTTACCATCTTATTGCTCACTAATCGTTTCCCTTCAACGATCAACACGACATTTCCGAGACTGGCGTCTTCTTTGAGCGGATCACGTATTGGTGGTTTACTAGTGTTGTCGTCGGTTTCGATAAAAACCTCAAGGTACCCGGGAACGGGCGTGTTGAATGAGGGTCTAAGAAAAAAACAAATTTTTAAAAATTAATTAATTAATTCGTTGATTACGTGCTCATTATCTTCTCTGCCAAATGCGGAAGGACCTCAGCATCGGTTCGGCGAAAGGAATCTCGATTAGTGAAACGGTAGGTGACCTGCTTATAAAGCGCTTCATACCGCCCTTCTGGAAGGTCCATGTATGCTCGAAACGTCAATCTCGCGGTGACATCGAATTTGCCTTTCTCACAACAATTGACAAACAAGTGAACTTGTGGTTTCTCCACAATATCGAAGTGCGATTTTGCAATGAACGCCCTGAAATGTTCTTTTATCTGATTTAAAATTGAAATCCAAGTGTATTACCAATACAAATTCCCAATTTTTTTTTGATAACGTTCTAGATGAACTATATCGTATTCGGGAAGCCAGTTAAGGCGATCAAATCGCTGAATTAATTTTCCAGAGAATTTTGGAACGCGAAGATCGTAGGGAAATTGATTTTCAGCCATCTGAATCAAAAAACTGTTTGTCTTTAAAAAGAAAAGAAGAAATGTTGGGGAACGGAGGGCGGCAAATTATTCAAAAATTCAAAACAAAAACAAAGTGGTCAATAGAGCGCACTTGCAATATTGATCAGTTTCAATCCCAATTTATTGGAATTTTCCGAATATTATTTTCAAAATTCCAAGTTTTTAAACTCTGGGCAATAAAATAATTAAAGTAAATACACATATTCATCATATTCGTAGCCATCAAATTGATTTCAAAATCTGTTTCTCAATGTGTTTTCCAATTTTTCAAATTTCTTTATTGTACCCGTTCTAGCGCATTTCTACAACACTAATGTTTCGGTCTAGATTTTAGGTAAATCTTGAAATTTTGAAAATTTGATGAGCGAATCGGGCTTTCTTTTTAAATATAAAACTCAAGATTTCAACAATTTTAGGTTATGTGCTGAAAAACTATGCACTTTCTATACTATCAGCAATTGTTGAAGCCGAGTGCTTTAATTTTTTAGAATGAATGAAGCTGTGGGGAATGCTTAACGTAAATTTCAACGAGTTTTGGAATTGTGAATTTTACAAGGTTATTTTTTTCTAATTATTTTATTTAAATCATCCACCGCCTGACGCCAATGATTCGTGTTTCCCCTATTTCCAAAATTTTCCTCGTGCCTAATTGTTAATGAATTGTTTTGCAAATCCCCCAACAAAACGTTTCCCGCTTACCGATTTATCATTGAAATGGCCATGCAACCATCTGCCGATTGCCTCGTCTCCGATAACGCCTCATTTTTCAATCCCCCTCCCCTCAATATGCATTCGCGTTCGGTTTCGCCTACTTCTCTCGATTAATTGCGCAACCGGACGAAAACATTTGAACAAGAATAATGCATACATACACCTCTCGGACGCGCCAATCCAATTTGTGACGATATGCATGTTCCTAATAGAATAACTCGCTGGAAAATGCAAATATAATAAAACATTAATTTCATTGGATGGATATGAAACGAAATAGGTTGTTCAATGAAGAAAAGTCACGCCGCTACGTGATTTTTCCTATTTTTCGAATGAATTCGCGAGTTTTTGCCAGTTTGTCACAACGACGCTCACTATCGACTGCAAAATGGCGCTAAAGGTTGGTTTTCGTTTCAGAAATATGTTAATTTTGTAGAAAATAATTTCCAACGACCGCCAATTCTTGAAAATTTCGGATTTTTAGTTAAAACCTCGGGTTTGCTTTCTGCTCGCGAAATAAAACGCCTCGCTTCGTGTATGCTCTTTATATTTACCTATGCAGATGTTTAACACAACGTACCAATTATTTTACCGGACCAAAGTTCATTGTTCAAATATATACACGCCACTCCTTGTCTATTCGGCAAGCTAGGCTCTCTCTCACTGTCTCGCGTCTCGGCGAAACAAATTCTAGCGATTGCCGCCATTTAAAACCGATTTTCATTTAGAAAATTGACATTTTTCAATTCAGATGGTCTTGAAGCGAATTGCGGCTTCTACTGAAGTCTCCGCCAAAGTTCTCGGCGAGACCTTGCAGTTTCCCAGCGGCAAAAAAGCGCAAAATCGATTTCTGAAGGTAATTTTCGCGCATTTTTTCTTATTGTTAATTGATTTTTTTCAGGCGGCATTAACTGAAAGAATCAGCACGTATGATGCTTCAAATATTCAGAAATCCGGAATTCCGACGAATAAAATTCATAATTTGTATGAGAAATGGGGAAATGGGCAATTTGGGATGATTTTGACCGGAAATGTTCTTGTCGATCCGGTTGGTTTTCCTTTATTGATGTCATTTTTCAATTTTCTTTAAATTCAGGTAAACTTGGAATCTGCTGGAAATGCGATAATCTGTAAAGAAGGCGATAATATTGAAAGGAGAGAAGCTTTCAAAAAATGGGCAAAAGCTATGAAATCGGATGGAGCGCTGGCGCTGGCTCAGCTTTCACATGTGAGCATTTTATTTAGTTTTTGGGTTACGGTAGGCCAATGGGGACCCTTCACATCCTCATTTTCTAATGGACCTATTCATGAAATGTATTATTTTACAACCCTGAAAAAATGGAAAAATGTGTAATTTTTTAAAAACATTTTTAGTTGCATGGAGAAGTCCAAAAAATCTGAAATTCAATTTTTGTTTTCCAGGCGGGTCGCCAGACTCCCGTGCTTGTACACCCAACACCATTCGCGCCTTCTGATGTTCAACTAACCGCGGTGAGACGCTTTATGGGATTTGGCAAACCGATTCCATTGACAACCGAGCAAGTCAAAACGGAAGTCATCGATCGATTTGTGTTCGCCGCGAAATTTTGTTATGAGTCGGGATTCGATGGAATTCAATTGCACGCTGCTCACGGATACCTTCTGGCTCAATTCACGTCACCGACGACCAACAAGAGAACCGATCAGTATGGAGGATCATTGGAGAATCGCATTCGAGTCATTCTTGAGATTCATGAAGCGATTCGAAAGGAGATTCCCGCTTCGACTGGATTCCTGGTTGGGATCAAAATGAATTCGGTCGAGTTTCAAGAAGAGGGAACCACTGTCGATGATGCTGCCGGAATGGCGAAAAAGCTTGAGGTAAATACTATTTTTTTTTTAATATTTTTCCATAACTCGCGATTTGAGGAAGTTGGATTCGATTTCGTTGAGCTTTCCGGTGGCACAATTGAGAAATTAGCATTTTCGCATTTACGCGATTCGACAAGAAAACGAGAAGCGTTCTTCCTGGAATTTGCTCAGAACATTCGGCCTGTCTTCAAGAATACCGTAGTGTATTTAACTGGCGGATTCCGAACCGTCAAAGCTATGGTAGAAGCGATTGAAGAGAACGCGACGCAGGGAATCGGATTGGGACGACCGATAACTGCCGAGCCAGGTGCTGTTAATTGCTTTAAAAAAATCTGGAAGACGCGATTCTTGTAGATTTGCCAATGAAGATCCTCGCCGGCAAAGTGTTTTCGGCAGCCGACGCGCGTTTAAACCAAGACGATTTCGGCATCACGAACATGGCGAGCAACACACAAATGGAGCAAATGGGACGCACCAGTGTACAAGAAGCCAACAATGAGTATTTGCGTTGTACAATTCAATATAACGTAGTTTATTTGTAGTTTGATGCTGGGAATCAGCGACTTTAGCGATCAGGAGACGGCTGACAACTATCTCGCCGCTGTGAAATTGTATACGGAAAAGATTAAGGCTGAAGTGGCGCAAGGGAAACCGATTCATGGAGTTTTGGAATTTTGAGAAGTTGTGATGATTATTCTCTAATTGTATTTTATCATTTATAAAAATCAGCTATTTTGATAAACTAAAATCAACTACCGATGAGTTAGCTTCGCAGGTTATCCATAGTACGATAGCCAAATTCCCACTGTGTAAATTGGAATTTGAATTACCGCCTCGAAAATGTGCGGTGGTCGCTCGCTTTTTTTTTGGTGAAAAATAGCTTTGCCGATGACAATTCACGTGAATTGTCATCGTGTCATGAGAGAGGAATGAGTGGGGAAGCCCGCGGGAGTTGTATTCCTCATGTTTGTCATCATTTTTTCGACCTCATTGCGCACAGGTCTCCGATCAAAAAACATCGAGACGATATTGATCTAGCGATCAATTATTTCGATAAAGGACCCGCCGTGAATTAAAGAAATACTGAGTTTGACGAGATTTTTTAAAATTTCCTAAGTAATGTAGCGCGAAAAAATACAACATCAAAATCGCTACCTAATTAGGAATGGCTCTAATTGCTCAATAATTACGCCAAGGTGTTAAAATGCATCGTGACGTCACAAGCTGATGAAAGAGACCATTGAAACCGAAAAGTTATACAATGTTTGATAAAAATATCAATCTGTGCCCTTGGACACAAAAATTTGTGCCCGTTGACATAAAAAAATATCAGTTGGACAACGTTTTGCGATCACTGTGTCACTTCAATTAATTTATCGACCGTCAACAACGCGTCTTTCAAAACATGGTCTTGAAGCGAGTTTCCACCACTGCTGGAGTTTCAGCGAAGACTCTCGGCGAGACGCTGCAATTTCCGTGTGGAGTTCGAGCTCAGAATCGATTCCTAAAGGTTTGAATTCATTTTTTTTGCTAATTAATAAAAAAAATTAGGCAGCGTTGTCTGAGCGTCTTGCCACTTTTTCGGCGGACAATGTGAATGAGTCGGGAATTCCGACGTGTCAACTTCATAATTTGTATGAGAAATGGGGACATGGACAATTTGGGATGATTTTGACTGGAAATGTGATGGTCGATCCGGTAGCACGTTTTGCCTGAAAATTTAATCATTTTTGGTTTAGCTTCATTTGGAATTCCCGGGAAATGCGATCATTTGTAAAGAAGGCGATAATAATGAGAGAAAAGAAGCTTTCAAGAAATTGGCGAAAGTTATGAAAGGGGATGGAGCCCTTGCTGTCGCGCAGATATCCCATGTGAGTAATGGTAATTTTTCTTTGAGTACGGTAGACGAGTAGTGCAATATTGCGCCGGGGTACACTACGGTCTTTATTTACATTCTCCTGAAAACAAAAAATATTTTTACTCTTTTTTTACCCTATTTTTTTACTCTTTTTTTCACCATTAAAAAAATGAATGGTTAAACTGATTTAGCTGTGGAATTCCTCTGACATTGTACGCCGAAAAATAAAGAAATCGGAATTATTTTTTCTCCTATCTCATTTAAACTAGTAATTTCAGGGTGGCCGTCAGACGCCTTACAACGTCAACCCTACTCCATTCTCAGCTTCTGATGTTCAACTAAAGACTAGTCATGTTTTGGATGGGCACGGAAAACCTGTCCCGTTGACTGTCGAACAGATTCGAACTGAAGTCATCGATCGATTTGTGTTCGCCGCGAAATTCTGCTATGAGTCGGGATTCGATGGAATTCAATTGCACGCTGCTCACGGATACCTTCTGGCTCAATTCATGTCACCGACGACCAACAAGAGAACCGATCAGTATGGAGGATCATTGGAGAATCGCATTCGAGTCATTCTTGAGATTCATGAAGCGATTCGAAAGGAGATTCCCGCTTCGACTGGATTCCTTGTTGGAATTAAAATGAATTCTGTCGAGTTTCAAGAAGAGGGAACGACGGCTGATGAAGCTGCGGAAATGGCGAAGAAATTAGAGGTTTCCTCGTATCAGCCGCGTTTAACATAATTATGGCCTTTTTCAGGATGTTGGATTCGATTTCGTTGAACTTTCCGGCGGCACCTATGAGAAATTGGTATTCCATCATGAGCGCGAATCCACAAGGAAAAGAGAAGCATTCTTTCTGGAATTTGCTGAGAAAATCCGGCCATCGTTCAAAAACACTGTGGTGTACTTGACCGGAGGATTCAGAACTGTAGGAGCAATGGTGAAGGCGATTAATGAGAACGCCACACAGGTAATTGGATTGGGACGGCCGATTACAGCAGAGCCCGGTAAAGCAAACAGACTAGAAGCTGAAAATGTCAAATTCTTGCAGATTTGCCCAAAAAGATTCTCTCTGAAGAAGTCTTCTCTGCTTCCGAGCCCCAATTCAGCCCAGACGATTTCGGTGCCACTCTTCAAGCATGCGGTGTCCAATTATGGCAGATTGCTCAGACAAGCCTTGAAGAAGCTAACAATGAGTAGACTTTCCTAAATCTGAAAAATATCATTGCTAGCATTTTTTGCAGTGTGATGTTCGGCATTAGCGATTTTGGGGATTCGAGCATTATTCCCGAATTCTACGAATCGATGAAAGCCTACTTTGGAGAAATGCAAAGGATCACTGCGCTTGGAAAACCGGTGAATGTTCCAATGAGATATCCATGGAATTAATTTTTTTTGGAAATGTCATTTGGAAAATATAAATAGTGCTCACGTAAGACAATTGTTCTTTGATGTTTACCAAGCAAAAAAAAACGTTTTCCCTGTGAACGTTCTTTCGTCCAATTTTGACCTAGCTAATTCATTTGTCATCGTTTGTACAATGTAACATGCGCCGCCCTTGTTGCCCGCCTGGGTATATAGTGTCGGTCATTTTGAACTGTATCAAATTATACATACGATATGGTCTTCAAACGCGTTGCGACTTCCGCTCAAGTGTCCGCCAAAGTTCTCGGCGAGACCTTGCAATTTCGAAATGGCAAAAAGGCGCAAAATCGATTTCTAAAGGTAATTTTTTCTCTCAAACATAAAGTTTTCTAAATTTGTTCACTTTTAGGCAGCTTTAACCGAACGTCTGTCCACATTCACTCCCGAAAATTTGCCGCAATCCGGAATTCCGACGCATAAAATTCACAATTTGTACGAGAAATGGGGAAATGGGCAATTTGGGATGATTTTGACCGGAAATGTGATGGTCGATCCTGTTCACTTGGAGGCGGCTGGAAATGCGACGATTTTCAAAAAAGGCGACAATAAGGAGAGAAGAGAGGCTTTCCAAAAATGGGCAAAATCTATAAAGGCTGATGGAGCGCTGGCGTTGGCTCAACTTGGGCATGTAAGCATTATTTCTTATTAGTTGTTGAGTTACGGTAAGCGCGTTCTGTGCAATGTTGCGTCTCAGTGCACTGCGGACACAGCGCACTCGTCAGGAAATCGTTGGATTGAAGGGAATTTCGGTGAAACGGCGGTGTCCTACGTCTCTCAAATAAAATTTCATCGCGTTTCACCGAAATCTCTATTCATCGCCGTTTCTACAAAACTTTTTTTTGCTGAGCACTGGTAAGTGAATCGGGCGAAACGCCGGTCTTGCGAGAAATGGTGGCAAAATGGCGAAAAATTAGTTTTCTTGCGGGAATCGGCGAAACCGAAAAACTTGTTTGTTTTGCCGATTGCCGACAAATACCCGCGTTTCGTCCGATTAGTTTTTTTTTTCGTTTTTTTCAAACATTAATGAACTTATTCAAAAAATGTATGCCTTCATTGGAAAAATATGTATTTTTTTCAATTTTTATTGCTGGAATAAGTCCATGAATCAAAATTCTCTTTTTGAGTTCGTTGTTTTCAGGCCGGCCGTCAAACCCCGTATGTTGTATATCAAACGCCGTTTTCCGCTTCGGACGTTCACCTCACGAACAGCCTCATTTTGGGAGGGCATGGCAAACCGATTCCATTGACAACCGAGCAAGTCAAAACGGAAGTCATCGATCGATTTGTGTTCGCCGCGAAATTCTGTTATGAGTCGGGATTCGATGGAATTCAATTGCACGCTGCTCATGGATACCTTCTGGCTCAATTCACGTCACCGACAACCAACAAGAGAACCGATCAGTATGGAGGATCATTGGAGAATCGCATTCGAGTCATTCTTGAGATTCATGAAGCGATTCGAAAGGAGATTCCCGCTTCGACTGGATTCCTTGTTGGGATCAAAATGAATTCGGTCGAGTTTCAAGATAAGGGAACTACCGTCGATGATGCTGCTGAAATAGCAAAGAAGCTTGAGGTACGTACTTTTTTTTAAAAATATTTTTCTATAACTCGCTATTTGAGGAAGTTGGATTTGATTTCGTTGAGCTTTCCGGCGGCACCTATGAGAAGCTGGCGTTCCATCATCTGCGCGATTCAACAAGGAAGAGAGAAGCGTTCTTCCTGGAATTTGCTCAGAAGATTCGGCCATCATTCACGAAGACCGTAGTGTATTTAACTGGAGGATTCCGAACAGTTCAGGGTATGGTAGAAGCGATTGAAGAGAACGCGACGCAAGGAATCGGATTGGGACGACCGATTACAGCCGAGCCAGGTAGACGACGCCTTTGCAGACCCTTGAATCTCATTTGTTGTTCTAGATTTGCCGAAGAAGATTCTTTCGGGCCAGGTGCTCTCCGCCAGCGAGCCTCAATTCAAACAGGATGATTTTGGTGCAACTCTGCAGGCCAGTGTGCTCCAAATGTGGCAGCTCGGCTCAACTAGTCTGAAGGAGGCCAACAATGAGTACGACGATTGCGGTGGTTTATGTTGAGATTCGATGTTGCCCATTTTCAGTGTGCAATTCGGCGTGACCGATTTCAGCGATCCGTCGCTCACCGACGACTTCTACAAATCATTGGAGGAGCTTTACGCGGAGCTGAAAGAGATCGCGAAGACGGGCAAGCCGGCGAACATTGCAATTAAATTTCCGAGAAAGTTATTAATCGAAATAAACGCGTTTTGATTGAAAACGTTCGAAAATAGTAGTAATAATGTAAGTACATTCATAGATGTATACGTCTCAAGCGGCATAAGGGCGACTTTTTTCCACCTCGTTGCCTAATCCCATTCTTGTTGTGTTATGCAAATTGCACCCGGCCGCACCCGAAACGCCACGCCCATCCCACACCATTCCGGAGGGGGGGCGGGGCCGACGAGATGGCAGCGTCGACGCGCGTCCGGACACACTTTTTGCGTGTTCCTCGGCCACGCTTTTCCCATGCTTTTTCAATAGTACATTTCGAGTAGATCAAAAATCGTTTAGTGGTGTTTTTTTTTAATAAATAAAGAGGGAGAGAAGGAGTTTACGAATCCCCCTCCTCCTCATATCTCTGTTTGGCTCAATTTTTCAATTTCTGCTCTCATCAGCTGCTCGCATAATTGATGGGTTTTCCGCCGCCGCCGCCGCCAACACCCAACACCCAACACCAAATCGATAAGTCATTTCCGGCATTCTTAGTATTATTAATATTATTTTGTTGTGTTCCAAAGTTTTTTTGTGTGTGCATCGTTCCTCTTTCATTCTGATAGAATAATTAAGTAGTCTCGGAGGAAGAGGGTGTGACAAGCTTCAGCTTCTGCCTGCACACACACACACAAAAAAAAACACAACACTCTTCGACGACGACGACGAAGCTTGTAATAATGTTTAGCTATTAAATTTGTGTGCAAGCTGCATTTCGCCAATTTTTTCTACGCGGACCCCCATCATTCGGAATAATGGGCATTATTGCGGATTTATAATTGTGTCGTCAAATTTGGTGTTCGTGTCCGCAAACACCCCAACTCTTGCGGCGGTTGTCGTCAATTGTGATGTACATGTCCGCAGAACATAATTTGTTTTGATCTACTATCCTGTCGATGCTTAATTCCGCATTTCGTGCGGTGTGTTGCGGATTTGATGACTCATTTTCAAATTATTTCGTCACCCCCCGCCCCCTCTCATGGGACCCATTAGAATTCGGACCACGATGCTCAAATCGCTTTTTTTTGCAGTAAATCAACGCCAATGATATCGTGACGAAATGCGAACCACGCTGATAGTGTTGTTGATCTACGGGCTTCGCGTCGAGACCCTCATCATCACATCGCGAAATACCACCGAGGCGATTCTTCGATGTCCGCCCGCCGAGGATTTCATCAGGTTAGCCATCGATTGAGCACAGCGCAACTAGTGCTACAGTAATCGGGAAGAATCAAAAATTTGATGTTTATGTGTTTAAACTGATGGAAAATTCTAATTTGATGGGTAAAACGGAATGCTAAACATCTCTAAGACACATTTGAACTAATGCTACAGTACCTGTCATGCCAGGACCCGTTTCAAGGGGAATTAAGGAAGCTTAAAATTTCTTTTTTTTTTTATTTCACAAAAAAAGCGAGCGCCGAAAAATGTCCGCAGATGCTTGATATATTAAATGTTTCTCGTTAAGACTTTCAAAAAACTAGGACGCACCGGCCATATAAGGTACGGGGAGGGGGAGCTCGGCGTCGGACCAGCTCCTCAATTCGTGCGCTTTCAAGTGAAATGACGGAGACATGAAACCGGAAATTGACGCGATTTTTAACCTCGTCAATTTTCGGCCAAAATCATACGGGGGGGGGGTTTGCGGCTTGAATTTTCCGGAAAAAAAACGAACATTCCAACAACCGACTAATCAAATCATTACAGAACGCACATGGCTCCCGATTTCGAGACGCCGCGTCTCGTCCGCCGCCTCGACTGGTTTCAGGACGATTCGCTCGTCGCTAGCTATCAGCAGGTACTTGTAAGCTCCCCCGGCCCGATTCTTTTTTTTTGTGGCGCAAAATCGAATTTGGTGAATTCAAAAAAAACGCGACGACGTCTTGTATGTTCCGAACAATGCGCGTTCGTGTTCACCAACAACAACAAATCCAACAGGAAAAAAAGTCGGAGAAGCTTTGAGAAGGGACGGATGATTTTGAAAACGAGACATGGGGGGATCCCCACTGGTCGCGGGACCGTTTCGCGCTCTTTGTGCTTCTAATTGCCAATTCGTCACGAGACCCGACGTTATCCGACCCTTGAAATTGTCTTCTCTCAAGTGGACCTTCTTCACTTCCAAATTCGCGCGCAACATTTCAGCTGGACGCTTTTTTCCCCGATTCGGCGCATTTTAATTAAACGTGTCATGCTCCTTTAAATTTTCTTGAGGCGGACATCAAAACGCGGCTTTGAACTTCCAAATTTAGAAATTTGGAACAAAAAAACCATGCGCCTTTAAACGCTAGTGGTTAGACAGAATGGTCCTTGAAATTGTTGTCGTGCGCCTTTAAGAAACGCCACTGTGATTTCTAGAAGATGGGGTGTCATTCTCAGAAAGCTCTCAAGGTCCTTCCCCCTCCCCCTCGGTCCCAAAAATTGAGGAAAGTCGAATAAATAAAACAAAACAAAACGTTTTTTTTCCCTCTGCTGTTGTTGTCGTTGAGAGTAGCCGGCGTCGCCTCGGTGTGCTTTTGCCATTGCCGTCAATTATAGAAGTAGTTTTTGGAGAGGCGCGTCGATTTCCTGAAAAAAAAAAACAAAGAAGAAGAAGAAGAAGGAATCCTGAAAACGAGCGCCCATTCCTCATATTTATTATTATGAGATCGTTCCGTTCGTTTCGCCTCGCCTTGCTCGTTTTCCTGGAAAAGAAAACGTTTTGTTTTGTTCTTGCTTGCCTTCAAGGGATTATGTGGTCCTTCGAGCGGACCGTTGAAACTTGAGAGTTGTAGGAGGGGGGGGGGGGTGGGGGAAAAATAAACCGAAAAAGGGGGGGGGTCTCTCCATTTTTTTTTGTTCCTCTCGAGACCTGATCCGATTTCCTGATTTGGGCCGACGACGATGGCGAGGCGTTTTGATTGCGGCGTCGCCGGAAATAGTGTTAAGCTTCCGATCGTCGAAGAGAAGCTCAACGCGGGGCGAGCCAAATTGAGAGGCGAATTGTGAAATCTGTTGAAAACGACAAAAAATTTGAAAAATAGATTCCCTAGAATTTCAAATTGCCTAAAATCACTCATTTTCCACAAAAAAATATTGCCACCGATTTTTCATTTTTTTTTTCAATGTTTCCATGGAATTTTCCAGCAAAAAATCGACTTTAATAAATCAATCTGCATCATACACAAAACAATGTGATAGTATATATATATATATATATATATATATAGCCAAATGGGGTGTGAGTGTGTGTGCATGTGTACACGTAGTCGGCCAATTTCCATTGTCCCGGCGAGCCAACCAAATTGACACTCATTAGAAGTGTCTACGAGTCTTCTTGTCCCACTTCTTCTTCTTTTAAAACGCAGCCACTATTCGGAGACTCAATTGGTGTTCTGATTGCACTGACGGAATTGTGAGGCATGCGGAAAGATGGCGGGGGGGGGCGATCGACCGGTTGAATTTTTGATTCGATTCAATCGGCTCCTTAGATTTGATGAACTCCGTTTTCAACCATTTTTCGAGCTTGAAAATCATCTTGATCGAATTTTTTTTCCTTCAAAATCCAATCCATAATCATATTTTTTGTGATGGGCCTGTCCTGAAAATTCTCAAATTAGGCGATTTGAGCAAAAAAGCGAAAAAAAAACTCGATATTGGCTGAAATTTCAGTGTTCGACAGGTCATTTTTCAATTGCTTTGGCAATTTTACTACAAATATATCGAAATATCAATAGCGAAAATTAGAAATTCGAAAAAAAAATCATAATTTGAAAAAATTCAAATTTCCAGTGCACTTGCACAGTCGGTGTTTGCACACATTGACTACCGTACCACTGGAAAAAATTCAAAATTAATTTTTCAAGAAATTTTGCAACATGACAATTATTTCGATTCTGATTTGCATTTCCGTTGACCATCTTGCAAATCATCATGTTCGCGCGCGAAATATGCCACAACTGTCAGCAGCGGCCTGGCGCACAGTGCCATATGTCAATTATAATTGCCTAATTATTTATATACGAGTCGGATCTGATTGATTAATGAGTCATTCGGGTACGTATGTGTGTGCGCGCGCGCGAAAAATGTTGCAAAAAGCGGAAAAAAAATTAGCGAGGGATGGATGCGAGGTAATTTTCAGGCGCGATTTAATTGCTTCCGTTGTACTCACACACACACACACGCAACTGAGAACAAAAAATAAAGTTGACACTTAATTATATAAATTGCTCTGGCTCTTCAATTGGCACTTCATTACGTCAAGAGGACATGTAGGGGGGTCTAGTGAACTATTACATATTAAATTGGTTATACAATGGGCAAACAAAAAGATCTTAGCATTTGAAATTCGATAGTCTGCCGAAATTTTTGGAATCCAACCTTATGCACCTCTTTTTCCCAGCACCTCGTTTTTTTCGGGAGGCTGGGGGGTCCCCTTGACCTTATGCAAATTTCGTGTGTTTACCCACACGAAACGCTTTAAAAAAGCGCTAATTATTCGGTATATTGTATTGTATTACGCGATGAGTGCAAATAGAACAAAGACGCGCTAATTTTGGCAGCTGTTTAGTTAGTTTTGCGCAAACATGATCATCGAGGGGGGAAAAAGGGATTCGATCAGGATGAGATTCGAACTCACGCGGGAAAATCCCAATGGATTAGCAGTCCATCGCCTTAACCACTCGGCCACCTGATCACGGCACACTGGCTTGAAAATTGCGGTTAACAGTGTGCGGCGGCGAGAGTGCACGCGCATCGCAGAGAGCGCAGAGAAAAGTCATAATTTATTTTCGTTTGCTTCAGGACGTTGTCGCCGATTCTTCGCGACAATGGTGGGTAGCCGATGGGCGCTACGAGCTCGTCAGACCATTCTACGCGTTGCGAGTTTCGCCAGTAACTCCAGAAGACTCAGGTAGCGCAACTAAATTCGAATGCGGGGGATGGGAATTTTTGGCTCATTTTCCAGGCGCTTATCGTTGTCGAATTGAGACGGATCCGTTGTTCTCGACGCCGCAGAGCACCGCGACGCAAGAGCTCGCCGTGATGGGTAAGTTTTCATCATTCGTCCCAACGGAATTCATAGAGATTGGTATCGCGTGCGACGAACGACGAGGGGGGGGGGATTAAGAGGGAAGATGGACGAGGCTCCGAAAATTATTTAAGTGAACACATAAAGCTATAAAGAGGGGGTGGTTGCACAAAACTTCGGTTTTTTTAAATTTAAATTCGCGCTCAGAAATTCTCAAGATTTTACCGCATGCGCCTTTAAACAATTACAGTAATCTTTAATTTTTGAAAAAATTGACAATTTCTAAATATTCCAATATCAAATCAATATTTTTTGTTTGAGATTTACAATTTGCGCACTTTTGAAAATATTTGTTGGATACGGTAGTTAAAGGCGCATAGAGTCTCACGGCCAACTTTCGTAGTTTCTTTTTTCTTCCATAACGTGAATAATTTTTAAAGGCGCATGGGAAATTCAAGCGGCATTTTTACGATTCTCGGCAGTTTAAAGGCGCATAGTTTTTTTTTCTGTCAAAATTGATTAATTAGGTGTCCAATAGTAGTATCAAGCTAGATTTTAAACATTTTCAACTTTTCCCTTTTCTGTGATTATTTGCGTCACAGTGTTTGCACACATTCTCAGCGCGCTACCATTTATGCCAATTTTAGCAATTTCGGACAATAAAATGAGTTTGCGTGAAAAATTTAAGAATCTCAAATAATCGATGTCTGTCGATTCACGCGCATGCGCCTTTAAATAGGTCTCAACACGAGTGAACGCGAAGTTTGCAGTTTTCCTGATGAATTTGGAATTTCTAGTGTCGTTCGATTTAAAAATCATCGAAGCCAAGCCACCATTTCGTCCGTGCGAGACCAATAGAAAGGAGCATCCCCTCCCCCCCCCGTAAATCTACACGCCGAGACTAGTTGGCTCGTCGGCGAGAAATTGAAATTAAGCGCGTCGATGATTATATAAGCACCTGCGATTGGCGTATTTCGAATTCAAGTGCGTTTATGTATAATGCGACACACACACACGCGCGGTGCGGACGGATTATTCTCGATTTTGGGCACCTGCCCACCACGAAATTCGATAATTTGCAGTGCGGCCCGTCGCGCCGTCGTCGCCGGAAATCAAGGCGTTCACGAATCGCTCGATAACGCTGATATGGACGCACAACGCGGCGAGGGCCCATCGGCCGATTTTGAGGTTCTCGGTGTCGGTGCGAACAGTGGCGGATAACACGAGGTGAGATTGGCGAATGTGGCGAAACGCGAAAAAAATTGTGCCCTCTTGACAGATTTGTGATGGCGGCGCCATCGAACGCGACGACGGTGATCGTCGACAATCTGAGTCCGTTCACGCTGTACGCGTTTGCGGTGCGCGCCGAGAACTCGGCGGGCCTCAGCGAGTTCGGTCCCGAGACGACGTTTCGAACGCTCGGCGAGCCGCCAACTCGACCGCCACAAATCGCGATGATGCGCAACATTTCGGCCGAATGCGTCGAGATCACCGTGACGCCGCCGAGCGAGATGAACGGCGACCTCGACAAGTACATTGTGATGACGCAGGGCCTCAATGAGACGATGCCCAAGAAGCATATGTGAGTTGGAGGGGGGTTTTGATGGTCCCCCAAAAAAAAAAGAAACTCATTTTTTTGAAAACTGGACAAATTTTTGGAATTTTTCCACTCAAATCCACGTTTCTTTTTTTTGTTTTTGAAATTTCAGGAATTTTCACAACAAAAAATTGTGGGATATTGGGAGATTTTTGAAGAAATGCAATTTGGAAAAAAAAATGTTTTCTGTTAGTTTTCACCGAAAAAATGCCGAAATGAACATTTTTTTTAGCAAATTTAGAGCAAAAATTTGAAAATTTCGCGAAATTCTGACACGGAAAAATTGGATTTTTCGAATTTTTTTTTGGCTGAAAATTTTGCCAGATTTAATTTGGACGCATTTATTTTCAGTTGCGTTGGGTTTTATAGAGAAATTCGAGAAAATTTTTTTCGCCAACTATTCAAGAAATCGTTTTATAAGAAATTTTCCACTCGAGACCCAATGGCGGAAATTCAAATTTTGCAACTGATGGCATTCTCAAATTCAGTCACGATTTGATTATGAAAATTGTTGAAGAAATTAGGTATGCTTTAAAGGCGCATGCAAGTTAATTTGGCTTTTTTTTTGAAAAAAATTTCATATTTTGCTATTTTTTTGAAAATTTTCATTAAAAATCATTTGAGTGGTGTTTGCACACAATGCGCACAGTTTGACGACAATTTGCGAACTTCCCCCAGTTTTTTTTTGGAAAATTTCGATTATTTTTTGACTATTTTTCTCTAGAATTTCAGTGGAAAAAAAGAGTTTTGAAACTATTTTCGAAAAATTGGCGTTTTTTGCACAATTTAATCAACATTTTGAGATGTTCACCGGGAAAATTTGGATTTTTAAGAATTTTTAGTCGAAATTATTTTTTTTTTCGCATTTTATTTTCATCTATACGTATTATTGTGAGATCCTTCGAGTTTTTTGTTTTGTAAAATTGAAAAATTCAATTTTTTTTCTCACATTTTCATCACAAAATTGTTGTCACCCAAATATTGTTTCTCGCGTTTTGCAGCTTCGACAAGCCAACATCGACGCCGTTGACGATTTGCGATCTGATTCCGTCGTCGGAATACGCGTTGGCGGTCAAAGCCGACAACGGGTTCGGCACGAGTCCGCCGGCGACGCTCGTCTTTTTCACAGAGCCCAGCGGTGAGTGGCGCACAGTTGAAACTAGTGCTACCGTAACGCATGCTGTTCAAATTGTGCTCTTTTCATCATGCCCCTTCCTAAAATTGCGTCTTGCAGTTCCGAATTTCTCGCCGACGACGATCACAACGATACCGGTGATCGGCAAACCGGAAATCACTGTACTCTGGCCGGCTCCCGACGCGAATCTCAGCCGTCAAATCGTCAAATACCATTTGTATTACAAGTCGGACGCGGAAACGCAATGGAAAATCGAGAATTTGATATTGAAAGGCGCCAAAATCGGCAAAATGCTCAAATATCGACTAACCGGACTGGGTGAGACTTGAGCGAGTCGTTTTTTTTTTGAGAAAATGTTTTCAGAACCCAATACGATTTATCGCGTTCGCGTTTCGGCGTCGACGGCGAAAGGCGAAGGACAACAGAGTGCCGATAGTCTGGCTCGAACCGATATTGGAGGTAGCTTATTAGGGGGGTCGAAAAGCTGAATTTTTTATTCAATTTTTCTAATGAAGAATTTCGCAAAAAAAACACGCTTTTTCGATTTGCCCTCAGCGAAATTGAACATTTTTTGCAATCACTTATAGTCGGCGTCCGGCGACTGCTGTACGCGGGTAGATTTACGGGGAATCCGTCTTTCTCGTGGTCTCGCACGGACTAACAGGTTATTTCAAATTTTGTGGACCGGTTCGATAATTTTTTAATTAAATGAGGTTGGAAATTCAAGAAAATGCGAAACTCATCAAGAAAAATGAAGAAGTTCACGTGAAAACAGCAAAATAATCTTTGACGCGTGGCGAGACCTTTTCAAGGCGCATGCGCGTAAATCTACTCGCGTACAGCAGTCGCCGTGACGCCGACTATATTTTTTTTGAACGCTAGATGGAAAAGGAAATTCAGTAAAAATTTCAAAACTCTATTTTTGGGTCTCGAGAGAATATTTGTCCAATGGTGTGTTGTCCGCGTGGACTACACAAAAGTCAGAAATTAAAGATGTCTTTTAGAATTTGAAAAATTGCATCAAAAATGTGGTCTCGACGCGAATTCTCTCAGTGTTTGCCTTTTTCAAATTGTTTACTGTAGATGTTTAAAGGAACATGCCACGAAACAAAAAACACAGAAAATTAGGAGACAAAAATAGTTGAAAATTTGAAATTTATCAATATCTTTGAGGTTTTTTGTTCCATTAAAAGCAATTTTTAAAAAAGCTCAATTAAATAATTAGGCTGTCTAAAATTTTCTAAGCCGAAATAAATAAATTCGGGCGATTTTTCGACTATGATCGTGAATTTCAGAGCCGGGCACGGTTTCGTTGCGAGACCTCTCGTTTGACTGCAAGAACGGGATAAAGCTTGAGTGGGACTACGACGGGACCAAGTAAGTCGTCGTCAAACATGCGCGACGAGATTTTTTGATTTTTTGTTTCCAGCACGAATCCGGTATTTACGATCAAAATCGCGAATCATACGGCGACGCTCAACTTCAATACGACGCAAAAATTTGTGAGAAAAATTATTTTTTTTCCAAAAATAAAAAATTCAGGCTTGAAAAAAAATTGCCAATTTTAATTTTTTAAAAACATTTTTCCCAATTTCAGCTCGATATAATCGATTTATCGCTGAATGACGAGTATTCGGTACGGGTTGTGGTCTTGGAGCGAAGCAAAATCGACAATTCGACGATTCTCGTCGGCAAATACAGTAACACCCATCGATTTGTGTTGAGCGGTATGCGACGACGATCGAAATGGTCCCTAGAAATATTGATTGCAGAGAAATGCAATTTTCAATCGTCTTTGTGCGACGGCAAAAACGAGAAATGCCAAAAATTGACGAGCCAGGTTGGAAATGAGCAAAAAATTTTCTAAATTTTTTCCAATTTTCAGGCAAATTCCAACGGCTATTTGTCAATTTTGATCGCCATTTTCTCCGTCATCCTTTTTGTCTTCATATGTTTCATTATTGCTCATTTTGCCAGAGGGTACGTTTTTAAAAATTTTTTTTCTCAATATTTTGAATTTAACCCTTAAAAAACGTTCAAAATTGAATTTCGTGGTGAGAGCCTGGAGAACGTTTACGTCATGCGCTTATAATATTACTGTACTTAAATTATTTTCAAGGGTTCCCCACATTTAATTTTTTCTCGGATTTTTTCGCAAATATTTTAAAATTGATTTTCACTGAACTTTTTCGGACCTAATAATAATAATCGTAATATTGAGGGATCTAAAATTCTCCCAAAATATGTTTTGCTCGTTTTCTTGCAAAAATCAATAAATAACGCTTGAAAATTAATTTTCCATGCGAAACCCGCACGATAAATTACGCCATGCGCCTTTAATACTACAGTATGTGTTAATTTTTTTTAAATCTCGTCGTCCTTTTTTGTTTGTGCGATTCCGCCGCGGGATTGCCATTCCATAAAGTCGATGCGCCTTTAAATGATATGATTTCTTGCAGAACCTTCAATTTCAAGCAAGTTCTGAAAAAGAAGAAAGAGAAATGCGTTTATTTGGAGGAAATCAGCCCACTCGTTTACGGTAATCTTTTTATTTATTCATTTTTTGCAAAGCTCTAGCAATTCTTTGAAATTTTCAGATTCTGTCGGCCACGAGGACATTCCCGTCGAATTATTCTATGGATACGTCGAAGACCTTAAAAGGAACGAGGGCGCGAAATTCAAAAATCAATTTCAAGTTGGCGATTGACAATGTGTGCATTTTTTTGTTGCGAATTTTGCAAATTTCTAGGTTGTCGAGCAGCAAACCGATGGAATCGATCAGTGCGATTCGATAAGCTCATCGGAAAACTCGACGAAAAATCGATATTTGAATATTGGCGCCAACGAGGCGACGAGAATACGATTGAATAGTCCCAATGGTCCCAATGGGTCGGATTATATCAATGCCAATTATATTGATGTGAGTTGTGATGTAAATTTTGAGAAAATTGGCAAAAATTTCGAAAAAAATTTTGTTTGCTCGTGACGGAGCAAAAATTCATTGAAAACTAGCAAAATTGTCGAAATACTGAAAATATTTTGATTTTTTTCACAATAAATTAATGAAAAACTGCAAAAAATGAAACATTTTTTCAATAATTTTCATAAATTTTCTCGTGAAAATTTTTTCGATTCTGTTTGGAAAAAAAAATATACGCGAAATTCGAAAACCCCGAGAAAATTTGTGAATTTTCTCTCAAATAATGAATGCTCTTTGAAAATGTGCGAATTTTTCGACATAATTTTTTCTTTGATGTTTTTTTTTTGGCGTTTAAATTCCACTATGGAATCGAAAAATCCAAGAAAGTTCTCTCAAAAAATGTCCAAATCCGCGTGGAGTCGAAAAAAATTCAAAATTTTCGTATTTTTCGCTAAAAATCCTCAATTTTTCCGTTTTTGCGAAAATTAATTGATACTGAACTTCCACGTGGATTCTGGGAAATGCAAAAAAAACGCGTATATCGATTTCGGTGAAAAACAAGGGGATTTTCAGTCGTGCGACGAAAAGAACGCCTACATCGCCACACAAGCGCCGCTTCCGTCGACATTCGGCGACTTCTGGAGCATGGTGTGGCAAGAGCGAAGCAATGTGATCGTGTGCATCACCAACATGATCGAAGACGGCAAAAAGAAGTGCGATCAGTATTGGCCGCCGACGTTGGATCAGGCGCACACCTACGGCGCCTATCAGGTCACACTGCTCACCGAGTCGTGCAACGCGCACTTCTCGCATCGCGTTTTCGAGCTCAAAATCGCCAAATCGATTCCGAGTGTAATATTGATCGATCGAGAATCAGCCCATCACAATTTTTCAGGCTGAACGCAAAATCCACCAATTGCATTTCATGGGATGGCCGGATCACGGAATACCGAATTCGGTGTTCCCGTTGCTTAATTTCATTCACTATACTTCCGATATTCATTCGACGGGTCCCGTTATTGTGCATTGCAGGTAAAGGGGGGGGGGGCATGATTCGATCGAATCCGATTTGGATTCGGATTCGATGCGATCCAAAAATCTGATTTTTCTCGTTTTTGCAGCGCGGGTGTCGGCCGATCAGGCTCCTACATTCTCATCGACAGCATGCGACGTCACTTAATCAATTTTAGAAGGTAGGCATCGTCACGTCATCATAAGTTTCGATCATTCAATTTCCAGACTCAACGTCATCGGCCATTTGATCCATATGAGGAGGCAGCGCGCGAAACTGGTTCAGACGCTGGTGAGTTGCGATTCGGTGGCACGCGTTCAAGTGGAACATTTGCAGGATCAATACATGTTTTGTCACGAGGCGATCCGACAACTCATTCGGCACGGCATCACAAGAGTTCACACCGATCTGTTCATGAGGTAGGCGTTGGATCGCGATGATGATCCTGATACGTCCATTCCAGATACCTTCATTATTTGTCCGAGGAGAATTTGAACGGCAAGACGCGAATGCAATTGCAATATGAGGTTGGTTTCTGGATCGCCTTGGATCGCTGAAAGGGCCTCACCATTTTTCAGGACATTTGCGAGTGCAAGCACACTGAGAAGTGTCAGCCCGACGTCGAGCCGTTGATTCTTCCCGGATATCATCGATTGGATGAGTTTATGGTGGCCACGTGGCCGCACGAATCCGAACATCTTTGGCGCGTCGTCTGGAATCGCAATATTCAGACGATTGTGCTTCTCGGCGAGCCGTCGGCGTATTGGCAGAAATTGGTGGCGATCGATGGCGTCATGGTGCAACACGGCGACAATTTTGTTTTGATGCAGAAAGAGGAGAGACAGGTGCGATTGAAGCGGGAGGGAACCTCTAGAAGCTTCTAGAATTCGCAATAGGCCGATCCTTTGGATCATTATAATATCGAGGGGGTCCCATGAATATCTGAGCCTTACTAGATTATTCTGGGTTAATTCTTGAATCCGCCAAATCTCCAATTCAGTTGTGCGTCCGAATTGTGCAAATCGCGCGAGCCGACATTGAGCATGACATTTGGCGCGAAATCGAGAACATTCAAAAACAACGATTGGCATATCACGAGGCGCCGCTGCTCATTTTGAGTCCAACACCGGTGAGTTCTTCTCTTTTTTTTTCGATATCCCGCCACGAGACCTTTGGATTACGGTAGACTAGTGAGAAAACTTGGAAAATCCCGAAATTAAAATTATCGGCAAAATGTGTTCTAAATGATTTTTTTTGAAAGTGAGCTACACTAAAATCAAAATTTGAATTTGCCGCCAAGAAGTTTTTTTTTACCGTAACCCCTTGCACTACAATAATCCGAAAAATTTTGATTATACAAAAAATTCGCTTAGGGACGCAGAAAAATTTTAAAATTGGCGCCAAAATTATAATTTTCTGATCTTACAATAACTTCAAGAAATACAGTAATCCGAGGTCATTGTTATATTTTCTGCAGTTATTCATCAATATTTGAATTTGGCGCCAAAATTATCAATTTTATGGTCTTACACCAAAAACTACAGTATACTACAGAATTGAATGTAATTCTCCCCCTCCCCAGTAATTGAAAATTTCTAACATTAATCGGGTAATATTTGAAAAATTTGAATTTGGCGCCAAAATCGGGACCCAAATGATGAGCGAATCAATCAATAATTGTTTCAGATCTTCCGTCGTCCCTCGCCGCCGATCAACTCGGCTCGCAGCAGCTCCTCAACACTCAGTCTCTCCCTATTGGGACACGGTAATTGTCGAGATTGTTGTCGAACGCATCGACGCGCGTCAAATTCCAGACGATTCCACGATTCCGTACATCATGTGCGCGCTGACAACACTCGCGTGCCAACTCGAAACGACCGGCTGCATCGATGTCGTCGAGGTGTTGGCAGCGTACTCGCAGGCGCGGTGCGGATTGTTCACCAGCAAACAGGACGTCGAGATCATCTACGAGCGCATCTCGCAGCTCGTCGGCGGCACGCGTGTCTAGAATCCGGGTCTTCTTCTTCTTCTTCATCTTCTTTTTGTTCATCGTTCGAATCTCTGTTCAAAATTCCCGGTGCTTCGACTAAATGATGTATATGTATTTATATGGCAATAATAATTAGCAATAAATTGGTCAATTAGATCTGTTTGAGGGTCTTGTCGAGCAGATCGAACGTCAAATCGGCGTGCTTCTTCGTGTACACCAACGACGGCCGGAATCGTAGAGTTTTCTCGCCGCATCCGCCGCAGTGCAGACCATTGGCGATCGCCTAAATTGATGTTACAGTAATGCCGGCTACGGTAGCTACAGTAAGCCCCAAAAAATAAAAAACATAACCAAAACATTCGAATAAATCGCGGCTACAGTAATCCACATATTTGATTAAAATCTGCAGTGATTCTAGAAAATTCGACAAACTATTGAATACCGTAGTCCTACAGTAATCCAAAAATGGAAACGAGTTGTTGTAAACTCTATAGAAACATCACAAATCGGATTACAGTAGAATACGAAATACTGGTTACAGTAATCCTGTGAGCTACAGTAATCCCAAAATTGACTAACCGCATCGACGAATTTGTCGCGCAATTGGGCGGTCGGGAAATCGACGGCCGCGAAAGTGCCACGGCCGCGAGCCTGATCCAATTTTGTGTTGTGCGTCTTCTGAAACACACTATTTTTGTGAGAAAATGGTTTTTTATAGTCCATAAAATATGAAAAATGGTCCCTTTCGCTGTCCAATTCCGAGATTCAATATATTATTTTTTTTTAATGCGAAAAATTGCCAACGATCGCGTCAATTTCGGCAAGTTCCGCAAACACCGCAACGCCGTTTTGCGGGATTTTCTTTTATCATTTCGATGCAAACTCAATTTTTTTGCATTTTTCAGCTAAAATCTTCAACAAAATTCGATAATTAGAATAGAAATAAAAAAATTACTAGGATTTGTTCTAATTTTTTCAAAAAATTGGATTTTTTGGCACAAAATTGGTCATTTCTCTCTCAAATCAACAGAAAATGAAGACAAACCTGCAATTCGGCGAGCTTTTTCTGGAAATAGTCGCCGACGGTTTTGCTCTGCTCGATGAGGCCGTCTCTTTTGATCACCTCGATCGCCTTCTCGAGAAGCATCAACTTCGTCGGATCGCCCATCCACGTGTTGTAGATTCGGTACGCCTCTTTGATGCGAAGATGCTCCGAATAGAAGTAGCCGCCGGTGAGAAGCTTCTTCGAGAACGTCACAATGTCGGGCGGCGAGCTCAAATTCCAGTGCTCGTGCGCCCACAGTGCGCCCGTACCGCCGCCGCCGGTTTGAACCTGCAAAATGGTACAGAGAGAGCATTTGTGGTCACCCAACCTCGTCGACAATAAACACAATTCCATTCTTCTTGGTGATGTCTTGCAGACCCTGGAAGAATTGCGGGCTTCCGTAATGATCGCCGCCTTCCGACTGAATCGGCTCCACAATGATGGCGGCAACATCGTTGTCCTTTCGTTTCCACTCGGCAATCTTCTCCTCGACGTCTTTGAGGCACTCCTTGTCCTGCGCGTCATTGTATTCTTTGTTCTGATCCAACGGGTAGCGATATCTCGGAAATTTCGCAATCGGCCAATCGAACGCCGGAATGTCGACCTGCAACGAAACAGTGCGACTGATGATGAGAGCGCAGAGAAACGCGACACGCTTCATCACTAATACGGCGCGCGAGACGCATGCGCTCAACCGCCCTTATAGCTCAGTGGCAGAGCGTTGGTCTTGTAAACCAAAGGTCCGTAGTTCAATCCTGCGTGGGGGCAAACAAATTTTTGCAAACCTTGTGAATTCCCTTGCTCCGCGTCACCGACAACATGCAAAGTGTGCGGCCGTGAAACGCGCCCTGAAAGCCCATCACCGACAACGTCGGCGTGCCCGGCTTCTTCTGCTCCATGCAGCTGGCGAGGTCCTCGGCCGACGGTCCTTTGCCGCCGCGGCGTTGAGCTTGATACCAAATGAACGCCGTCTTGATGGCGTTCTCGTTGGCCGACGAGCCGCAAAGCATTGTCTGAACCGCTTTCAAGCCCTTCGGTGCCACCGACGTCAACGCGTTGCTGATGCCGTCGGCGAAATCGGTTCGCGGGAACGAGCCCAACGCGGGACGAGACACCAGCGAGGTCTGAAATTGTGACGATTGTCGCCAAGCCCGATTCGATGGTCCGTTACAATCAAATGCGGAGCGCTGGCGACTTTCACCAAATCCGGATGATTGTAGCCGAGCGGAAGGGACGAAATTTGCGTGTAAAGGTCCAAAAATGAGTTTCCTGAAAATTTTTTGACAATATTTTAATTCCAAATTTTGATCTACCATCGGCGTCGACCATGTAGTTTCCGAATGATTTCTCATAGTCCACGTGGAATCGAACCGACGTGGTTTGCTGCAATTTTTTGACGATTAGAAATATTTTTTTGAAAAAAATTGTTTTTGGCTTAAAATCAACCAAATTTTCACATTTTCTCTGAAAAACTCTAAAATCTTACATGAACTTTGTCCATTTGCGCTCTGAGCTCTTTGGACTTTGGTCCGGGAATCGCTGTCTTCACCGACGGACCATTCGGCTCGGCAGTGGCGATCGACGACACGCTTCTCGCTGAAAATTGGGTGAAAATTCGCAAAAATGCCGATTTTGATAACAAACCTTGCTGAAGAACACTCGATTTTGGCAAACGCGAGAGCATTCTGCAAAGAAAAATCGAAAAATTAAAAAAAATTTGTTTTGAAAAAATTATTTGGCGTCGAGTTGAGCAAGTTCCGCAAACACCGCGACGCGTGTCTGCGGGATTTTTTTTGAAACACTCATTCAAAATCGTCACAATTTTTTCGTGAAAACACCACTTTTTGGAGGAGACCTTGAAATTTTCACTTTTTTTGTGATAATAAAATCGCAAAAATCGTCGGCGAGACACAAGAAATGGGTGAGAACGAAAATGGAGCGGCGAAAAATCGAAATAAACAATTTTTGGACGGCTTTGTGCATTTTCTGCCTCTTTTTCTCCTCACCGAATAAATTTTCTCGTATCGCATAGAGAAAAAAGAAACGGAAAACGGGGGAGGGGCTCAAGGGTCCCAAAATTCTTTCATTATTTTTTTTAGCCAAATATGGTGAAAAAGCGGTCGGCAGCCGCAATTGATAAGGAAGTCAATAATCGCGAATCGAGTGGCGACCATGATAACGTCTGATAACCAAGGTCGCTGGTTGAAAACAGAATTGACAAATAAGATGGGCAACTCGTGCTGCGGACAATTGAGGACAACCCGCGAGTTGTCCGCAACTGATATTTCCAAAAACAGACTTATATATCAAGCCATTCGATGGTTCCAATTTTGGGCTGCTGACTAACAAAGCACAAGAATTGTCCGCAGAACAATTTTTTCAAAACAATTGGCGTGAGCGGATGGGGTGGCTAACTGACCCTGACACATGTCGTGTTTGTGTAAAATCTCGCGATGCCCCACCAGATTGCTTCTGCGAATTAAACATCAATACCACAAATAAATAAATCTCTTTAATATTCTACTAAGCGAAAAAAAAGGAAGAACCTTCTAATGACACAAACCAATTGAGCTCACCAAAGCCAAAAAAAGGAGAACGGAACAAAAATGGAATAAATTAATCTAATCGATCTTCGACGAGCAATTGCGCGGCTCTCATGTATTTGCTGACGGCGTTGTCGAAATCCGATTGTTCGAGCGGTTGGAGACGATCCAGACAGCCGCCGTCGGCCACAGTCGCTTTCGCGCGAGCGAGAAGAGCCAATCGGCAAACCTACAACAAATTTTTCTTGGAAATTAAATTAAATATTGATTTTCAAAACAAATATTTTGTTTTTTTGTAAGTTCTGGGCTTTATGAGATTAAAATAATTAAACAATTGTCAGTCAAACAACACTGGTTCGATAATTTTTTTTCATCGCCTCAAAAATTTTAAAGTGTATTAGGGTTCCCCCAATTGCTAAAAATTAAGAATTTTGCAAAAATGTTTTTCAATTTCAAAAACGTTGGGAAAACTCTTACAGCGGAAGCCATGCACTTTAAATCGTTCACTATTCCATTTCCTCCCACCTGCCATTCGATTTGATGGCTTTATGCGTACCTCATCTCAAGCCAAATGGGAAAAAGAGAAAATTCAAGAATTTTCGGAAAAATTACTTCAAAAATGACTTTAAAACCACATTTTCAAGGTCCCATCATTTATCACTCTTCATGAAGGGTCAAAGTTCAAAAATTGAGCGCACATGTTGTCGGAGAGACCCATGCGATCGAAAAATCACATTTCTGTCTGATTCATTGGAAACAAAAATTACACAAAATTCGAAAGAAACCCCTCATTGATAAGTTTTAGAAAAGTTAGTAAAAAAGAATTTAAAAAGAGCTAACTTTGAGCGTGGTCACAACTAATTATAAACTATTCTTAAAACTCTATTTTTGGTCAATTTTGTTCGAATTTATTAAATTTTTTCAAAAAAAGAAAATAGAGATTAGAGCTCAAACCTCTTTCAAATCGGATCCCGACAATCCACACGCGGTTTCGGCGACTTTTAGCAAGTCGACATCTCCCAATTCCTCATTTCTCAAAATCACCTAAACGCGAATTTTTGATTAAAGAACGCTTATCGAAAAAGAAAACCTTCAAAATCTGTTCTCGCTGCTGGCTGTTTGGCAGCGGCACCTGGAATTTCGCAGTCATTCGCCGCAAAATCGCCGCGTCGACGTCTCGCGGACGATTCGTGGCTCCCATCACGATGATCTGAAACGTTTGTTAATATTATTGGGGCGAATAACGAGAAATGAAAGCCAATTCCCGAGTTTTTCACCAAATCACTAATTATTCGAATTTTGAAACAGTAGAAATTTGTAACAGGATAAAGCTTCGAATTTCAATAATTGCTCAAGCAATAAGAGATAAACGCAAGAAGAAATTTCTTATGTTAGATTTTTAATTTTCAGAAAAAATGTTTTAAAAGTTCTCTTGAAAATTGTTTTTTGGACTACTCATTGTGAAAGTTGGTCGAAAAAAATTTGAAAAGGACTTTTGGATTCGACCATTAAAAATAAATTAAAATTCCATAAAAATCTTTAACTGTCGGTTTTGAAAATTGTAAAATTGATATTAGAATTGGTAAAAAAAACTGAATCGAGTAGATTTACGTACAAAACGAATGATTGGTTAAAGGCTTACGTCGCTTCAAGACCTCTCTTTGTTTTTTTGCATTTAACCAATGTTCTAAAACTATTCGGTGTTCCTTTTAAAAGTTCCAAATTAATGTGACGCTTATCTACCATAATGGGTCATTGCGCATGAAAAAAAAAATGCGTTTAAAACATTAGAATGTGCCTTGGGGTCTCAAAACGGTAATAATATTCACAGCGACTTTTATTTTTTATTTTGCAATTCGCATGATTTTTCTTGGGTTTGAAGTTTTTTTTCCTAAATCTTTTCTTTTGCACTTTGCATCCGAAAAATTCCTGAGAGCCAAATTTCGCAGACTTGTTGCTCGAAAGCCGAGCCAAGCCGAATTGTAGCAGGCCGCAACTGGGACAATTTAAAAAATCTATAGTAAAGTCATTTTCCTGAAAGGAATATCGAATAATATGGAAATGGAATGTATTCAATATGCAATAAAACTTGATAATTTCGGTCTACTCGGTCGAATAAAAGAAAAAATTTTTATATTGGCCGTGGTCGACCGGCCGAAACAACAAGCCTGAAGTTTCGACAAGTTCAATCCGATTTGGTTCAGTTTTTCGGAGCCGCTTTGTTTGAATTAAAAAAAAAGGTGTTACGCGTAAGTCAAAATGTTCTACCGTGCAAGCGTAATTACGCGCAACCCGTTTTCGATTATCAAATTATGCGATTTTAGCATTACTCAATTCATTGTTCAATAAAAAAAACGAAACAACCGGCTCGAACCTGATCGCCAGTACTCGCGAATCCATCCCAAAGTGTCATAAATTGAGCCTTCATCATCGCCGTCGCCTCATGATCATGCGATTGGCGATCGCGAAGGAATGAGTCGATCTCATCGATGAAGATAATCGTCGGCTGGAATTTCTGCGCCACCGAGAACAGAGCGGCGGCCAACTTCTGAGATTCGCCGTACCATTTGTCGGTCAAATTGCTCACTTGCAAATTGATAAATCTGAAATACTCATCGTCTTGAGCCGATTATCCGAATAGACTACCTGCAGCCGGCTGCCCTGGCAACAGCTTTCGCCAGTAGTGTTTTGCCGCAACCTGGCGGTCCGTACAGCAGAATTCCACGTGGCGGACTCAGCAAATGACTCGGCGATTCTTGCGCGAATCGCAACGGCAAAATAATGCGATCTTTGAGCTCCATGACGAGCTCCTCGCATCCGCCGACATCTTCCCATTCGGCTCCAACGCCTTCACCGCCGACAAATTGGGTCGCAATTCGAATCTCGTGCTCATTCAGCTCCACTTTTCTATCAATACCGAGCTCGCTGAATAGTTGTGCAACCTTTTTCTTGTTTTCCTCGATGGTTGCGTGATTCGGATCCAGATACTTGACAAGATAGCGGACGGTGAAGTACGACATCGCCGCGGCCGCGGCAATCCGAACCGCAATGCCTATCAACTCGCGTCTATCCGCCATTCTTGGAAAAATTGTCGTTGAATGTGCTTTGTGTCTTTTCTCGTGAGCAGGTATTCAAGGGGTTAAACTTTATATACATCAGGGCAAACTTTCACCGTGTTATATCAACAAATTTATTGAAGATTGAATTAATAACAATAAACAACTTAGTTGGAGGCACGGATAGACACCTGCCACACTCGGATGATGTTGTCGGTGTATCCAGCGTACAAGGTTTGTCCATCTTGCGACCAGGCCAAGGAAATACATTGCGGGCTTGACGACTTCTTGGATCCTGGGATTTCTGGCTTGAGCTCGTCGATCTCCTTCTTGTCTTCCAAATCCCAGATCTTAATCGAGGATCCGACAGCGGCGCAGAGCCAATATCTGTTTGGTGAGAACGACATGGCGTTGATGACGTCGTTTCCGCTGAGGGTGTACAAGTGCTTGCCCTCGTTGAGGTCCCAGAGCATAGCTTGTCCGTCTTTGCCTCCAGAAGCGCAAAGGGAACCGTCTGGGGAAACGGTAACGGTGTTGATGTATCCGGTGTGTCCGATGTGGTTGGTCTTCAGACGGCAGTTTCCGAGGTTCCAGACCTTGACGACTCTGTCCCATCCGGCGGAGACGATCACTGGATCGCGAGTGGATGGCGAGAATCGCACGTTGGAAACCCAATCAGTGTGGCAATCCTCCTACAAACATGTATTGTGAGCAATTTCAAATTAGGAAATTTGACTTACAGTGATGGTGTACTTGCATTGAGCAAGGGTGTTCCAAAGCTTGATCGACTTGTCACGGGATCCAGAGACGATTTGTCTGTTATCAGCGGAGAAAGCGACAGAGAGAACGTCCTTGGTGTGGGAGATGAATTGACGGGTGCTCACTCCCCTGAAAGAAAATTACTTAAACGTGACATGTTAAATAACATTAACAACATTTTTATCAAAGAAACGCAATTAGAAAAAACGTTTAATATTATAATATCTCGGTTTAGAGGTCTGATAAAACGTAAAAGATACAAATATCCAACTCTCCAAAATTGAAATAATTTTAAAGACTGCAAATACTCACTGGTTCAAGTCCCAAAGACGAAGAGTCTTATCCCACGATCCGGAGAGAGCGAATTGTCCATCAGATGAGATGACGACATCGGAGACGAAGTGGTTGTGTCCGGCAAGGGAGCGGACTGGACGTCCGACTGGTCCTCCGTCAGCGGATTGAACGTTGTCAATGTCCCAGACAAGAATGGTCTTGTCTAAAAATGTAATTGTATAATAATAGAAAAGAAATGCCTAAATCGTGCGACAACCATAAATTGGCTATATGTAAAAAAAACAATTATTGTCCCTTTGGGGCAAAACTATGTGTAGATTTACAGATCTAATTATAATAGGTTAAAGACGCACACACTAAGAGCTCTACCTAATTTTAAAAATATTTATCCAATTTTCAGCAGTCGCGCGATGTAAAAATCTGAATAAAATTATAAAACAACTTTAAAGTAATTTAAAATGCTTGTGCGACTTATTTTGAGGAAATAAAATGTCAAACGATAGAAAGAACAGTAAAACTAACCGCGGGATGACGAAAGAACGGTAGTCTTGTCGTCGCGGGTGAAGGTGGCGATTTGGGTAACCCATCCGGTGTGACCCTCAAGGGTTCCGGTAAGTTTCATTTGTTCCTGGACCATTTTGTGTGACCCTGTTCGAGAACCTGAACAATTATAACGTCTTCAAAGAAAAAATGAAAAAATTTAAGGACAAAATAAACAATAACCGAGCGATAAGAGCAGCTAAAATTAATGAAATTGCGTGCAGTTTAGTGATAATTGTCGAAAATCAACAAACATAGGCATTTTTGTTTCAAAATTGGTCGAAAAACCTCAAAAAAAAGGAAAAAGTCCTAAAATCGGGGGTAAATACACATTGGAGAGGAGAGCGACCGTATGTCGTCGCTCACTGCGAGACCCGACGCGATAAATGCGTGCGCCTTTAGTTGGCTATTTGCCAATGTAAAAATAATTCGCGAATTTAATTTTTTGAATGAATTTTTCGAGATTTTATCGCTTCTTTTTCAATTTTCCGTTATTTTGGGACGATTTAAACCAATAATCAATCAAATATTTTAATTAGATGCGAAATTGCAACGAATTAGTTGTATTAGCACATTTTTTTCATTTTGCAAAACAAAAAAATTGTTGAATAAAGTTTTCACAAATTCCCTTCATTGTTTTGCGCATATTCCTTTTCGCCGACCATTTTTGATGTGGGAGAATATGGATAAAAATTCAGGAAAAGATTGCATCTGACATAGATTCCGTGTCAGATATCGAAGCCGAAATTCGCTGTCTTTGTTTTGTTCGTTTTTTTTTTGATAAAACATTGGACATAGCAGTTTTTCGTCTCCTCGCCGGTCAACATTCTTTATGTTTCGTCGCTGATTTATCTCGCAATGTCAATAATAATTTCATTGTTTTGTTTTTGGCGTATGTTCCAATATTTATCAACCCTCCATCTCCCGAATAAATTTAATCCCTCCCCCCATCCCCTCAAAAAAAGGTAGAGATTAAGAATTCCAGAAGCTTCTGCAATCTGCCCCCCTCTATTTCCCATAAACCCAACTTTCTCTTCTTAATAAAATATGTGGGGTGTGTTGTTGTAGATTTACGAGCGCATAAATCAACATTAAATAGTAGTTGTAGTTATCGCCGAAATCTGACCGCGTCCAACACTATTTATCTTGTGTTAAGACCTCTGTGGTTCTCGTAAATCCACAATTAATAGCCTTGGTGTGATCAAACTTGGCTAGTTCTCACCTGATTATTACATTGTTCATCAGTTTATCGAGTGTGCGCCTTTAAACAACATCACGATACGATTTTACCTTTAAATTGGCTGTTTGCGATGCGATTCAACCCAAATATTACCAGCGGACTAAATCGAATGTGTTTGGCGCGGTAATTCAAATTTCGATTTTCATTTTGAGGATACCATTGGGGTAATGCATAGAAGAAACGCGATTTTCTCAATTTTTTTCTTTTTTTTATTTTCTCTATGAGTCAAACTCTCCATAGGATGCTCGTTTTCTGTTTTTAAAAAAATCTACCTATCAGCTAGCAAAAATTTAAAGGCGCATTCTCCAAAATGAATTCAATCATGAAAACGATGCTCGATTCCAACGACACTCGCTTCGAGACTTTAAATGGTTGGATTAAAGGCGCGCACTCAAGAAGTCGGTACAACAGTCGTTTCGTCCATCTTCACATGCCGCCAGTCGGTTGGGTAGTCATTGAGGGGAAGCGAGAGACTTGGATTGTCTCTCCCGGGAGGCCGGCCGGTCAGTGTCCAGCGGAGTGTTCCCGCGGTCTGTCTTTCTCTCTTTCTCCCTTCGTCGAACCGGCGTTTGCTATCGATCGATCGCCACTGCCCCGCTGATCTCCCTCTCCATCTCTCTCTCTCTCTCTCTTCCTCCTTCTTTATTTGGCATGCGGTTTTGCACCTCTTAAGATATCGCGCCACGAAATTGTGTCGGCATTTTTGCTTCATCTTGCCACTGATTTTACGATCTCCTCATTCTTTCATCTTCGCGTTTTTTTTTCATTTTCCTGTTGTTGTTGTTGTTTTTTTTTGGTTCGAAATTCGTCGATTTGAACCGGATTTTCGAGGCGATATGCCGAGTCCTTTTTTTTTTGTTTCTCGTTCGAAATTGTTCCTCTCTTTAACCTATTATTTATACCATTCATGCATTGACCATTAGCTGCCGAGTAATTCACGCGAATCTGGAAAAAATGACCAGTTTTGGCACTTTTTCTTCGAAGAAATTACTTAAAATTTGGAGTTTTCCTTCAAATCTCAAAGAGATTTTTTTCTTTAGACAATTTCTTTAGACTTTAGACAACATTTTTGGTTTTTTTTCTTATTTAAACCAAATTTTCTTTTATGATTTTTAAAAAATATTGCCGACTATTATCAAACTTTGTTTGAAATTTGAAAAAATTTTATGTAAAATCTGGAAATTTAGTCGATTTTATGAATTTTATTGAAAATTGTGATTATTTTTGTTGCCAAAAATGGTTGAAATCGCAATTTTTGAAATCTTTCTTCAAAATTGCTGAAAAATACCAAAATTGAAAAATTGTACTGGAAAAAAAATGTGTATTTTTATCAAATTTGACCAAAAAATTTAATTTTTTCTTCAGAAATTTATCGAAAATCCCCAAAATAATCGTGCATTTTTTCATTTTTTTTTTGTCAAAATTCCCACAAATTTGTCAAAATTGCCTAATATTATTGGAAATTTCAGCCAATTTGTCCGTCATACGAGCTTTTCGTTGTCATTTTTCGGACGAATTGACGCCTAATCGAAATACCAGTTTAAAGGGAGGTGGATGGGTGGGTGTGGGGACCCGTTCCACACATTCTTCACATATTCTTCTCATTCATTTGTTTATGAATTTCGTGTAATACGATTCCATTTTCTGTATATTATATTATAAACATTATTCAATTCAATTTTTCGTCGAAATTTGAACTTTTTGGCGTGTGGAAAATTGAAAAAATGCTCGATTCTCTCGTCGAAAATTCGTCATTTCCTTTGTAAAACTTGTCAGTTTTGCGAACCGCCCGAAATTTCCATATTATTTTGGTTTTTTTTTTCTCTCTCTCTCTCGTTGAATATCAATGTTGCTCCTCGCGAGAATACCTGCATTTTTTTTTCACGGCGAAATTCGTCCGTTATTTATTTTTTTTCGATTGGGTGATTTTATTGAAAAATTTTGGGTTTTGCGGCAAATTTCTTGAAAAATTCGTATTTTTCGGGAATTTCTCTCAAAAAAAAACCAAAAATTTGCATTTTTGTGCAAAAACGAAAGATTCGAAACGTTTGAGATTTTTCAAAGTTCAGAGGTGCCTTGAAACCCTTCTCACATCTTTATTATGTGTTTTGTCCCTTGAGAGAAAGAGCCTGACCCTCGTCCAGCTCCAGCTTCTCCTCCCGCCCCCCCCTTCTATTCGTGCTCCTTCATTTTACAACAATGTTGCCCCGCGTCTTTGCCTTATTTGGTGGCGGCCGTCATACGAGATTAGTTGCAGATTGCCGCGCATGGATTATCGGAAACCGTTGCGGCAGGATCCGGTGAATGATGCCCGATTCTACGAGAGCCTCATCAAACCGCCGCATTTGAGAAGCCCTGAGGTTTGTTTTGCTGAAAATTTGGAGATTTTGAGTGGAAAATTGCAAAGTTTTGATCTTGAAAATTTTAAAATCCTTAATTGCCTCAAAAAAAGCGAGGAAATGTAATTTTTTTCAAACCTTTAATAATCGAGTTCTTTTTGAGCGCTTTTCTAAAAAAAAATGCGAGCAATTTAAAAAAAAAAGTGGGAATTTGATTCCATTTTTTAAAAAGATTAGCAAAATTAGCATTTTTGATTATATTTTGAATTTTTATTTAGAAATGTACGATTTTTGGCGGCAAAAATTTGGAGAATTTCCAATTTTTGCTCAAATAATTGCAAAATTATCAAAAACGTTTTTTTTTCGTGGAAATTCCATCGAAATCTCATTTGTTTGCCCTATCAACTCAATTTTGACGCGCCGAAATTCCTTAAAGGGGATTCCTCACACATTTTTGATGATGCTCGAATTCAATTGACGCGAACTTCTTTTTTTATTCCAGGATATCCGAAACGTCTACGAGCAACTACGGCAACTCGACACATTCAGCAATTTGTATAATGCGCCTTTAAAGGCGATTTGCGCATCGGCGAGATATGAGCGACATCCAGCGCATTTCATATTGTTCCGGTGGGTTGGGCGCGCCTTTAATTCGCGGTTTCCCGTCGGGAGACTGAGAAAAAATGAACACTTTGTGATGAAATGAGATAGTACGGTCGTAAAATTGTCGTAAAAATGACCACAGCCCGAAATTTGAGCCACAAAAAAAAACGAGAGAGTGAGAATTTCGAGCTCCAAAATTGTTCAATTCGATTCAAAACTCAATATGCGCCTTTAAATTACGGTGGATTTAATTGCAGAGACGGCGAGATCGCCTCGTGCTGGTTCATTCTTCTCTCCGGCTCGGTGTTCATCGAAAACCACATTTATCTTCCCTATGCCTGGTATGTTGATTAGTATTGTTTCTCGTTTTCCGTCTCGCTTCGAATTTTTTTTTCACTTCACTTTCCATGAATCATCCTGGAAGCTTTACACCTGTACGCGCATTGTTTATTAGTTTTTTTTTTGATTTTGAAAGCGAAATTGCAATTTTCGGTTGGTTTTCTCATTGAAAAATTGTTTTAATTGTTTGAAGCTCGAAATGATGCGCAATTTCCAATTTTCCACAAAATTCATAAATTGGAAAGCTAAAATTATTTAAAACTAAAAAAAATTTATATATCAAATTTTTTTGTCAATTCCGCGAAATTTTTCAATAATTCTTCGAAATAATCCAATTTGCGCCCAATTTTGGGCATTTCAGCAATTTTTTGAAGCCTAAAATGTTCCAATTATGGATTTTTTAAATGATTTTTCCGGCATTGCTCAATTCCACAATTTTTGATGCTCGAAAATGGCAAAATAGGAATTCTGTTGGAAATTTTTTACAATATTGCCTATTTTTGCAATTTTTGAAGCTCAAAATAGGCAAATTATGAATTTTTTGTGAAAAATTTCACATTTTTGCTCATTTCCACCATTTTTTGATCGAAATTAGTAAAATATGGGTTTTGTTGGAAATTTAGAAGCTCAAAATAGGCAAACTATGAATTTTTTGTGAAATTTTCAAAATTTTGGTTTTTTCAAAGCTCAAAATGAATCAACTAAATTGTTTTTGAATAATTATCAAAATTTTGCTCATTTTTTCAATTTTTGATGATCGAAATTAGCAAAATATGAATTTTGTTGAATATTTTTTACATTCTTGCTCATTTCAGCCAATTTTGATGCTCAAAATTGGCAAATTAGAGATTTTTTGTGAAATTTTCAAAATTTTTGCTCATTTCAACAATTTTCTGGGTTTTGTTGGAAATTTAGAAGCCAAAAATAGGCAAATTATGATTTTTTTTTGTGAAATTTTCAAAATTTTTGCTCATTTCAACAATTTTCTGGGTTTTGTTGGAAATTTAGAAGCCAAAAATAGGCAAATTAGGAATTTTTTGTGAAATTTTCGGAATTTTGCTATTTTCGAAAGCTTAAAACGAACCAACTGAATTTTGTTTTGGATAATTTTCACAATTTTGCTCATTTCAACAGTTTTTGTTGAAACTATTGGTGATCCAAGTTTTTTGCGCATTTTTTGATCGCATTATCGCTCTCAAAAATTCATGATCTCGCGTGCGGCACATTTGATGAGAATCATGTTTCGGCGCCACACAAGTGCAATTCGAAGCGGCCATATTTGGCAAGGCGAATGTTTGAATAAACGAGCGCACACGATGAATTGCTCTGATATTGGCGTCGTTCGTTTTTTTTTCTTCCCCTCGTCTTTTCATCTCCTCTTCTACTAAGAACAACACAGAATCTTTATTGCGTTCGTTGCCCGGGGAGCAAAGAAAAAAAAACCATGCGAGAATTGGATTGGCGATTTGTGGTGATGGTGGTGGTGGTGGCACTTTATTTTATTTATTCACCTATTTTTCCTCCTTCTTCTAGAATTGAAATGCGCCGGTTTTTTTTTGGGAGATTCCAGAAAATTTGCAGCTTTTCTCTAAAAATCCCCGATTTTTCTTCACACGAATCGCGTTTTTTTATGATTTTGAGCGTTTGACGCCCAATTTGGGTTGTAGTCGAGAGAAAATTGAGGTTTTCCTTGAATTTCCTCCCCCCTCCCGGTATAGATTTGTGTTTTTCTTGTATTTATGAACCCCTCGAACGCTCGTATTCATTTCAAGCAGTTCCTTCTCTTTTTTGAGAGATTTATTAGTGAATTCAAGAAACTCGCGTGAGAATATCCCATTCATTGCGTTATTTATCGCTTCGGGACCAAACCATCAAATAATTTGTTACTTTTTTCTTTATTTGACTGAAAATTCACATTTTTAAGCATTATTTTTCCAAAAGTTTTGTCGAGAAATTGAAATTTTGGTGGCAAATAAGGTCTCTTGAATTTTTTTGTTGTTGATAAAATTTGCTTTTTTTTCGACATATTTCATTAAAATTGATCAAATAATTGAGAAAAATGCGAAAAAATTGAGAAATTTTTTGAGAATTTCAATTTTCAATGAAATTATACGCCAGAAATGCAACGACAAAATTGCGAAATTGTGAAATATTGAAATTTTAGCCTAATTTTCATAGAACACTCGACAATTCCAGCAGAAAATATTTTGTTGAGCAAGAAAAAAAAAATTGTTTTTAAAGCAATTTTACAGCTGAAAATTGGGGTCTTGATTTCCAATTTAATGCTAACCAAAAACACGATGGCAGCGGTCTTGGCGGGAAATTATAAGTGTAGATTTACGGGAATATGTAGAAGAATAGGTTAAAGGCACGCACTGCCTTTTTTTTTCGACAATACATATTACAATTGAAATTTTTTTCTGGAGTGGAAATACCAAAAAATGAATATAAAGCTCAAAAATTGAATGCAAAAATTCGAAAATGTTTGATAAATAATAATTAATTGGCCCATCTGGTTTTTGTGATGGAATTCGCAAATCCAGGTATCATCATCATCATCATTAACATCATCAACATCGTCCCTCGCGCGCGCGCGCGTCCTTCCGATTCATTGAAATGAGACAACACGCACTGGGCTTCCGATTCGATCATTTTGACGACCTATCATCGATAGATATACCCTAATTTGTCGTATTTTCCTTGTCAAATTCCGCAAAATTCTCCGATTGAGATTTTGGTGTTGTTGCTGCTTTTATTATTATTATTTTTTTTTGCAAAATCAATAAACGAAGCCAATTTTGTTGGCCTCGAAAATTTTGGTTTCGACGAGAAATTCATTTTTTGAAGCCCACAATTTTTTTTTCTCTCATAAATCGAGAAAATTCACAAAATTTCAACTTTAAAAGAGAAACAATGATTTTGCACTATTGGAAGCGACGAGATTCTTCTAAAATTGATCGATTTTACGAATATTTGTTTTTTTTTGGATTTTCCACATGCGCCTTTAAATTACGCTTTTGATAATCCTCTGCACTGAATATTATTGCAACGCCTAGGCTTCTTTAAAATAATAGGGAACGGTATGCGCCTTTAAAGAAATTACATAAAATTTTTTATTATTGCATTTTTGCTTCGAAAAATCCGATCGTAAAAGAATCAGGTGGTTATTTTTTTCGAGTGTTTTTTCTGTGATATTTGCGTCAGAGTGTTTGCACACATTTTCGCGTTGTACCGTTTATTTCAATTTTTCTGAAAATATTCGAGTTTTGATGGTATTTCAGTAACCTATTGAGTCCTCATGGTCTCAGATTCTTCGGTACGCTTATAGCTTTTTTGAAAGCGGCTGAAAAAATTTTTGGGGAATGATGTGATTTTGTGAACACATTTTTTCATTTCATTTTAATTTCAATGAGCAATTTTTATTAGTTGACGGGCCCAAAATAGATAACAGCCCGCCAAATTCAAAATTTTGAAATTCGTTGTTTGCAGAGAAAATCTATAAAGTATCGCGATAAAATATTTTTAGGTTTTTTTTTTCGGAATGCGCCTTTAAACGTCTATAGTAACCGTTTTTTAAATTTTTTTTTGCACCCACTTATTTATAACTTTTAAGGGCCTTCATATTCGCGAAATCAGAGTAGATTTAAATTTTTCGTTGACTTAATATTAAATGCGCGTACGTTATAATGCAATGTACGCAGTGTCGCGTACTTCTCGGTGTCTCGAAACGTATTGGCACATAGCCAATATATATTTTTTTAATTTCCGACAATATGTATAATCAGCATAGTAAAAATTTGAATTCGAAAAAATGGGGTCTCCTCCGAAATATGAGTGGAGGCACCATTATTGGCGAAATATCTTAATGCGCCTTTAACTGACTGTATGTCGTCGCTGCTCTCGAAATTTTGTCGATTCAACTGTTGCCATACAGTGTTTGCGGTTGCCGGAGATTAACCGACTTGCCCGATCCTCTTGTTCTTCTCCTTCTCCGTTTTCCTTTTGTTGTTGTGCGTCGGTGCGCGACAATGATATTTTTTTGGCGCGCGAGCGAGTGTGTCAAACTTCTTCTTGTGTGTGCGTTTTTTTTGTCCCCAACCATGTTTAGTATCGAATTACGAACCCGTCGAAGTATTTTTGATTTTGTTTTTTTTTTTCGTTGCAGCTTCGGCAAACGCAACGGACTCAATTATCGGCGAACACACGACTGTATGCTGTTGCAAGAATCGGAAATGATTGTGGTGAGTCTTCATTTTTGGGAAAAACATTGAATTGAATTCCTTTTTTTGACAAATTTTGATTTTACGTGCTCTCTTTTTATGGAATTATTCATGAATTTAAAAAAAATGGAAATGGTTGCACATTTTATTAAGAATTAAATTTTATAAAAATTCCAGAAAAAATAAAATTTTTTGATTGAAAATTGGATTTTAGCTTGAAATTGCTTCTTTTTAAGCGAAAATTTTTTATTTTTCAAAAATCATTTTTGTTATTACAATTTTGAAATTTTTTTAAAGGCAACAATTGAGAATTTTGAAATTTTTCCTTGATTTTTTTCATTTAACTACAAATTTGAGCTTTTTCGGTATTTTCTAGGCTTTGAAGACATTTTAAAGCTTGTTTTTTTTTTGGAAAAATGTTTTATTCAAAAAAAAATTGGCTCATATATTGACAATTTTTTCATATTTTTTCAAAAATATGAAAAAAAAAATCGGCATTTTCCGTGATTCTCTCACCCATTTCACCTCACTACAGTAATCCATTAATTTTATGCGTTTTTATGCGTTAAACATGACCCGTTTATTAGCTATTGTTCTTCGTTTTCGCCAATTCCATTGTGTTCGCGCGAAAAAGTTTTGTCTTGCAAGCTTCTCCGTCAGAATTCGCTGAAACGACTGAAAATTTTGCAATGTTGGTCTCATGGTCCCCAATTATACGAGAATAGCCTTCTATAAAGGTCCCATCATTTTTCAACCCTGCCATTTTATTTTTTTGAAGCTAAATGGCAATTTTTTTGCATCAAAACCGGAGAATTTTTTTGCTGAAAATTTTATGGATTTCAGAAAAATGATAAATTGACGATTTTTTTTTTTAGAAAAAATCACAATTTTTTTTTGCACCCAAAGCCAATAAGACTATGATTTTTCGTGACAAGAAGATTCAAGCACGCGTTATTTGATGGGTACAAACCGGTACGAAATGGTCCCCCCATTATCAACAGCGGCCATTAAACATCGAGCACATGTGCTTGGCTGTGTTCATCTTCGCTCTTCGTATTTTTTTTCCCTTCGTAAAATTTATGAGAGAAGCCAACACGACCGGCGAACCGCTTTTACATTAGTTTTCGTCGAAATGGTCCCTATCAATGTTTTTTTTTTCGAGTTTTGATGGCGCAAATCATTTTGCATTTTCTTTTTGTTGAAATTTGGTTGGCTTGAAAAATTGAGCTGAAAAAAAAGGGAAGGTTTTAATGAGATTAATCGAGATCAATTTTTGAAGTATTTTTTTTGGTGAGATTAGTTTTTGGGGATTCGATTCCTCGTAATCTCCTCATCTCCTTCCTCATCTTCCTCTCTGTCTCCCATCCGCCCACATTTTGTGTTTTGCATAAATCAATTTGAGGTAGTTTTTTTGAACGCACGTTTTCTATCAAATTTTTATTTTCTTGCGTTTAAGTAAAATTGAACTCAATGGTTTTTTGTTGTGGAAAATTGCGATTTGAAATAACATTCAAAACACCATTTTGCTGAGATTTTCAAAATGATTTTGATAATTTTTATTTTAAACTATTTTTTTTAGGTGGAATTTCAATATTTCATTCAATTTTTTGCGTTTTTCGCGCCGAAAAATCATCAATATTTGAAATGAATGTTTTTCTTCGCAGTTTCTTCATGAAAAATGATTGTTTTTTGGGGGTTTCTTGCCATTGACGTTTTTTTTTCCATTTTTGGTCGAAAACCGGAAATTGCCGTTTCAATTTCGAGTGGATTTGCGCACTTTTGAAACATTTTTGAAAAATTGCTGCGAGCGCCTTTAATCCGATGCTCTACGAGCTACAGTAGTCCTTGATTACGATTTTTAATGATTCCGTGCGTCTTTAACCCCCCCACGCACAACCGGAATTACGGATAGTCGATTGATTTTTGACTTTTCTCTACGAGACCAGTCTTATAGGCGCATAATAGCAGAATTTTTTCTTGAATCAAAAGGTTTAACGTTTTGCTCGAAATCTTGTAAAATTTTTGAGCGGCGTGACCATTTTTAAAGGTGCACGCGCTTGAATCGTATTCTGTTTTAAAAAATCCGAAAAATTTTCCTTTTTTGAGAAAATAAAATTTTGGTTGATTTTTTCCAAAAAAAAAAAGAACCAAACTTTCAATTTTGTCGAAAATCGCAAAATTTTCCGGGCGGCGATACCATTTTTAAAGGCGCATAGGTTTGAATTGATTTTTTTGCGCGAAATTTCTGGAAAATGTGGGGTTTTTAATTAAAAAGAAAGGACTTTTTCTTATTAGTTAGATTTTTGCCAAAAAAAAATTGAAAAGCATTTTTTCGGGTTTTTGCCAACCACCCAAAATTTCGATTTCAGATTGATTATCCGGAAGTGAACGGCGGCGCGCCGGGTGCAAGTTCGCCTCGAATACCGGCGAGAATGTCGACGAGCGTCTCGTCAGCGGCTGACTATCACCACCAACATCATCAGCAGCAGCAGCAGAAATTGCCGCGAAAATCGGTTGGTTTCCAAATGAATTTCGAATTTCGCGTGTGTTTTTTTTGTCGCAACATTCGACACAAAACGCCTCGTCTTTCCGGTCGTCTCGATTTGTTTTTCGCTTCTTCTTTTTTTTTTGTTTTTTTTTCGCACGAATTCCGGCTTCAATTCGATTGACTTGGGTTTTTGTGGAAATTTTGCGCAACAAAAATTTTCCGCCAGATTTCCGAGAATCATCAATGATTTTTTGAACACTTTCAGCTTTTAATTCTAGTTTTCCTTTAAAATTCAAGAAAAAAATGACAAATTCAATTTTTCGGACCATTTCGATTTGCAGGTGCCCAACGCGGATTCTATTGCTATGCCACCGCCACCAGTTCCACCGCGACCACTTCGCCTACCGCCGACGGTGTCGAAGGGTCCCGCGCCGTTGCCGCCTCGCGGCCTACCGCGAACCTATCCGATGGATTTCCCTGTCGATGTTCCGACGACATCGACGACCGCTGCCGTCTATTCCGGCTCGGACCATCGAAGTCAGGTGTATTTGAATGGCTCGACGGCCGATGATGAGACGACGCTGGTGCGTGTGAAGCATCGACGCGAGAAGAGCAACTCGATTGGCGGAATGGCGGCGGGCGCGGCTCGCCGCCTCCGCGGACGCAGCACGGCCTCGTCGACGACGACCGACGGCGAGACGGCGTCGAACGACGGCGGCGAGACCGACGACGAGGAGGGCTCGATGCCGTCGCAGGAGAGCAGCAGCGGCGGATTCGTCGATCTTCGCGATTCGGTTCGCGAGTGTTTAGAGAAGGAGCCCGCCGAGAGGAATTCCGAAGATCTCGCGGTTCTCATGGTAAATTTGCATTGAAGGGTTGGGGGTTTTTGGATTACTGTAGAATGGGCGGAGTCCAAGCTTATATTTCAAGAAGTACAATAAATTGAGTACTACAATAAGGGGCGGAGCTTGTGGATTACTTTTTTTGTGAAGCCCTTAAGCCGTTCAATCCTTTTCATTTGTGGGCGGAGCTTAATCATTGTTTCTTTCCAGGATTTCATGCAACACATGTCGGCATTTGCCGCGCTGCCGATGTCGATCAAACGACAATTGTGCCTAAAAATGGTGTTCGCCGTTGTGAACGAGGCGGGCACCGTCGTGCTCGGCCATAATGAGCGTCTCGACTCGTGGTCTGTGATCGTGAACGGATGCGTCGAGGTGGTGAAGCCGAACGGCGAACGCGTCGAATACAAATTGGGCGACTCGTTTGGCGCCGAGCCAATCCCCGCCCCCCAATATCACATTGGCGAAATGTGCACCATGGTCGATGATTGCGAGTTTGTGCTCGTTGAGCATCGAGTAAGCGCTTCTTCTTCTTCTTCTTATTTTTCTCATTCCATTCTTTTTGAAACATTATTTTTTGATTGGTTTTGGGAAATGATTGCCTAGAATTTGGAGAAAATTGTCGTTTTAAGAAATTTTCATTTGAAAACAATACGAAATTATTGAAAAATTGCGATATTGGAATTTTTCAGGCAAATTTTCCCAAAAAAAAAAACACATTCTTTCCAAGAAAATTGATATGATTTCGTGAGAAATGCTCGATTTTCTCGCAAAAAAAATCGACATTTGTATGGGATTTCACGTAATTCAGCGTTTTTTAAAATTTATAGTGAAATTTTGAGTATTTTTCCAGAAACTGTAGAAAATGGTGGTTTTAAATGGATTTTTTTTTTATTTTTCAAAAAAAATTGATCAGATATTCAAAATTTTCATGAAAAAATATGAACAAATGTGAAATGATTTGATTAGATATTAATTTTTTCTTGAAATTTTGAAATAATAGCAAATTGTGGGGGAAATTTTTTCAGGAGTTCTGCCAAATCATGTCGACGATCGGCGAGCACATCGAGAAGGATCGCGACGATCTGACCGGCGAGATTCTGTCGGAAATGGAGCGTCGAACCGTCGGCGCACACACGGGCCAAATTCTGCTGAAAGGCAAACCCGACAAACTCATTCAGCACATGGTCGACGAGCGCGATCACAACGTCGATCCGCACTACGTCGACGATTTTCTACTCACCTATCGCGTCTTCATTCGCGATCCGACGACGATCTTTGAGAAGCTGATGTTGTGGTTCGCCGACGCGGTGTATCGCGACAAAGTCGCCCGCATCGTTCTCCTCTGGGTCAACAACCATTTCAACGATTTCGAGACGAACGACGAGATGTGGAAGCTGCTCGAACGCTTCGAAGGCGCCCTCGAGCGCGACGGAATGCACTCGCAATTGTCGCTTCTGAACATCGCGTGCTCGGTGAAGGCGAAACCGCGAGCGTTGGTGATGGCGCGCAAAAAAGACGACGCGATGATGATGAGAATCGTCGGCGGCAAAGACGTCAATCAGCCGGTGTTTGTCGCCGAGGTGTTTCCGGACACGCCGGCCGCCGCCGAGGGTCTGAAGCGAGCCGATGAGATGATCGAGATCAATCAGCAATCGGCCAAATATCTCACTGTTGGCAAAGCGCAGGAAATGTTGCTCGTTAGTCCATTTTTTTTTTGAAATTAATTTTTGATTGATGGGATTTTCTTTTTTTTGTTTTTCAATTGTTGAACTTTTGAAAAAATTTTGGCTCTTTTAATGTGAAATATTGAAAATTGAGAAACTCGCCGAAAATTTATTTGGAAAACCTGACTCAAATTTGAGAAATGCGACTGTAAAATTTGATTTTTTGAATTAAAATCGCAAATTTCGGAGTTTTCTTTTTTCGAAAATTGCTAATTTTTAATTTTTTTTTATTTGAAAAAGCTGCAGAATTCTGAAAATCGAAAAATTCTTTCTGAAAAATCGATTATACTCATTTTTGACTATTCTAACATTTTTGGTGACTTTAAAAATTGAATTTTTTGATGAAAATTGTAAATTTTTGGATATATTTTTCTTCATTTTTTTTAAAGAAAACAATGAAGCGCGTATTTTTGGCGTTAAAAAATTATTTAAAAAATATATATGTGCCCATGCGCCTTTAAAATTGGAATTTATTTTGATAAAGGCTGAAATTTTTTAGAGAAACTCTTCGATATCGTTGAAAATGTTGAGAATTTTCACAAAAATCACTAATTTTTTTTCAGGGAACTCTCAATCTCAATCTTCTCGTCAAAAACAATATTCTCGGATTCAAAGAAGTTGTGGGAAAAAAGGAGCACCGCGATTCGAGTAAGACATCATTTTTTTTTCTGAAATTTCGCTGAGCCATGATTTATTCGCAATTTATCGCACGCGTGGCCTAGAAAAATTGTTCTCGGCCACGGCCGCACTTGATGAATTTTAAAATTTTAATTCAATTATTAAGTAAAACGAAATGAATACGTATATATTTTGAGTGTTTAGGATTGCAAAAATCCAAATTTGTGATATTAAAAGAAAATTATGAATAAGAATTTCATATAATTTGTGCCGCAATTATTATTTTTTTAAATTAATTTTTCTAGTCCGCGGCGAGCCGTGCGATAAATTTCAGCATTTTCTCACAACTTTCCAACGTTTTTTTTTTTGAAAAGCATGATTCTATAAGAAATTGCCCGCGATTCTCATTGTTTCATTCATTGTTGGGGCTCATTTGATTTTAGATGGCCGCTTACGGAATGGCGGCCAACGTCATCCGACGCCGATGGTGATACCTGTGCATAAGACGAGTCTGGCGTCGAGTAAGACGACGATCAAATCGAACGGAAGTGGCGGCAGCAAATCGAGTATGATGGACAAACTGATGACGATATTGAAGGCGAACAAGGACGACGGCGATTTCGCCGACGAGGCGAGAATCATGACCGCTTCCGAATTGCGGCCGAGTCGATCGAATCCCGACATCACGTCGATATCGCAATACTACGGACCAGTGAGAAGCGAATGTCCCGAGCATGTTTTGAAGATTTATAGGTATCAATCTTTGCTTTCTTTTTTTATTCTCTCTTTTTTTGTTGGAAATTATGCCAAGATTTTTGAGGGATTTTTAACATTTTTTATTGGATTTTTGTCTTTTTTTTTGAGCTTGGAAAAATCATATGAAAAATAGATTTTTTTTTTGTCTCCTTCAATTATTTTTTTTTTGCACTTTCCACCCAATTTTTAGAAAATTCAACGAATTTCTGTTTTATTTTAAAAAAATTGGAGATTTTAAAGATTTAAATGATAATCTTGAAAAAGAAATTTGAATTATTTGATAAATGAATAGAAAAATCACGATTTTGATTGAAATTTGAAGGTTTTCTATTTTGAGACCCGCGAGGCTGAAAATTAAAAATTTTCAGAATTAGTTTTTCTGAAGCTCGAAACTTCGAAAAAAAAGAATATTAGAAAATTGCAAGTATTTTCGTATAAAAAAAATTGGATTTTCAGAAACGATCAGACATTCAAATATCTGCCGGTTTACAAGGAGACGTCGGCGCGGAACGTGGTGCAGCTGGCGCTTCAAGAGTTCAACATGACCGCCGAAGGCAGTCCGGAATGGTCGTTGTGCGAATGCACGGTCACCATCGACGGTGTGATCAAGCAGCGACGATTGCCGCCGCAATTGGAGAATCTCGCCGAGCGAATCGCGTTGAATAGCAGGTTTTGTTGAAATTTTCGAAAAACAAAAAATGGGAATCATTTCTACAATTTTTTTTTTCTGTCAGCAAAAATTGGGGGAAAATTCACTTTGACATTTTTTTTGTGTCAGCAAAAAAAAAATTTGTTTAGCAAAATTTTTTTTGTTTTTTGGAACAAAAATCAGCTAATAAAAAAGAAATTCCTTCTGAAAAAAAATATTGTCGAAAAAATGGTAAATGGTCTCGAGACGCGCGACTTTTGCGTGCTCTCAACGTGTCGTAAATCGACATTTGATGAGCCAATCACTCGAAATTTCGTCCAATTCCATCACCTCCATGATTTTTTTGCAGGTACTATTTGAAGAACAACAGCCGTTCGGAGCCGTTGGTGCCCGATGAGCTGGCGCCGGAGATTCTCAAAGAGGCGCAGACGCACCTGTTGAATTTGAACGCGCAAGTCGTCGCCGCGCAACTCACCCTTCAGGATTTCGCCGTCTTCTCCGCCATCGAGCCGACCGAGTTCGTCGATGATCTGTTCCGATTGCATTCAAAGTAAGCGTTTCGTTGCGAGACCCCCCGCTCCCCTCCCAACTTGAATTTGTTTTTGCAATGAAACAATTAATTGAGACACAATTTATTATTGAATCGTTTGTCGAAGGTTACTGTGAAGATTTAAAGGCGCATGTTGAAAGAAGAAGAAGCTTTCCGGCATTTTTTGTTTGATTTTTTTTTCAGGTATGGCTCGCCGAGACTTGAAGAGTTTGAGCAGTTGTTCAACAAAGAGATGTGGTGGGTTGCCACTGAGATTTGCATGGAGCGAAATGTGCAGAAACGCGCGAAACTCATCAAGAAGTTTATCAAAATTGCGAGGTTCGTGTTTTGATTTTGAATTCGATTTTCGAAACCATCGAAATTGAGAATTTTCTCTGAAATTTGCCCAAAAGGGGCAATGCAGAAAAAAAAAGAATCGGGATACGCGTGCTTTTGGTGAATTCGCTTCGAGACCCATCGTATAAATAAACGGCATGCGTCTTAAACTACCGTATCTCTGCGTCATGCTGTTTTATTTTTTAGGAATTTGACTTATTTTTTGATGAAATTGTTTCATTTTCGGTATTTTGGGACGCATGCCGTAGATTTAAGAGATGGGTCTCGAAGCGAATCCAACGAAAATGCGCGTATATTCGATGTTTTTCTTTTTTTTTCTACATTTCCCCATAAAATCCATAAAAGTTGGCATATTTTAACAAATTTAAGCATTTTAAAAATTAATTTTTGCTCGTAAAATGATTTTTTCGCATAGACTTTAAAGGACCTTCACGTTTTTATCCTAAAATGGCAACATTTTAATTTTGGTTCCTAATCGAAGAATAATTTAAAAATCGATATTTATCTTTTAAAAATGGTACAAAAACTGGTAAATGTTTAAAATTTTCAATTTTTAAAATCAATTTAATGGTGTTATTCAGAAGGGAATTCGAAATACTGGTTTTTTGCGAAATCTGAAAAGCTTTGCTAATTCAAGTCACAACAAATTTAAAAATTTCAATGTTTTGCCCTTAAATCGACATATTTCTCAGGATTTTTATAATTTTTCTCATTTTTTTCGTTGGTCAATTATTCGAATTGATTTGACCGAACCAAAATTGGGACGAAACGAAAATTGTTGGTTGCAGATATTGCCGCGATTTGCGCAACTTCAATTCGATGTTCGCCATCATGTCGGGTTTGGACAAGCCGGCGGTTCGACGCCTCCACTCGAGTTGGGAGCGCGTCTCGAGCAAATACATTCGAATGCTCGACGAGATCCATCAGTTGGTCGACCCGTCGCGAAACATGTCCAAATATCGCCAACATCTCGCCGACGTCGCCCAAGAGCCGCCGGTCGTTCCCATCTATCCGGTGATCAAAAAAGATTTGACGTTCGCGCACGACGGCAATCCGACGTACGTCGAGAAGCTCGTCAATTTCGAGAAGCTTCGCCTCATCGCCAAATCGATTCGCAATGTGATGAAGTTGAGCAGCGCGCCGTATGAGATCGCCAGCATGGCCGAACGGGTGGGTGGCCAATATACAATTTGTTGTCTGCATTTGTGCGTAATGATGCTGCGTACACACTCCAAAAATTTCAGAGTGATTGGACTACTTTTAGAAAGTTATGCTCAAAAAACCACTTTTTGATTTCTTTATGGCCAGCACTGTATATATGTTTTTTTTTTCAAATTTCAACAACTTGCCTTCCCGTAGATCTAAACACCTATTTTTTTTGCAAATTTTTCACTTTTTTTGTATTTTTTTCTCGCTTAAAATTTTTCCATGAATACCAATGTCGTTAGGCGCGTTGCGGTTTATCCCTAATTTGGTTAGATATCACTCCAGAAGAAACTCAGTGTCTTGAAACCTTCTAAAAATAGCATTGAGAGTCGTTTGAAATATGTAGTAACCCGCCAAAAAAAAACATTGTGACCGCACGCGAACCGCGACGCGTTTGACGACATTGGTCTTTAAGCGATCGATTCTGCTAGTCGGTGTTATTTAAAAAAAATAACAGTCTAATTTAAATTTAAAAGGTCGAAAATAAAAAATTAAATATTGTCGGCGTCACGGCGACTGTACGCGGGTAGATTTACGCGCATGCGCATTGAATTTCATTTTTCTTTATGAGTTTCGCATTTCCTTGAATTTCCAACCTTATTTAATTGAAAAATTATCGAACCGGTCCATAAAATTTGAAATAACCAGCTGCGAGACCATTTCGAAAGACGCATTCCCGTAAATCTACAGCAGTTGCCGGACGCCGACTATAATAAGCCAAAATTTCAGAGCAGAATTTTTTTAAAAATTTTCTTTCATTACCTCATAATTCTATCGTTAAAAAAAAGGCGGCAATTCAAATTTGAAACTAAGTGACCCTTTGGGCTCATTAACTCATCGTAGATCAACATGTCGATGTTTTTTGTTTTGTTGAATCAATCAAATTTTGCAGAGCGGCGGCGCCGTAATCGACGCACTATTGCACATGAACACGTTCGAGGGTTCGAATGTGGCGACGATGAGAAAAGGGATGAACCATCGGCAGAGTCAGCCGCGCAAAAAAATCTACGAGCAATCGTTGATGGTGCGAAAAGTCAAAGCCTATCTGGAGGGATTGCACGTCGTCGATAACGAGATGGAGCTCGACGCGATGAGCTACGATATTGAGCCGCAACCGCAATGTAAGAAAAGAACGTTTTTCGAAATTGCGTCGCTTTTTTTTCGAGTGATTTTAAGTTTACGCATCTGCGGACAAAATCGATTCAACTGTTTCGATTTTGTCGCTTAAAATTTTTTGAAAAATTTTGATTTGAATTTTTGATTTTTAACCTTTTTTGTCGGAAAATTGAAAATATTTTCGATTTTAGCCATTTTTTTTTAGAAATTTGTCGAGAAAAAAAGAGAACCAATTCGATTTTCCATCCAAAAAATAATTTTTTTTATTCATCCTGAAGAGAATTTAGTGGAAAAATTCGCGATTTTTTTCAATTTTGAGCTTAAAATTTTTTATTATGGAATTTTTTTTGAATTTTATCCAAAAAATGCTAAAGCCTTGAAGAAAAATGGCCAAAATCGATGAGATTTTCTTTTTTTTTGTTGTTGACGAGAAAAAAAAATTGAATTTTTCACAATTTGGTTTAAAGGAAAATTCCAAATTTTTTGAAGTTTTTTTCCCCCTAAAATTCGCCAATATTTGGTGACCCAATCGATTGTCTAATGGTCCGCTCGTTATTCCAGCAGCGCGCAACTCGTCGACGGCAAACGCGACGCGCCGCGTTCCATCGCCAACCCCGTCGTCATTGTCATCGCAATCGGCCGGCAAATCGTCGACGCGCGCGAAATTCGGAGCCGAATCGCCGCAAGCTGTTCAAAAAATGCTCGCGTTGGTGCAAAACAGCAAAATCAAAGGTGCGTCGAATGGGTTTTGAGATCAACATTCTGTTTTTTTTTTTTTGGGTTCCAAACGCCGTTTCTTCTACTTCTTTTTTTTTCTTTTCGTTGTCGTAATAACGCTTTTAACCCCCATATGAATATGATTTCCTTTGTAGATTTTTTTTGAGAAGAAAGGTTTGAAAAGGAAAATTGAGGAATTCGAATTTTGACCAATTTTTGCTAGAAATCCGAAAATTTTTGGTTGAAAATCGCCAATTTTGAACCGATTCAATGTTTTTCCCCATCAGTTTTCCATGAAAATTTGGATTTTTGATTTTTTTTTGCAGACGTCGAGTTTTTAAGGAAAAAAGAAAGAATCCAAAACAATTTTTCGAATTTGTTGATTTTTTTTTTTGTTTTATGGAATTTTTGCCAAAAATTTTGAAGAAAATCAATCTTTTTGGATTTTTCAGAAAAGAAAATTGAAAAAAAAAACGTTTTATTCAATAAAAAAATTAAAAAATGTGGAAATTCTTCATTTTTTGTGCCCAAAAATTTCATTTTCCGTGAATTTCAAAAAAAAAAATGAATTTTTTAAAACCAATTCTTCTTGAAAATGTTTGATTTTGTCTCGAACGAAATTCGTTAAAAAAACTTAATTTTTTCTCATTTTGAAAAATTCAAAATTTTTGTGAATCGGCGAATTTCTTCAAACGCGCCTAATTAGCCACTAATTACCCTCCCCCGTCGTTTTCATCGTCGTTCTCCTCTACATGGTGTTCCTATGGTGTCCACCCATCACCACCCTGTGTCCATTTCCACACCAATCCACCATTCCAGGTGCCACCAACACCGCCTCCACCAGTTCATCGTCATCGGGCCAATCGGCCGCCAATAACAATTCGGCGGCGACACCGCGCGGACTTCAACGCAACGTGCCGCGCGTCAAAACGCGAATCGGTCCCAACGGGACCCTCCAACGAAATAGTGGTCCCGTCGAGCCGGTGCCATTGAATGAGGAGACGTCGTCGGTCACCACGTTCTACTCGACAGGTGAATTTTGACGAATTTTTCATTTTTCGTCTTTTTTTTTTGTGATTTCTCGCCAATATTTTTGAACATTTTTGACATTTTATTGGACAATTTTGATTTGTTTTCTCAAAAATCGTGATTTTTTTATGGTTTTTCCAAAAAATGCGATTTTTTAGCAAAAAATTATCGTTTTTTCTTCGCGTTTCAAATTTTAATAATTTTCATCGAAAAAAATTTTGTTTTTTGAGATTTTCTGACCAAAAGGTCGAGTTTTGGCTCTATTTTGAATTTTTCAAACAATTTTTCGAGAAACAAACGCTTTTTTTCGAATTCTGCCCAAAAAGTGCTCATTTTGTCAATTTTTGGTCAAAAATGCTTCAAAAAAAAGCGGGAAATTTCTTTTTCTCATTTTTGCCGTTGTGATTGTTTAATCGTTTTGCAGACGTGTTGATTTGAAGTGATAATGGTCCCTAGCAGCACAAACACACAATCCACATGTATAGATCATCATACCTCTTCTTTTTCTCTATTTCTCTCTCTCTCTCACTCTCTGTCATTTCTTCCTTCGTTATTGTTGTTGTTGTTGTTGTTGTTGTTGTTGTTGGCTGCTGCTGTTTCTCTCTTTTTTTTCTCTTTTGATCTACCAACCGACCATTCGTGCTGTCGTGCTCGTTTTTCGTTGCTTTCGCCGTGTTGTTGCTCGCTCGCTCGCGTGTTGTGCTCGAAATCGGTGCTCGAATCAAGGTTTCGTTTTTTTATTTTTTTTGAATTTTTATTTTACAACCAAAATTTTTTTGGGGGGGGGGTCTTTTTGAAAAATGGCAACAAATTGTTTTGTTGATTTTTACTTTTTTTGAAAATCGAAAAGAAACAATTTGGAAGTTTTCAATCTCTCTATGCGCCTTTAGAAACAAAAAATATATTTGAGCGATGCGCCTTTAAATTTCACTACCGTACTATTTTCTTCACTAAAATTCACGAGTTACTTTTTTTTTGAACTAACTGGTTTTTTTTCTGTTTAATATCACAGCCATTTTTCAAAGGAATGCAACCCCCCCCATCTAGTTAATAATTAGTTAATTAATCAATTAATTAATTAATTAACGAGTATTGAATTGAATTCAGAATTCGCACGACGTCAACGATCGGGTTCCGAAGGTCGATTCTCATCGAACTCGACGTTTTATTTGTCGCCGAACGACGACGACGACGTCGCGATCTCGACGACGTCACCACAACGACGAGCACGCTCGCGTTCGCCGTCGTTGTCGTCGTCGATGATGTTGTGCTCGGCGACGGCGTTGGCGCCAGCCGATTCACATTCGACATTGCGCGGATATGTTTTAGGTGAGCTAGTTTTTTTCGTTGAAAAGCCGAGAAGTTTGGAGAATTCAGATTTGTGTTGGCTTTTTTTTTGGAAAAAAAAAACCTACCAAAAAAAATTTTAATGACAATAATGACCTTTTTTGTTGAAAAAACATTATTTTGAATGAAAAATTGAAAAAAAAATCGAGAAGAAGCTTGTGCGAATTGAAATTCGATTGGAAATGCCCAAAAATTTGACGAAAATGGCAAAATTCATTTTTTTTCACATTTTTTTTTCACTATTTTTCACAAAAACTACTATAATTGGGTTTTAAAAAAATTTTTTGTGTTTCCAGGCCATCGCCCAATGCCGTTCATCACCAACGGCTCCGCCACACTGCCATCGCCAAGAGGGCTTCCACCAAAATCGCGTCCGCCAATTGTGGTGTCGCGCAAGAACTCGAGCGGCGCCCGAATGACGACGATTCGCGAGGCGACGTTTCTCACTTCCGATCAAGTGTCGCGCGTGTGATTCGCGTCGAGACCCGCGTGCGCCTTTAAACGAGGCGCCCCCGCCCCCTCCCGTTTTCAAATCAAACTACGTGTAAAAATGGGTCCCAAATATTCGTTTCGTTTTTTTTTGTCTTCTTTTGCTCAACATTTCTCGTCTTTTTCTCTTATTTGGCGTCTCGCAACGAAATCGGATTACGGTATTCAGTTGTTTCGCTTTGAGACCCAAAAACACTTGCCATTGTTGTTTTTCTTCTGTGTGTTTGTGTGTATAAAGCCCCGCCCACTTTTATTATTTTTTTTCTGATGATACTGTGATCGAAATTGCCCCCTTGGTTTCTGTTTTCTTCCTGCTACTTATGTATGTATGTATGTATTTTTATTTATTATGCATAATACATGTTTTAAACGATGCTTCGCGATTTACGCAGGTTAACGATTTAGCGGACACGCGGGAATTTTAATTTTTTTTTTGAAATAATATTCATTTCTCGTTTTTTGGAAACAATTCGAAGCTACTTAGATTGGATTACTGTAGATCGTTTTGAGACCCAACAACAACAACATCAAAACCCTATTCATTCTTCTTCTCCGTAATTGGCAATGGAGCGTACTTGCTGCGACATTTTCGAATAAAAAAACAGATGAGAAATTTCCAAAATCGATAGGAAACATATGAGAAAATAATGAAAATCGCGAGAAACACAATAAGTAGATCAATCGAGTGGTACTGTAGATAATTGAGATGGGCGCCCGCCGAATTGAGCGTCTCCAATGGTCCGAACTCGACGGCCAACGAGCAATACTCGAGGAGCACATCTCGCGGTCGGTGATTGGCGACGATCGCCGACAATCGTCTCGCGTTTGCCGAATATCTCGCGTCGTTCAACACCGTCGCGATCGAGGCGCCGATCGCGCGCGAATCGCCCAATTGCGATTTGTCGAGTCGAATTGCGCCGCCGTGTCGCGTCAGCATATGCGCGTTTCGGAATTGATCGCCGGTCAGTGGAATCTGAGAATCGGCCATCATCGTTGGAGAACGCGTTCTCATCGAATTACCACTATCGCCGGTTTGCCGTAATGAGCTAATTCGATGGTGCTTCCCAATCCGCCATGGGTTATGAATAATGTCAGCCGATCATCAGCTAAAAAGAGGGCATAGTTGTCGATTTACGGAGACAGTAGTCCAACACATACCTAGTAGATCATTTTGCGGCATCCACGCCGTCAGTTTCACATTCGGAAGATGGGCGGCGATCGTCGAATTCTCGTCTTCATATTTCCATATGAACGTGATATTAGGCATCGACGAAAACACGTCGAGGAACGCGTTTTTGAATTCGTCGGGCATTTCCGAGCTACGCGTCATTGATCCGAACGAGATGAGGATGTTGGTGTCCCTTCGGCTCAACAGCTCGTCCCATTCCTACAGCAATCCGTCTCGTTGATCATTCATTCAGAATACCTTGGTGAGATTCGCCGCGCCGTTCGGAATCACCTGCATTCCGCCGATGAAGACCGTCTTCGGAAGTGTCGCACTCGGATAATCCAAAAATCGATTCGAATTGATCATGTGGAATGCGGCGCGATTGATGAGCTCCTTGTAATCCTTGCCGTTCGCATACAGTTTCTTGATTCCATCGAGCTCGTATTCGTACCGAATATAGGCAAACCAATACGCGAATATCGCCGCCGCCGTGTTCGTCATTCTCGCCGAAAATCCCATTTTGTCGGTGTCGGCTGTGAAAATCGCTGCAAGACATCAATGAGCCCCCCCGTGCGCCTTTAAATTATCCTCTACTTGGGAAGAAGCTCGGGAACGCCGGCTCGCCACTCGCGTATTTCACAATGTCCGATTGCAAGAATGACTCGGCACTTATCACATTCTCGATGCCAATGTGATCAATTAACGCTACAATTAGGATAATTATCTTAATTAGCTCTAGCGCTAATTACCATGATTACAAATCAATATCGATTCGGTAATTGCCAAATCAAATTTCTCATTTCGAAGTTGCTCGATTAATTCGGTTTGATTGAATATATCTGAAAAGAGACTACCGTAATCCAAGTGAGTTTAAAGGCGCATACGCTGGCAATTGAATTCAAAAGTTTTCAAGAAGCCTTTGATCATCTGAAAATTGATATTTTAAAAATTTGGAATTTTTTCCAACCGGCAAAATCGCGCTGAAATTCGAGAAAGGCTTCCAGACATTTTGGAATATCAGCTTCTCGATTTCGTTTTCTTCGATGACCTTGACAGTTCTGAACGATGATCCATGACGGATCAGGCAAGGATCCGGTTCGAGGCGAATGAGCATCTAAAAAAATTGATGTTTCAAAAAATTGGAATTTTTTTTTGCCTTTTGTTTTCAATCGACAAAATTCGAGAATCTTCCAGAAACTCTGGGATCTATTGATGTCGCGTTTGGATTTTGGTATGATGAAATACTCACCTCTTGAGTCCAATGATAATGAACAGTGTGCATTTTGGCTTCAGTACCACTCAAATGCTGATTGCGAGTGAACAGCTGACGCTCTCCGACGGTCAATATTGCTTATCGGGCACATAATTAGCAATATTGCTCATCAAGTTTTCATATAAAAAGACGTCGACTCGCCCCAAACCATTTTGATTTCCTATTGGCCCACATCGGCTCAGAGCTGCACGGAATTCCGTGACATTTTCTTGTTCCGATTTCCGTATTCCGTTTGATATACCTAGCACGTCTAGCGAATCTAACAAGAGGGTTTTTAGCACAGCCGGAGAACGACAAACAGAAGGTCCTTGTCGAATAATCACTTGGAAAATCTCACATTCTGCTAGATTCAATTCGTTCCGTTATTCCGTTAAAAAATTATGTTCCGCCTTCCGTTTTTAGACAATTCAAGTTCCATGCAGCTCCGCTCTCTAGATTCTTTGCATTCCTTCAATCCACTCCTTTTTTGGTTCGATTTCATTAGCATGTTTTCAGGGATTCTCTATCAATCCATCGATTCGCAATGTCCTTTTTTTCCAATATTAGCGGTACCGAGTACGCATTCATTACATGGAGCAAAGAATAATTTTGAATGATTCAGCGGATTGGTCGGCGAAAATTGGGCTGGATATGTGAAGAAATGCAGTTATCTCCCAACATCGTCATATCCTGATGATCCATTTATTGGAAGACACGACGAGAGCAACGTGAAAAAGCTAGCCAAAAAACATCGAGACGATCGTGTTGAGAAGGTGAAAATTTATGGTGACGGCCCTTTGCATGTGTTCGTCATGATCGAATCCACCAATTATTGGTGGTCGTTCGAGAAGAACACCGAATGCATTCTGGTGCAAGTCTCAAGGCAACGTTGGCATGTGGTTGATAAGAAGATAACAAGGAGAAGGGACGTCGTTGAGCGCATCAAACAGAAGGAATGCGCATCATCGACGATGTACGGCGTCCTGATGTGGCTGATCAACTCGAAACAACTCGACAAAGAATATGATGTCATTTCAAGCAACTGCCGCCATTTCGCCAATGAATTGTATGAAGCGATTTATTGATTAAATATGCTACTTTTTCCAGTTTTTCAATATGTGAATTCAAATACAATTTGTTTTGAATATATATTCCTCAACGTAATAAATATGTAGTTGCAAGTAGGGATTTGTTTTGTTCGAATTGAAATAGTTGGTTCGATGAGCCAACCACAGCATTCCAAGCTTTTGGCCAATGATTCCTCACTACCGATTTTTCACTACCAAATTTTCGCTACCTAAATTATAGTTTTTTCACTTTCGATTTTTCGCTACCGTTTTTTTCACTACCAAATTTTCTTATAGACTTTCTTCTTGATTTTATCAATAATCCACTTCATTTCAGAAAAAAACGAGTTTAAAGAAAAAAAATCATTTTTTAAATTAAATATTAAGAAAATAGCTAAATTTTATCTTTAAACGAGTGAAAATTAATTTTAAAAAACACTTTACAAGGTACAAACAATATTCACAAAGTTTTCGTCCGTCCGCAGCCATGAATATCAACCTAACTGCATTGTTTTTAAATTTTTTTTTATTTGTGTGATTAACAAGGTTATTTCTAACAATATTTTATAGATGTTATTCACATGCATTTAGGAAAATTCAATATATAAATAATAATTGTTTGTCCCCTTAAATAATTTTTGAAATATTTTTTATTCCTTGTAAAGTGTTTTTAAAAATTAATTTTCATTCGTTTAAAGATTAAATTAATTTAGCTTTTTTTTTTTAATATTTAATAAAAAAGATGAAAAAAAAATATTTTTTTTAACTCGTTTTTTTTCTGAAATAAAGTGGATTATTGATAAAATCAAGAAGAATGTCTATAAGAAAATTTGGTAGTGAAAAAAACGGTAGCGAAAAATCGAAAGTGAAAAAACTATAATTTAGGTAGCGAAAAATCGGTAGTGAGGAATCGTTTGCCAAGCTTTTCGCTCCTTGGCTTGAGTGGGCCTTGTGGTGATCTCCTTCCGAAGCGAGTCCGACCATCTAGGCCGCCGGCTCCGTTAGAAGCATATATTCCATCGGGTACATGAAAAATTAACGATTGAGCTATTCGAAAATTGATTTCCCGTTTTCAATTTTTTTTTCGAATCCGATTGAACGATTTACCATTGATGGATACCAATGAATTCATTCCAAAATATGCGATTTGTTTTCAGGCCAAAAATGCGGGACAGCTCATTTCAATGAATGATTGATTTTCGAAAATCGTGTACAAAAAAATAAATGAGAATGCGGAAAAAAGTGTTTCAAAAAATCGGGAACGCTTTGTTGTTGTTGTTTTTTTAATGGAAAAATCTGATAAAAATTGGGCTGATTCGCAAATTTCGCAGAAAAAAATCGGAGAAAATTGAATATTTTGAGCAAAATCGTCAGCAAAATATAGTCAAAATTAGCAGCCACTTGAAAATTGAAAAGAAAAACGTTTTAAAACTATTTTTAACTAGACAATAACGATTTTATTTCAAAACTTTGACGTGAAAAAAACAAGAAGTACATATTAGCAATAGAGCGCATTTGCAACATTTAAATAGAAGAATGGACGGAAAAACGGGAAAAACGTGACCAGAAAAAGTTGGCAAAAAAGCGGTCATTTGAAATATTTTGTAATCAATAATGAAATGGTTTCAATTTCTTATTCTTCTTTCAAATTTCCCTTATATGTACGTTTCGAAGCGATCATCGCTCGACACACACATTTCCAGATGCTTCTCGATCGCCTGCTTCGAGTTCGACGCGCCGCAATTGCGAATGAGCGCGTCGGTGTTGGACGACATTCAATTACGGACCATCGAGTCCGTCAAGACGTGCTATTTCCGGTTGACCTATTATCCGGCGGCAAGCGGCCAACACGAGCGGTAATATTGGTGACAATTAACTCGAAATCCATTTTTTTTCTCCCCATATTAGACTGGCACGATTGCACATGTCGGCGGGCCATCTCGATGAGATGTCGCAGAACATCTACCAGTCCACCGGCGGACCATTTCAGGAGCTCGAGTGCGGCCTTCAAGAATCGACGCTGTCGTGTTTTTGCAATTTCGACAACTGCAACAATGTGGCGAATTGGACGGTGACTAGAAGAGAGCTTGAGAAAAACTAAAACGACGCCAAATTTCTAGATATACGCCAAATCGATTGAGACGTTTTACTCGATCTATCCGTACGCGACGATGATTGGCTATGCGTCGAATCGGAATTACAATGCGACGGCCATCGAGATTCTCGATTTTCTCCAACTTGCCAGTTTGCGACGCGCCGCCCGTCTTGAATAATTTCGAATTGCAGCGAATCGCTGGAACGTCGCCAGAACGCGCTATTTGGAGGCGTCGAGTCGGCCGGCGGCGCGACGAAAGCGAGACGTCGATGATGACGTCGACGATTCGATGAAAATCCCATTTTTGAGCTTCTATTTGCTCACGTTTACCATTTTGAACGCGATCACATGCTTTTTGATGTACAAAATTTGCGCAAGGTATGAGGCACAAAAATTGAATAAGTTCGAGATGTGTGGCGATTTCACGATTCAAGGCTTCCGCAATTGCAAATTCGACGGGATTCGACGACGGAAAACGCGAGATATTTGCTGCGAAATCGAATCGAACTCAACAATGAATAATTTATCCGATAATGAGGTTTCTTTTGGAAAAAAAACAATGAAAACATAATACGAATAGGAAGTGTGCAATCAACTATGACGCAAAATTACACACATCTGCTCCAACGCATATTAAAATGCAATTTTGGCTGAGTTTTGAAGAGATATTTATTAATTTTTTTCTTTTCTTAAAGACAAAAATAGAAAACTTACATTTTTCCCTTCGATTTTTCTTTAAAAATAATTTTAATCCAATTTCTTCAATTCGTTTTGCCCCGTTGCAATGTTCCTTTCAACTTCTTGAAATACTGACTTCGCTTTTATTATCGATTTAAAGAGCGTCGTTTCGAGACCCAACAGCAACATCAAAACCCTATTCTTTCTTCTTCTCCATAATTGGCAATGGAGCATATTTGCTGCGACATTTACGAATAAAAAAACAGATGAGAAATTTCCAAAATCGATAGGAAACATATGAGAAAATAATGAAAATCGCGAGAAACACAATAAGTAGATCAATCGAGTGGTACTGTAGATAATTGAGATGGGCGCCCGCCGAATTGAGCGTCTCCAATGGTCCGAACTCGACGGCCAACGAGCAATACTCGAGGAGCACATCTCGCGGTCGGTGATTGGCGACGATCGCCGACAATCGTCTCGCGTTTGCCGAATATCTCGCGTCGTTCAACACCGTCGCGATCGAGGCGCCGATCGCGCGCGAATCGCCCAATTGCGATTTGTCGAGTCGAATTGCGCCGCCGTGTCGCGTCAGCATATGCGCGTTTCGAGGTTGGTCTCCCGTTAATGGAACCTATATGTATAATGATGAGTTGGTTTTTTGATTATTATTTTATGGTAATAAACATAGTGATCAACGGGGCATGCTGACAATTTCACTTGGCAATACTATAAATATTTTTTTGCGAAACTCTCAAACCTATTTAATTAAAAAAAAGTAGAATTCAAAATAAATAATATCGCAAGAAACGAGCCTATGAGTTTTACAGGTAGTAGGGAACCCCAAAATTCCCACAGTTTAAATTCAAATTTGAATTACCGCCTCTAAATAGTGCGTCGGTCCAACAACAGAGTTGGTCGGAATTTTGAATTCATCAGAAAATTATTCGCCAACGCAGGTTCTAGAGTGATTCCGTCCAAAAAAAAACGACTACCGTAATTTTTCTATCTCCCCCCTCCCTTTGAATGTCTTTGCCTCATTTTATGCAGCTTCCGCATTCCGCGTTTTCAAATTCTTCGTTCCCCCCAAACTGGTCTGCAATTCTTCAAGTTGCTGTCTGTCAATTGCGAAAAAAAATTGGCTAAAAAATGTCGCAAATATCTCAAATATTCCGTATTCCTACACGAATTTGCCCGTCGGCTTTTTTGCCATTAAAATTGTTGTGAAATAATAAATTATCGAAAAATTCTAAAAACGAACCACTATCGCCGGTTTGCCGTGATGAGCTAATTCGATGGTGCTTCCCAATCCGCCATGGGTTATGAATAATGTCAGCCGATCATCAGCTATAAAAAGGGCATAGTTGTCGATTTACGGAGACAGTAGTCCAACACATACCTAGTAGATCATTTTGCGGCATCCACGCCGTCAGTTTCACATTCGGAAGATGGGCGGCGATCGTCGAATTCTCGTCTTCATATTTCCATATGAACGTGATATTAGGCATCGACGAAAACACGTCGAGGAACGCGTTTTTGAATTCGTCGGGCATTTCCGAGCTACGCGTCATTGATCCGAACGAGATGAGGATGTTGGTGTCCCTTCGGCTCAACAGCTCGTCCCATTCCTACAGCAATCCGTCTCGTTGATCATTCATTCAGAATACCTTGGTGAGATTCGCCGCGCCGTTCGGAATCACCTGCATTCCGCCGATGAAGACCGTCTTCGGAAGTGTCGCACTCGGATAATCCAAAAATCGATTCGAATTGATCATGTGGAATGCGGCGCGATTGATGAGCTCCTTGTAATCCTTGCCGTTCTCATACAAGTGCTTAATAGCACTCATCTCGTACGAATGCCGAGAGTAATCGAAGAAAAAGTAGAACAAATATGAAAAATAATTGAGAATTCGGCCAAATAATGACATCGAATCGGTTTCCGGCGAAAATACATCTGAGATAATTACTCATTAATTATTCTATAATTAGATGATGGGAAACCTGGAAAGAAGCTAAACAATGCGGGTTCTCCACTAGCAAACTTGACAATGTCATTATGCAGAAAAGATTCGGCTGTGATCACATTTTTGATGCCAATATGGTCGAAGAATGCTTAAAATGGCGTAATTACCGCTAATGAAAGCCTTAATTACCTTGATTGCAAATAAAAATCGTTTCAGTAATCGCTAAATCAAATTGCTCCTTTCGAAATTGTTCTATTAATTCAGTTTGATTGAATAAATCTGAAATTTGTTGAAGTTTTCAGCAACAACTAAATTTCACAACTCACATTCGCAATTGTATCCAAAAGACTTCAAAAAGTTCGCATATTTCTGAAATAGTCCAATAATTTAGTTGAATTTTCAAAATTTACCGATAAAAGTGCAAATTGGTCGATGTTTTCCGAACCCCACACAATTTTTCTCAAATCGTCCTCGAATTTATCTTTTTCCTGAATTTCTGTGATTCTGAAAATTGCCTATTTTGTACTCTTTGAGTTCAGTAGAAAAAAACACGCGTTGAAACCTTGGATCCTGCGGCAATCGGATAATTTTCTGCGCCTTCTTCGTGCCGGTCAAATTCTTTTTCTGACCCATGAACACCGGTATCAAAAACGTCTGAAATTTGCTTTTTTTCAAAAAAAAAACCTTCAATCGCCCATTACCACTTCGTTCCCGTCATCCACAAGAATATCGGCAATTTTGCCGAGGAAGTTCGAATGACTGGCACCAATTGTCGGCGACATCACGAGCACCTTATACGGCTCAACAAGATTTGAGATTGCGAAAAGCATCGCAAACACGCCATAGTGCATTGAATTTGTGGGTTTTCACTGGAAAACACCATTATGATGAAAAAAAAAACCAAAAAAATTGTGGATTTCAAAAAATTAGTGTCGTACACCGAGGCGCAATATTGCACAACTGACCACCGTACAGAGAAAATTAAAAAAATATATAAATTTGGTGAGTAGAAACACCAAACAACAATGCACCATGCAGAAATTCAATATAAATAAAATTGTTTAAAAAAATCACCTAGGAAAATTTGAAAATCCAAATTCTGAATTCGATTAAAATTATTCTTCGTTTAAGAAGTCTCCACATTTCAAATAGAGAAAACTAATTGAGATAGAAATAGAGATAGTGAGAGAGATGAAGAGAGTGCAGACGAGAAGTCTGGTTACAAAAAATACACACATATATCAGTATTAAACATGTATTTTCTCGTCATTATTTGGACGGACACAAACCAGAAATGCGATGACTTCTCTAGTTGCCCTCTCGCCTCGCGACACTCTCTCAGTCAGCCATTCTAGCAAATTTTCGCGTCCGTATCAATATCTGAGCCATCACGAGGTACAATGGGAACATTGATGCTTTAAGACTGCCCGGAAGAGAACACGCGATGGGGACAGGACAGAATTAGAAGATTCCTGCGGCTCACTCTTAACTCCACCGCCCGTCCTAGACGACAGTCTACGGTCAATTCAAGAAAATTTTTTAAAAAACATCGTAAATCGCTGCGAGGATTACGGTAACTGTCTCTTAGCATTGCGTACAAAACGCAGGATCCCACGACACCTGCATACATTTGTTATTTTTTAACAATAGGTGCAAATTCAAAGAAAATTTAGCCAAAAAAACTGTCAAAACCCTAGGTGAGGCTATACTTTTGTGGATCCAAAAAAAAGCAATTTTCGAAAAATAAAGAAAATTTTGTTCAATGACTTCAGTAAGTGTAAATCTAATATGGGATACTAAAAGAAACCCTTTTTAGCCATATTTTAACGTTTTTTGAAATTTCGTGAAATTGTCATTTTTTGAAAAAAAAATATGGGTGAGGCTAAACTTTTGTGGAGCGGTGTATTTTATAATAGAAGGGGTGTTCACACCCATTTTTAAGAAAACCATTTCATTCAAATTTTAATAATTATTTAGATTTAACAACGTTTAATGTTTTTATTCCAATTTTTCGAAATCTAGTCGTATTTTTCGATCTTTCAATTAAAAAAAAAAGACATTCGTAATTTAATACCGGACTTTTTGCTATCGGACCATCCAATTTTGAAAATTTTAATCTGACAATTATTTTTCGGTTTTTTTTTCAATACTCATTGACGGACGGAATTCAAAGAAGATTGATTTACCTATTCATTGGTCCCTAATTATTTGGTTCTTAAGCGATTTTCCATACGAGAGGGGAATTCAAACGCGAATAATAGAAATTGTGCGGATATATAAAAAAAAAATGAGCTGTTTGACAAATTGTGGACCATCGCACTTTTTTCGAGGCGGCAATTCAAATGTGGCCTACCGTACTCGGGATAACCTGCGAATCAAACTCATCGTATATCGGCGAAAGGTGCTCATTTTATTTTTGCAAATGTAACAGTGGGTTTCCAGAAATGAAAGAATCGGCCGATCTCGGACCTATGTTGTCTGACGCGTCGCGGTTCGCGTGCGGTCACGTGTAATTTTTCTTTAGATTGGATTGCAAAAATGCCGGAAAATGACGATTCTGAAAACCATTTCACCACCTTATGTCAAATCGAGATCAATAAATTTGAAAGCACGTTTTTACGAATGAAACACACCAAGGGACCACTCACTAAACAAAACGGACCCTTACGAAAACCATGCGGTTCATTTAGAATATCACGATCAATTATGAAATTAAAAATGGGCGTCGGTAAAAAATGATAGGAGAATTGCCTCAATTTGTATTAGTTTCGCAAATATCGCACCTTTCAGAATTCCAATTTAAAAGAAAATTTGGTATATTAGCAATAGAGCGCATTTGCAACATTTAAATAGAAGAATGGACGGAAAAACGGGAAAAACGTGACCAAAAAAATTTGGCAAAAAAACGGTCATTTGAAATATTTTGTAATCAATAATGAAATGGTTTCAATTTCTTATTCTTCTTTCAAATTTCCCTTATATGTACGTTTCGAAGCGATCATCGCTCGACACACTCATTTTCAGATGCTTCTCGATCGCCTGTTTCGAGTTCGATTCGGTTTTGCAAATGAATGCTTCGGTATTCGAAGGGTTCGCCATAACACCGGTCAAAGAGGATGGCAAGTATGTCTGCTTTTTCTCGGTTGTCTACGTTCCGCCGGCAAGAGGTCAACACGAAAGGTAGATGAGAAAGAAAGAAAAAGAGAGAGAAAGAAATTGACGACGTCAAATTCAGAATGGCGACGTTGATTCTAAAGGCAAATGATATTTATTTTGAATATTTGGGGACACGAAGTAAAAATTCGGAGTGCCTTTTTTCCAACACATCGGCTTATTGCTACTGCTATCAGAATTTCTGCAATAGTGTTCAAAACTGGAAGGTTGGTGTTGGATTCCAGTCAAGACCATTTGGAAGCTAGTAGAAAATTTTAAAAAAATGGAATAAGTTGTGCTTAAAGGATCCCATTTGAGTTTGTGAATATTGGATGCCGTTTTTAAGTTTTGGACCCTTCACCCGAAATGTGATTATAGAACTCATGCGCTTTTTCAATTTTGCAGACGGCATTATCTAAAGCGAAGAGTGTCGGCGGACAAAAAATTGATTCAAAGTTCCCCGATCGAGTGCTGAAATTTCTCGATATCGTTGGTATCAATTTGAGGCATTATTGTAAATTATTCAAATTCGAATATTCAGTGAATCGAATCAACGTTGCTCGAATGGTTTATGATGAGCGCAATTTTGTCCACCGAAGGCGACGTAGGCGTCAAATCGAGAATCAGAGCGACGACGGCGGCGAAAAAAAGGAGATATCGGTGAAAATCCCATATTTGAGCATTTACACCATCGCATTTCTCGTTCTTTATATTTCAACCGGTGTATTGTTATACAGATTTTGCAAGAGGTCGCTCATCTGGAGAATTGATCAATTTGTGAACGAATCTCTTCAGACTCTACAAGCACAAAATTCTACGGGATCCGATGTCGCAAAACGCGATTCGCCGGTTTCCCCAATGAATCGCATTCCTCGTTTTTAGTTATTTCTTTGATTATTAATGAATTCGAAGAGTGCAAGCACCATCTAGAATGATTTAGTTAATTGATAAATTTTGAAAAATTTCAACAATGGAGCTCAGGATTTTCGAAATTGCCGCCTTTCGCGAAACTGCTCGGGTCCATCGGCCATCTACAGGATGTTCCGTCTTGAGGCAGTTGGTACCAACTGTGACACGGCCATGTGAGTTTGGTCCGAAGCTCTGCGACAAGTGTGTACTCGTGGTTGAGGGAAAAAGATATAGTTATGATTTGAAGCCGAGTAATTGATTGTTTCTCCCCGGTTGCTGTCGATACACAATGTTGAAATTTGGACCAGCTAGAGATTAATCAGAAATAAAGCCTTATCATTTTAATCCTCTTGTTAGTTATTAGTGGGGTTCAATGATTAGGTTGTGAATGTTTTCTAGTCCACTTGAACCCACGTCAGGATGGGTTGTGTCGCGGAGCATTGTTGCCGTGACCGTGTGCGAAGCCCATTTGTTGCGACGGAAAGAATTCATTTTCGGCGGGCATTGCTAGAATGAGCCAAATATTCGATCGAGCATATTTTGTCAACGTGAGACTAAAAGAGCGAGTGAAAAGGATAAAAAATAACTCCTGCCAAAACGATAAAAAACTAGCACCTGTTTCCGCGCGCCACGCGGTTACTGTAGCAGTAGTATGTGTGCGCTCAAGCTCGGCTCGAGCAAATTACGAGAAGATAAATTGTTCTTTTTTTTTGCGAAAAGGTAAGATTTTAACAGAACGCGCTCACTGTAAGATTGCTACGTTTACCACAAAAAAAAAGTAAGCTACATATCCGTATGAATGGATTACCTGACGAGTTTTCTGGAAAATCCGACCGTATTCAATGGCTTCCGCGGAATTGTGAATACCATAGCAATCCAAATGTTTATGTATTTTGTATTTTTCAATCTAACTAATACCCCTGGCCGATGCTCCCTGAGGGCAACAAATTGGGTCAACCGACGGCGTTTCTCAAGCGGGGCGGTGCGGGTCGGTAAAATTTTCACCCTGACCCGCCCCGTTGCAAGTATGGGTTTGCTGTTCATTCCTTAACCACTCGTTTTCGATTGTTTCACTTCTGACAGTGTTTCGTGACGAGTAAGGTGAACTCTTCGGACTATCAGAAGGTTCTCGAGAGCCATCTTCTTCCATTCACGTGAATCGATCTATTTTTGACTGGCTCCAGTCTCACAATGTAGAAATTCTCGATGTTGCCCTGATTCAAATCAAATGGAGAACGTTTGGGGAGAGTTATTACGGCGTCTCTATGGCAGGAAAGAAATCGGGGATCGTTGAAGAGCTCAAACCCGGAATCAAAGAGCAACAATTCAAATATAAATCGACCCAATATATGTCGACAAACCTTCAGACCGTGTTTTTGATGTTATTTTCTTGAAAGGATGTACCACCAATTATTTAACGGTTGTTACCTTTGAGTTTATAAATGAATCGTTATTTGCGAAGCTCGTTGTGAGTAGAATCCCACAAGCGCCTACGATGACGACCACCCAGGTCAAGGAAAGGCCCTTCCATTTCTTCTAGAGGAAATCGTTTCGGCACTTCGGTCTTTCCCAAACGGGAAATCAGACCGATTTAACCGCTACCTAGAATCCGGATCAATACCGAGACTGTGGACCAAGTCAGAGACAACTATCATCATCAAGAAAAGCGATAGATACTCTATGGAGAACTACAGGCCAATCACGGTTGTTCCTGTTACATACAAGAATTTGACGGTGTCGAGCATCCAGCAGTGTGGCCGAGCCAAACAATTTACAGTAATCTGAAGCGGCGCTGAAAAAATTGTTTCGAAATTCCAAATTAAACTAGCTAAAATTTGTGATATTAGAGCGCATTTGAAACATTTAAATCGAAGAAAGAACGGAAAACGGGAAAACGTGACCAGAAAAATTTGGCAAAAAAGCGGTCATTTGAAATATTTTGTAATCAATAATGAAATGGTTTCAATTTCTTATTCTTCTTTCAAATTTCCCTTATATGTACGTTTCGAAGCGATCATCATGCTCATCACTCGACACACTCATTTCCAGATGCTTCTCGTTCGCCTGCTTCGGGTTCGGTGCGCTTATGCTAATGAATAGGTCGGTGGTTGACAGGTTCGCCATAACACCGAATGAGCATGACAAATATGTCTGCTTTTTCACGTTTGTCTACTTTCCGCCGGCAAATGGACAACACGAGAGGTAGATCAGAAAGAAAGAAAAAGAGAGAGAAAGAAATTGACGACGTCAAATTCAGAATGGCGACGTTGATTCTAGAGGCAAATGCTATTTATTTTGATTATTTGACGATACCAAAAACAAATGATGACACCGGGTGCATTTTTACCAACACATCGGTCGATTGCTACTGCAGACAGAATTTCTGCATTAGTGTTCAAAACTGGAAGGTGGGTGTTGAGGTTGCCATTTAAACTCTCTTCTCCCAAAAATTGATCATAGAACTCATGTGCCTTTAAATTTTGCAGGCGATAATATATAAAATTAAAAGTGCGAATGACAGACAAGCACTTGGTTCGGCGTTCCCCGAACGAGCACTGGACCTACTCGATCTTTCTGGTAGCCACATTATTGCGAATTATTCAAATTCGAATATTCAGTGAATCGAATCAACGTTGCTCGAATGGTTTATGATGAGCGCAATTTTGTCCACCGAAGGCGACGTAAGCGTCGAATCGAGAATCAGAGCGACGACGGCGGCGAAAAAAAGGAGATATCGGTGAAAATCCCATATTTGAGCATTTACACCATCGCATTTCTCGTTCTTTATATTTCAACCGGTGTATTGTTATTCAGATTTTGCAAGAGGTCGCTCATCTGGAGAATTGAACAAATTGTGAACGAATTCCTTCAGACTCTACAAGCACAAAATTCTACGGGATCCGATGTCGCGAAACGCGATTCGCCGGTTTCCCCAATGAATCATATTCATCGTTTCTCGTTGTTTCTTTGATATTATTAATGTATTCGAAGAGTTCAAGCACCTTCTAGAATGATTTAGTTAATTGATACAATAATCTCATCGGAATTACCGATCGCGAGACTTCTTCGTTTTCCGTTAACCTTTTTTGCTAGTACGAGTTCATTTTAACATGAAATATTTTGTTCACAACAAAAAGACAAAACAGTAAAAACGAAACAATTAATAACGTCGCAAGAATTTAATTCTTTATATTCAAACTTCGCGGTTTAAACCAACTTTTCTACTCAGCATGTTCTTCAATTTCTCGTTCCTCTATTCCTGAAATAACGATAACTTCACTTACTTTCTTAGTCACTTAGTCGGTCCTAAGCGAACCACAGCTTTCCAAGCTTTTCGGTCCTTGGCTTGGGTGGACCAGGGGGTGATAACGGCTCCTTCAGCTGTTCTTGTAGTGATCTCCTTCCGAAGCGAGTCCGACCATCTCATGGGAGGCCTTCCTCTTGGCCGGGTCCAATTCCACGGCCGCCACTCCGTTAGAAGAGTAGTCCATCTTCCATCTGTTCTTCTAGCAACGTGTCCAGCCCAGGTCATCTTCCTCTTCGTGATGTGGTGTAGGGGGTCCCGAACTTTAGACATGATGCGGATGTCCTCTCGATGAAGATCTTGTTCACGTTGTTGTGATAACGTGAGGCCAACCAATCTTCGCTCAAGCGCAGCGTGTCTAATTCGGACTCGTTCGGTAAGAGCTTTGGTGAAGGTCAAAGTCTCTGTCCAGCAGTACGTGGTGTCAACCCCGGCGGGAGCAGCGAATCATTGGCAGGAATGCTCTGATCCGCTCTGCGGCTGTGTTGTAGTTTTTGGGTTGATTTCGTATGGAGCGCCGGTGAGTGCGACTCGAAGTGAGGTGTGAGATGCACACGAGTGTAGCAGAGCTGCACAGAACTTTGATTTTCTAAAAGCGGAAGACGGAAGGCGAAACACAAAGTTAATCTAACTCGAATATTTTGAAATTAACAGTGCAGAATGCGGGATTTTCCAAGTGCCCATTCAACAAAGGACCTTCTTTTTGTCGAACAAATTTCTTTGGCTGTGGTTTTTAAGCTTATTTGATTCGCTAGACGTGCTAGGTACATATATCAAGCGGTACACGGAATACGGAAGACGAAATAAATTTTTTTACGGAATACGGAACATATTTTTTTTTGGACTGAACACGGAAACAGAACACTTAAACGGAACGCGGAACAGGAAAATTTCACGGAAAAACGGAAGACGGAAGACGGAATTCCGTGCAGCTCTGGAGTGTAGAAGAATGTTGCTTTATTAGTAACCTATGAGAATATGAGCAACAACTATGTGCGAATAATGAACGGGTATCTATAGTAGAGGATACATATGTGCTTCTAGAAATTTATGCGATATGCAAGATGGCCTAACTTGAAAATATAGTAATAAGCGTAGTTCTACAACCTACGGGGTTTAGGCATACTTGCAAATTTCCGGGTCGACCCGAGTCGAGGTGGGGCGGGTTGGTAAAAAAAATTGGCGACCCGTCCCCATTGCAAGTATGGATTTATGAAGTGCAAATTCTGGCACATTTTACGTGAGTGGCTCACAACAGGCTGAATCTGCCCGTTTAACGGAGATGACGACGGCTTGACTATCGGATGTCATTGTCTACATGGAAAACATCTTAGAACAGGATTTTCGAAATTGCCGCCTTTCGCGAAACTGCTCGGGTCCATCGGCCATCTACAGGATGTTCCGTCTTGAGGCAGTTGGTACCAACTGTGACACGGCCATGTGAGTTTGGTCCAAATTTCGGCGACGTTTTTCTCTCAACTCGTGGTTGAGAGAAAAAGAATAGTTATGATTTGAAGCCGAGTAATTGATTGTTTCTCCCCGGTTGCTGTCGATACACAATGTTGAAATTTGGACCAGCTGGAGATTAATCAGAAATAAAGCCTCATCATTTTAATCCTCTTGTTAGTTATTAGTGGGGTTCAATGATTAGGTTGTGAATGTTTTCTAGTCCGCTTGAACCCACGCCAGGATGGGTTGTGTCGGGGGAGCATGTTGCCGTGACTGCTCAGGAAGAAACGTCGAATTCGGTATTGGTTCTAATTCGCTTCTACCACTAGGCGAATTAGCCCAGCAACCCATTGCGAACTCGCCTCCTAAAAAACAAAGGTGATAGAATAGTACATAGTGGGAATAAAGAACATGATTTTTGAGAGATTTGCGATATTGTGACGCATCCTCTCCCGGCGCCAAGCGGGAAGGGACCGACAGTGCCCTGACAATCTGACCAAACTATCCACAGGTGCCCCGAAGGCAACCGGCCAGCAAGGCAGCAAAGTTCTCAACTCCCAGTAAAAGGGGACGGACCTCCTTCTCCTAATAAGAAGGAGGCACGAGAAGAGGAAAGGAATGTGGACAATAGGCGCTAGCTAGATTGTATGGCTGTCTGTGTTCATTATTTCGTCACAATATTAAAAATAGAGCGCATTTGCAACAATTAAATAGAAGAATGGACGGAAAAACGGGAAAAACGTGACCAGAAAAATTTGGCAAAAAAGCGGTCATTTGAAATATTTTGTAATCAATAATGAAATGGTTTCAATTTCTTATTCTTCTTTCAAATTTCCCTTATATGTACGTTTCGAAGCGATCATCGCTCGACACACTCATTTTCAGATGCTTCTCGATCGCCTGCTTCGAGTTCGATTCGGTTTTGAAAATGAATGCTTCGGTATTCGAAGAATTCTTCATAGTATCGCGGAACGATTGTATAGACGAATGTATTTGCTTTATCGCGTTTTTCTACTTTCCGCCGGCAAATGGCCAACACGAGAGGTAGATCAGAAAGAAAGAGAAAGAGAGAGAAAGAAATTGACGACATCGAATTCAGAATGGCGGTAGTGAGTTGGCAGACATATGTTGTTCCTTTTAATTATATGCTGATACCAAAAACAAATGATGACGCCGGGTGCACTTTTACCAACACATCGGCCGAATGCTACTGCAAACAGAATTTCTGCAATAGTGTTCAAAACTGGAAGGTGGGTGTTGGATTCCAGTCAAGACCATATCGGTGGAAATTCAAAAAAATAAATTGAATAGGGTGTGTTTCGAGGAATCCCTTTGGGTTAACTTAAAGGCGCATAGCGTTTCCATTTAAACTCTCTTCAAGACCTTCTCCCGAAAATTGATCATAGAACTCATGCGCCTTTAAATTTTGCAGACGATGATATATAAAGCAAAAAGTGCGAATGACAGAAAAGCACTTGGTTCGGCGTTCCCCGAACGAGCACTGGACCTACTCGATATTTCTGGTAGCCACATTATTGCGAATTATTCAAATTCGAATATTCAGTCAATCGAATCAACGTTGCTCGAATGGTTTATGATGAGCGCCATTCACCGAAGTTCACCGAAGTAGACGTTCACCGAAGAAGACGTAGGCGTCGAATCGAGAATCAGAGCGACGACGGTGGCGAGAAAGAGGAGATATCGGTGAAAATCCCATATTTGAGCATTTACACCATCGCATTTCTCGTTCTTTATATTTCAACCGGTGTATTGTTATACAGATTTTGCAAGAGGTCGCTCATCTGGAGAATTGATCAATTTGTGAACGAATCTCTTCAGACTCTACAAGCACAAAATTCGACGGGATCCGATGTCGCGAAACGCGATTCGCCGGTTTCCCCAATGAATCGCATTCCTCGTTTTTAGTTATTTCTTTGATATGTATCAATGTTATAATAGTCGCATGGTTTTGAATTTCAGCGCAATTCCAGAGTGCCATAGATCGTTTCGAGACTCAACAACAGCAAAACCCCTATACACTTTTTTCTCCGTTGAATTCCTTCCTCCAAAGTTCAATATTGCAAATGTGCTCCATGGAATTTTCTCATTGTCAGCGTCTCTCAAAATCGCACAATATTTCGCGTCCATCAATTAATCCTTCATTATTTCAGAAAACAAAAAGAAAAATAAATGTTGTGTAAATGGAAAGCTTTTCGTTAGTATTGCCGCGATCACAGAGAGATATGCTCGATTGATTGTGTTGAATGGTCCCATCGCTATTTGGAAGCCGTCTGAAGCGATTTGTAATAATCGGCGAGAATTTTCCACGCGCTCGGCGCCATGAAACCATCCGGCGGCAATTCGCCATTTCTGAAAAGCGATTTTTCGGATCGGATCGGATCGGATCCCCACAAGGATTACCTCGCCAATCCCCTCATTTTTGTTCCGCTGATATTCTCGAAATCGTCTTTTCGCGATGGATCGAAAAACGCCATCTTCTGAATCGTCTTGTCATAGGCGGCGACGCGGAACGGCAAAATTCGCAATCCCGACAATCCTGGGGCCATCGAGAGCACCTGCAAAAACGGCAACACAAAAACAATAACGCGAATCGTCACATTTCATCCAACCTTGGCACCATGCGTCGTATCGTAGAGCGCTTCGGTGCCGCCCGGCTTCGGAATTCCGGCCGGATCGCGTCCGACAATGTACTGTTGAATGCCGGCGGCGATTCGCGAGCGCGCGTGCCATTGCACCTCCGTCGGTCCCGCGTACATCATCGGACTCGGGAATATCGAGAGGACCGTCCACGAGGCATCGAGAACGCCGTCGTCGATGACGGCGAGGTGTTGCCGAATGCGAACCGCCAACGGCACATCGTCGTCTTTCGTCCAACCGCCGAGCGGATGGAGGAGGAGCACCGGATTGCGGTGCTCGGCGAGCAGCTTCTCGCGTGTGTCGCGCATGAGAAGCGCGTGGCCGTTGTGAATCGGATTGCGGAGCTGGAACGCGAACACCGCGTCGGCCTCCATCTCCTCGAAAATCGCGCGCAATTCCCGCGGCGTTCTTCGATACTCGTCGAGTCCGTCGTTGAATTTGATTCGTGTCAACACTTTGACATCGCCGCCGAGAAGCCAATCGCCCGACTCCATTATCAATCCAATGGTGGGATGGCGGGTGTCGTTGGTGCCGAATTGGCGGCACACTCGCTCCTCTTTACGATGCTCGAAAATCTCGCCATCGTCGAGAATCGCCACCAGCGCGCCGTCGTACTTCAACGCGATCCGCTTCAAACCGTGCGCGAGAATCTGCGCCCGTGTGGCGTCGTCGATCGGCAACACAATCGGAATCGATTGATTCTTCGGCTCGATCGGCTTGATCTCGCAATCATCGTCTTGCTTCTCGCCAACGAACGCCACCTTCTTCTTGAGATCGAGTATCTGGCCAAAGTGCAACGATTGCAAATATTGGCGTTCTCTCATGAATCCGGTCAGCGGGCTCGCCCAGCCTTCGGCGAGAACCTGAAGCCATTGAAGGTCGACCTTCGTCATGTCGACCGTCGGAAGACGAGCGGCTTCCGCCGTCAGCGCCGCCACTTCCGTCGCATCCTCGACGAACAGCTCGTGGATCTCGTCGTCGGGTTTCGGCACAATTCCGGCGGCGGTCAGATGCTTCAGCACCTGATTGACACACTTCTCAACGGTGCAGCAGCCAGCGTCAAGCACCTATAATTAGTATAATTAAATATAATTGGGTGCCGATCAGTGGGATGCTACTAGTTCAGCGTGCTCTGGCGGCTCATAAGCGCTGTCGATGCCGGTGAAGCCGCGGATTTGACCAGCGCGAGCTTTTTTGTAAAGTTCTGGAAGACCAATGGTTACAGTAATCCTAGAGACACTCGGACTACAGTATCTCAACCCTCCACCCTTAATACTACTAATATAACCCTCACGTTTCGGATCACGCAGCTCGCAAACTTCCAGCGTCGTCGCCACGTGCACCTCGATGAATTTGACGCCTTCGGCCTCGTGAATCTTGCGCGCCTCCAATCGATCCTCCTGAAACGGCGAAATGAACGCCGCCAGACAAATGAGGCCGGCGTCGGCGAACAATTTGGCGACTTCGGCGACGCGTCGAATGTTCTCCTTGCGATCCTCCTTCGAGAATCCCAAATTTTTGCACAGCCCATGACGAACGTTGTCGCCGTCGAGACCGTAGCACGGAATGCCGAGCTGAACGACGTTTTCGTGTTTGGCCGATCGAAAAGCCGCCGCCAACCTGATTCAATTTGCGCTCCAACGCGAACGAGATTGTCGTTTTGCCGGCGCCGGAGAGGCCGGTGAACCAGATGGTACAACCGCGGAATCCCTCGTGTCGTCCGATCGCCATCGCGCGCTCGTCGCGACCGATCGAGTGCTGCTGGAACGTGATGTTCGTCGCCTCGTTGTCCTATAAAAAGAAAAATGATGCGTGCGGGTTGTGATGGTTTCAAAATGTCTCGGAACTCAAATTTGAATTTGAATTCCAAAAAAACGACCTACCGTAAGCCGAAGCTTTTTGGCGAGCGGCATCAATTTCTCGTTGTTCTCGTCGCGTTGCGACAACATTTTCCTCAAACCCAATTTATATAAGGCGTCGCGTGAACGAAAGAGGTGGGCGATATCAACCTATAATTACTATTAGTCTTATAATTATACAGATTTATATAAATAAATATAGAATCGAGTGGGTTTGAAGGATGAAGCTTGACAAAAGGGAAACAAAATGACTTGTGACGAATTGACACACGAGAAAAAAAATGTAGGCGGTTAGAGGCGGCGGTTAAGCCGGATTTTTTAGCGGGGGCATGCAATTCAAATGACATCACTGTGGAGGATCTCGCTGACAAGTTTCTTTGGATTCCTGAACCCCTCACCCAACACAGATAGTGTCGATTTTTGTAGGGACTCTCTAGAATGGAACCAAATTGACCAACAAGGCTGGCTTTATTGGAAATACTGTTTTTTTTTGAGGTCCTGACGCGAAAATTTGAGGTGTTACGGTGGTTTCTGGCAGAAATTTTGAGAAGATTGAAATATTAAAAAAAAAGAGCGTAGAATTGAAGAATAGTGGAAAAAAATTGAATTGATTGCCTTAAAAATATTCAACGAATGCCCCGTTTAATGGGAAAATGTGGGTTTTCGCCCATCAAAACGAGATTTGAAACAAGAAAATTGAACGATAATACAAATTGAAACGAAAATTTCGATGGCAACCTAGTTTTGCGATTAAAATCGGCGATGTCGATGTGGGATTACAGATCATATTTTTTAAAAAACGCGGAAATCTTTTTTGAATCGATTTTTTGATCGCTCTTTGAAGCGGAGAGGGAGTGGGCGACAAAAATCCAAATTTTAGGCGCGTTTTTGTCAACTACAGTAATCGCAGGACAACAAGTTCGCTCCATTGCACTTTTCGAATATTTGTTTCATTGAAAAAAAATTTTTGATATTTTTTTTTTCGAATTCTTGCGTTTTCTGTGGATTCGTTTGAAGAAAAATCCACGAAGTTAATATTTTTGCATAAAGGAATGCTGATAGAAAATTAGCAAAATTGGTTTTACGCGAAAAATTAAGTAGGGCAAAATTTTGGGCCTAAAACTAGTTTCTTATAAAAATCACTTATTCTCTTGCTACGTCTTTTTCAGATTACATGTTTTACATTTTCAGACACTGCGAATGCACAAAAACACAAGCACAACATCGAAAATCGATAAATAGCTGTTGAATTGCCGGCAAAACCAATTCGAATCGCATTAAAATGCGACAACAAGGAAACCAAACAGGAAAATGACGATAAATGAAAAATTCATTGACAAAATTTGGAAAAAATAATACAAGGTGTATAAATAACAGAAAAAAAAGAACCCCGTAAATTTATTCATCGCGCGATTTCGGCGTGGTTTTTGAGCCGCGCGTCTCTTTATCCAATAGCAATGTGCCAACATCATAGGTATTTGGCACAAATGTGTTGAATTCCGGAAGTTGAATTGTCTCGCCTTTTGGATTATTGCAATAGTGGCGGATCTGGAAATGGAAAAGTTGATTTTCAAAAAAAACCAATTCTCGAGTTTTTAAAAATTAGTTAAATTTGCTAATATAGATGGTTTAAGGTTTAAAATGCGCATTTTATCAATTTCTTTTTGCTGGAAATTGAAAACTAGGTCATTTGCGTGTAATTCCACAATTTATGTCCGGAATCTACAAATTTCATAAACATTTTCAAAAACTAAAATTAGAATGAAAAAATCAAACTACGTGTAGTCTTTCCACGAAAAGAATTTGAAAAAAAAAAAAGAAATTCCAAAAAAAATGTAGCTTTTCGCGATAAAATCGATGAACATTTGGCTACGAAAAGAAAACGATATCAAACGAAAATCGGCAACTTTAAAAATCGGCGGGAAAAACGTCAATCAGACCCAATTATCTAGTGAATCAAAAAATCGTCTCCGCAGAAATATGTAGTTTTTTTATTTGGCAATTTTCCGCAGTCGACATTTTTTTGGGAATTTACAATATTTTTGCGATATTCGTTTCGATATGATTTTCACTAAAAAAAATTGGCCTTTACATTTGGGTTTTATAAAATACGAATTTTTTCAATGCAAACAAAATGTTTTTTATTTGGACTTTCTGAAAATATGAGCGACTTACAACTAATTATTGTAAATTTACGGGCTAAATTAGAGGAGATCTTTTCTGGGATTTAGCCAATTTGTGGGAAATCGACTAAAATGTTTTTCCAAAAAAAAGAAAACCTCAATATATGGTTCTGGAGTGTTCTTGATTCCCGGGATCCAGTCGAAATCATCACCGCAACCGTCCAATTGGAATCTGCCGTCTTCATTTGAAAATGTTACGCTGAAATTTTAAATCTCTTTTTCTGAAAATATCTCTTTAAATTCACTTACCCCATTAGATCATCCGGGTCGATGAGTTGAAGTGGTCCCGGACCATCTCGATCCCAAACTCGTATCTAAATATGGAAAATTGAGGAATACATTTTTCAGAGCCAATTGAATTTGCTTACCTCGACATTCAAGTTCTTCGATGGATCCTTTTGGCAATCGACGCGTCCGAGCACCCAGACGCATTCGCGACCAGCTAATGCGGGTCCGGCAAGAATTGCGGCGATGAGAATGTGGTGAAACATCTAGAAGCGATTATTGAATTGGAATTTGAGTTGAAATCGCATTTATGGGGATTATTTGGGATTATCGCCGCCAAAAAACGTTATTTTAATTGGGGGATTTCGAAAAAATCAATAATTGTCGTCGCATTCGGCGCATTCGGTGTAAACACCGAGTTGCAGACTTGCGCCATAATTGACGACATTTTTTTGATTTTCTCATTTTTTTAAATTGAAATTCTATGCAAAACACATTGAACCGAGAAATTTTACAGGAATTGTTTGAAACACTTTCTACCTCCAAAACAAATATCACACCTACTTGTCTCAAGGACTACGATGGAAAAAAATTGTTGGAGAAGTAGGCGAACTGAAGGAAAAAGAAGCGAATGATAAAACTGGATCGCCGTGTAAAGCGACGGACGAAAAAGAACACCAGCAGTCGTTCATGAATCATTCAGACCCTCGAAAATTTCGACGACGCCTAGTGGTATTTTTTAATATGAAAATTTTGTTAACCGGTGTCAATTTTATTTTTTCTTAGATTTAAATTCTTGCAATTTATAAATTTTGCATTTTTCTAAGGTTTATTGAAACAATTTTCTCAAATAAAATAGCTGAGCATAATTTTTCTGAATATTTTGGAAGCAAATTCGAATTTTCTTGTTGATTTTCTGCTTGAAAATATAGCGTTATAATAATTTTCACCAATTTTTGGGTCTCACAACGATCGAAAATATTTTTTCAACGCAGTTCTTTGTATTAAATGTCAAAAAAATGTAATTTCGCTGCGAAATTTCGATTTTCAGCTTTAAATCCTCTTAGAATTACACTTTTTGATTCTTCAACATCAAAAATCTGCTAACAATTTTCGGTAATTTTCAAATCTTCTCGAAATGGCGATTAATGAAGAGAATATTTTCAAATGCTTGAAATTCCCCAAAAAACACTGCGATTTTTCTCGCAAATCATTGAGAAATTCATGGTTGAATAGAGTTTTCTTTGAAAAAACCGCCTTGGATTCGTTGAAATGATAAAATAAAGACTAGACTTGCCTGATACGCCACCCGACATTCTTATAGCGTCTTTCAAAGAATATGACATCGAGAGAGAGGGTGAGAGAGAGAAAGCGTCGAGTGGAGAGGGAAAAGATAGAAACGAAACCAAAAAGAAGTTTATTTATTGCTTAATCGAGATAAATTGGATTGTTTGTGTAATAATCGTTCGACATTGGCACAAAGATTTTCATGTTCGGCGGGTATACGATTTTCACTTCCGGCCTGCAATTTTACTGATTTCTACTATTAATACTTAACAAATTGCTTCAAAATCCAAAAAAAAAAACGCAAAAATTAAATCAATTCATACATTTTTGTGTCTACTGTATTTGAAAGTACGCAGAATGCGGCATCGGTGTTTGCACACAATTCCGATTGATTTTTTTTCAATTATTATCTCAACTTTGCGAAATTGATACGTTTTTTTTCGGATTTTTGAAACTTTTTGGACGAAAAAACCTAGAAATGACTAATTCGGTCTCAATTTAAATCAAATTTTTGCAGATTTTCTCACCTTCCACGGCATGAATGTCGAATTTTCAAATAGAACTCGGGTTTGTTGAAGAACAATGCTCCAAAAATGTCGAGATCCGAAGCGCAGCCTGAAAATTCCAAACTCAATTTGAACGAAAAAAAAATCTTAAAATATTTCATTCGTTCACTTTTTGGGACAAAATTCCCTTGAAAATCGCATAAGAATCCCAAAAAACCACAGTTTTACGAAAAACCGGCTTCAATAACCACCATTAAATACTATTAATAAAAAAATTATATTTGAATAATTCGATGAGCAAAACTCGTTTAAAAATCGGTGCAAAAAATAAAAATTCATTCTAAAATAAATTCCGCAATTGTGCGCCTCGGTGTTCACAACCATCCACTCGTCTACCGTAACATCTCCCTCAAAAAACCTACCAGAAACTTCAAAGATGCCAGTTTCCACCTGTTCTTTCGTCAAAACCTCCTTGCCAGCCAAATCATCATCATCAAACGGGTTCATTTTCAAAAACTGCAATTTAAACAATCCGAAATTGTTGGCGAAAATTCAGCGCACATTCAACGGCCGATCGAGATCCCAAATCTCGACAATCGTATTCTCAAGATTCTCAGGTTTCGAGCAAACGAGCCGACCAACAAACCAGGCGCATTCGGTGTTAGCCAGCGTCATTTCAACAATCAAAACACCTAATAAGGCCTGCCTAATCATCTGTAACCGTTTTATACACAAAATGGGGATGCGAAAAATGATTTTTCAATGAACATCGAAGTGAATAAAAATGAGAAATAATTATACAACAGCTGAAATGACAAGATCGGCGACGACGGGTTCAGTAGATCTGCAAAAACAAAAAGAATTCAAGGAAATTTCAGATTTTTGCAAATTCAAAATTATTCGCCAAGAATCCATCGCAAATTTTCTCAAAATCAATTAAAATATTGAAAATATAAAAAAAAAGAGCATTTTAATTCGAAATTCTTCTCAAAAATCAATGAAAACAAGACAATTTTTGATCGAAACTGACTCAAAACTCAAACAAAAGTGGACAGTCGGGACGTTTTTGTGAGCAAACGAGGGTTGGCTCTTCGCACAAAAGAAAAAAATCGGGTGCGAGAAGTAGTGTGTGAATCGAAGAGGGCCTAAGCGAACAAATGTTCGGGATGTGGGTGTCATCGGACCGACATGTGATTCACAACACAACAAATTCGAGCCAATATCGCGTTTTGTGTAAGATTCGAGCCAATTTCAGAGCATTTTCGACCGGAAATTAAGCATTCCCCTGTTTTTTCTCTTAGATAAAATTTACAGGCAAGTGTTTCGCGGATTGTGTTGGCAGAATTATGAGAATGCACCTTTTGCTATGGTCTCGCACCGACTTCAATTCGATCTGCTCTAATTTTGAATGTGAGAAGCGAAAACAAGCATTTATTCGTGGCGGGACCAGAGCGAAAAGTGCACCCCGACTATACAAAAATTTGCAGTTTCAAGTGTTATTGTACAGTTCGAAAATTAAAATTTCACTTAAAAATGCTTAAATCGGCCAAAATTTTAATTGCTCTTTTCTTAAAAATTCTTTAAAAATCGCAAAATTTTGAATTCTCGCATTATATTTTAATTAAAAACACATCTCACCGAATCACAATATTCATATTAATCGAGTTATCGCTTGGATCGATTGCAATCGTGGCTTTCGCGAGAACCTAAAAATTCGGTATTCGAAAAGAACGAAAGAAACGCCAAAAAAACGAAAAGAAAACCTCAAATCCGCCGCGGAATATTCCCGACAATAATACAGTATGCTGAGTTTTTCCGTCCGGGACCCGATCGGACCTCTCGCAAGGCACCAAGCCAAGAATCTCGGAGATCTTCTTGACCGCTTCGGGGATGTTGTCGACCGTCGACAGCTGGAATGTCTCTTCCCTCGTCGATTCGTCGCCGATCGCCTCCCAACCGGCGGCGAACGCCGTTTTCGCGATGCCCTGAATCGAGTCCGACACATTGATGTCGAATTCTTCCAGCTGCAAAAAAATCGCATTTTTTTTCAAATAGTTTTTCTAACAATTTTTAATTTTAAAAATATTGGAATTTATGGGGAAAATTCGAAAAGCCGATTATTTTTCGGCAATGTCTTGCATTTTTCTTAAATCTTCTAATCACAGCATTTTTCAAATCATAATTTAAAGGCGCATACCACATAATTCTGATCATAAGTGTCATCAGAATCGGGCTCTCCCGTCGTCGGATCGACATCCATGACGGCGAATTTGAGCATCGCCTGAATCGAGCCCGAGATTGCGCCAGAATCCGGGAAATCCATGATGATGTAGACGGATTTCACCTCGCCATACGGCAATCGATCAATCTTCATCACCTCCTTCGGCTCCCAATCGTTTTCGGGGTCGTCGAGACCAACGGAGACGTCGAGAAGCAGCTGATCATTCATCGTATTCTTGCATTCAAACTGAACACAAAAAATTGGGAATTTTCGAGAGGAAAATGCGTATTTCTCTTGAGAAACACACATCAATTCAACAATGAAAACGAAAAGCTGAAACCTGCAAAACGATGGCATTGGCGAAGACGTGCTTGATGAGGTGCACAGTGTATTCGGCAATCGATTCGGTCAACGCAATCCGAACCGACGACTTGAACACGGGTCCGAGAGGGGCGAATTGAGGAGAAGCTGCGAACTGGGCCGCATATGGCTCGACCTTGGCCGGTTTCGGCTTCTCGTCGGGCTCGGCGAGCACCGGCTGACGTTGGTCGGGTTGCGAGAGGGCCTGCGTCGAGACGGGCACCACACGAACGTCGAACGGCAGCGAGTAGTCGCCGGCACGCAAATAATCGAGAATCGTGCGTTCGAGGCCAGAAGGAGACACCTAATATGGGCAATCAAATGCAGCACATCGAATCAAGTGTTCGATTACCTGAAGTCCGTTGAGAATGAAATTGTGAATGAGCTTCTCATCGCCGTCGGTCAGCATCTTCAAGTAGAATGTCGCGCGATCTCGAACCTGAAAATCGATTTTTATGATGAATTCTGATCTTTTTGGAAAACTCAAAAAAAAAAAAATACATTTTAGAATTAGCAGTTTTGATGGAATTTCGATTTTCTTGGAAAAAAAACCTCTAGAAGTTTTGAATTATTTCGGATATTTTAAATTTTCACAATTATTGAACAACATTTTTAAAAACCCAATATTTTTAAAGAAAAAAAAAGTGACCTCATCATCAGAATCCAAAAGACATCGCCTTAGAAGGACCATAATCGAATTGCGCAAATCGACGCATTGTGCTCCAAATTTGGCGAGCGCGGTGACAGCCGCGGCGCGCACTTTGGTGCTCTCGAGAATGACGCGGTTGTAGATGAATCGAATGTAGGTGCTCGGATTGGCCGTCTTCGGCGCCTCGCGTCCCAACAAATGGAGCACGCGTGTCGACAGATTGTCGTGCTCGCAGTCCTCGATGAATTCGCACAGGTGCGCGAGACCCGCCGTCTTCGCCTCGGCGTTCTCTTCGATGATCGCGATGATCGTCTCGACGATCGCCTTCTTATATTCATAGCTGCCGTCGTTGCGGAGCATTTTCGCCAAGAACGGCATCATGACCGCGTGTTTGCGCGGATACCGATGGCACAGCGAGCGGATCGCGTCGACGACGACAATCTTGAACTCGTCGGAGATCTCGTTCACGAATCCGCTGATCTGCTGCATGAGACGCTCGACGCTCGATTCGGCGCCGGTCTTGAGAAGGGTCGTGATGGCGAGGGTGGCGATGGATCTGCAACGATTGATCGGAGATTCGCGAGAATCGAATCACAAGGCGAATACCGATTCGAGTCGGTGATCAGCTTCTCGAGATCCACATTGCAGCTCATCACGGCGTTCGGATGACTCATCGCAACCTTGTTCAACGTTCGAACAGCGGCGAAACGAAGTGCCGCTTTTGGAGACGAGCAGAATAGTTGGAGTACCGAAATGGCCGGTTGAAGTTCGCTTCTGAATCACACAATATATAAGATCAATCTGAATACGGCTTCTCTCAAATCTTACGGTGTCGTATGCGGAAGAGTGACAATCGCGCTAGCGGCCTCATAAACGACCATCTCGCTCTTGTGACGAAGGCACGATTCGATGAAGGTGAACATGGACGAATCGGGAGTGTCGTCGTCGACGAGGCATCTCGTCGCGATGCGGATCAAATAGCACACCGCATACGGGCTTCGCAGCGCGTTCTTGCTGAACTTGTGGACGAGCTTGTTGACGGCGAGCCGGTCGTTCGAACGGATATGGTACAAGAGGCCGAGCGCGTGGTACTGCACCATGTGGTTGTCGGAGGGGACGGCTTCTTGGACCTCGTTCGCCCAGCGACGGACCACTTCGGCCGATTTGCGCATCAGATGCGTCGACGAGACGATCGCCGCCGACGCGACGGCGCCATTCCTGTCGACGATCGCCTGCTTCATGTAGCGCTCGATCGTCTGCAGCATTCCGATGTCGGTGATGCGGCAGAGCGCGCGAATCGACGCCGGCCGGTAGACGTCCTCTCTTCCGGTCATGTCCTTCGTCAGACTGCTCGTCACGATGATCACGTCGTCGGAGATGTTCGACAGCTCCTTCACCACGATGTAGACGAGTCGTCGCAAATTCGCATCCTTGCTTTGCCACAGCTTCGTCACCGCGAAGAACGCTTCAGTCGCTTCAGTTCGACCGATTTGCTCACCTAAATAGCTTATTAATTGCCGTTAATTGGTCACTAATTACCCTGTTGTATGATATAAATGAGTTTTGTCAGAATCAGACTGCACTTTCTCGCGTTGATCGGCGTTTCGTTGAATGCGCGAGCTTCCTGGAGCACTGACGTCTTGTCGAGGTGAGCATACACATTCCCGCTCGCCTCCTCGTCCTTCTTATCGCGCTTCATCCCTTTTGCTGAAAATTTCAACCATTGTTCTCATTGGAAAATTCAAAAAGCTTCCACAAACAAAACAACACGACACCTATTATACCTTTCGACATGTTAATTACACCTAAAAATACCATTTAATTTATTTTTGAAAATGAGAAGAAAAATGGGAAAAAATCTAAATTAGTTAAAAAAAATTAAAACGTGTAATTTTTGTACGCAATCGAGACGTCAGATCAAACGTATTGTCCGCAATTGTGAACCGTAACGAAATCGAAATGTACGATTTTCTAGAGAAATTGAAAGGCCGACAAGTCATTCAAATGATCATAAAAATTAATTGGGTTGATATATGAAGGGAAAACCCAGCGAAACTTCGAAATAAAAATGTTATGGCTTAAAATTGAACGTGTCCCCCATCATAAACTTTCAACCTTCTCGTATTTAAATATTTCGGGAAAGTTTTATATCAATATGAGTTTTTATTTTAATTTCTTATTTCTAAAATCTCTTTTTCAATATGAAAAATTACTTTTTTTCAAATGTTTTATTTACCACATCTCTTAATTCGAAGGGTCCGCAATTGTCGTAGACTACGGTGTGTCGTCCGCAACTGGCAACCGTATCACGAGAGAAAATAACAGACATCATTGAATTGCATGTTCCATTCGATTTTCGCATTCTTTTGTTTTTCATGCGTTATTTTTTATTCAATTTTTTAAAATTTAATAGTTTCGAGCAATTTCAACGTGTGAAGTGGAGTAGATTGAGTAAATTGTGTATATTTGAACCGGAATTTCGATTTCCAATAATTTCCCATCAAATTTTACAAAATTTTCATCAAAATTTGTTGATTTTTCGAGTGATCTCATTCAATTTTCAAGGTAATTGCATTGTTCACACGCCAAGGTCGCCAACCAATGCCCAATTATGGCGGTCGACAACCGAATCCCCCAGAGTCGCAAAAATATCGATAAACGTCTCCCGTCCCAACACAATCGTTGTTTTTGTGCAACCTGCATCCAGTTTTTCGTTTATATCAAACTTTTGTTGTTATAATACGCTTAATTATATGTATAATTCGGCAAAAGCTGCCAGTTTTTTCACGCGAAAATTGTGGGTGCCGACTGGCGAACAATTGAATTCCTCTTTAATTGCAATTGCTAATTTTTTTTCGAATTTTAGCCCAAATGATAGTAAATATTTATAATATTATCGCAAATTTTCCTATTTTTTTTTTAATCTAAATTAGTTTTTTAATCGTATTTTTTTCAAAAAACGCTTGGCAAAAAAATTTTATTGCATATTTGGTCCCAAAAAAAAATTTCAATTGAACTTTCTATTTATTTCAACAAATTTTGCCAACAATTTGGTTTTTTTCAGAAAGATGTATTTTTGAAAAAAATTTTTCCTCGGTTTTTTTAAATGCTTTAATTTTTGCCCAAATTTTTTAAAATTTCCAAAAAAGAACTCAACTTTTTGATGAATTCTTACCAAAAAGTAGTCCGAAGTAAAGAAAATACATTTAATTCATCAATCAGCAAAGAAAATCAAATTTTCAAAATTTCATTTCAAACATCTGCCGACATTTTCGGGGGCGATTTTTTCACGCCTTACCTAAACGATTTAAAGCGATTTTAGAGAAAAATAGTCTCAATGCAATAGAGCGCGCTTGCTCCCTCTCGCTCTCAAATATGTCAAATGAAATTGAATTCTGGAAAAATCGTTTCGACAGATTACTTAAAGGTGGTTGTCGATTATTCGAATCGCCTCCAATTCCCTTTTCACTTTAGAAATACATTCCGGAACATTAGTACGATGTTTAAAGGGATATGCAGGAAATGTTCAGGCTGTAATCATATTACTTTTGGGTTTTGTCTGCCCCATCCATCTCATTCAGCCGCCCCCCGTCGGCCATCCTCAACGTACACGCGTGCGTTCTCGCATTTGGTTTATTCTCCATCGGCTTCTCGTCGACGACGCCGTTTCATTGGAAAATTATTCATTGCCCGACCGGAAATTGCACATTTTCATCATTTATTGATAAGAAGCGTTATTGGAAATGATGCAATATTGCTTCCCCCTTAAAACCATTACATTTATGACATTTTCTACCAGTTAATTGTCTATTTTGCCAATAACACGCTAATTGCCGTGTTTGGTAGCAAAAAAAAACAGGAAACCACTTGAAACAAAAATTGGGCATGAATTAATTTGTGCTATAGGGTTACTGTATGCAAGGAAGTCCGCAATGACACCGTCGCCCGAAAATGCACACTTTTTTCTGCGCTTCAAAAGTGCATTATACACTTACTTTCGTTCGCGGCTGGCATTCCTCATAAAAATTTAATGCACTTTTTCGCTTATTCGTCTTTTCTATTGTTCTAAGCGACATGTCCACAGAATTTTTGTGCAAATACTCGAATTTCGTGCGCTGGCCTTTTTTTGTGTGTTTTGCGTTGAATGAATCACCTTCCTGCCTTTGCCCTTTTTTGGACAGATCATTCATTTTATTGTGAGAAAATGAGTGCGAATTCGAAATTCGGCCACCTGCTGACTAACGGCACTCGATGACCTTCGATTTGGTCACTTCACTCCACTCGCAACCTTCTTATATATATTTTTTTTTCATCGAAAACTCGTTTTTTGGCTTTCTAAACGATAATTGGAAAAAAAAGTTGATTTTTTAGACATTTTTAAAGCAGATTTCGCCCAAAAGCAGAGAGTTAATTTTTTGCAAGATTTTTGCAGTGAAAAAATGCACAAAAAATTATCCCGAAGAAAATGTTCATAAATACGAGAAGAAATGAATTATTTTCGAATTATATTTGAAAAAAAATAGTGAAATTTTTCAGTCAATTGAATTTTTGTTTAAAAAAAGCTGCGATTTTATGGAGATTTTACGGGGATGAATGGCTTCAGTTTTGTGATTTTTTTTCTGAAAAATGACAAAGAAAAAACTGAATCATTAATGTGTTTCTGGGTCAGAAAAATTGCGAAATTGCCTATAAAAATTTTAATTGTGTCATTCGCCTTAAATTGACAATTTTTGTTGGTTCGAAATGTCATTTTTCGATAATTTTCGTTGAAGGACCATCACGGCGCGCGCGCAGCACCACCACTCGGAACAACATCAGCGCCTCGTTGCCGCGCCGCACTCCGAGATGGCGAATCGACGGCAATCGGCGCCCACGCGGGCCCAACAACGCGTCTATCGTCAATCGGTATCATTTTTCGATTCAAAACTTTGGAATTTTTGATTAAAAATCGCGATATTTTTCGACAAATTTCAAGAATTTTCTTATAAAAATCTCAATTTCACTGCAAAATCGAGAAAAATTAATAAAGAGTATGGAATCTAGATAATTCTTTTTTTTTCGAATAAAAACACTCGAATGGGATACACTGTTTTTGTCAAAGTCTCAATTTTTGAATGATTTTTCTTTTCCAGCAAATCCGGTACGCGCCGGGCGCTGGCGGCGAATCGGAGATCAGCTGCTGTGTGAAATACTCGGTGTTCGGATTCAATGTGATATTCTTCATTTTAGGTCAGTTTTCCTAAACCAAATTTCGACAGTTTTTTGCTAATTTACAGGAACTGCATTATTATTGGTTGGAATTTGGGCGCAAATCGAGAAAAATAATATTTATAGTCATCTGAATAAGGTAAATTCTGAAGAACTTTGAATTTGCTTGAAAACTTGCTCGGTTTTTTTTTCAGGCATCGAAATTGTACCTCGACCCGACGTGGTCGGTGATTGTTGTTGGATCCCTGACGTTTCTCATAGGTAATCAAAAGTTCTCTTTTTAAAATTAAAAATTGCGCGTCCTAAAACGAAAATAATTTTTTGTTCAAAATGTAAAAATCAAATATTTGGATTTCGAAAAGAAAATGCAAAAAAAAATTGCAAAAATTTAATTGAAAATGACAGAAACGAATATTCACAATTTTGGCTTTGAATTTAAAAAATGCAGATTTTGATGAAGCTAAAAAAAATTGAAATATTCGCAATTTCTGATATCAGAAAAAATGTATCCATTTTTGATAGAAACAAATTTTAAAAAATGAAAAAAAAATATAATCATTTTCCATTTTTTTGCTGCAATGGTCCTTAAATAATCTAATTCTATTCGATTTTCAAAAAATTATCGTTTTTTTTCTGCAGGATTCAGCGGATGCGTCGGCTCGTTGCGCGAGAACACCTCGTTCCTCACCTTCTACTCGACACTTCTCGGTTTGTTGCTGATTGCCGAACTTGCCGCGGCGGGATTCGCGTACGCGTGTCGAGACCAACTCGACACATATGTGAGAAATCTACTCAATGATGTGGTTCGTTGATTTCTCGTTTCATTCATGACGTTGATTGTTAGTATATCGAAACTTAGAAGTGATTGGTGTCGATTTACGGCAAGGGGGGGGGAGGTTTGGTCTTGAAGCGATCGCATGGCATTTGTAAATCGACATCCATGATTGTAGATTTACTAGCTCTAAGTATAAGCTCCCAACGAAATTGGGGTTTCAAATGAAAGCGATCGCATTGATTCAAATGAAAAATTCGCTCTCGTAAATCGACACCATCTGGTCTCGCGACGAGAAATCTCAATTAAATTTAATTTTGCAGATTGTCGGCTATCGCGATGATCCCGACCTTCAAGTGCTGATCGACACGATGCAGGAGAACTGGAAATGTTGCGGAATCAACGGCGCCGACGATTGGGATCGCAACACGTACTTCTCGATTGCCGCTCGCGACGTCGCGTCTCCAGAAGCCGGCGGAGTGCCGTTCTCGTGTTGCGTCAACAGCAGCGAAGTGTCGTTCAAGAATTTCTATTGCGGACACGGTGTTCGACTCAAGGTCATCGACGTTTTTTTTTTGTTAATTTCGAAAGAAAATTTTTGAATTTGTCCAAAATTGCTGATATTTTCAATTTTTTTGAGATTTCCCTCGAACAGTCAATTTTTTTGTTGAAAATTCTCGAAAATTTTGATTTTAATGAAATTTTCAAAGTTTTTTTTTTCAAAAATTTACCCAATTCTTTATTAAAAAATTGACATTTTTTTCAGACTGATAGTAATAATCAAATGACGGCGCGTTTGGCTTCTCAACGGGTTCTCGCCCAAATCGATTCGATTTATACCGAAGGATGTCTGCCCAAATTACAATTATGGCTTACTAACAACATATTCATTGTGATGATTATCATGGTGATTGTCGCAATTATACAGGTAATTAAGTTTTTTGGAATATTGGGCTTTTTTCTTGTTGATGAGAAATTGCAATTTTCTGGTGGAAAAGCTTGAAAATTTGCCGAATGATTACAGATTATTTTTTAGAATTTCTTCATACTGCTTTTTTTCAGCGAAATTTTCGAAAAGATTGAAAAAGAATCGGGATTCGTTTGAATTTTTGAGATTTTCCCAAAATAAATGAAAAAATGATGGCATTTTTGAGAAAATCGACTCGTTTTTTGGGATTTTTCTGCAAAAAAATATTCAAATTAAATTTTTATAGCAAAAATTAGCGAATTTTGGAATGTTTCTATCAATGCCAAAAATCGCTTTCGAATTTTTTCAAATTGAATGAAATTCTGAGAAAGTTCACTCAAAAATTGTACCTTTCTAAAAAAAATTGCTCATTTTTCAGTTTTTCCAATGCAATATCGAAATTTCTCGAATTTTGCACGTTTTTTTGAGCGTTTTCCCATCGAAATTCATCGATTTTTTCAGATTCTCGGCATTTGTTTCGCTCAAAACTTGAAAAGTGACATTTTCGCGCAACGGGCCAAATGGTATTACACGCATTGATCGATTCAATAATTTATTTTGGGAATTCGAGTGAAACGAGCCACAAAAATGTGATTTTTGCCTAATTTTACCTCGATTTTCTCATCACTTTGTACATTTTTTTCGATGTCTTGCCTTTCATTTTATGATTTTTTTGGCGATTTTACTGGTATTTTTCCAATTTTTAATTTGATCACAACAACAATGACGATTTAATGCGATTTTTTCACAATTTTGTGCATAATAATATGAGTTTTGCGACTTTTTTCTTTATCTGGTTGTTTGTTTTATTTTTTTGCTTGCTCTCCATGAAAATTTCGAATGGAATTCAGATGGGAACGACGCCGCCCGTTTTTAAGCGGCTTCTCGATTTTTTGTTGGGACGAGAAGAGCAAAAAGAGGAAGAGGAGGAGATTAGTGTAAGCGAAACATTGGAATATTTTGAAATTTTTTAAAATTGCAATTTTTTTGGGATTTTTGTTTCTCAACTGAAAAAATTCGTAATTTTGCGTTTTCTTTTCTCGAAAAATCCTTTTAAAAAAATCGATTTTGTCATAATTTTTGAAAAAAAAAATGAAATAATTATTAAAAATCGATAGGTGTTCTTTATGATTTTTGCGATTTTTTCAAATTATCGTCAAAATTGTTTGAAAGATTTTTAGAAATATGAAGTTCTCTGCTAATTTTGATGTGAAACCCGTAAATTTTCGGAATAATTTGAAAAATGTTGGATTTTTTTGTGGGATTTTTGATTTTTTTTATTTGAAATGACAAAATTGAGGAAATCTCAAAAACTTGTGATTTTTTTTTCAACAAATTTCGCAAAATTTGAGTTTTTCGACGATTTTTGTGAAAAAAAAAACGAATTTTTCCAATTAATTCAAAAAAACCGATTTTTTCTAAAGAATTTCCGTCATTTTTAGGAATCGTTTAAGAGATTTGTGAAAGCCGAGCGTCGATTTAAACTCGCCGCCACGTGCGCCTTCTTGTTTGTGGTTTTCGTGGTGGGAACCCCGATGTGGTATTACACGACTACCGTATACCGGGCGCCGTTTCCCACACTATCGCCGAATCGATCGTTGACGGTGCCTGTCAAGTGAGTTTTGATGGAAAAAAAACGAAAATTGTTGCTCTTTCTGAAATAATCGAAAATTTTAAGAAAAATTAGTGTTTTCCAACAAATTTTTTCATTTTTTTTGCAAAATATTCGATTTTTGACAAATTCTAAACGACAAAATAAAATAATTGGCGAAAATTTGTCAAACTCTGACGATTTTTTTCAAATTTGAATGCATTTGCATTTTTTGCCTAGGTTTTTTCCAAAAATCACAAAAATCTGCAAATTTTTGATATGAAAATCCCATATTTGGTCATTTTTATTCAAAAAAGCATTGAGATATTTTCGCCGAAATTCGCTGAAATTCATTATATTCTGCAAAAAGTGTGATTTTTTCTAGTAAAAACTGGAAATTTTCTAAATTTTTTGTCTAAAAATTGAAATTTCTTGAAAAATCTGAATTTCCACAATTTTTTCTGTGCAAAAATCGCCAAATTTGGGCATTTGCTGAAATGCTTGATATTTGCTTCAGAATCATTCTGGCGAGCACCAGCGACGAGCTGAGTCCATTAATTTCGGACCTAATGGTCCAAATAAGACAAAATTTGTCCGAGAAGGAGGTAAAATCGCCATTGGAATTCGATTTCGCGATCGAATCGATCGGAACCCGTCGATTCGATGAGCTCGAGAACGATCATGACCTTCAAGTGAACACCGAGCACTTTGTGGTCCGCATCGCCTTGGTCCCATCGAAGGAATGGTCGGATTTCTCGGCGACGAAGGTCCGCTTGGGAATCGGACGATGGAATTTCGTGCAATGGTCGAACGATGAGGCGTCGAAGTGCTCGAGTCGAACGACGGACCTGATTTGGGAGATTCTCATCGATGGTCCGCATTTGAATTCGATTGTCAAACGCGATTTGAGGGAGCGAATGCCGCCGTGGCAGATTGCCACGTTGCCGTTGTCGCATCAGGTTGGGGTTTGAAAAATTTTTTTTTCGTGGAATCCGAATTTTTGGCAGGAAAAAAATCGCCCATTTTTATGAAAATGTGAAAATTTTGGAGAAAAAATGGGGAAATTTTTGAAATTTTAAAAAATTTTTTAAAAAACATGAAAAAATTGTTTTTTTGGAAATCTCGAATTGTGGAATTTTTGGCGAAAATTTCCGCTTTTCGATTTTTTTTAGGAAATTTGAAAATTTCTGGAGAAAATTGAGACAATTTATTGAAAAAATTGCTAGAAATCGAAAAAATATGAAAAAAAAATAACTTTTTTTTTATCGGAAATTTCGAATTGTAGAATTTTTTGACGAAATTTTCACTACCTCGGGAGAAAAATCGCGAATTCTTAAAGAAATTTGAAAATTTCTGAAGAAAATCGAAAAAAAAGTGTTGAATTTTTAGAAAAATTCTTTGAAAAAATTGCTAAAAATCGAAAAAATATGAAAAAAGACAACCTTTATTTTTTGGAAATTTCGAATTGTCGAATTTTTGTGGAAAAAATCGTGAATTATTCAAGAAAATTTGAAATTTTGGGTAAGAATCGAAATTTTTTGTAAAAACGTTTTCATAAAGCTTGAATAATTTAATTGTCAGCATTTTTGTTTAAAAAAAAATCGGCCGTTTTGAAAGAAATTTGAAGGTTTTTGGAAAAAGCTCAAAAGAAAAAAATTCATTTACAGGACAAGTTGAAAAAAATTGCGAAAAATCGGGAAAAAAATTGAATTTTTGGCAAAATTTCGAGAAAAGTTAGAAATTTTTAATCGAATAATTGAAAAAAAAATTGATTGTTGAAAAATAATGAAAAATTTTAGAAAAACTGAAAAAAATCGCCAAAAATCGCTTCGTTTTTTTTTTTCGATTTTTAGAAATTAAAATTTCAGCAATTTTTTGGACCATTCTTTCTCAAAAAAATTTCACAATTTCACGAAGACATCAGGGTTGCTTTCCGTTTTTTTAAAATTGTTTTTCCGTTTCCGGTTCCGTTATTTGGGGAGGAAAAATCATAATACCGTTCAACCCTATCAGACATGTTCTTCTTCGAATTTTTCAGCTTTTAAACCAAATATATAGTAAAACAAATGTGTTTTTTTTTCAGAAGCGCCTCGTTTGGGATTCGGCGCCATTGGCCACCGACTATCACATCCAAGTGATCCATGTGCACGAGAATTCGTCGCCGACGACCGAGCCGCTCGACGCCCAGAAAAAGACGGCCGACGCGTTGCGACGATTCGGCCGACTCGTCGCGCCCGTCACACGCGTTCAAGTCACCTCGGAGCATCTTTGGGATTTCGACGTGACGCGCTCATTGCTCGTCAAAGACGTTCAGGATCGATGGACGTTGACGCAAGAAGCTCGCGAGGAGCTCATCAAGAAGGTCGATCGTCGACTACAAACCACATTGGCGTCTGGAGCCGTCCTTCGATTCGTTGTGCTCGAAACCGCCGAGCCCGTCGTCCTATTAGATCATATGGTAAGCAATGTTCGGTAGAGCGCGTTTGCTCACTTAGGGCATTCTTGCCGTTTAAAGGGGTATACTCTAGTTTTATTTCGATGAAGCACAAATATGAGCAATGTTTTCAATTTAATTTCGGCGTCAAATAGTTAAAGGGAGGTGGAGCCGTCAAATTCGCGAAATCGGTGTAGATTTAAATTTTTCGTTGACTGAATATTAAATGCGCGTACGATATAATGCAATGTACGCAATCTGGCGTACTTCTCGCTGCCTCGAGACGCCTTGGCACATAGCCGATTATTTTTTAAATTTCGTCAAGTCGTTTGACTTATGCGTCTTTAAAAAATCTTTTAAAAAATTCGGTAGAGCGCGTTTGTTGCGATTTAAACATACCCGATTTTTTTTCTCATCAAACAGTGTTTTTGACTTTCAGGGTGAAGACACGACGGGCTTCGCGGTGGCCGCGTGGGGAGCGATACTCGGCCGAAACGCGCAGACCGAATCGCGAGCGATCGCCGCATTTCGCGTTCAAATGGGAATGGACGCCGAATTGATGCCCGGCTGGCGGCGGCCGCCGGTCGCCGTGTGCCATTGGGAGATCGCGCGAGCTCGCCTACGAGCCGCCGTCGACAACGCGATGCGAGCCGCGAGCGCGATTCGGGCTCTCGATGAGATGACGAAGAAGATATCGAACATTGTGATCAATGACGAGGTGGCCGCGAAGGCGACGATGGCCGTCAAATTGCTCGACGAGGGGCTTCAGAAAGGAAAAGCTTTGAATTTTGACAAGGTTTTTTTTTTTAATTTTTGCCAAACAAACTGAAAATGTGCTGAAAATCTTGAACTCTGAATTTATTTGTCGCAATTTCACCCAAAATTTAGCTAGTCTTTTCACAATTTTTTTTTGTTTTTGAAGTTTTTGAGCAAAAAAAATTGGAGATTTTTAGTAAAATTAAAGTGAAAAAATGTTGAAAGAAGAGAATTTTTGGTTTTCTTTTTCAGCTTCTCCAAGCTCGTCAACTCGCTGACAGTGCCAATTCGGACCATTCGCTCTTGTCCCTTTTGTATTTCCCAATGGACCAACGAACAGCCGTCATTATTCCGTTGGTCTTGCCAATTGTGGTCCCGACACTCAAACTCGCCTACACTTTAACCAAAAAATTGATTTTCAAAGAGTTCCTGTGATTTTATCATATTCGATGAACGGGTTTTAAAAATTGTTTTAAAATAAATTGTCATAAAAAACCTCAATAAAGTCGAAATTTTTGAAATATTCCAAAAGGATTTCGCATTTTTTTTGGGTATTTTGAAGCATCTTTGTCAGAAAGCATCGCATTTTGACAACACTGAATTTAAAAAATATTTTTGACAAGAAATTTTATTTTTTAAATCGATTTTATATTGACTTTTGATCTAAAATTTGCCACGTAGAATTTTCTGATTCCATTTTCTTTTCTTTTACATTTTTTGTTAAAAATTATTTAAAAAATTTAGTACAATATTGTCGGCGTCAAACGATTGGGCGGGAAATTTAAATTAATTAACTGAATATTAAATGCGCGTATAGTATAACGTAATGTACGCAGTCTTGCTTAATTTTCGAAACGCATTGGCGCATTACCTATAATTTTTTTAAAATTTCGTTTAACGCTGATAATAAATTTATTAATATTTCATTAAATATGTGAAATTTCGAGATGCAAAAAAATTGAAGAAAATCGCCAAAAAATGAACATTTTTTACGTGAAACATGTGGCTTGATGTGCTCATTTCTTCATTTATCATCATTCAAAACTTGTTACATCTCGAAATATTCGAAAAAATCGCGCGACGACAATGAGAGAAGGTGCGAAAATTGCGACGCCGTCGAAAATTTGCAAAGTCCAAGTGAGTTTCTTTTTTGTATTGAAAACCACCAACGGAATTCGGGGTTCTCTGGCAACTCAAAATCAATCGGATCCGATTGGATTTTTGGATCCGATTGGATTTTTCGAATCCAATTTGGTTTAATTTTCCAATTCGAATCATATCCGACAAATCACACCAACCGGTTTTGAGTTAGCAGAGGTCTCGAAGTGATTTCAGGCCGGCGATCGACTCGCAATTCCAGAAGGCGGCGAGATTGTCTATCATAAAAGCCTCGAAAATGGACAAATGCTCATGAAAATTGAATATTCGCGAGATTTTGTGAGTTGCTTGGTATTAAAGCATTGGAAAATTGACAATTTTTTAGTTTTCGTCAAATTTCTTCACAAAAATGCCAAAATTATTTTTATAAAATTCAAAAATTGTGGTTTTTTTTTGAGAATTTCACTCGAAATCACTGAAAAATTGAATTTTCGCTGATTTTTTTTTTGAATTGAAATTATAATTGAAGACATTCAGATGCTCAAAGTCGCCGCGTCGCCATTATCGCATCATCGGCCGTCGGGATTCGTCGAAATCACGAAATCGTCGCCGGAAATTGTTGGAAACGTGAGAATTGGCCAACAAGAGCGACGCGACAACGATGAAGCGCCGCCGCCGACGCCGATCATCTCGACACCGCGGCGAGGTCCCATCACTCCGGCCGATCCATCGCTGCTCCAGCTCCATCTGAAGCATGAAATCGCCAACATGAACTGTCCGAATGGTCCGTTGAGCCCGTCCGGATGTCAGCTTAACATGATACCGAGCGATTTTCGCAAAATTATTGCTTTTAAATGAAATTTTTACAATTTTTTTTTGGCATTTTTTGTTGAGAAGAATGAACGATTTTTGTTCTTTTGAAGAACTTTGGCAATTTTCAAAAAATTGAGATTAAATTATGCACAAAATTAGTTTTATTTAAAAACCGTTAAAAGTATTGATTATATTCTGGAAAATTACAGACTTTGGCAGTTTTTTTTTTAAATCTGAAACCAAGCCAATTTTTTGGAAAAATTTCGATTTTAGTTAGAATAAAGATTTCTTCTGAAGGAAAAAGAAAATTAAAATTTACATGATTTTTGCCGCAAAATGTTTCAAAAATAAACAAAATTTTAAAAAATAGCGAAAACTTTGAATTATTTAAACGCAAAAAAATAATTTCAAGGAAATTTGGAAAATTCAGGAATTGTCCAAGATAAAAATTTATTAAGTGACAAAAAATTTAAAATGCTATACTTTCACGTCGTTTTTTCAATATATTCTGCAATTTTTTTGAGTTTACTAACCAAAATTCCTTATAGATACGCAATTTCGTGGAATTTCGCCGTTTTCTAAGAAACTGAGCTTATTATTTTTTTTTCGAAATGCGTTTTTTAGAGAAAAAATCGCATTCTTGTTTGCTGTACGGTGTGCAATTGCGGACAATGCGTGTGACCTGACGGCACAATTGCGGACTAGGAATACACGTTGCAATTCTCGTCGGATCCTCATTTCTTATTGTCTTTGAATTATTATTATTTTTTTTATTATATGTCGTACTAGCCCTTATTTAATAATATAAAAAATAATATATTTTCTGCTCTTTTATAGTATATATATATATATATATATAATGCATTAATTTATTTAAAAAAAAAACTCGTGAAATTATTTTAACATTAATTGTTCGGAATCGTCGACAAGGATCACTGCAGAGGAAATAAAAAAGAAAACATTGAATCTTCATTAATTTTTAAAAATTAATTTCTCTGTATTGCACCATTAATCGCCTTTTTCGAGTAGGAAGAAGACATTTTGGCTTTTTGAAGAATTCATATTTTTCAGAATTGATAACATTGAGTTTCTTATTTTTCTTTTTTGTCACGCATTTCGTTTTTTTCTCATTTTCAAAAATAAATTAAATGGTATTTTTAGGTGTAATTAACATGTCGAAAGGTATAATAGGTGTCGTGTTGTTTTGTTTGTGGAAGCTTTTTGAATTTTCCAATGAGAACAATGGTTGAAATTTTCAGCAAAAGGGATGAAGCGCGATAAGAAGGACGAGGAGGCGAGCGGGAATGTGTATGCTCACCTCGACAAGACGTCAGTGCTCCAGGATGCTCGCGCATTCAACGAAACGCCGATCAACGCGAGAAAGTGCAGTCTGATTCTGACAAAACTCATTTATATCATACAACAGGGTAATTAGTGACCAATTAACGGCAATTAATAAGCTATTTAGGTGAGCAAATCGGTCGGACTGAAGCGACTGAAGCGTTCTTCGCGGTGACGAAGCTGTGGCAAAGCAAGGATGCGAATTTGCGACGACTCGTCTACATCGTGGTGAAGGAGCTGTCGAACATCTCCGACGACGTGATCATCGTGACGAGCAGTCTGACGAAGGACATGACCGGAAGAGAGGACGTCTACCGGCCGGCGTCGATTCGCGCGCTCTGCCGCATCACCGACATCGGAATGCTGCAGACGATCGAGCGCTACATGAAGCAGGCGATCGTCGACAGGAATGGCGCCGTCGCGTCGGCGGCGATCGTCTCGTCGACGCATCTGATGCGCAAATCGGCCGAAGTGGTCCGTCGCTGGGCGAACGAGGTCCAAGAAGCCGTCTCCTCCGACAACCTTATGGTGCAGTACCACGCGCTCGGCCTCTTGTACCATATCCGTTCGAACGACCGGCTCGCCGTCAACAAGCTCGTCCACAAGTTCAGCAAGAACGCGCTCCGAAGCCCGTATGCGGTGTGCTATTTGATCCGCATCGCGACGAGATGCCTCGTCGACGACGACACTCCCGATTCGTCCATGTTCACCTTCATCGAATCGTGCCTTCGTCACAAGAGCGAGATGGTCGTTTATGAGGCCGCTAGTGCGATTGTCACTCTTCCGCATACGACACCGTAAGATTTGAGAGAAGCCGCATTCAGATTGATCAGATATATTGTGTGATTCAGAAGCGAACTTCAACCGGCCATTTCGGTACTCCAACTATTCTGCTCGTCTCCAAAAGCGGCACTTCGTTTCGCCGCTGTTCGAACGTTGAACAAGGTTGCGATGAGTCATCCGAACGCCGTGATGAGCTGCAATGTGGATCTCGAGAAGCTGATCACCGACTCGAATCGGTATTCGCCTTGTGATTCGATTCTCGCGAATCTCCGATTAATCGTTGCAGATCCATCGCCACCCTCGCCATCACGACCCTTCTCAAGACCGGCGCCGAATCGAGCGTCGAGCGTCTCATGCAGCAGATCAGCGGATTCGTGAACGAGATCTCCGACGAGTTCAAGATTGTCGTCGTCGACGCGATCCGCTCGCTGTGCCATCGGTATCCGCGCAAACACGCGGTCATGATGCCGTTCTTGGCGAAAATGCTCCGCAACGACGGCAGCTATGAATATAAGAAGGCGATCGTCGAGACGATCATCGCGATCATCGAAGAGAACGCCGAGGCGAAGACGGCGGGTCTCGCGCACCTGTGCGAATTCATCGAGGACTGCGAGCACGACAATCTGTCGACACGCGTGCTCCATTTGTTGGGACGCGAGGCGCCGAAGACGGCCAATCCGAGCACCTACATTCGATTCATCTACAACCGCGTCATTCTCGAGAGCACCAAAGTGCGCGCCGCGGCTGTCACCGCGCTCGCCAAATTTGGAGCACAATGCGTCGATTTGCGCAATTCGATTATGGTCCTTCTAAGGCGATGTCTTTTGGATTCTGATGATGAGGTCACTTTTTTTTCATTAAAAAATTTGGGTTTTTAAAAATGTTGTTCAATAATTGTGAAAATTTAAAATATCCGAAATAATTCAAAACTTCTAGAGGTTTTTTTCCAGGAACATCGAAATTCCATCAAAACTGCTAATTCTAAAATGTATTTTTTTTTGAGTTTTCCAAAAAGATCAGAATTCATCATAAAAATCGATTTTCAGGTTCGAGATCGCGCGACATTCTACTTGAAGATGCTGACCGACGGCGATGAGAAGCTCATTCACAATTTCATTCTCAACGGACTTCAGGTAATCGAACACTTGATTCGATGTGCTGCATTTGATTGCCCATATTAGGTGTCTCCTTCTGGCCTCGAACGCACGATTCTCGATTATTTGCGTGCCGGCGACTACTCGCTGCCGTTCGACGTTCGTGTGGTGCCCGTCTCGACGCAGGCCCTCTCGCAACCCGACCAACGTCAGCCGGTGCTCGCCGAGCCCGACGAGAAGCCGAAACCGGCCAAGGTCGAGCCATATGCGGCCCAGTTCGCAGCTTCTCCTCAATTCGCCCCTCTCGGACCCGTGTTCAAGTCGTCGGTTCGGATTGCGTTGACCGAATCGATTGCCGAATACACTGTGCACCTCATCAAGCACGTCTTCGCCAATGCCATCGTTTTGCAGGTTTCAGCTTTTCGTTTTCATTGTTGAATTGATGTGTGTTTCTCAAGAGAAATGCGCATTTTCCTCTCGAAAATTTCCAATTTTTTGTGTTCAGTTTGAATGCAAGAATACGATGAATGATCAGCTGCTTCTCGACGTCTCCGTTGGTCTCGACGACCCCGAAAACGATTGGGAGCCGAAGGAGGTGATGAAGATTGATCGATTGCCGTATGGCGAGGTGAAATCCGTCTACATCATCATGGATTTCCCGGATTCTGGCGCAATCTCGGGCTCGATTCAGGCGATGCTCAAATTCGCCGTCATGGATGTCGATCCGACGACGGGAGAGCCCGATTCTGATGACACTTATGATCAGAATTATGTGGTATGCGCCTTTAAATTTTGATTTGAAAAATGCTGTGATTAGAAGATTTAAGAAAAATGCAAGACATTGCCGAAAAATAATCGGCTTTTCGAATTTTCCCCATAAATTTCAATATTTTTAAAATTAAAAATTGTTAGAAAAACTATTTGAAAAAAAAATGCGATTTTTTTGCAGCTGGAAGAATTCGACATCAATGTGTCGGACTCGATTCAGGGCATCGCGAAAACGGCGTTCGCCGCCGGTTGGGAGGCGATCGGCGACGAATCGACGAGGGAAGAGACATTCCAGCTGTCGACGGTCGACAACATCCCCGAAGCGGTCAAGAAGATCTCCGAGATTCTCGGCTTGGTGCCTTGCGAGAGGTCCGATCGGGTCCCGGACGGAAAAACTCAGCATACTGTATTATTTTCGGGAATATTCCGCGGCGGATTTGAGGTTTTCATTTCGTTTTTCGGCGTTTCTTTCGTTCTTTTCGAATACCGAATTTTTAGGTTCTCGCGAAAGCCACGATTGCAATCGATCCAAGCGATAACTCGATTAATATGAATATTGTGATTCGGTGAGATGTGTTTTTAATTAAAATATAATGCGTGAATTAAAAATTTTGCAATTTTTAAAGAATTTTGAAACGGGCAATTAAAATTTTGGCCGATTTAAGCATTTTTAGGCGAAATTTTGATTGATTGAATGAAAAATTTATAGTTTTTGTCTCAAAATTTGTAATTTATGTCCCCAAAAATTCAATGGTTTAATTTTAAACTAAAAAAATTTTTTCGTTGAGTATGTTTGAAATTTTTCAATAATTGCTTAAAAAGAGAAATCTGAAATTATCTTCATTTTTTGTTTTTACAGATCAACTGAACCCGTCGTCGCCGATCTTGTCATTTCGGCTGTTGTATAATTATTTTTATTTATTTATTTATTGCACCCTTTTTAATTTTTGCATAAATAGTTGAAAATTAATTTTTTTGATAATTTTGTGTGAACTTTAATCATGTGATTTTCGTTGAATTTGATTTTTTTTTCGCAAAGAATGTTTTCAAAATTTTGAGTAAAATTTCACGAAAAATTCCCATTTTTTCCAAATTCTTAAAAATATTTTCGATTTTCAGCGAAAAATTCGCATTTTTCAATTTATTTCAAATCGAATAAATAAATATGTATGTATATGGTATTGATTATCATATGTATATATGGATTGTTGAGAAATTGATTCATACAGCTAGTTGATCGATCGTCTGCTTCAGCATCCGATCGATATATTCATCGACTTTGCCGTTCGCCTTCTCGTCGTTCACTATCGGCACTTCGGGCGACGTCGGCTGATCCGACATCAGTTTGATGGTGCCGAACGAAACGCGACGGCCGCGATTGTGCGTCACCTGAAGACTTCCCGGCGTCGGCGGTTCGGAGATGAGCGACGGCGACTCGACGACCGATTCGGGACGAGAGAGACGAGGCGACGGCGGATTCATGGCGAGCAGGCGGGCGAGCGACGGATAGACGCCGTCGGGAAACACATGCGAGATGTCGACGTGATGAACGACGCCGTTGAGGAGGAATCCGACCTGGAGCGATGAAGAATGCAAATATTGGAATTTTTGAGATTCTTCCAAAATATTGAAATTTTCAATGTTAGTTTTTTGGAAGAATAGTAAAAATTGAACAAATAAAATATGTACCTTATTATATTGAAGTGCGGTGCTTGTGAAGACGGTCGCATCAAACACTCGAGCGCCCACATTCTTTTCGTGGTAGAAAATGTTGCCGTATGGGATAAACGAGATCTGAAATAATAGATTTGCAACTGAAAATTGACGATTCCAATTTTCTCTTGAAAAAAATGCTGAAAATAAAGAAACAATTGCATTTCTCATAGAAAAATATTGAAATTCTCTCGTTTTTCGAAACATTTTCTCTGTTGAATTCCAGTTTTTGAGTGGTTTGCCCCCGTACCGAATATTGCATGTGCGGATGATCAGCAATGCTCTGAATCGCCTGCTTCAAACCGACCGCCAAATACGGCCAAACGAATCGCATCGGAAAATCGGCTTCATCGCCTTCGAGCTCATCGACGCAAATGCGCGCGGCGAACTCGATGACGGTGTCGGAGAGACGCTGAACGTGCAATCGGACCGGATCGCTGGTCACCAACATTCCGCCGGTCCATTCGTATGTCGTTTCGACGTGCGGTTTGAGCGAGCGGCAAATCTCGCGGAACGTCGACTCATCGGGTCCCGCCAATGGGAACGAGATTTGAATGATGAATTGAACTTCGCCTTCCAATGGATCCGCCGTCCAGTGGAGTACCTCCAAATTCATATATTTCATTACATATAATTTTTCAGAAAATTGTATAATTAAATGTCATTTTTACCAATTTTCTTTCAATCAAAATTGTTTCAAATTTGAGAAAAATTCGCAAGTTTTCAAAAATTATTTTTAATTTCAAGAAAAAAAAATAGTTTATCGCAAATTTTTCTTGGAAATGGTGGTCCTTACAGGCGGCTTATTGGAAAGCGTCTCATCGTCATCGGAAATTGCGCACGGCGTGATTCTGGCGACCGCGTCGATTTTCGCCTGCAAAAAAATTAATTGAGTGTTTAAATGGTCCCAATAAAAAAAAAGCGAAGATTTTTTTGGTGAGACTTTGAGATTCTCGTCAAGAACGAGTAGTGTGTAGCTGATTGAAGGAATCGTGCGCCACTTGATGAGTTGCTCAATTCTCAACGATTTCCAATCATTTTCCGGCAGTTTGCTGCAAAACAATAGGGCGGAATTCGATTAAATTGTCGAAAAGTACTTGACGCGGTCAATGGCCGCTTGATTCAGCTCGTAGGCGCGGCGATACTCGGTTTTGACGACCTGAACTTGAAAAGTTGTTGAAACGAAATTGATTTTCGCCAACATCGTCGATGAACTTCTCCTCGTGCTCATTCCAATCGCGTTTCACTATGAAAAGCTGAATGCTTTTCTCGACGTTCGCCAAAAAATAGCGAATCGAAAAACGCAGATTCGCATCGCGGAGATCCTCGATTCCCACGACGATGTGGCCTGCAAGTTGATTTATTATTAAATAAAAAGAAATGCTTGAAACAGAAACGACTCAGGCAAATCAAATAAAATATTTTGAGAATCAAATATTCAATAATAAATTCTAACATATTTTGAGAAATTCTAAATTTTATTGATACTTTATAAAACTTATTGAGAATCGCTAAACTTTAAAATACTTTTTAAAGTCTTATAAGATTTTCTAAAAATTTATTGAGCAAATTCTAAATTATCTCAATAAATTCTAAAATCTTATAATAATTTCTAAAGTTGATTGAGAAAAATCTAAATTATTATAGAGACACGTTTGTTTCTCAATGAATCTCAAAATATTTTATTCGATTTACCCGAGGAGTGAAAAAGTGGCAAAAAGTTATCGGAATTGGGCGAAATTACGCAAAAAAAATGATTTTTGGCTAAAATACTAATAAAATTTCAAATCAAATTATGCCGGAAATTGGATTTTTGCAGCGAGACCTCAAAATTTGCAAGATGTTAGAAAAAATAAAAATTTAAGGAAAAACTAAATGCGTTTAAAATATAATTTGCCAAAATTACAGTAGTTGTCGTCAAGAGACCCTTTGAAAATAACTAAATGCGCCTTTAAATTACAGTAATACATTTTAATATCCAAACGTTCTCTAAAGATTTTTTCGATTTTTCAACATATTTAAGTGTTTTCTGATTGGTTTTTCGTATTTAAATATTTTGAATGAGGTATTTTTTAAAATTTCTACAAAAAAAACATAGAAATTGATTTTTAAAAAAGTTCCAAAAATGCATTAGGAGAAAAATGCGTGATTTTTTTTCCACAAAATCTATCAATTTTCTGGTAATTTGAAGCTGAAAACTTGATTTGCGTGGCCAAAAATGGGATACCTGTAAAAGGAAGTGGCTGATATTCGGCATAAACGCGTTCGGCGGGCAGCTGAAGGATGCCGGCGAGCGAGTCGCGCAAAATTCCGTTGTTCGAAATCGCGAACATTTCTCCTGCAAAAAAATGAAACTTTGACTTTGCAAAATCATGAGAATTCGAAATTTTAGAAGTCATATTCGGAATCAGAGCGAAATTCTTCATAAAATGAGGCGAATCTCAATAAATTTCCGACATAATTGAGCGTTGAGCCAATTATTTTTTTCAATTAAAAATGAGGTGCTCAAAAATCTTTTTGACAGACATCGAAGATTATGTATATTTCCATCTGCGGACAATTTTCACCCAAATACAATTTTGAAGAAAATTGTCCACAGATGGGATTCGGCATATAAAATTCTCAAGTATTGTCATTATTCTCATAAAGGGTGATATGTTTGCCGAAATGCCGAAATTTGTCCGCAGATGGGAATTGATATGAGAATCGGATCGATACGAGGACTTCTCTGCGAGTAATTTGCAAGTTTGGGGACTTTCTGTCCGACCGCTGGCCATTATCATCTCGCACGTCTGCGGACAATTCCACGTGATTGTGAATAGAAGCCAAAAATGCGAATGTGTGGAAAGAAAGCGAAAACTCGTAAATTTGATGGCCAAAAAAAACGGATGATGGAATGGAGACGTCATTCGCATTTTTTGTTGTGTGGGTGTGTTCGCTAGAAAAAAAAAACAACGACAAATGAAGTTTGATGGATGGCAGACGAACGAATTTCCGTTATTTTACTGTATTTTGAAGAGAATGATGAATTTTGAGGAGTCTGGTGCTTAAAATGGGCCTTGTTGAAATTTTTAAAGCGTCAAGAGCCTAGGATTACGGTAGCTGAGGGTTGGCAAGGTTACCGTAATCCGGTCTCAACACGAACCATTAAAAATGATTGGATGTCGTTGCTTCGGGTCGAGAATCGATGGGACAAAATCTGCTTACATCAATTTCCAGCTGCGGACAATTTTCAAGGGACTATTGTATTTGAGTCTTCCGCTCAATGAGCAAATAACCAAACCAAGTGATTAATTAATTAATTAATTAATTATTCAGCTACCAACTCTAGCGAATTGAAAATGTCGATGTGACGAATAGAAACAAGCCAACACTTTATATCAATTTCCATCTGCGGACAATTTCCTTCAAAAATTGGTGGTTGACAAATTGCTGAAAATTGTCCGCAGATGCAAATTCATGAAAGACACACCTCAAAATACAAATTGCTCTTTCAATAAAGGGGTTCATAATCGGAAGAAGACGCGTTTCCTATAAATAGAATGAGACGAATTTCAATTAATTACCAGATAAATGAAGATTTTCTGGAAGAAAATCTCGAAGAACGAAAATCATACGAATTTCCATCTGCGGACAATTTTCGAGGAAACCCGCAAAATTGTCGGCAGCTGAAAATTGATAATTATTCACATTTTTCAATATAAAATGTTAGCCCATTAGATCCGATTGCCACAAGACCCAATTGATTTTGCGCAATACACTCCTTTAATCAATTATATATTTTTCAGTAAATTTACACTTATTCATTGAGAATGGTTTTTTTTGAATTTAAAATTGAATTCAAAAAATATGAAATCAGTTAGTTTTAAAGAAAGGAGGAAAAAAATTTACACGTTTCGAATATTTTTGGCTTTCTCCATTTTCAGAAACCAATTATAGAATATTTAGTAATTGCTGCGGACAATTTTCGAGGTTTTCGCCACAATCGCAAGAAGTTGAAAAAAAAATAAAGAGAAAAGTGAAAAATCAAGCGAATAAAAGGCAATCGCGGATGGCGAATTGAACGGAAACACTTTATAAATTATTCGGTGATGATCGCGGCGCGCATCGGTCGGTTTTTGTGTGAGGACTGACGTCAAAGAAAAAAAAAACGAAAAAAAAAAAATACAAAGGCCCGTTTTTGGCATCGAAAATCAACCGGAATTCGGCAAAATCATCGAACACGTTTTCAGCTGAAAATGTGATATCACTTTGATGGCGAATTTCTCTAATCATTTTCCAGCTGCCGACAATTTTGCGGGTATTTTTAGGCCGAAAATTGTCCGCAGATAGAAGTTTTTGATTTTTTTCTCAACGATTAATTTGATTAATACGAGACTACCGAATTTTCATTTCTCAAACGTGTTTTTCTTTGAGTCTGCAATTTGTCGTCGCCGTGTTTGCGGACACTTCGTATTTTGACGAAAATTGGCAAATTAAACGAAATTCGGCGGCGATGGAAAACAGAAAAACGAAAAAAAAACGGACGGTGATATTGCTTATGCCATATATTTTCTTTCGAAGAAAAAATAAAAAAAATCTCAAAATTGCTCAAAAATTTGGAAAAACTGTCATGTTTTGGGAAAAAATTGCGAAAAAAAAATGAACTGAAATGGCAAAAACAGCTATTTTTGTGCAAAAAATCGGAGAAAAATAAAAAAAATCGAGAATCTCATTTTTTGTTGCGAAAAAAATTTTTATAAATTTTTGTCGGAATTAAAAAAATTTTATTCGCGGTTTTTTTCCAGAAAAAATAAAAAAATCTCAAAATTGCTCAAAAATTTGGAAAAACTGTCATGTTTGGGGAAAAAATTGCGAAAAAAAAATGGAAAAAAGCAGAATATGTAAATTTTTTGCAAAATCGCATAATACCCATTTTTTCTACAAAAAAAAAGGAACTGAAATGGCAAAAAATCGAGAATCTCATTTTCTGTTGCGAAAATCTCCAAAAAAAAAAGTCAAAAACTAATAATTTTTGAAGGGAAAAATGACGATTTTCGAGCAAATCAAAACCAACGATTTTTGTCGGAATTTCTCGAACAAAAAATTTTTTCGCGGTTTTTTTCCGCCAAAATCGTCATCGCTTGATTTAAAATTTCGAAAAAAAATTATTGCAATCGGTTTGTTTCATCAATGAGAACGAGAAACAGAAAAAAAATGCGGAAATTGGTTGACAAAAAAAGGGACTGGGGGGGGGACATATGGAAAATGACGGGTATATTTAATAGGAATGCCAAAATGGGCATATAAGGGCCGGCAAAAAAAAACACGGGAAAAAGTGAGCGAGAGAGAAAGAAATGAGACATCGAGGTTCGGGGGAAAAGCTTCGAAGCTTCTCCTTCTCAAAATATACATATATATGCCCATTTATACGAAAACTTGTCAACAAAATCTCGTTGTCTCATGATTTTTTGGCGAGATTGAATCGAAAAAATCGAATTTTGTTCCGAAAAATGAGCAAATTTTTCGATTTTCTTTCAATAAAATTTTTTTTGTCAAAATTTCCATCCAAAAATTGCACTTTTCATGGAAATTTTGCCTCGCATTTTTCATTCACATTTAAAACAACTGCTACCGTAATCTCGGATGCAAAATCGAATGTCTGAACCCCCAATAAATATCGGATTTCTGTTGGTGCAAAAAAAGGTGCCGAATGGCGATGTCTCAAATTTCCACGCGCTTGCGCCTTTAAATTCTTTTGAGGGTCTTGCAGCGAACATCAAGCATACCGCAGCAGAAATCAGGGTGTATGCGCCTTTAAACGAGCGGGTCTCGCCGCGAAACGAAAACGGCAATAAAAAAAAGCAAAAAGTGAAACTCGTCGTCTCGTGTTTTTTTTTCCTTCTTCTTCTTGACATCAATTTAATTTCGCCTCCAGCTTCTCCTTTCTTTCGTTCTTTTCTCGACACCCATTTTTCAAAGTTTTCAACGGAAAATTTCGTCTAGAAAACCAGCCCGTCAAAAAAAAACGAGAAAAAAAAATAAATTTGAGTTTTTCGCATTTTTCTGACCACGAAAAAAAAAATGCAATTTTCTGATAAAATCCCGACGGCAAAAAATATTGGCGAATAAAAATAGGGAAAGCACGAAAGTGGAAAAGAGAAATTGGATAGATATAACAAAACCAATTACTTTTTTTTTGTGCTGCTCCGCGAGCCCGCCACGCTCACACAACGCTCCGCCCACTTTCGAGACAAGCGCGGCAGATTTTAGTGGGGAAAAAAATCGCATAGGAAATTTTGGCGAAAAATTGACAAGTTTCGAATTTCGTTCGCGGCGAGACCCGAAAACTAAAGGGAACGTCATGCGCCTTTAAACAGAGAGATGCGCCATTACGAAGAAATCTCCGATGGGCAGCACACAAGGGACCCCTCAAGGCTCCAGATGAGACCCCATCGTTCCGCTAACATTCATGCGCCTTTAAAAAATCGACAACCGCGATATTCATGAAAACAACTCAACAAAACAATAATTCAACGTAAAACCAACAAAAATTTAAGCATTTTTCGGCGTCGCCGCGTTTTTCGTTTTCTCCTTGATCGATTTCAGCTGAAAAACGCGAAAATGGAAATTTTTCGTCGGATTTGCATAAAAATGGTCGAAATTTTGAATAAAAATTACTGTTTTTTTTTGGCGAGAGAGACAGAGAGAGAGAAATCGCGAATTTCTGTCCAAAAATTCAAATTTTCCCCCAAACCCAAAATTCGATTCGTTCAAAAAATTGCCTAATTTTGCCCCAAAAGATAAAAGTCCCAAATTTTCGGCTTAAAAAACGTGAGGTTTACTAAAAAAAAATTGTGCTCCAAATATGGACAATTTATTTTTGCCAACGACAATCTCATTTGCGGCTATAAATTATTCGATAATTCCAATTTCTCGCGATCAAATTTCATTAAAAAAAAATAACGCAAAAGTTTTCAGTCAAGTTTTCCCTTAAAATGATCTTTGCCCCCATAATTCTCATAGGAAAAAAAATGCAAATTTAAAAAATCTACCAAATTTGTATTTCAAAAATCGCATTTTTCTCAATTTTTGACCATTTTCTTCTAATCAAATCTCAAAAAACTGCAATTTTTGATCTTTTAAATCAAAATTGATTCCAAAAATTGCCAATTTTCACCAAAAAAAAATAATCCTACCATCTCGTTTGCATTTTTCGTCGCTTTCATCAACGCTTCGTATTGAATATTATTCATTCGAATCTCGATCGGCGGCCCCTTCGATTCTAAATTTGATTTATTCGCAAAAAGAAAAGAAAACACATCAAAAACCAACCAAATTGTTCAGCCTCGTCGATTTTCATCGAATGAAGATCGCCGTTTTCGGTGCCTCGGCATTCCGCTTGAAGCAACAGATTCTTCGGCCATCCTGTAAATTCGATTTCGTCAATCAAATGAGTGGAAAGGAAGAAGGGGGGGAAGGGTCTCGTGGCGAACGCCAAAGTTTTCAAAAATAATATTACTGTGGAGAATTTGGTAAAAAATCGCTCAAAATCCTCTAAAATCTAGATTTTCTCTCCAAAACCTTCATAAAAAGTCGGGTCTCGCAACGAAAATCGAACCTCAATTCAAATGCCCTACGCAGATTTTGGGGGAAACCTGGTTAAAACCAAATTTTTGAGTTTGTTGTAAGAAAATGAGGTCGTTTTCCACAAAATTGGCGATTTTTCTCGAAATCGGTCCAAATAATCTGGATAAAAAACTTCTGTATCGACTACACAGATTTCTTTTCAGCACAACTTTCCAGAAATCTGAAACTCATATCCGAGTTTCTACCGAAATTGCATTTTTATGTTTTGTCGACGCCGCGCAAAAATTGGCTAAATGCCAAAAGAGGTCTCGGTGCGCCTTTAACCTACCATTATAATTGGGCCCGTAAATCTACACGTTCACTTTTGCGTCAAGACCACTGCCGTTGCTTTTTTTTTGGCATTTAGCCACGCCCACAATTTTTTGTTGATGGTTTCTTTTGCGAAAAATTGCATACTACCATAAACTGCTACATGCTGGGTCTCGCACCGAATAAGCGGACGTTCGAAATTGTAAGTTCAACATTTCATTATTTTTGGCCATTCATGTTTGAAAAAAAAAATAAAAAAATCCATGAATTAAACTTTTTTAATTATCTTCTTAAAAAATTGAATTGATTTTATGAACTTATTACTATTAAATTGGCTTAAAATTATTTTTTGATCTCAGGCGAAACAAAAAAAACGAAAATTGTTCCGTTTCCGGTGTTTCTCGGATGAAAAAAAAAAACCGATTTCGGTGAAATGCTGATTGTGATGCGGAAAATTAATTTTAAAAAATTGGAAAAAAAATCGCCGCGCTGATTCTCTGCTAACTCAAAACCAATCGGATTCGACCAAATTCGGCTCTAGTATCAACCTTATCCGATTGGAAATTCTACGGATAAGATTGTAAAATTGTCGTATCCGATTGGTTTTTTTGGGTATTTTCGTATCCGATTGGTAATTCTACGGATAAGATTGGTTTTTTGTCGAATCCGATTCGAATTGAAATATTAAAACAAAACGGATTCGAATAATTACCAATCGGATTCGAAGAAAATCTAATCGGATACGACAAATTACCAATCGGATAGGAAAATACCCCAAAAACCAATCGGATACGACAATTTTACAATCTTATCCGTAGAATTTCCAATCGGATAAGGTTAATTTCGGAGCCGACTTTTGTCGGATACGATTGGTTTTGATTTACCAGAGTTCAATCAAATCGATTGATTCAAACAATAGCACTACATGCGCGTCGTTTCTCGACAAATCCTGCAGAAACCAACAAACCGGAGACGAATTTGCGTGCTTCGCTGCTCTCGACGCCCCATAAAAGGCTCAAATTCATCACATCGACGGGCGCGCGCAAATCGAGCATACACTCGGCGCCGCTCGAAATGAGCACATGGCGAGATTTCAGCGAGCGAAGGAGAACTCGACCGTTGTACAGTGCCTGAAAAAATCGCCATTTTTTTTGCCCGACGGGTCAAAAAGAAGAAGAAAAAGCGGCAAAAAATTATATTTCAATTTTTTTTTCTCAAATTCTTTTCTAAGCATTTTTTTCTCTGTCAAACGAAATGAATATTCAAAAAAATGGAACTCTACATGTTTTCGACTACTTTGTGCAAAAATTTAAACATATTCCAAATTTTTTTTGACAATTTTGATCATTTTCAGGTTTTCAGCAAAAAATTATCGCATTGCTCACCTGCTTCCTCGTCTCCGGCATCAGACATTCGGCATAGGTCAATTCATAATAGATTCCATCACCTCTCATCCTCTCAATGACTTTCGAATATCCCAGCCATTTCGCCTAAATTTGGGTGGAAAAAAGAAAATAAATGAAACCAAAATGGAAAAACCTTGTCATTTTCAAGTCGATCGATTGTAATAATATCAAATAGTTCAGTTTTTCGCGAAAGAGTCTCAAGAACTGATCCGTCGCCGGGTCGAACCGCCACCAAATCGTATTTCTGCAAGAAATCCACCATTATTTCAGGAATTTCAATAAAAAAATTGGAAGAATTTTCAACAATTCTTGCCAAAAATTGATTTTTAATTTAAAAATTTGAAAAAAAATTCACAAATTCTAAACTATTTGTTTAACTTTTAATCGTCAAATCGTTTCTTTCAAGAGTCATTTTTATCACATTTTCAATCCCAATCAAATATTGAAGGATTTCTATACCCAAACTATTACATTATAAAATTATTTAAAATGATTTCTTACTGGAATCGCGAAATTTCTAATTTATGGACCATTTCGTATTAAAAATCATCCCAATTTCAATTTCTAAACAAAAAACCGCGATTTGTTACATTTTTTACGCAACTTTATTTAAAACCGACGCTGACCGCGACGCATACGCAACGCGGCAGATTCTCGACGGCCTAAGCGCGCGAATTTGAATACTCGGCTTTAAAACGACAAGCCTGGTATATTTCTGCAAAAATACGAAAAAAAAGCCACTTCTTTGAATTTTCAATGAACTTTTGTTGAAAAATTTAAAGAATGATGGCTTCTCAGCGAAAAATTGCATTTTAGAATGAAGACAATGTTCGATGGTCCCCAGACCAATTAGTCATCGAAATTAGACGTTTTAAATCATATTTTTTTTGAAATTCCACAATTTTTGAAGCTCGAAGCGAAGAACGAATGACGTCGAGCCAATTGAAATGGTCCCTAACCAAATTTGTAAATCCTACCATAACAGTTGGATGAATAAACGTCTTATTGAGCACAATTTGCTCGTTGGCGGTGAATGTGAGCCGACTGAATTGTCGAAAGATTTTTCCGCGTTTCTCGAGCTCGACCGTATTCAATTCGGCGAGATCCACGAAATACGGCAACGGAATGTACTTTTTCCTCTGAAAAAAATTGTGTGTGTGTGCTTTTAATGCTCATTTTTGGAATTCTTTTTCTATAAAATTTAGACATTCACCCATCAAACTAGGTTCGTCTAAAAAAAAGCCAAAAAAATGTTCCGAAAATTAGGTTATTTGTAAATTTTTGGCATAAAAACGGAATTTAGAATAATCTTTTGCAAAACTCGTCTGAAAATCGCATTTTTGGTAGTTCCAATATAAAATTATCAATTTTAAAAAATTTTGCCTCAAAAATGCTAATTTTGGAAGTCATTTTTTTTGAAAAAAATCAATAAATATATTTTTTTTTTGAAAATGCAAATGTAGGTCAGAATTTTTGAAAATTTGGCGATTTTCCGGAATTTACTTCAAAAAATCTCGAGTTTTTTCAACAAAACTAAAACACACAAAAATGCATACATTTCGAAAATCATTTTACTTAAAAACAATAAATTTTCAAGTTTTTAGCTTAAAATCGCGAATGTATTGAAGATTTGCTAGAAAATTTTAAAAATCGCACCAACAACGCCGAAACTCCATTCGACAGCTCATTTTCCGCCTTCTGCTGCTTCTTTTTCTTCTTCGTCGGCGGCTCGAATGATTCTGAATCGCAACCCGGCGTCCAGATCATGTCAGCCTCTGTGTGATACTGTGATATATCGCCAATATCGATATTGATCGCCACCGAGTCATAACCCATTCGAATCGCACGTCGGACCATATTCAATGTGCTAAAAACATTGCAATTTTTCCCCTATTTTTAGCACTATTTTTTCACGTTTCGGGATCCTTGTGTTTAATGTTCAGGTCGGCGAATTGAAACGATGATTCGGGAGTCATCGGTGTGAATACCATATGTCTAGAAAAAAAATACTTGAAAATTCGGCAATTTTCAGAAAAATTTGCACTTTTTACTACGTGTTGTTGATGATTCCGCCTCATCTGACATTCTGAAATTTTTTTTGAAATTTATGTGAGGAAAAGTGACGAAAAATAGGCAATTTTTAGCTAAAATGAGACAATTCTCAAAACAAGTGCGACAAGTGCGCTCCATTGATAAAACGATGTGCGCGGCGGAAATTCAAATATTCGTTGAATTTTTATTTTTTTTAGGAAATAATATTGTTTTCCACAATTTTATAGAGTTTTTCACAGAAAAAATAAGAAACAAATATCCTAAAAAATCGCGTTTTTCACAGAAAAACACTAGACCGATTTAATTATTTGAAAAAATCCTCAAATCGACACGTATAGTTGGGAATTTTCAAATCCTCTCCATTTCGCCGCGCTTTTTCGATATCATCCACCGTGTTGACGCCAGTTTGCATCCAAACACTCGTAAAACTGCAAAAAATACGCTATTGTATACAGTTTTGAGAATATTCATCTGCGGACACATTTTGATTTTCCAAAAAATCTCGTTATGGAAATGGCATCAACAAGAAAATTCCCAAATTTTAAAGGCGCATGAGGGCATCACACCGTCGTTTTAATAAATTTAAAGGTTCATTCAACATTGAATAATGTCGAAGCAATATGTAAAAGAGAATTCGAAAATCACAAAACGATCATTATAAATTTTTGACTTCATCATTTATTTTTTAATTTAAAGGCACATGCAGTCATTTCGAATCGTTTAAAGACGCATAAGGAAATCTCGCAACGATTAGTGATTATCCTACCGGAAGCTCGACTATTTGAGAGCACAAAATTCAAAATTTAAAGGCGCATTCAACAAAGAGAATTCGAAAATCTCGAAACGACCATTATAAATTTTCGACTTCATAATTTTTTTTTCAATTTAAAGGCACATGGGGAAATCTCGCAGCGATTAGTGACTATCATTAACGAAACTAGGCTATATGAGAGCACAAAATTCAAATTTTAAAGGCGCATGGTGTGCCGCCAAACCGTACCCGTTCGAGTTGGCGAATTGCGTATCGCTCGCCAATCGATCGCCGAACATCACGGTGCGTTTGGGATCCAATTTGCCGCCGGCGCGCTTCTTCAAAAACTCCGACATCGCTCGTTCGGGTTTGCCGAAAATTCTCGTCGGCGTCCGCCGACTGGCCGTCTGAATCGCGTGCGACCACGGCGCCGTCTCCGGCAAAACGACGCCCGCCACCGGACCCGGAAACGTGTCGTCCTCGTTGGTGACGAGAAGCTCGACGTCGTCGTCTTTTAGATAATTCGCCGCTTTCATTAGTTTCGGATAACTGCAAACATCTTCTTTTGGTTTTCTTTTAAAAGACCTTAAATTGAATGTTTTTTAAAGGCGAAAATTGAAGAATTTTCGCAAAATTCTCAAACAATTGCCTTAAATTTGCAAATTTTTCGATTTTCAGCCAAAAAAAGTGGCGCAAATTTGTAGAAATTTCGATTTCTGAGGATTTTTGCGCCGAAACATCTCACCTAAAATGCGAATCGAAGCTGACAACGACGGCTTTCGGCTTGTTGCCGACGTCGATGTCGAAAATGAAGTCATTCTCGGTGTAATTCTCTTTGTGGTCCGGTCCGGTTCCGAAACATTTGACTTGCGCTTCGGTTTCGAGCGTCGTTTTCAGATTCTCGACGCCTATCAAATAGATTTGAGCGTTTTTGAATTTCGCCGGCTTCGATAGCAGATAATCGGTCAAAACGACGGCCGGCGAAATGAGATTCGAGCGATTCAGACGCGAGAATCCCATTTTCTCACTTTTTCCCTGCAAGAAAATTGGGAAAATCGAAAAAAAATGCAATTTTCCCAAATTTTTGTATTTTTCAAAGCAGAAAATCACAAAAATTCTCATTTTTATTTCATTTTCGAATTTGACAGAATGAAAAATTTACAACATTTTATAAATTTTCGAGATTTTGGCTTAAAAATTGTTGAAAATTAAAATTATCCAACAAAAAAAAACGAAATTTCAAGCAATTTTTGCCAAAACTCACATATATTGGTCCAACGTTTTTGTCGAATTGTTGGTGGTGATGAAAACAGCCTTATTTGGATCATCGAGAAGCAAATTGATCCAATCCGAGGCTCCTGGCACCGGAATATCACCTAAAATAGGAAAACATTGAAATAATCGAATTTGCTGTTTCAAATATTTTTCAAAATGAATATTTTCGAAGCAAACATGAGCACATAGAAAATTTTTATTCTTTTCGGCAAATTTTCGTAAAAATTCGTTTTTTTTTTTTGAAAAAAAATCCGAATTTCAGGTATATTAGAGAATACGTTGAAATTGGAAAAATTTCACACTTTTAACGCAAAAATCACGAAATTTCGATCTAAGAACGAAAGAATTCAATAGGATTAGTATTTTAAATAGAAAAGCTAAAAAAAAATTGATCGAAATTTCGTATTTTTTCTAATTTAATGTAAATTTCAATTAAACCGTCAATTTTCATTTCAAATTTAAAGTTTCCACTATTTATGTGAAACTTTTCGTGAAAAATTTCCATTTTTCCGCATTTTTCATTAAAAATAGCTTACTTACCCGTCCATAAAACTCCGTCCGCATCGAAAACAAAAGTGTCGAAATTGGACAAAAGTTCTTGTTTGGAAATTGTCGGCGGCGGCGACATACCGAATGAAATGTGAAATTGTTGGGAAATTGTCGTAGACGGCCGCCGGCTGAGCAATGAACAAATGATATCGGTCGGCGAGTGACCAGTGAACGTTCTACGCGTGAAAAAAATAATGAACAAAATTTTTCGATTTTTTTTTTGAGGATGAAAAATTTCAACCGATTACCGGTTTAGAAATTTCGGCAATACACCTATATTTGGTCTCAATAATCGACTGGATATCATATTTTCTGAAAGAAATCGAGAATTTCCGAGAGAAATTGCAAAAAACTCACCCACGTGTTTTTTAAATGTGAAAATAAAATTTTTTTCTCGTAAAAAATTTCGAGTACAATGGAGCGCATTTGCATTATTGATTGAGAATGCGAATTTTTCAGTTTTTTTTTTCCAGATTTGTGATAAAAATTTTAATCACAAATTTTTATTAAGAATAAATGAAAGAAATGTAATTTTTGAATGAAGTCGTTTTTTGATATGCGATGTCAAACCAGCAAAATCGAAATGAAAGAAATCTAAATCAAATTTTTCCGATATTGGCAAGGATGAGATGAATTTGGGGTGCGATTGCTTTCTCATTAGAATATCCAGAAGATCCCCTCGGTTCTTGATAATTTGTACTAGGAAGAGATTAAAATCGATTGGATATTCAAAAAATATTCGAGATTTTTCTTCATTCTCTTTTTTTCACGAGATCAGTCGGTGTCAACTGGAGGGGGGCGGGACCTTCAATTCGATGAAATCATCAAAATTACGATGTACGTTTTTTTGGGAAAGGATTGAGGGTTTTTCGAAATCGGTGAGCGAAAACCTTCAAATGTAGTTTAAAACCCATTTAAAGGTGCACTGCTAATTCCCCGTCGAGTCTCGATTATTTCAAACCTTCCTTGGGGTCTTATAAATGCGAAACGGTTGCAAAATACCAATTTTGAGTTTTTTCAATACCATTCAACCAAGAGATTATTGTGAGAAGTGGTTAATAATATTCAAAATGGCTGCGTGTGCCTTTAAATTGAAAAACAAACACGTGTAATTTAAAGTGCTGAATTCAATTTTGAAATCGGAAATTTGATATTCTAACTGTGGTTACAGCCATTTATAGGGGTGACCTTTTAAACTTGCAACACTATTAGAAATTACGATTGCACAAAAAAAATGAGCGCCTTGCATAAGACTCGTGGACCATCACATTTTTTTTAAAGCGGCAATTCAAATTTCGATTTAAACAGTGGGAATTTTGGTACCGTATTGCGGATAACCTGCGAATCAAACTACATCGTCGCACGATTTTTCTTCAAATAATTACGGTAGCCATTTTTCTCACACTGCCATTAAAGGCGATAATTTGTAAGTGCCATATGTTCCTTTAATATCAATTAAAAAACTTTCAACCGAAATTTTTAAATTTTTTTTCTTATTTATTTATTCATATTTTTTGACCACAACTCACAGGATTTTGAAAAATGCGCTTTTAAACGATGGGGAGAGGATGTTTTAATGATTTCCCCGCGAGACCAAGTTTAAAGGAGCAGCACAGATGCTAGCCAGACGCGCGAACGAGTGTACACATGTAGCACATTTGAATTGTTTGCTAAAGTTTAAGAAAACTACTCAAAATTGTTTGAATTGTCACAAATTGACGATATTGTGATTTTTATTTGCTTCAAAAAACAAAAGAAAGTGGCAAGAATCGTTCTTGAAAAAGGAATTTTCCTAATATGGAAAGTTCTTCTCATCGGCGAACAAAAACCGAATGATTGGTTTATCGTCGTTTCGTCGGCTCGTCGACTGAAGCCGTCTGAATTCGTTCGAGCAATTCGCCGAGCATTTCCGTTAGCGATACGGCGGTCTCGAGTTTCGTTGGCAGATGCGTCTGAAAAATCTTGAATTTCATAACGATTCCAATTTTTTTTCTTCTATATTTTAGGTTCAATGCATTTTACAGTGACCAAAAATGCATTTAAATGTGTTTTTTTTTACATTTTCAGGCCAAAATTTTTATATAATTTCATTTTTTGGCTTTCATCTATTTTTGGGTCCCGCGACGACAGAAAAAAAACATAGATGCGCGGTGTGCGCCTTTGAATAAGCCCAATACTTAATCTTCAATTTTGTGCCATGACTGCAGTTATAGTTTTTTTTGGCATTTAGCCAGTTATTCATAAAAATATAAGCCGTCATAGGTGATTGCCACGTGGCAATAAAATTATTTCGGCGTTCAAAAAACTTCTAGAAAGCATCCTGTCTGACAAAGAGGACAAAAAAGAACCTCATCGAGCGTCTCGTTTTTGAGTTCCTCGAGCAATTGGCCATTGCTGATTGTTGGTAAATGAACTGTGATCACAAGAGTGTTGACGGCGCGTTCTACAAATTTCGGCGAATTGTTTCAAAACAAAAACGACACCGAATCGATTACCGGTAAGATTTACTGTGACCTCGTGCACGTTGGATGGCGTGTCGCTTGTCAGGTTTTCCTGCAAAAAAAAAGATTCAGAATTTTGACACGGCGAATTTTTTTTTGGATCGCGGATCGCTTGCTGATTGGCGGCTTCATCGAAGTTCACAAATTGCAAATGAGCGCCGGAGCCTTCAACCTGAAAGTTTTAAGAAAATCACATGTGTCGAATTTTTTTTTTTGGCTTACATCAACATTCTGTTCAAATTTATCCGGATTCTCATTGAAATTTATAAATTGCAATTGAGTTCCTGAGCCTTCAACCTGGAAAATGTTTGAAAAATTAGAAAAAATGCTGAATCATTGTGGAATTACATCGCTATTCGTCTCAAAAACAGCTTGATCGAAGTTGGCAGTGGGCAATTGAGCTCCAGAGCTTTCTACCTTAAAAAAATAAATAAAATCCCTTCTAAATTGGCTTTAAAAATTCGATTTTATTACCGCGTCGTTATAAAACTGCGCAGTGTCTTGAGAATAGCCGTCATACTGAAAAAAAGAAGCAAAAATAAAATAAATTAGGCGGAAAAATAGAAAAATCGGGGATGAGGTAGTGCGTTGCGGTGATTGCGGAATTGCGGCAAATCTTACGCGCAATGCCCAAAATTCTACGGTACCTGATCGACTGTCTGCCGTTGAATGCGAACGCTGGCCGCCGAAGCGTTGGCAAAAATTGCCACCAAACAGAAAAGCCGAGAGATCATCGTTTCGCGAGGCCAAAAATAAAATCACCCGATTTGCAGAACACCATTTATACGCCAAATAGGTGGAGCTTCTCCTCTCCTCCCATTGGCATTCGTTGTTCTAAAGTTGTAGTGTTGTTGATTTAAGGCCAAAAGGGCAGTTCGTCGAGAAATGGCGCCTTGTGCTGAGAACAGAACTGTTTGAATTGTAGCCGCCGCAACAAGTAACACTTTTTTTCTGCTCGTCTGATCATTGAACACAGGGAATCATGAAAAAACTGAGCTTGGGTCCCAACGCGAAATTGATTTCAACTTGCAAACGATCGTGTAGCTTTGGAATTCGATTTCCTTTGGCAACCAGAAAATTAATTTAATTGTTCAATTTTTCATATTTTCAAGGATTTGAAAAAAAAATCGAAAAAAATTGGTAAAAATAAAAAAATTTGAAATAGAGCTTAGTGTTTTTTTTTTAATTTTCTAGTGATATGGATCTAAATCTCAGAACCAATTTGATCCGATGAATTTTGGTTTCAGAATCATTTTTATCCAATCTACAGATTCGAATCGGATTTTTTCATTTTATCGATTTTTGCTCAACTTGGACTTCCAGAAGACTATATTGTTAGATACTGCATAAAGCCTGACCAATTTCCCAAACTCGAATTCTCCAAAAAAGACCCTTTTCAGCACAATTTCATGATTCTAATTAAAAGTGTTTTGAGACTCTGCCATTTCTCCGCAAATAAAAATTAAAATGTTTCGGTGATAATTTGCGTCACGGTGTTTGCACACATTTTCCGGTATTTCACACTTTAAATGTTAATAAATCAAGATCAAACAGCAAAAATCCAAATATATATGAGAAAAAATGTAAAAATTTGCGCAAGTCCGCAAACACCGCTGTTTGGCGGCAATTCAAACGCATTTCTCATTGCATGAGACATTTTCGAGTTTGGTTGGTCTCTTTAAAGTATCATAACCATTTTCAGTATCGTTTATTACATTTTTCCCATTTTTTTCCGGTCAATCTGTTACTGTAGCAAATTGTGCAACCACCGAAATGCCATAATGCACAACATTTCAAATATCACTCTATTTGAAATTAACCTTCAGACAGATTACGGTAGCAATCGTTTAATGTGTCAACGGCGAAAAAGCATTTTCAGAACGAGAATAAAAATGGCGGCATACTGTAGCACGAGTATTGTGTACTTCGAGCAACCAGCTCAATAATGAAATCAATACCGTAATCTCTCAAGGCAATATCTTCCATCTAGCTTCAAGAAGGTACGGTAGCAGTAGTTTCAATGTGTGGATTTCTATCAAGTGCCCCCTTTAGCTTAGAAAATTGATAAGAACTTGACCTTGTGTGGCTTGTAAGAAGAAGCTGAGAATAGCGAGAAGCGCATTTAGCACACATTATTTGCACTCGGCTTGTGTTGACAGGCGGCCAACAAGTTCGCACAAAACTCATTCCCCCCTTCTTCTTCTTCATTCTTTTTTTCTCTCTGAACTCGATTTTTGTTTTGACGCTAAAAATAAACCGGTGAAATTTCAAATTTTGGTGTTTGATGCGCTCGATTCGAAACGTTTATTTGCCATCGTCGAACTTGATCTACTATAACATGACCATTTCGTCGCTGTCGCGTCGCGCCAATGAGTCTTCGGACGCCAATTGGCGCAAACGATCCATCGATGTGGTCTCGCCGCGATGAGCCAACGACGACGATTTGGTGGCGCATAGCAATTTCTGGAGGAGGAATGTCGCGATCGGAATGATGAGGCACAGCGGAAGCACGATGATGCCGATGACGATCTGCAAATTTTTGGAAGGGGGCGGTTGAATGGCGCACGAGTCGAAATCGCGCGAAGTTGGCAGAAAGGAAGAATTGGCGCAATGCCAGAATTGGTCTCGAGACGGCTTGACGCTGTGAGGTTCATGTTGCGAGACCCAACTCTATGTACAGTAGACCGCGCCAGAAGCCATCGCGCGATTTCGACAATGTGCAGAAACTATACTAGCAGCGCACAGCTTGATAGTATAGTTTTTAAAGGGGCATGGCTTTATAGTATAGCTCTTAAAGGCACATTGTTTTATAGCAGGTGGTTTTTAAAGGCTCATAGCTTTATAGCAGATTGTTTTTAAAGGCGCATAGCTTTATAGCAGACGGTTTTTAAAGGCGCATAGCTTTATAGCAAATGTCTTTTAAAGGCGCATAGCTTTATAGCAGACGGATTTTAAAGACGCATAGCTTTATAGCACATGGTTTTTAAAGGCGCATAGCTTTATAGCACATGGTTTTTAAAGGCGCATTGATTTATAGCAGATGGTTTTTAATGGAGCATAGTTTTATAGCAGACGGTTTTTGAAGGCGCATATCTTTATAATGTAGTTTCCTTTCTTGAATTGGCTCACCCAGACTTTGAGATGAAAACAGCATTCCTTGTTGAGATGTCCGCAGCACTTGTAGAATGTCAAAAGGGTTTCCTCTGAAATCGACAAAACATTATAATTTCAGCACAACAACAAAAAAACGTTCGAGGTGTCGACGAATCGAGAAGGCACGTATTTACTCACACTTGAAACTACAAACGTCTAGAGGGTCTGATTTTGAGGAACGCTCACTGATTGAGATTGGCAAAGATCATCGAGGTCGAAGTTTAAAGGCGCATGGATCAAATCGCCTATTATTCGCAGAAAATTTGAACTTTTTGAAACGAACGGCAATTCGTTTTTGATAATGCCCATGCGCCTTTAAAGACTTTCATGACTAAAAATCGACACCAAAAATGTTTGATCGAAGAGAAAATGTGAAGATTGTCGTCAAATCAAACGCATTGTCTGCAATCACTTTCATTTAAACGTTTTTTTTTTTGAAAATTTTCTATCTGTAAGCTCAAAAAGTGAACATTTATAAATAGTCGTCAAATAAAATGCATTTGGTGCAAACACACGGTCCCCTATAGTTCTAATTTGTGCCGAAATTCCAGCCAGAAAAACTGTACAGAAATACAATGTTAAACTTATTACGGACATGTGCAATTTATTTGACGACAATTTGCACCAGTTTTCATTGAAGCTAAAATTTAAGTTACTTTTATTCCATAAAAACTATGTTTGTTTGGTTTTCTGATGTATGCGCCTTTAAATACCAAAATCGGGGCTACCTGGGCACTGATTTCCGATTCGATGCGTCGGACACCATATCGAATTCGATTCATCTTTGACGTCGGCTCTCGTCGTCGTCATCCTCGTCGTCGTCGTCGATGATATCCAAATTTGGTCGTCATCGATCTGCAAATTCTGGAAACTTCAAGACGAATCAAAAGTTGGCCTACCAATTCATCGGCATTCACGCATCGAAGTGTCAAATTGAGAATCGCGGCGACGACGAAATCGATAATCATCGGAATCGGTCGAGACTGTCAGTGGTTGGCGACGTCTCGTTTCGAACTAGTCGGCCCCCCCCCCCCTAGTCGGATGATTTGAGCCAATTTCGGCGAGAATATGTTGCGTGCGAAATTTTCGAATGCGAATTGCCACAACGACGCGTCTGCACAAGACAATTCTTCCAACCAAAATCAATTTTTTGAGGTCCCATCCATCGAAAAAAAAATCTGAAAATCCATTGTCGACTTGGTGCTGAACACGAAAAAAAATTTTTTATTGGCAAAATGCCAAAAAATCTTATGACGCTGGTCTTGGCATAAAATTAAAACTGCCTATTTATGGACTAAGCTAAAAGAAGGCGCATACCGTGTATTGTTTTAAGCATTTATCTGATTTTCTGAAGAAAAGCAAGCAAAAAAAAATTAAATGATATAGAAATTTTGATCTGAAATTGTCAGTAAAGCTGAAATTAAAAAAAACCATTTGGAATCATTTTTGAATTCAAGAAATTTCCGACGCGTCTGCCAAGGAAATTCGAGATCGAGGTGGCTGTAATAAATGCCGGACACCAATTATCATTGTTTATCCGAAAAAAAAAAACAATGGTCCGTAAACATCAAGGGTGCTCGTTTTTATGGAAAAATTAGCGTCTCATAGAATCAGTCGCCACAAGACCCAACTCCTTTACCTAATTTTGCGCCTTTATTTCTTTTTCTTTATATCCCCATTAGATCGTTTGCCCCCCCCCCCGGGGAGGTCAATATGTTCAGTTGATCGAATTGCCTTAGAACTGGAGATTATAAGCTTTCACTCAAGCCTATGCAAGTCGGCAGCTCGAGAAAGCGCTGTCAGCCGGGTGTGCCCGCGAAGAGTCCTCTTCTTCGCACAGCTCTGAGTACATACCAGAGTAATTAATTAATTCGAGGGCTCAATTTCAACCCATCAAAAAATTTTCATTCTATACATTTTGAAGACATAAGGCGAATATTAAAGTATAATTATTTGAATTTGTGATAAAAAAAGAAAAGAATTTTAGAATTCTCAACATTCCAAATTTTTCGAATAAGCTTCTCGTCGAATGTTTGATCGTTGTTAACGATTGGAATGCTTCGATGTGATATATCTAGATTGTATTCGACCACCTGGTTCACACGTGATCCGATTTTGTCGATCTTTGGATTCTTATCAGCTGTTTCAATGATTCATGAAGACTTATATATTTTTTTGAAGCTTGATCTAAATAATTCTGGGAGTTTCAAAGAAAAATCTAATTTCGAAGGCAAAACGGAGCTACAGTAAACATGAAAGGCACATGCAGAAATTTTCTTATTTCGCCTCAAGAATTGAAATTGCATTTGGTCTAAATTCTTTGAATTTCCGGCAGTTGTTTGTCATCAAAAATCGAAGAATTAAATTAATTATTACTTTATTATTATCATATTATTAATATTATTCGTTATTACGATTATTATTATTTGTTTTCTCACAAACTAGGAAACCACATAAAAAGTCGTAAATTGATCAAAAATTTGTGAATTCTCGAATTCTTATGCATTTTCCCAGTAAAGCTCTAAAATACAATTATACACGTGTAGAATATTTGCAAGAAATTCACGGGCGAACTTGAAAAAAATTAGCCGATCATTGTTGGATTGAGGCGATTCTGCGCGAGACGCTCCATTATCTTGTCTTTGCCGACGACGAACAAATTCACATTCGGCACCACGTGTCCGTATTGCATATGACGATCGGGAGCCCAAATCGCGTATTTGAACGTGTATGGCGCGCGCTCGTTCGGGTCCGATAGCGTCAGCGGGAATTCCAGCGCGCCATTGATGATACCGCGACCAGAGACTGAAAAACATTAACAATTTTTCACGAATAATATACGCATTTTTTGGGGGACAATTTTGAAAAAAAAACTCGGCGTCGCTCCGTAATTTGGCGCCGCGGTGAATTGCGTACTTTTAAATGCTACAGTACCACTGCGAGAAATTCGTATTTTCTTTAGGATTTCGCACTGGATTTGAATATTCAACACATTGTCAGTTTGCCTATTAATTTTTTCAAGAATTTGACGTCGAAAAATATATTTCAGGGTGGCTCAATGATAATTTTTGAATGTTTGTCAACTACAAGCCTCCCCAATTATAAAAAATAATAATATAAATTTTCTCATTTCGTTCAACACTCACTCTTATCGACAATTCTTCCGTCAATATCGAATATCTCGTTGACGCCCGGCAGCGGAATGTCAGCGCTTCCGGCGACCTCTTTGATCTTGTCAATGTCGAACTCAATGCCGGTGGTGAACGCGGTGAGAAACGGCTGATACATTCCATCGTTGAGATTCAATGGCACATCCGCGTAGGCGTCGAAATTTTTGCGAACGTTGAGCCCATAATTGTTGACACCCTAGAGGCAATTAAGTGATCGACACACACGCGTGGAAGCTCACGTTGACAGCGAATCCGGTTCCCCAAGAATCCGACAAATCTTCGGCGAAGGTCGCAGCGACCATATGGGTGAACGGGTTGAACGCCGATCTAGAATGACGGTAGCCAAAGGCCCTTCTACAGTAGCCTACCTTCCAGAGAACGTTGCCGGCTGACCAGGCAAATGAACATCGGGAACCGTTTGCGGCTTCTCTCCAACCTATGTATAAAATAAAATAAATTATTGATGAATTCCAAATGCACCTTATTTCCGGCAATGTACAAGCCTGGGAAGAGTGGTCCGGAACGCTCATCGGAGATACCGGTGGGAAGCTGGAGAAGCCCTAGGCCACGTGGACGATCACGTAGATAAGCAGCTGAAAGAAGCGACAAAAAACGAGGAATTCGGTTTGGAAACTTCGAGAGCCAAAGCACCTTTCGGCTCGACGTTCGGCGAGACGAGTAGAATCGCCAAGAGCGATGTGGAAAAAAATCGCTGGATCGCCGCGAACATTACGACAATGAGAATCACGATGGTTGGCGATGAATTCGTCAATCTCGCCGCCCACCACTCTTTCACGCATTCAAGTTTTTGTTCTTCTCTGCACTTTATCATTCTTGATAATACAAGAACAACGAGATGAGGGTCATTATTATCACCAGGATGGACACAAAGCGAGAGATCAATTGGACCAGGCCGAAATGCTGCCTGACTGACTGACTTCAACGAAGGGGAACCGAAGCGCGCCAATCAGCGAATCTTGTTCGTGTTTTGCAGTCGACGCATCTGAAGAGAGAAACGGCAGCGCGATTCTGGCTCCTTCACCAAATTCCACTGATTGATGAACCCGGATGGATCGTTTCGAGAAGCGATCGGCGCAATTTAATCTATCGACCACACCTTTTCAATTTCGTGGGAAACACGATCACACAAAATTAAGCGGATGAAATTTTTTTTTGATATTATAATTTATAACCTTTATCTATAATTAATACTCGCAAAAATTTGATAGAAAAAATATCAAAAAAAACTAAAATCTTAATTTTTTTTTTATTGCGTTTATGCATACAAAGTGCTTCGAATGTATTTAGTCGACACAAAAATTGATTAAAAGTGACAAAATTAGATTTCATTGTCCGTGTGGAGTACACAGAGCAGCTCTACGCTTTCGAAGAGAGCGTTATTTTTTTGCTAATAAACGAGCACCCTCGGTAACTCTAATTAATAAATGAGCGTGAGATGGCTATCCATATTTCGGTACACCAATTGTCATTGTTCGAACTGTCACAAGCATGGAATGAATTATTGTGAGAAAATTATGCTTCCATATAGCAAGCATAATTTAATTCTTCAAAAGAAATATTGTCGGATTCAAACGACTTGACGAAATTTCAAAAAATTATTGGCTATTTGCCAATGCGTCACGAGGCAGTACGCGAAAATGCGTACATTGCATTATAACGTACGCGCATTTAATATTCAGTCAAGGATCAATTTAAATCTTCACTGATTTCCCGAATTTGAAGGCCCCGCCTTTCTTCAATCGTTTGACCCCCGACCAAAATTATTTGGGCGGGTGTGTGACGTGAATTCGATACGAAAAAAGTTATCGGGAGACCATAGGTACGATTTTTCATATAAGGAACACATTTAAACTTCGAGTCGGGGGAATGGGTTTCTATGGTCCCTACTGTTTTCTCGTAAAGCCACACTTGATTGGAATACGATATCAGTATGATAGTGGGTTGCGACTCGAGAAGAGCTATGCGACTTTCTCCATATGCAAAGGGAAGGAGAGAATGAATATTGGTCCCATCGCCTACCGGACGAAGTCTATCGGTACGCATGTAAAAAATATTTGTATTATCGGCGTCGCGCGAATGCGGAAAATTGGAAAAATGCCAAAAAAATAAAAATTATGGTCTTGGCGCAAAAATAAAAGTGTAGATTTACTGGCCTCAGGATAAATAACCGATACCTCTTTTTTTCTCAATTTTTTGACATTCAGCCAACTTTCCGATTCCCTATAATATCCGCAGATTCCATAATGTTTTCATTATTTGCCTATTCCGCCCCGCCGCCTAAAACCAGAACAATTTCAGATAAATAAAAATTGGGTTCGATGCGCCTTCAAATCAGACCGTGGCATTTCTTCAACGTGATTTAATAAAAGTTTGCCATTATTTTGCATTCGCAATGGTTCTTTCAGGTGAGAATGGGGAAATTCGAAAAAAATCGCAAAACATTTTTCAGGAGCATGGCGTTTGGATGCACTGATCACCATTTTCTACCAGATGTCGTTGTTCTTCTCCGTACAATTGCTTTTCGTCATTTTTCTCGATTATATGCCGCGAACGACGTGCGACGCCGACAATTATTGCTATAAGCTGAATGGGAAGTGCATGAGCAATTACGACAAAAATCTGCCGAGTTTATGCCCAGCGAACGATACCAAATTTGTAAGGTCTCGCCGCGAAAACGATAAAACCGTTGAAGATGTTTAGTTGGAATGTGTGGAAGATAAGAAGAGACTCGATTTCATTTCGGCACAGTACGAATATCAGCATGGCTGCACGGGTCTCCGCTCATTCTCAATATCTACTGTCACTTTCATTGGCACCTTATTTGGAAATACGGTATTGGGATCAATGGCGGATAAGTTGGGAAGAAAGCCGGCGTATCTTACGGCACTTGCTATTGGGATCCCTTCGATTGTTCTGGCAGGTAATACTAATCGATTCTTTAAAGCGTGCTGAAAAAATCATGTTCCAGCCGCTGTCCCCGGCGTCACAGCGTTCTACATATTCCGATTGCTGGCTGGATTCGCTGTCTCTGGAACGATGACTGTCGGATGGACGTATGGATCGGAAATGATCTCTCCGTCAATGCGACTGCGATTAAGAACATTCCCAAATTGGGTAAATTCGATTCGATTTGATTCGATGACTATTTGCTTATTTCAGGCGAACGCACGAATGATGCAAGTGGCAGTGGCATATTTCACGGGAGAATGGCGATTGGAGTCATATTGGCATTCAGGATTATCGCTAATTTTGGTTCCAATTATGCTTTTCCTACCTGAAAGTCCGGTTTTTCTCGAGCAGAAGGTTAATTTAGTACCTCAGCTCATAATGAAGTAGGGTTCTTTTCAGCAAAAATACGATGAAGCTCACGCGGCTCGAGCAAAAATTGCCCGAATTTGCAATTTGCCATATTCTGAAAAAGAAATTGGCGAAACAAAGAAGCTGAAAAAAGTTACAATTGGCCGAGTTTTCCGAAGTCCACATTTGAGAAAGAATTTTTTGGTTTTATGCTGGATGTGGTTTTATGTTGGGACTTGTGTGTATATTACGGACCTAAATGGCGGCGATATGTCCAAGAATTTTTATGTGGGCCAATTCTTCTCAGGATTTATGCTGTCAATTTCCCGAATTGTATGATTCTCGAGGTTTAAAGGAACATTGCATCTTGCTTTAGGCGGTTGGCATTGCCGAGCCCAATTTCAAATGGCTTGGTCGCCGATTGTTATTCCTGACTGCTCAAGGAATCTCCCTTATCTGCTATATTATCATTTTGGTGGCCTTATATACGGATAGCAAGGTCCGTTTTTTAACACTAAAAAAACCCCCAAATCTTCCCATTTTTAGAGTCAAATATGGTATACAATCACCTATATTTGTGCATATTCATTCCAGTCCCTTTGTCTCGAACCCTGCTATCTTTGTTTGGCTGAACTCATGCCTACAGATGTTCGAACCACTGTTGGAGCAGTCGTGAACATTTTAATGAAGATAGGGACCATTATTGCAACAACCACGGTTCCTCTAAAATATTCCTATGAGCCTGCATTGTTTTGGATCAATCTGGCATTGGGAGCATTTGGATGGATTGTGATCTACATTTTCCTTGAGGAGTCACGATTCTTGAATCTCTTAACTGTTGGACAAGAGGATGTTAGCGAAGAGGCAGAGATAGTCCCTGATGATGGAGCTGGACCAACTCGATCAGGATCAGCGTCAAATTCTAAAAAAGAAAATTAAGTGAATTGAAATTATTAATTCGAATTATTTAAATCCAATTTAGTTTACTGCTGAATACGAGCTAAAAATAAGAATATTGAAAATGTTTGAATTTTAGGGGATCAGCATCTGAAAAAGAATCAATGGATACTGAAAAACAGTCTGGATCACAATCAAACGAAAATCAGGAATAAATATTTGTTTTAATTTTTGATTAAACCTTCTTTTGTTTTCAAAATGTTGAGGGCCAAAAACTCGATGAGATCTATTTTTAGATATATTTCATTCAAAAATACTAAGGATTTATCATATCACATACTGGGCGGAATATTATAGCAATTTAAAAATGGAATATAAAACTGACGATGAACTTTAATGGAACTAATCAGCGATGGCAAAATTAACGATTTAGCATAATTACCTAATTAAAACACGTAAAATTTGTCAAATATGACTATTTCGAATTATTTGTATGACGCTGAAAAAATCCATTGAAAAATGGGACCGTCTGAAAATACTGTGGGCGTTTCCCTGATTTGCAATTGGCGCATGATTTAGTGTAAACACGCGGCAGACTACTTTTTAAGTTTAAAAAAAATAAACCTCCACTTTTTTCATGATAATACGCCGCTTCACCTAAAATTATGATTCCGTGGAATTTACACGACGTGATACATTGAATTTGTGCCATTTTGAATAGGAATGGCATGTTCAGGTAGGAAAAACAAAAGAAATCTGCAAATTTTCATGAATTTTCAGGAACATGGCGTTTGGACACACTGATCACCATTTTCTACCAGATGTCGTTGTTCTTCTCCGTACAATTGCTTTTCGTCATTTTTCTCGATTATATGCCGCGAACGACGTGCGACGCCGACAATTATTGCTATAAGCTGAATGGGAAGTGCATGAGCAATTACGACAAAAATCTGCCGAGTTTATGCCCAGCGAACGATACCAAATTTGTAAGGTCTCGCCGCGAAAACGATAAAACCGTTGAAGATGTTTAGTTGGAATGTGTGGAAGATAAGAAGAGACTCGATTTCATTTCGGCACAGTACGAATATCAGCATGGCTGCACGGGTCTCCGCTCATTCTCAATATCTACTGTCACTTTCATTGGTACCTTATTTGGAAATACGGTATTGGGATCAATGGCGGATAAGTTGGGAAGAAAGCCGGCGTATCTGACGGCACTTGCTATTGGGATCCCCTCGATTGTTCTGGCAGGTAATACTAATCGATTCTTTAAAGCGTGCTGAAAAAATCATGTTCCAGCCGCTGTTCCGGGGGTCCTTTCCCTATACAGGGTGTCATTTAAGTTCCCGCACAAAAGTTTGACGCCATGTAGAGCTTCGCTAACGCACTTTTCGTACACCAATACAATTTATTTTTTTTGAACAAGGTATATTTTACTTACTTTCCAAGTTTCACCTCATTCGGATGTGCTTCCGAGAAACGGCGAAGGCTAACATCCATCGCGCTTCCATTATCGAACTTCATAAGCAAAATGTGAGCCCGAGAGACATCATTCAACGGGTCGGTGTGCCTTGTAGAACGGTTTATGACACCATCAAACGATTCAAGGAGCTAAATACGACCAGTGACCGTCCCAGACAAGGAAGACTCGTCTCAGTAACCACTCCTCAGAAGATCAACGCCGTCAAATCGAGGATCAGCCGAAACCCCCACAGGAGCATGAGAAAGATAGCGTCAGACATGGGAATGAGCATCTTCGCTTTGGAACAAATCGTCAAAACGAAGCTTGTACTGACCCCATATCGTGTCCAAAAAGCGGCAATTCTATCGGCCGTCAACAAGCAGAGACGCTTCGAAAAAGCAAAACGACTTCTTGCTCGCACGCGGTCTGGACAAGATCTCGTCACTGTCTTCTCCGACGAGAAGCTATTCACTGTGGAGACGGCATTCTACTCACAAAACCATTGAGTACTTGCCCAGACATCCCAGCAAGCTTCTGAGAAAGGAAAAACAATTAATCGAGCCTCACATCCTGCCAGTGTGATGGTTTTCGGTGCCATCTGCTCAACCGGGATGTGCCCCCAGGATTTCGTGGATCAGGGAGTGAAAATGAACAAAGAAGTCTACGTTCGGGACATTTTGGAGAAGCATGTGATGCCCTGGACCCAAACGCATTTCGGTGGGCAGAAATGGGTCTTTCAACAGGACGGAGCACCCGCATACACTGCCAAAACTACTCAGGAGTGGTGCCAGACCCATTTTCCCGACTTTATCAAGTCATCCGAATGGCCTGATTGCTCCCCAGACCTGAACCCGCTTGACTTTTCCGTGATAGGGTCTTGCAGGAGAAGGTCAACGCAAAACCCCACTCAAGTGTAGAGGCTCTGAAGAGGACATTACTGGCGGAGTGGGACAATCTTTCCATCGAATACCTGCGTACCACAGTCACATCCTACCCGAAGCGTCTCCGTGAAGTCATAGCTGCGAAAGGAGGCCGAATCGAAAAGAGTTAATAGATAATTATTTGTTGTACTATAGATAAATAATATTTCGAGTCTCGTTTGATTTGGACTTTTAGTTTCAGAAATATACGTCTTCAAAGTTGTGCGGGAACTTAAATGACACCCTGTACATCTTTCGACTTCTTGCGGGATTCGCAGCAGCTGGAACTCAGACTGTTGGGTGGACGTATGGATCAGAAATGATCTCTCCTACAATGAGATTGCGGTTAAGGACGTTCCCAAATTGGGTATCAATTCAGAGAATAACACTTTCAGGTTAAGCAATCCTAATTTCAGGCGAACGCTCGAATGATGCAAGTGACAGTGTCATATTTCACGGGGGAATGGAGATTGGAGTCATATTGGCATTCAGGATTATCGCTAATTTTGGTTCCAATTATGCTTTTCCTAGCTGAAAGTCCGGTTTTTCTCGAGCAGAAGGTTATTTTAGTACCTCAGCTCTAAACGAAGCAGGGTTTTTTTCAGCAAAAATACGATGAAGCTCGCGCGGCTCGAGAAAAAATCGCGTGTATTTGCGATTTACCGTATTCTGAAAAGAAAATCGACGAAGTGAAAAAGCTGAAAAAAGTCACAATTGGCCGAGTTTTCCGAAGTCCACATTTGAGAATGAATTTTCTGGTTTTATGCTGGATGTGGTTTTATGTTGGCACCTGCATCTACATTACGGACCTCAATGGTGGCGATATGTCCAAGAATTTCTACGTTGGACAATTCTTCTCAGGATTTATGCTGTCTATATCGAGAATTGTGAGTATCAATTGTCCTTTTTCTCATCGAATATAGAAATGGAAAAATGAAATGAGATAATTTGTAGATTCTTGGTGTCGCTGAGCCGCTCTTCAAATGGCTTGGTCGCCGATTGTTATTCCTGACTGCTCAAGGAATCTCCCTTATCTGCTATATTATCATTTTGGTGGCCTTATATACGGATAGCAAGGTCCGTTTTTTAACACTAAAAAACACCCCCAAATCTTCCCATTTTTAGAGTCAAATATGGTATACAATCACCTATATTTGTGCATATTCATTCCAGTCCCTTTGTCTCGAACCCTGCTATCTTTGTTTGGCTGAACTCATGCCTACAGATGTTCGAACCACTGTTGGAGCAGTCGTGAATATTGTAATGCGGCTGGGGACCATTGTCGCGTCGACAACCGTACCGCTCAAGTTTATCTACGAGCCCGCACTTTTTTGGATCAATTTGGTACTGGGCTCGTTTGGATGGCTTATGATCTACATTTTCCTCGAGGAATCCAGATTCTATAATTTGCAAACCGTCGGCCAGGATGATGCAAGTGAAGCTGAACAAGGAGCTGCAGAAGGTCAGACAGGCTCAACGTCGAAAAATGAGATGTAAGTGGGATTTTTCATTCTCTTCAACACCAAATTTTCGAAAATCCTATTTTAAAAATTCCGCTAGCAGTTCTTTAAATTCTAACATGGATCCGCATTTGACAAAGATTTGTGTATTTCCCTTCAAGACCCAATTTGAGAAAATTCGATGAATCTCTAAGAAGACTGAAATTATTGCATTTTTATGAAAATCATACCGCAAATGTTTTCGTGCCGTCTTATCTCAACTTTAGCTGTTTCAATCACAAATTGCTCACATTCGTAATGCACTATTCACTTTAATTAGAGGCTCAATGCTCTTTTAAAAATCGACTGGATTTTTCAGTGCTTCTGGTGCCGAAAAACCGGCAACGGATGCCGAAAATCAGGCGAAATCGAACGCGGCCGAAAACGCGACATAAATTTATTATTTTATACATGCTCTTTCATTTTTGTGACTAGTCTGACTTGTGTTTCCTTATCAATTTCTCATCGACCGGTATCAGAAGCATTAGAGAGATTGAGAACACGCTTCCTGCGACACCTAATATGGTAAGCGACGAGAAGCCGTAGGCTTGCATCATGTAGCCGGCGGTGAGAGGAGAGAAGGTACGGACCAGCGAGTTGAGCGATGTTGCAGTGCCCAACACGAGACCCTGAAAAGTGGGGTTTTCGAGAAATTATGGAAAGCATAGTTTAATTGGCTGAAATCGATGTTATACGATAATTTAGGAAAAATTATTTTTGTGAAACAGGAAATTAGATTTTTGAAAATTTGAACGTTGAAAGCGTGGGTTCCAGAATATCTAGAAGTTTTCGGAATATCAATTTCTGGTTAAAATTGCGTTTTTTTTTCGGGAATTTGAATTCCGAATTGGAGTTGTTGAAAATTCTGGTGAAAATATCGACATTTTTTGAGAATTTGAAAGCCAATTTTGGCAATTTCTTACCTGTTCGGACTCGTCGACGAGCGCTGTTAGAATGCTATCACTACACGTCGCAACGACACTCATTCCCAATGAGACGAACGGCATGATGAGGACGAGCATCCAGAAGTTGAAGAAAATAAGTGTGAAGAGAGTATAGCCGATCACCTATTAGATTTTGAAGTTGCCGACAATTTCAAAAAGAAAAAAAACGCTTACGAAGAAAATCGAGCCGATTATTAGAAGATTTTGCTCGGCAAAATGAGATCGAAGAAAAATGACGCCGAATCCATTGGAAAACATGATAAAAATGCCTAAATTTGAAAATTTTCCTAAAATTTGCGAAAAAAAGCTACCGATCATCATTTGCATGATTTGATCCTCCGTGTTAGATGCGTTGAATTTTTCAATAATATGAAGCTGGAAAAAATTTATAATGTGCCTTTAAACATTAAAAAGACAAAAAATTGTATTTCAATTCAAGAATTCTATAAAAATTCCATTTTGGCGAGTTACTGTAGAAGTAAAACTTTGGAAAACACCGTGACGCACAATTGCGTTCCAACGGCTTCATTTCAATTTTTGGTTGTGTTTAAAATATAAATTAATTCTTACATTCAAAACAGAGATGATTAGTAAAAATGGGATGATTGGCCCATTTTTCTTGACTAGAATATTGAAAACACCCGGTTTTTGAAGGACCCGAACAACATTGGCGATGGTGATTTGCGGTTGTGCCTCGTTTTCAGCGATTTCGTGCTGGAAATACATTTTCAACTCGAAACAATTGCAATTTTTTCGTTACCTCATAGGCTTTTCTTGGGATTAAAGCGTCTAAAATGAGAATTGGGACGAGAGAAAGAGCGGCGGACACGAGGAACGGCGCGAATTGGCCAAATAGTTTGGTTGAGGTGATCGAGAAGATTGGCAGGAACACGAAACCGATGCCTGCAAATAAAAAAAAATGGAATTTCTGGTGGTTTCGTCACTAGAAACCCATTTTTTCTTTTAAAAAATTGAAATTTAGCCTGCAAATTGCCCATTTCAAGGTAAATTTCGATGAGATTCTCGAAGAAATTGAAACTGATACAATTTTTTTCCATTTTTTTTTGCAAAAATCGATGAATTATTTTATTTGTTTTTGACAAAATTCATTAAAATTTTGTGAATTTTCAGTGAAAATCGTCTAAAACTCCCAACCAAACGTCAATCCCATCCTTCCAAACGCGCTGGTTCGCTCCTTTCCGGGATTGGTGAGCGCCGAGATGAGGGTCTGATGAGCCTGTTGGCCGTGCATGAATATCACAGGAAGTCTTGAGAACAATAGCGAATAGAAATCCTAAAATTTCGAGATTATGCGAAAAAAAACATTGAAAAACGATTGTTACATTGGACAAAAATAATAAGATGCCAGATAGGAATGTGGAAAAATAGCAGACAAAGAGCGCTCGTCGGATTCCGAACTTCTGAATGACGTAGCCATATAAAGGGCCGCCGAGCATTTGAAAAATTCCAAATATGGTTTGAATATAGCCTATAACAACAAATTATTCAATTTTTATTTCGAAAAATAAAACTCACCGAAATGTGTGTCGGACAGATTTAGGTGTTTGACCAAATGGGGAATGGCGGTGAATTGAAGGAAGAACGCGATATTGTAAAGGATTGAGAGCACATATGAATAGGCCAACGGCTTCGGCAGCTCATATTTCCATATTCGGATTTTTTCATTGGTTGGCATACTGCAAAAATTGTTACTATTATATTTTTCTTGTTCAAAATGAAAATGGCGAAATGATATGGTTTGGCAAACTGAGTGATAACGCATGCCGTTTTTCTGACCAATGATTGATTTCGTCAAGAAATGTAAGATGATGCTGTTCTTATTATGGCGAAAATAATTATTTTTTTAAGAATCAGTTTTTTAAAAATAAAATTTTTATCGAAACTCTCAAAAGTGGTAGGTTTTTTAGAGATGGTAACCAAAAAAATAAAATTTTCCCATTTTTTTTCGTTTCGTTCCCTGCAATTTTCCCAGCATCCTTTTAAAATTGTTGCGAAAATCGACAATCGCGAAAATAAAAAATTCCAAATTAGAATTATCCGTGCGGAGTACAGAGTGTGAGGGTGCGCGGCCGCGATTTTCGCGGCCAGCACGCGTTTTCCGTTTTTTCTCGCTTCTCACGTTTCTCGCCAAATTTTCGCATTTTTTCGATCGATTTTTTGTGTTTTTTTCAGAAAACAAAATGGCCGAGGGGCTTAACGGATTGGCAACATGCTATATGATGTGCTCAAACGACGAAATTCGCGAGCGAATCACACGTGGTCATATTAGCGTCTACGAGGCGTCCTATTACGACAACGAGAGTAATTTATCGATTTTCTTTACGACAAAAATGATTGTTTTTGGCGTTTAGAGAATCGTTTGGTGGCGAATCCGGAAAGAATGGTCGCTGAGTACAAAAAATTCAATCCTGAGGATGAGCGAAACAGCGACCACGTCCGGCCGCCGTTCACTCTTATTCAGACCGTTGACTACCTAAAGCGTCTCTACCTGTGTCGAAGAGGTGCGTAATAAGAGCAAAGTGTCAAACGTCGCGGACCATCGCGATTCGATTTGTGGGCTCGAGCCCATTTAGCACAATGTTTTCACGCCACCTCTGCTAGCTTGTTAGGAGGTTTTAGCAACGACAATTGGGAGGGCGTCCAGAAATTGTGCGAAATTGATTGGAATATCAATTCATCTTAAAATGGGCCACGCGGTTTGTAGAATTTTCACGCGGTGTGGTAGTTTAATGATGAAACAGACATTTATTTTATTTGAAAAAAATGTTCAATTTTCTGCTTTCAGCAATATGAGAACGAAAAATTCATGATATTTTCCTATTTGCAGACACCCAGGACATCGATATGTGCTGCATATTTTTGCACAATCGTATGCAGGCGGTTGTGGACGAGCTTCTTTATCAAAAAGCAGCGGCTTTCGATTGTGTTCTCGTATTGCAGGTTGGTTTTGGTGGAATCTCATGAAAAATTGGGCACAATTGTCATGATTGGCGGTGAAATTTTCGAATTATTGGGAAAATTTAATGTCGTCGAAGTGATTTTGCAGAAAAAGTGCAGGAGAAAAATAGTAATGTCTTCAATTGCTACATTTGATGCAAAATTACTGAAATTGAGAAGAAAAATGAGTGTATATTTTAACTATTTGACGTAAAGATGCCCGCCTAAATGAGCTTTTTACGGTTTTCTAGAAGGAAAATTGAATTTGTCACCAAGGTTTAGTACTTTTTGGTTAAAATTTTGACAAAATATTATTATTAAAAGTGACAAAAAATAGTGGTTGCCTGAAAATTGTCAAAAATTGCGCAATTAAAATTAGGAAATTGAGGCGAAATTTCGAAGATCATAGCCCAAAACAAACATTGAATGAGAAATGTTTGTTGAAAATTGCGTAATCGCCGAGATTTGACACAATTTTGTTGTTTCGATCAAACTATCAATTTAAGAAATTTTGTGGATTTTCAGGCGATGATCCCGTTTTACGTCGAAATAGCCGCGTTGCTCAAATGTCGCGGAATTGATGTTTTCACGGAGAGTGAGCATTGCTTTTTTCTCAAGAGATTGTTCAAAATGTGAGTTGAAATGCATGAAAATCTTCAAAACTGTCATTTTTTTCTCAAAATTTCATCATTTTTTTCGTAATAATTGCTAGCTCGTAATTGGTACCCTTTTGAAAGAATTAGCAACACAATTCACGGATTGTCTTTAATTTATAGCAAATATTAATAATCTGGGCCGAAATCGGCAAAAATGTTAGATTTAAAGCGAAAAATTGCAGATAAAACGCTTGAAATGTTTTTGGAAATTAGCCATCAATTTTTCGATTTGAATTGAAAATTCAATAAAGCTCCGATATTGGTCATAAAACATGAATAATGTGAATTTCTTTTCGAAAAAAAAAACGCTTACTACAATTTTTTCCAGTATACTTTAAACAGCAAGCAGAGTCTTAGCTTATAAATTTTCAAAATAATTTAACTGAAATTTTTTATGGAAATTGAAAAAAAAAACCGAAATTTTTGGATAAAATTTACTCGAAAAAGTCAAACGTTCAATTTTTTCGAAGAAATTCTCAAATTTTATGGAAAACTTCAAAAAAAAAGTTTTCATTTCTGTGAGTTGGAAGAAAAACAAAAATGGAATTATTTTGCGGATTTTTTCCCGAATATTCTCAAAATTTCGATATTATTTTCAAATATGCTTAATTTAAAAAAAAAGTTTGTTCCAAAAGCGTTAAATTGTAGAGCTTGTGAGATGATTAGCCGTCTCTGAATTATTAATCTGAATTATCTGAATTATTATGAATTATTAATTGGTCAGTGAATTATTGAGGAAATTACCAGTATAAATAGAGAATTTTTTACTCCAAATTGTTCAGCAAAAGATAATTAGCCTAATTACTTGTGAGAAATTGTTCAAAATTTTTGCGCTATTGAGATAATTATCCAATTATTTTTTTTAGTTGGCTCCAACACGTGAGAGGTGTTAAAGAGGAGGACAAAGGTTTGATCGACGAGCGCATTCTGATGTACATAGTGTTTTCGAATCCGTATGCTCCGAGATCGGTCCAAAAGATTGTCGACGACTATCGCGATCTATTCCGTCCGGAAACGCTTCGATTCGTTCTCGACATCGTTTTGGCGATTCGAACGAACAATTACGTCAAATATTTCAAATTGTACTCGCTTCTCGAGCCGATCAGCAAATGCTGTCTGTTCGACGTGACCGCGCTCGTCCGCCAAGTCTCGATGCGTCAAATCATGGCCGCGTATCGCTGTCCGCAACAATATTTGAATGTGATGAAGTTCGCGAAATGGCTCGGATTCAATGACGTCGGCACGTGCGCGAAATTCCTTCAATATTACGCGAAGACAAATATTGAGACGGTCGTGCCGATGCTGACGCTGCGGGAGCCGTTTATAAAGACGAGAGGATTCTGGATTCTATCGGCCACTTTGTGAAGGTTGTCTCGTCTACTCATTTTATTTTTTTTTCAAACCTCTACCTTAATTATCCCCAACTAATTAACTTGAATGCGTTTTTTTTCCAGCAGGATTTTTGAATTCTTACTTAATTACTCAGACTTGAAGAATTTTTTTGCACTCAATTTTATATATATATATATATATATATATATATATATATATATATATATATATATATATATATATATATAAGCAAAATTGAATATTTTTGATTTTTTTTTTGACCTGAGATTTTACGAAATTTGAAGATTCTTAGCATTTCGATTAGATATTGACCACATAGTTACCGACGTAATGGATTTTTTTTTAATGACTGAAAATTTTTCATATTTTTGTCGCAATTTTTAAACCGAAATTTATAAAAATTCAAATATTATCGAATTTTGGCCACGTAGATTGATGTTAGTTTTTGTTTTACATAATTATCCATCGCTTTATGACGATAATTACCTTAAATGCTACCTTTATCACAATTGTTGACCCCTAATTACCCGTAATTTGCAATATTTTGAGTACTCATTGAAAAATTCGACTACCTTGAAATTATTTTCCCAATTATCCCGTTATCCCCCGACTTCATTGAACAAATATTTTGCATGATTTGGACCAGAATTGTCTTGCATTTTTTTGAATTGTGATTTTTCGCCTCTAATTAACCCTATTAATCGCCATAATTTTTTTTTTAATTTTCTCTATTTCTTGAATTATCCTTGCCAAAAAGGTTCACCGATTTTTCGTTACAAATTTGACTTGAATTTTCGATTTTCACTAATAAAGCGAAATTTTGGCGTTTTGAAATAGAAAGATTAAAAAAAAATAATAAAACAATTTTCTTGCATTTTAACCCCCTCAAAGTCTACTATTTCCTCAATAATTTTCATGTCCGTTTTTTTTTCAACAATTTGAATCGATTTTTTCTTATTAGTTCTCCTTGTCTTAAAATTTCTGTGAATAAATTTTCTTGTTTTTTTTTTCAGAGATTTTTTTGTTTGTTTTTTTCGGTGAAAACTCCGATTTTTATCTTAAATTTTCAGCACTGAGGTTTTTTTTATAAATTCGTTTTTTTTTCGATAGAATGGACGGTGTTGTTATGGTTTCCGATATGGCCTGGATCCAAAGGGGCGTGGCCAAAGAGGTTCCGGATAAAATCAAATTGACGGCCGAGGAGTTGAAACAGCTTGTTGAAGGTGAATTAATCGTTTTTTTTTCCTGAAATACTACTATTTTTGATTTATTTTTCACAAAATTGCACCAATTTTTATGATTTTTGAATTGAAAATTGAGATTTTGTAGAAATTTTGAATAACGTTTGAAATTTTTCGTGATAAAATGAACGTTTGAGAAAAATGGGACCTTTTTCCATTTTTGGTTCGGAATTTAAGATTTTCAAGAAATTGGAATCAAATTAGGCAATTTTCCTATAAAGAAAATTTTTTGGGCAAACTGGTCGCATTTTTGATCTGAAAATTAAATTTTGAAACGAATTTGAGAATTTTCTTGTTTTTTTGGGTATTTGGCAAAATATTCTTCAATTTTAAGTAAAATTTTCAAATTTTTACAACGATGTGACGCAAAATTGAGATTTTCGCACCATTTTCGAGGAAATCGATTTGAATTCAAAAAATGCCTTAAAATTATTTGGAAATGTTGAAAAAAATAGCGTTGTTTCAATCAAAATGCGCAAAAATTTTCAAATGATCAGAATATTAATTTAGGAGGCGTTCCTGTCGAATCTGAGCATGACAGCAGTGATAATGAGGAGAAAATGGATGGCGAGAATGAGGTTTTCTTTTTTTTTTTCAAATTCCCGCCAAAATTTGAGAATTGTGTTTGCAGAAAACTGGTGGACTTCGAGGTTCGGAAGCATCGAAGGATGTTGAAATGGAAGACGAAGACGCGGATTTTGATGAGAAATACATGAAAGCTTATGATAATAAGGAAGAAGTGCACGGAGGCAATGGGTTCGCATTTTTTTTGGTGGAAAACCTATTAAAAACCCGATCTGAAAATGGGAAATTCGAAAAAAATTGGATTTTTGGCTTCAAATATTCATCGAATTTTGAAATATCAATCAAAATTCCAATTTTTTGCGAAAATATTGCCAATTTTTTAAAGAATAATCAAAAAATTCTCGAAATTTCATGCCTCGCTGAAATTTAGAATTGAGAAATCACACAAAATTGCTGCAATTCATCAAGAAGCTCGAAATTCGACGACGACGACAAAAGAAATTTTTTGTGAAATTCGTTGGAAAATTTCGAAAAATTGAGAAAAAGAAAGAAAATAAATTCGCAATTTGTTTTTTTGCAGAATGCGAGGAATTGCGATGTTCGCGTCGAACAAAGACGATCCGTACGTGACGAATCAGGTGGATTCGGACGAGGAAGAAGAGAAAGACGAGATCGTCGTCCGTCGCGACGACAACATGGTGGTGTTGTCGAAAATCGACAAAGGCGACTTCAATCTCGAGTGCTATGTGTACAATGAGGCCGACAATGACTGGTATTGCCATCATCATTACATTCTGGACGCGCCGCCGCTGTGTTTGGAGCCCGTTCAACATGATCCCGGCAATGAGGAGACCGGCAAGGTTCGGCCGACATTTATAGAAATTTGCTGTCTTTTCGGAGGGTGTGGGAACTAAAAATTGATTGGTTGCGATGAAAACGCGCAAAAAATGAAGACCCATAAAAATCATGGAAAAATACTCAAAAATTGTTCACACACTGTTTTTTCTGATGATGTCGGGACAGAATTTTTGCAAACTTTCAATTGTCTCTTATATAAAAACCGCTTAAAAAGCTTGTCCATAGTTTGTTTGAATCAATTGTACAAAAAAACATTAATTTAAAATTTTGAAATTGCGAGAAATTGGCATTTTTCGCCGGAATATTGAATTTTGAAACTTGAATTCTTCTTGTGACGATGCGAAATATTGAATAAGACAATTTTCGGTAAACTGCAACCCTTTCTCCTAGCTTTTATTGCTGAAATTCGAATTTCGCTCGATCTCATTTGAAAATTTGCAATGTCTTTTTTTTTGCTCTACGTGTTGTTTTGCATGGCAATCTGGTCGCCGTTGGAACGATGAACTCGGAAATCCATATTTGGGATTTGGACATTATGAATACCGTAACTCCGTTCTTGACATTGGGAAAACAATCGAGTTGTGAGTTTTTTTTTTCTTTGATTAGGAATATTGGAGCGTTTTTAACTCGAATCTTAAAAATGGGCAATTTTTGCATTTTTTTTTAATTCAAAAATATTGAAAAATCACTATAATCGAGCATTGATATGTGAAATTTTTAAGAAAAATTGAAAGCGATGAAATTTATCGAATTTTTGTCTAGAATTTTTGCTGAAAAATGTGTGTTTGTTGAGAATTGGCGACTATGGCAACGAAATTTGCAAATTTTTATTATTTTTGTGAATTTTATTGAAACTGAAGCTTTTTTTCAAGCATTTTTTTCCACCAAAGATGGTTTTTCACGGAAATATTTTTTAAATGAAAATTTTCTTAAAAATTATCGATTTTTGAACTTTTAAAACCATTATTTTTAAAAATTGAACAAAAAATTTTGCGATTTGAATTTTTCTAATAAATTTTGAGAGAGTTTCGTGAAATTAAAAAAAATCATTCATTTTTGTAAATATTTAAGGATTTCTAAAAAAAAATCCCCCGGCAATGATGAGAATTTTTGCGTTTGTTTTTGAAGCTCGTCGAAAAAAGCGCGACAACAGCCAACAGGGCCATTCGGACGCGGTCATCTCGTTGGCGTGGAATCGTCTGACGACGCACGTGCTCGCCAGCGGCGGCGCCGACAAACAAGTGGTGTTGTGGGATTTGGACGAGGCGAAGCCGGCGCAGGCGATACCGAATCGCGGCGGCGAAGTGCAAAGCCTCCGCTGGCATCCGAACGAGTCGACGTTCATTCTGCTCGGCACAATGAACGGCGACGCGCAGGTTGTCGATTGTCGCGACACGTCCGGACAGCCGTCGGCCGCTTGGAAGTTCGATGGGCAAATCGAGAAGGTGCTCTGGAATCACTTCAATCCGTTCACCGCCTTCGTTTCCAGTGATGATGGTGAGTAGCGATGATCAATTGGCGAGATGGAATCTCTTAAATGTGGGGATACTGTAATGGATTTGGGAGGATTACGGTAAATAATATTAAAACAAAATGGCTAGTTGAATACGGTAGATGACATTAAAGGCGCGTGCGCCTGAAATATTGTATGACGAATCATGTTTGCAGGAAAATTGCGATATTTGGACATGCGCAAACCGGGCGAATGCATTTGGGAGGGAATCGCGCACGAGGGTCCCGTTGGCGGATTGACGCTGTCGGCGAAGACTCGCGGATTATTGGTGACGGTTGGAGAGGATCAGGTTTGGCGGTTTGATTCGAGATTTGTTGAGTCGCTATTGTTGGCCTGCTGCAGATGATGAACGTGTGGAAGGTGAACGATTCGACGAATTCCATCGACAAAGTGCATTCGGAGAAGTTGCACATCGGCGAGCTCCACTGCGCTCAGTTCAATCCCGACGTCGCCGCGGTGTTGTCGATCGGCGGCACCGCCGAGGATCTGATTCGCGTCGTCGATCTCACCAAATACGAGCCGGTGGTGGAGGCGTTTTCGCAATAGATTTCCTCTTCTTTTGTCATCCCCGCACTCCTTGTTTGTTGATTTTTTTATTGATTCATTGTTATCTGTTTATGAATTTGTTGAACTCTGAAGCCAATTGGGCTTTTTGGATTGGCTTACTGTAGCGATACGGTAAGCGTCTTTAATTGAAGATTCTGGAACAATATGAATCAAGGATTACTGTAATTGGTCAATGCCTTTACAGACAAACAATAATTCGGATGTAATCTGATGATTACAGTATCTGGATTACTGTAGCTGTAGTTCAAACTGTGCCGCAATTTCCCAAATCCCGCCTTTTTGCTGTTTTTGCGTAATCGTTGGCGAAATGCGAAATTTTTGCATAATGCCAGTCAGCGACGCCTAACTCGATTTGCGCGATTTTTGTTGGCGAGAAAAAGAAAAGCGACGAAGATGAAATGGTGATGAGGTGTGCGCCTTTAAAGTGTCAAAGCGACGAATGATATCGGCTTGACTACAATCGGAATAGTCTGCGGACATTCATCCGGGTATCGAACCAGTGCGGTTGGTTCGAGTTTTGTATTAGATTTCAATACTCTGGAGTACGGTAGCGATGGTTTGAGCTGTTCAAGAAAAAAATGGTGATTTAATGGTTACTGTAGCATTTGTTCCCGATGTGTAGCTTTTTTACTGTGGCAATGGTTTCCGAGAATTCCAGAACAGAATGATTATATCTAGCAGAAATTTGGTTTAATCTACCAATAGGGTCTACTGTAGCAGTAGTCTTAGCTGTGGTATTCCGTCATACGGTAGCGTTAGTTCTAGCTGTGTGATGTTCAGAAATCCGAATTTCCCACTAGCTGTGTAGTCGTAGTACGGTAGCATTAGTTCGAGCTGTTGCCCTTATTTGGTTCTCGTTGTTGTTGTTGTTTTTTTCTCGTTTGTTTCGTGCGAACGCGAATTCCAAAATAGATTGACGCTTCGTTTTTCTTCGTCTTTTTTTCAGTTGGCACGAAAATTGTGAAGCCGAAGAAGAAGAAGACGTAGACGAAAGAAGCGGCAAGAAGAACGAGGCGGCCGCGAAAAATGAGCAAAATGGTCCCCAGAGGGCGGGGCGTGACACACATTCACAAAACTTTAGCGTTTTTTTTTGCTCGCCACAATATATCGCTTGCGCACCATTTCGACATAATATATAATTAAAGGAGCATTTTTGGAATTTCGTACCTTATTATTATTATTGGCCTCTTTTTTTCGTAAATGCATTTTTCAAGTTCGGCTGATGGCTAAATATCAAATTCGTGCTGCGGACAATTTTCTGGAATTGTCATTGACCACCCATTCGAATGGCTAGATATCAAATTCGTGCTGCGGACAATTTTCGGGAATTGTCATTGACCACCCATTCGAATGGCTAAATATCAAATTCGCGCTGCGGACAATTTTTGGGAATCGTCATTGACCACCCATTCGAACCACTGAATATCAAATTCGTGCTGCGGACAATTTTCGGGAATTGTCATAGACCACCCATTCGAATGGCTAAATATCAAATTCGCGCTGCGGACAATTTTTGGGAATCGTCATTGACCACCCATTCGAACCACTGAATATCAAATTCGTGCTGCGGACAATTTTCGGGAATTGTCATTGACCACCCATTCGAATCACTGAACTACAATGTTCGCTGATTCCAAACCCGCAATATGTCCGCAGCATCGGCACCATTGAAATCGCGCATTTCCCATAAAAATGTGACGACGAGTGGAGGGGGGGGGGGGAATTTTGATTGACGATTTCAAATACGACGCGTATCCGGAAGAGAGCATTTCTTTTGCCGGCATTCATTCCATTCCTCTCCTATTTTTTTTCTTCTCCATCGATCTTTTCGCGCGGCTTAATTGGACGGTGTGGATATTCGAGATTCCAATTAGCTCAATCTTGATGAGAGCGGCGGCGAGCGGTGGGCGTGGCCTACCTGCAGCAGCTCATCGAGCCCCGTAAGCCACCCACTCGTTCTCGTCTCGTTTTCTTAAATCATGCACATTTGAAATGCGCCGCTGCATTTCTATTCTTTTCAATTTCTTTTCAAAAAAAGAAGAAGGAGGAGAAGAAGAAGAAGCTCAAGCTTCTTGCCGCGTCCGCATTTTCCATTTTTTTGCGCCTTCTTCGCGCTTCTCGTAATTTGATCACTTCCATTCCGTCTTTTTTGAATCCTTCATCACACAAGTGGCTGAATGTTGTTTGTGTCTTTCGCTTTGAGGATTACTGTCAGTTTAAAGGCGCACACGTCATTTAATGGGAGCGTGAATCATTTTATCCAAGGTTACTGTCAGTTTAAAGGCCACTTGATTAGGTCTAGAAATTATTGTTTGTGAAACGCTCATACTTTAAAGGAGCATGATCTGCAGTTTAAAGGCGCATGGCAATTTCACCATCAAATTTCGGCCATTCTGCCATATTTTTTTTTCTCAGAAATTTTTCGCGAATGCGAATTTTTTGCGCATTTTTTTGCTCGCCAATCCGAATTTTTGAGAACGTCATAATTTTCGATTTTTCTTTCTGAAAATTGACAAACGTCTGTAATTATGATTCGGAGAGTAATCAGCGATTACATATTGTCGATGGCTTCTTTAAAGGCGCATACAACAATTTTATTTTCGCGCCATCAAGTAGAAAATGAATTTGATTGTTATTATTTCAATTTCCTGCCTGCCTCAATTGGTCGAAAGCATTGCAAATCCGAGGGACCACCTTAGATCGGCTGACGTCATTCTTCTCAAAGGGTCACACGAAAGGTCGACGATGAAGCCAATGAATCGGCGGATTTCGACAAATTTTATTGAAATCGGAATTTCGGGACCAGTTTGAAAAAAAAAGAAAAAAATATATATTGTCGATGTCGGCGGAAAATTGGCAAAAAATTAAAAATAGGTCTCGCCGCGCAGTGTGCGCCTTTAACCCATTAATCTCGTGCCAAAACCATTGTTACGGCTTTTGTGGCATTCTGCCAATTTTCGGGATATTCAAAAAAAAAAAAAAACAAGAAACCCGACATTTATCGGGGACGTCGGCGACAATGTCAAAACTCGAGCAGTGCTCAGTCGAGTCTTATACAATATCGGCTGCCGACATTCATCGGGGCCGTTTTTGCCATCGTAATTTTTTTTTCTTCACGGAAAATCGCGAAACGAGAGAGAGAGAGAGAGAAAAAAAACGATGGCGAGAGTTCAACAAATCAGGTTAGTCATCATTCTCCCAACGCGAGAAATCGAATTTCGAGCCCGCCCCCCGAAATTTTCTTTTTTTTTGCGCTCTTCCACACCGTCTATAATTATTTTCCTGAGGAGAGGGGAATCGCATTCTTCTTCTCCATTCCTTTCGTCTTTTTTTGGAATACACACCATCATCATTTACGAGTAATTGAATAGCTTCATCGTGCTGCCGTTTCTGTGTTTTTTTTTTCGTGGTTCCCCCCCCCTGCCTCCTCTTCAGCTTCATCTTCAGCTTTTGCTTCGTCGTCATGTCTACGCGGATTTCTTCCCACGATTTGCTTTTTTTTTCTTCAAATATTCAAAGTGAGATAGATATGGAAAGAGAGAGAGAGAGAGTTCGTTGGAAATAAGAAAAAAACGCGCATTATTAATTGCGGTGTATTCATTTTGGAATTCGTTATTTACGGGTCCCACCACGCTTCTTTATCATCCTTATTATGCGCCTTTGATTATAGGCGTTTTTTTGCATTCTATTGATAGTTTACAGAATACTCACAGCTTCGCTTCTTGCCTCTAGAAGCTGTTTATCAAAATCCATCTGCGGACAATTTCATTCACATTTGCAGAGCAGAGCCATGGCTGATTACTTGGGAATTGTGGCCATCGTGTTCTTCTATGTGCTCATTCTGATCGTCGGCATTTGGGCGGGCCGAAAATCGAAAGTGAGCATCGTGTGATGTCAACCAATCATTTTCATTTCGTCAGAGCTCGAAAGAATTGGAAAGCGCCGAGGGCGCCGCCACCGAAGAGGTGATGCTGGCCGGACGCAACATCGGCACCCTCGTCGGCATATTCACAATGACGGCGACGTGGGTCGGCGGCGCCTACATCAACGGCACCGCCGAAGCGCTGTACAACGGCGGCATTCTTGGGTGTCAGGCGCCGATCGGCTACGCCATCTCGTTGGTGATTGGCGGATTTCTGTTCGCCAAGAAGATGCGCGAAGAGGGCTATATTACAATGTTGGACCCGTTCCAAGTGCGACCATTTTGTTGCTGTTTTTTTTTATCTTCAAACCAATTTCCAGAACAAGTACGGACAACGAATCGGCGGTTTGATGTACCTTCCGGCGCTTCTCGGCGAGACGTTTTGGACCGCCGCGATCCTATCGGCTTTGGGTAAGTTCTGGGCCTTTCCATCAGCACACTTGATTTGTCAGGCGCCACGCTGTCGGTGATTCTCGGCATCGACATGACGGCGTCGGTGACGCTGTCGGCGTGCATCGCCGTCTTCTACACGTTCACCGGCGGCCTCTACGCCGTCGCCTACACCGACGTCGTGCAGTTGTTTTGCATATTTGTCGGATTGGTGAGTCGATCGCACGACGTCGGTGTCGAGCCGTCGATTATCCATAATTCCAGTGGGTTTGTGTTCCGGCGGCGATGGTCCACGACGGCGCCAAAGACATCTCGAGGAATGCCGGCGATTGGATCGGCGAGGTTGGAGGTTGGCATTCTCGGAACTCCCCCCTCCTGTCATCCCCATCTCATCTGAATTGTTTAGGATTCAAAGAGACGGCGCTCTGGTGGGACTGCATGCTGCTGCTCGTCTTCGGCGGCATCCCGTGGCAGGTCTATTTTCAGCGCGTTTTGTCGTCGAAGACCGCCCACGGCGCGCAGATGCTCTCGTTCGTCGCCGGCGTCGGCTGCATTCTGATGGCGATTCCGCCGGCGTTGATCGGCGCCATCGCGCGCAACACCGATTGGCGAATGACCGATTATTCGCCGTGGAATAACGGCACCAAAGTCGAGGCGATACCGCCGGACAAACGGAATATGGTGGTGCCGTTGGTGTTTCAGTATCTCACACCCAAATGGGTCGCATTTATTGGTGAGTAGTGTACACCGATTACTGTAGGCTCAGACCCCAAATGAGAGGAACTCTAATATTATATTGCTCAAAAAACCTTATAAAGTGTCATACTGTAGTTTGAAAAGTATGAAAATTACTGTAATTTTCCATAAGCAGGGAGTCTGGATTACTGTAGATGGATGCTGTAAAGGTCCCTGATTCTGAAAAAATCCATATGAATAAAATATATGGTTGAGCAATCGGCAATCTCTGAGTCGAATTGCTCAAATATGCGCAATCTTATAACAAATTCCAACGCGTTATAATTTTTTGCTCGCTGCAAAAAATTAAAAAAAAAAAAGTTATTCTGTAGGTCTCGGCGCGGTGTCGGCGGCCGTCATGTCATCGGCCGATTCGTCGGTGCTGTCGGCGGCGTCGATGTTCGCCCACAACATTTGGAAGTTGACGATTCGACCGCACGCTTCCGAGAAGGAAGTCATCATTGTCATGCGAATCGCCATCATTTTCGTCGGCATCATGGCCACAATAATGGCGTTGACGATTCAGTCGATTTACGGCTTATGGTTGGAGCATTTCGATTGATCGCTCAAGCAGCACAATTCTAGGTACCTCTGCGCCGATCTCGTCTACGTCATTCTGTTCCCCCAACTGGTGTGTGTTGTGTATTTCCCGAAGAGCAACACCTACGGATCACTCGCTGGCTATGCAGGTTGGCCTGATCTTTTTCTTCCGACACCCAATGCGCCTTTAAATTTTAGTTGGATTGTTCCTTCGCCTTATTGGTGGCGAACCGTTGCTCTCGTTTCCGCCATTGGTGCACTATCCAATGTTCACCGATGGCGTTCAATATTTCCCATTTCGAACGACGGCGATGCTCTCATCGATGGCAACGATATATATTGTTGGAAACACCAAACCGCGTTTTCATTTTTTGGTATTCATTCGGCGATTTTCCAGGTTTCGATTCACGCTGAGAAGTTGTTCAAAAGCGGCCGATTGTCGCCGGAGTGGGACCTGTTGGGTTGCGTTGTGAACATTCCTTCGGACCACGTGCCGCTTCCATCGGATGTCTCGTTTGCGGTGAGCAGCGAGACGCTCAATATGAATAAGGTAAGAGCAGAAAACAAAAAACCATGGAGGTCAAGTAGTTGAGATGCAGAGAAAAAAACAAGGAAAATCATTTATTGTTCAATAGAGCGCAATTGCATTCTGCTTTTTTTTTTGCAGCCGCCCAATGGCAGCCAGCCGCGAACCGAAACATCATCATTGCACCCATATTCGGAACATCATTACAATTCGACATCGTGATAATTAATCAATTTAATAATTTATTAATTTTTTGATTACCTAGCCACGTGTACGATTCATTTAAGACCAAATTAGTTGATAATGTGTAGCAATTCATTATTCAATTTCATTTTTTTCTTGTAATTTGATCAAAAATCACGTTGAAATGCAATAAATAGAGATATATAGGTGCGTGCACCATGTATGGCAATTTTCGTATTTGAATGACGGCCAAGAGGACTGAAAATTTTTAGCATTTGAAGAGCCATCTAAAATGAATGCACATTATACTCGAACTTTAGCTCTATTTTTTGGACATTGACTATCACTATCACATGTTTCACTTTTTGTACCTTATCAATACACTGTAAAAAAGAGCAGTTTCCTATCACGAAAATGCCGCTAGAAAATTAGTTAACGATTTTATAACAGTTTTCCAAGAAAAAATGCAGCTAAGTTTTTAATGTCGAGTTGCGGTTCGCGTTTTTTTTTTACTTAAAACATAAACGTGAATCCGCAACACGTCAGAACTACAAGATCTTGCAGCGAAAAAATCTGGTATTCGATTTTTTTTGGGAATCGAATAAAAAAATGAAAATTCTAAACTTGGTGTAAAATGTCGTAAGATATAATGCATGTTGTGCAAACATCTAAAATCGGAAAATTTCAATTCAGTGTTTTTTTTTCGCATTTTTTGCTAAATATTTCCTATTTTATTGACTATAAGATGTTTTTTCGACATTTTTTTTTGAAAGAATTGACATATTTATCTCTCGATGTATCTTGTAGTCAAATAATGGGAATAACCACTATGACACTGATTTTATCACATTTCTTGTCATTTTCCGTTTTTATGATTATTACCATAGAAAAAACCAGCATCTAGAATAATTTTGACCCATCGCACTTTTTTCAATTCGGGAATTCGGGTAGCGTACTGCGGACTACACGAGCTCACCGTAAATTGGCGCACGGTGGTCGTTTTTTTTACGATTGTAATATTTTTTCGGATTTTATACTAACAAACACGTAAAATACGACTGCAAAACAAAAATTCCATTCTTCCAGCCGTGTTTAGTACATTTGAAAATCACGGGGATGCCGAAAAGGGCGCGCAATTTAGGACAAGAATGTTTGTGTTTTGAGATTTGAATTAGTTTTGCGGGCAAAGTTTTATTTTCTATAAATTTTGAGAAAACCTATTGAAAGTGAAAAAAATCGTAATAAATTACACATTTTTTCCCAGTGCAAAAAATGCACATTTAATAATTTTAGTTTTTACATTTTTTTGAGCAAAATACATTTTATGGATAAGTCCATACTAATTTTAATAACTTCCTCGTTAAAAATATCTCAAATTTACCGCTTCAATTCCTTTTTTATGTTTTCAGAAAATCAGAAATGTTGCAGTACTCATCATTCCGAATAATGCGCTGAAAAAACTGCTAAATGATGAGAAATGAGAATCCGAATCAGCCGAAAGAGATGGATGGAGTTCGCCGCGAATCATCGAGGTCTTCATCAGGTTTGACACCGAATTCGAATACCTCGAAATTTCCTTCCTTCCTTTTTACAGTCCTTCAATCTTCCCGGAGCTTATCTCGATCCATTCTTCTACTATTCCGGTGACGTCATCATTCTGCTGATCTCGATTTTCGTCATGGTCTCTTACATTCTCTAGAGATTGTTACGGACCATCGGGTCCGTTATTTGGATTGAGAGGAAGGTGAAGACCCAATAAGTACGGAAATGTTGATTCTTGCCATTTTCTGTTCAGGTATCTTATAAGAGCCTTGCTGTTTTTGAAAACCTTACAATCAGGCTATTATCATTGACCTTGTGACGTTGCTAAAGTTATTAGAGAACACCAAAGCAGCAAAAAATTACAGATTCGCGTCGAGACCATTCATAAATGGGATTGATAACACATAGACTGATAACGATAGTCAGTAGTATCCAAAAATGCGGCACGCGGTTCTCATCGTTCTCATCGTTGCACTTTTCTCGAAATGCTCGCCTTTGAATATTCTAATGTATACTGCTGTCATCGGACCATCACATATCTCATTTTTGGATCATATCTCAAAAATTTTGATCGAAAGGGGCCACAATGTTGTAAGCTTTTTTCTCGATTCATTTTTCAAACCAATCAATTTTTGTCATTTCCAGGATGTGCTATTCGCTCATTATAATGATCGAACGGTGTTGAATCTGACGGCGGGAATCAGACGAAAACACACGTATGTGTTCGACACGCCCGACATGTGGTATTCGATTATGTCGCACTTGGATAATATTTTCAGTCCGCCGACTCGCATCTTTTTCGACATGCGAGGATTTGTGAATATGGGCGCAGAATTGTGCAGAGGTAATTCACATCTCTCGAATTGTCAATGATTGGCGTTTCAGTGGCCCTTCGCGATGATCGTGTCCTGAATTTTGTGAAATCTGGAAAATACGACATCGGCGTGACGACTGACTATGATCCTTGTCCGTTGATCATGTTCGAGGCCGCCGGAGTGCCCTCGGTCGCTAGTGAGAATCATCATGCTTCCGACAGCTTTACGGGTTACTTTCAGCGTTGATGCCGACTCCGTTGTTCCCCGGACATCTGATTGGCGCAGGTCTTCCTGCGCCGACAAGCATCTATGGAAGTAAGACAGTTTTTGAATAGTATATCGTATTATCGCTCAATTAGCATAAACTACAAATTGATAAGAGAATTGATAATAATTGAACCTTGGTATAGAGCATTTTTTTGAAACTATAATAAATTTTAGCGGCGTTCACCCCGAAACACGATGGATCGCTGTTCGACAAGACGTTCTACTTTTTGAAATCGGCTTATGTCAATTATATCGATACACCCGATAAATTCAAGAAATTTGTAAGTTTTTCGTATGGATGAAGCGTTAAAATATTCGAAATTTAGAACGAAATAGCTCGCTCGAAATTCGGGCCCGGATTCGCCGACGTTGCCGACCTCGAGCGAAATATTGATGTAATATTTGTGAACGCGAACGAGATCGTCGAAAAACCGCGACCAATTTCGCACAAAATCAAATATATTGGGGGAATCGGAATGAAGGCGGCGAAATCGCTCACGAGTCCGATCAAAGCGCTTCTCGACAAACCGTCGAATGGCACGATAATCTTCTCGTTTGGCACACAGGCGCCCACCGCGAAAATTCCGCTCGAAATTCGACGCAATTTTGTGGAAGCGTTCAAAAAGTTTCCCGATTTCACGTTTATTTGGAAATATGATCGGATGGATGATGATGACGGCATTTTTGAGGGGGCCACGAATGTTCATCGGGTTCCGTGGATTCCGCAAACGGATGTTCTTCGTGAGTTCATTTCTTTTTTCCTTTTCAATTTGAAACTCGAATTATACTCAAAATTTTGTGAGAAATTGATAAATCGGATTGAAATTGAAAAAAGAAACGGGAAATTTCTGCGCTTGGTGTAACATGGCGTCAGATATAGTGCATCTTGTGCAAACACCATAATTCCACATTTCTCAAATCCCTGCTTCAAAAATCAAAAATTACATTAAATATGCATTTTTTTAAACTCTGCATTGATTAAATGTTTAATTCTTTAAAACATTTTATTACAGGAATAGTCCCATAAATATTTTGCTTTCGAAAATATCTTCTTCGTCTGAAATTGAAAGTAATTTTCCAAGTTTGCAAAATTTTTAAAGAATTTTTTTAAACCAAAATGATGGTAGTTGAAGTTTTTCGAAAATTCTGTATAAAACCGTTCTGTATAAAAACTTAATTTTTTTTCTTCAGGATTGATGAGAATTATTGATTCTAAATTGAAAATAAGGTCAGAACTAAATAAAACAGTGAATTAATATACACACAGATTTTTTTTTTCAAATTTCTGCCTTAAAGGCGCACATCGACCTCGTTGGCAATTCATTGGAATTTAGCCAATTCTAAAATTAAAAAATCATCGACGATGGATGAATTTGGGGCCGTCATGAATTGCTTTATTGTTTGAATGGCGTATTTTTTCAAGGAATGGAATTTTAAGTACTTTGGTTATTAGCACAAATGCCGATTGACAGAGTATGAGCCGATTTTGTATTGCGAGGACCATTTAAATGGCAGCCCGCGTAATTCAAACCTTTCAAATTCGTCGGTCCACGACAATAGCAAAGAAAACGAACACTTTATAGTCAATTGACGAATTGTTGACCATTTTTTCGAGGCGGTAATTCCAATTTAAACAGTGGAAATTCAGATACAAATTTACTTTTCCATTGTATTTTTGTAAGGCATTTATACGTGTAGCTAATTGTCCAATTTAATCAATTTTAAAATTACGAGGTCTTTGCACGATGTGCGCCTTTAAGTTTTTAATAATTTTCATTTGGAAAGCATTCATTCTTGCAGAAGATGGTCGCGTGAAAGTGTTCATCAGCCACATGGGTATGAATTCGTTTTTGGAGACGGCGAGCGCCGGTGTTCCCGTGCTCGCAATTCCGCTCTTCGTCGACCAAACCCATAACGCCTTAAATGGTTCGTTTGATTTTTCATTCCAGAAAATCGTTGCTCAATTTCAGCGGAAGCTCGCCAAATGGGAATTCTTCTCGAGCGACATAAGCTAACCGCGGGGAACATCGAAAACGCGTTGAAAAAACTGTTGAATGATGAGAAATATTGGAGAAACGCGCAAAGAATCGCGCGAATGATGAAAGAGAATCCGAATCAGCCGAAAGAAACATTCGTGAGATGGATGGAGTTCGCCGCGACTCATCGAGGTCTTCATCAGGTTTGAAATCGAATTCGAATACCTCGAAATTTCCTTTCTTCTTTTTACAGTCCTTCAATCTTCCCGGAGCTCATCTCGATCCATTCTTCTACTATTCCGGTGACGTCATCATTCTGCTCATCTCGATTTTCGTCATATTCTCTTACATCCTCTACAGATTGTTAAGGACCATCGGGTCCGTTATTTGGATTGAGAGGAAGGTGAAGACCCAATAAGTACGGGAATGTTGTTTGTAAATATGAATTGTTGATAATAAATAATGCTGTGCTAGACAAAACGTATCGGCGAATTTTGACGTCTAGGCCCATAAACAATGATACTACGTAGTAGGAATAAAAAAATCGCATAAAAATCGAATTAGGCATTTGAATGGGAGGGGGAAGGGGGTCTCGATGACCGCCCCGCTCCCGCTATCAGCCTCCTGCAATATTGACATTATCATTTAGTATTATTCAAAAATTATTTACCCCCATTATCTCATTTACTATTTTTGCTCGCCAACAACTGTCGACGTTCGAATGCGGCTCGTGTGGCTCATCGTCTGTTTAAAGCTCACCGCCGGCCTCAATGTGCTCTTTCATGCTTCCGTTATTGGTCAATCGCATATTTCGTTTCTCGACACTGCCGTCAATGTATTGGCGAAATATGGGCACAGTGTGGTAAGACATTTTCGATGTTCGCCGATGGATAATTGGAATGTGTTTAAAGGGGGGTGGGGGTAGGAGGGGCACATTTTAAGAGCATGACAATATGATGGAAAATTGATAAGAAATTGAAAAATAAAAACAATGAATATGGAATATTTGCTAAATGCCTAAAAAGGCAATGACATGGGTCTCGGCGCAAAGATAATCATAGAGATTTGCGGGTTCCATTATAAGGATGGGTTAAAGGCGCACACAGTGCACTGAGACGCCGACGACAAATTCGTCGTGGAGAAAATTGATCGCGAAGAAAACAAAATGTGTACATTGTCGTCAAATAAAATGCACAAGTCCGCAATGTCATTTTCAGTTTCAATTCAAAATTTAATTTGTGTGTCCTTCTTTGAGACCGAAAATTGAAATACGAATTTCCACAAATAGGTATATCGCGTGTTTACACCCAATACATTTTATTCGACGACTATTTTCTTTTACGTGCAATTTTCACGTGATTGAGAATTTTGAATGCCCAATTTCTGGGATTTCGAGGTGTCAGAGACGAGTACGAATCAAACAATGGCCAGAAATATTGGAAATAAACCAAAAAATTGAAAAAGAACGGGAGTTTCCAAAAAACTTTCGCTGTTCGTAACCAAACACTGCCAGTACGACACTCCAACGACACATCGCCCTCAATTTAGTGTGTAATCAACTAATTGAATTTTCCACATGCTTGTCCCAAAATTTTCTATATTCTATTCCATACCAAAAAAGACTACACGCTGCTCGTCCAGATCGAATCGTTGAGGTGTTCAAATTCCCGCGGGTCACACGGCCGTGAAAAATGGCGGCCGCCGTTTTTGACGTTGCATCATATTTTAATTTTCGGTTTCTGCGAATGTCGCCGCGAGACCCGAAAACGAAAATCGCGAATTTCGTTATTATTTCAAATGCATTGTGAAATATTGTAATTAAAGGCGCATGCCAACCATTTTATTCTCAAAATGAAAAGAAAAGGCCATGCACCTTTAAAATATCTTATGGAATTCTGCTTATTTCGCAAAACAGCACCACTGTTTTTATTGAACTTTGCAAGAATTATAAAAATTTTGTTGTATGCGCCTTTAACGATTTTTTAAAATTCAAGTTTTTCTATTATGGTTTCTATTTTTTTTTTGTTGTAATTAAAGACGCATATACAATTTTTGAAATGATTCTTGCAACGATTTAATAAAAAGCTGTGATAGGCTTTGAAAATCCTGGCAGCAATCGAGGCTTTTGAGATTTTTTTGGCCGTCAATTAAATGTCAATTCGAGCTTCTCGCTTATCATACGTCATTGTATTCTTTGACCACGATAAGGACACACAGTTTTTGCAGGACATGATCTTCGCTGTCTACAATGATATGGTTGATATTCGATTCACGGCGAGCATTCGAAGGAATTACACATATGGCTATTCGGAGAAACGTAAGAGGAATGAGCAATTTTTCTTCCTTTTTTGAAATACTTTGGTAGATCACGATCGTTGAGAGACGCTATTCCCAAGAAAACCGGATATTTGTGATTTCCTAGCGATTAAAATTCATTTTTATGACAGAATATTAGAATTTTTGACAAGAAATTATCCCCATGGTTCCTTTTTTGCAGATTTTCCATCGCTTGAGGTATAAATAAAAAATAATAATCAGTATTTTAGACTACTGGAAGAACAGAACGCCTCATTTGGCGAATCCGTTCATCAAACCGCCAAGACCACTTATTGATTTGAAGGGTTTTGATCTACTGGCAATCGAGCTGTGCAAAAGTTTGCTGAAAAAAAAACCAAAGACTATTTGAATTTCATTTTTAGTTGGAATTAATGATGGCAATCTTCTTGAGTTTATCAAAGAAGGGCATTATGATATTGGGATTACAAATGATTATGAACCGTGTGGGACCATTTTGTTCAAAGCCGCTGGGGTACCTGTAGTTGCGAGTAGGATTTAAGAGAAGCAATTGACATCATTTTCGTTTTTAGGCTATGTTCCAACTCCATTGTTTTTTAGTCAAGTTGTTTCTGCGGGATTGCCAATGCCGACGAGTGTTTATGGAAGTAAGACTAAGCTTCTTAATATTTAGCCTAAAAAATTCAATTTATTTCGAATTTTCACGAAAATTAGGCATTGATTTCTATGTTTTGCACTTTTTTAAATACGCGATTTTGGGAAAACTGCTAATTTTCGTAACGAAATTTTGAGAATATTTGAATTTAAATAAGTGGAAAATAGTAAAATCACAATTTTTAAACTAATTTATTTCTTAAAAACAATTAAAAACCAAAATCACGTTAAAATTTGATAGAGATTTTCGAGAGTGTAAAAATGCTAATATATAATTTTCAAATTTCCGCCAATTGTGTCGAGACCTTGAGCAAAATTTGCATGCTCCTTTAAGATCGTGATCGTAATTTTCCACGTTTTAGTTTTTTTTTCTCAAAAAGTCGATAGTTGCGGGTTTTTTTCTTCAAAAAGTTGGCTTTCTTATTTATTATTTGTTGGTCTGTTATTAACTTTATACGAAATCTAAAAATTCTGAAAAAAAAGTTTTGTAAAATTGATTTTTGAAATTTTCTTTTGTTTGATTTGAATTTTAAAATAAAGCTGTATTTTACAGCCACGTTATATCCGGAGCATGATGGATCCATGTACGACAAGACGTTCCACCTGATACGATCCGCATATTTTCATTATGTCTGGTATCCCTTTATCCTGAAGTCTTATGTAAGTTGAATATTGAAATTTTCCACTGAATCACAAATATATTCAGGATCAAGCATCTCGTGCTAAATTTGGACACGATTTTCCAAGTGCTGAAGAGTTGGAGCGAAATATTGATATCGTTTTTGCGAACTCGAATGAAATAATTGAGCAACCGAGGCCGATATCACACAAAATCAAGTATATTGGAGGAATGGGAGTTAAAAAGGCGAAACCATTAAGCAATGTGGGAAATTTACATCAGGAAACTGATAATTGATCATAAATTTTTCAGCAACTCGTCGCCATTCTAGAAAGTTCGCAAAAAGGCGTCGTTTTATTCTCGTTTGGCACTCAAGTACGGACCACAGCGATTCCTGTAGAGATTCGAAAGAATTTCCTGGAGGCTTTCAAGCATTTCCCAGAGTATGCCTTTATTTGGAAGTATGACAATTTGACGGAAGATGCTCTCGATTTTGGCGGTGCTGAAAATGTGCACAGATTGGAATGGTTGCCACAAACCGATTTATTAAGTGAGATTTTACACAACAGAATTAATTTTTATAATTGGACAAAATTTTGAAACGTTTTTTGCAGAAGATCATCGGGTTAAGCTTTTCATCAGTCATATGGGCATGAATTCATTTTTGGAAACGTCAGAATCTGGAGTTCCAGTTCTTTCGATCCCACTTTTCATTGATCAACAGCACAATTCCCAAAATGGTAAATGTGTTCATCAATTATTCACGAAAACCACTTCCTTTCAGCCGCATTTCTTGAAATGGGTCTCATTGTGAATCGGAACGAGATTACTGTGGAAAATTTGGTGAAAACGTTGAAAAAACTGCTTGGCGAGCGCAAATATGGGCAAAATGCTGCGAAAATAGCGAAATTGATTCGAAACAAGCCCGAACAACCCGAAGAGGTGTTCGTTAAATGGATCGAATTTGCTGCGAACCATCCAGGATTGCATAAGGTTAGGAATTCGGCAAATTTTGCGAATTAAAATCTGCAAACAGTTGCGAGATATTCTGATTTTTCGAGAATTTTCTTGTTTTTCGAATAATAGGTATAAAAATTGAAAACTAACATTTAAATGATTTTTTAATATAGTCGGCGTTCGGCGACTGCTGTACGCGGGTAGATTTACGGGAATGCGTCTTTCGAAATGGTCTCGCAAGGATGAACAGGTTATTTCAAATTTTATGGACCAGTTCGATAATTTTTAAATCGAACGACGTTAGAAACTCTCGGAAATGCGAAACTCCGCGTACAGCAGGACGCCGACTATATATAAATATCACATATTTGGATTTTTGCGAAATTTAACTTTACGGCAATTAATAATATTCTATTGAAAATTTTTAGTGAAACGACTAGGAAAACTTCTTTTTTTGTGTATTTACTAGTTTTTGCCACATTTTAAAATATTCTATCCAACTCTATTCGAGATATTTTCCTATGAACTTAATATTTTTTTAATCACTATTTTCTTTCTATTTGTTCGTTGTTAAAAAGCGGGAAATCACCAAATATGCCTGAATACTTGAAATTTTCGGTTTTTTTTTTCTTTACAGATTTTCAATCTTCCCGGTGCCGAAATGGGACCATTCTTGTATTATTCGGGTGACGTCATTGTCTTTATTTTGCTCATCAACTTCATCGTCGGCATCACAATTTTCACGGTTATCAGAAAATGCTTAACGTTAACACCAAAATTAAAAACTAATTAGGTCTTTCTCTGCTTCTTTTCTCTTTCTCACTCTCTCTCTCGTTCTCTTTTCTGCTCATAATACAAAATTGATGAAAAACGTTCTCGTTTTGGGTGATTTTGGCATAAATCCTTTTTTGTGTGTCGACGTGTCGAAATTTCGGATTAAAATGCGCCATCAATGGCCATAATTTTGATGAGAATGAGTTTGAAAATCGAGATTTTCGCGATTTTTTGCCTTCTTCTTACTGTATTTGCCGATGTCGACGAATTGATTGATCCGACGGATGGTCAGGTAATTTCGATTGCTAATTAAGCATAATTAAGATCAATTTTCAGAGGAACGCCTATGAATCGATTCGGAAACTCAAAAAATGTCTCGATAAGGTTGATGTAAGAATTCTCGCATGTTTTTTTTAAACTTTTCAGATTACTGTAGAAAATTTGCAGAGAAAACGGGTCCAACGCGTTTGCGAAGGCAAAAAGGGCGTCGAACGCGACAAATGCGTTCTAATGTACACACACGTAAGCATTTTTTGAAGAATTTTACCCATGGAATGTGAAAATTTCAGCAAATTATGCCCACTTTGAAGGAATGTGTTGAGAATACCAAGTCGGCCGCTCGTCGAGTGCACACTGAACTTTGATTTTTCAATTTATTTCTTTTTGTTTTATTTTTTTATTAATAAATATTTGGTTTTGAGGCGATTGATTTTGCTGTGTAGGCGGAAACATTGATAAGACGTCGTGATGGGGTGATTCGGTCGACAATAATCATCCCAGGTTTCCTGGGTCTCCTGATTTGTTGCGCCGAAAATGCATTTTAAGCTCGAAATTTTTCGCACGGTACTGTACTTGCGTATGTTTGCGGAATTGCGTGACGGTGTTTGCGGATACGCATTTTTTTAAAATCAATTTTCATCGTTTCTATTATTCAGTTTTTGCTCGATTTTCGTTGCCATTTTTTACGGATTAATCGAAAAAATGAATTTTTGAAAGTTTTTTATTGCGGAAATGCAGATGTCATTCACTTTTCTTTTTTTTGGACGATTTTCATAGAAATTCTCAATTTTCAAAATCGATAGTGTCAAATTTCAGATGAATGCGTTTATAAACATTGAAAAACTTTTGCAAAAAAACAAAACGCCAAGCAGAAGTTTTTAAACCATGAATTCATGCCAAATTTGTTTTTAAAAAGCGAATTTCAGGATTTGCTGGAAATCGGTTTCGATTTTTTAAGAGTTAAACAAAAAATGATTTTTCTACAATCCGCTTTTGTTTCAGATTTAATTCGTAACTTCTTTTTGTAAAATTTCGTATCCTATCGGCTCATTTAAAGTTTTTGATACAATTAAAGAAACAATGTACCTTTAATAATATTCAATAAACAATTAGCGCATCGAATGAACTCTAATCATCAATTGTACTATCCATTCGACCTTGTTTCGAATAATAACACCTCTCCGCTGCGTCTCTGACCGTGGACCCTCGCTAACCTCAACAGAGGCGCACGGCAGAGAGACAGATAGAATATAGTGATTGTTGGAAACTCCATTTTTTTGTGCTGCTAAATGGTTTAACCTCGAATTAGCGCCAATTTGGCGCCGATAATTGATGATGATTTTGGTATAAATTTGATTCAATCTCATGTGCTAAAAACAAAACATAAAACGAGTTTTTCTTTGTTTACCAATTCCCCGTCGAATTGTTTTTTTGGCTGATTTCCCACTAAATCATTTCATTTTCCAGTGTTCTTTCTCTGTTTTTGGCCACCCTCTTGACGAAACAATGGCCGAAGCTGATATTGCTGTGATCGGATTGGCAGTGATGGGCCAGAATTTGATATTGAACATGAACGATCATGGATATACGGTAAGCTTGCGAAATTTTTGAGAAAATTGAGTTTATCGAACGAATTTTGACGATTTTTGTCTAGAAAATACCAATTTCTGCAGTTTTTTTTTCAGAAAATTGCCTAATTTTGGGTTTTTTACACATAAATTACGAACATCGAGAATTTCAATTGAAGATTTTGCAATTTTGCAGATATAAGATGACTTTTCTTGGATGTTTCTCAATGAATATTCGAAATTTGACGAAAAATGACGATTGTTCATGAAAATTTTCACACTTTGATTGATAAATCATTTCAAGTGCAAAATTGAATATTTTTGGTTTAAAAAAATGAATGAAAATCCATTTTTGCTCAAAAATACATCATTTTTTGATTTTCTGATAGAAAACTGGCCTAATGTTGGCGAAAATAACGATTTTTCAAATTGAAAATCGACATTTTTTCCGAATTTTGCCGCTAAGCGGATTTCAAGACAGAAAATCGCATTAAATTCGAGATTTGCTCCCCTCAGACACTTCATTTCGCTTCAGGTATGCGCCTTTAATCGTACGGTGAAAGTTGTCGACGACTTTTTGGCGAATGAAGCCAAAGGCACCAAAATCATCGGGGCCCATTCGATCGAAGAAATGTGCAAGTAAGTTTTTGCGTTGAAAATTGTCCGCAGCTCGACAAGCTGATATAAGTTTTTCAATTTTTTTTGAACGTTAACTCAAATTTTGGCGTAAATCCCGAAAAAAAAGAAACGGCGACTTCCTCTTAACATTTTTTAAAATAAGAAATTCCGAGAAATTATAAATTTTTCATTGAAAATGTCGAATATGTTATGGAAAATTCGCATTTTTTTGCCAGACATGTTCCAAATTTGCTTTTTTCCAAATAAAAATTTGTGATATTCGCCTAGAGATTTCAAAATTTCTTCAACTTTGAACAATTTTTCAAATTGACTACCAAATGTGATTTTTTCGCTTGTATTGTAGGGATTTTCCAGCAAAAATTCAAAATTTGAACGTTAAATTTTTTCTTCTATCCAAAAATTTGGTCATTTTGATGAATTCCATTAAATCGTCGAGTTTCATGATGTTCTTGCAATTTTCCATTCAATTCTTGAAAAATCTTTATTTTTTCTGGTTTTTTGACAAATTTTTAGTGAGAAACTGAATAGAGTTTGAAATTTTTTGAAAAAATTGAAAAACTACCAAATATTGCATATGTTTTTTACGATTTTTCAACGAAATTTGAATTTTTCTTCTTAAATAATCCAATATCTTCGGACTATTGCTGAAAACTAAGAAAAATCTTGTTTCCTGTTTAAATTCTTCTTTTTTTTTCATAAAACGAAATCACAAATTCCATGATTTTTTTTAAAAGGATTTAAAAAAATTCAATTTTTTTCCAGAAAATTGAAGCGTCCTCGTCGTATCATGATGCTGATCAAAGCGGGATCTCCAGTGGATTCGATGATCGAAAACATTTTGCCGTATTTGGAAAAAGGCGACATCATCATCGACGGCGGAAACTCGGAATACACTGATTCGAATGTGAGAAAAGAGTGATTCAAAAGAAACCCCACACACACACATTTATAATTGGGCATAATCAACGATTTTAGAGACGAGCCGAACAATTGGCGTCGAAGGGGATTCTGTTCGTCGGATGCGGTGTTTCGGGAGGCGAAGAAGGTATGTTTTTCAAGGGGGATTTGCTGAAAATTGCCGGAAATTGCATTTCGCGTATGTGTTTCGAACCTGTCATATTGTCGGACGAATAGTAGCGTTTTGGGATTGGCTTGTTGATGACGGTCATCCTGGAAAATTGCCCATTTTTTTTTTGAGATGTGTGCTTTTTTTTGCGGAATTTCGCGAGTTTACCTTTTGATTTCTTCGAATATCAAATACAATTACCCGAAAAAATGTCGCTCTGATTTTTTTCGCCGAGATCAGCAAATTTTTATTCTCAAGTAATTGTGCTGAAAATGTTGAAAAACTCGAATTTTCGAGTCAGAAATGAATTATCAAAAAAAAATTCTTCAATAGAAAAAAAAATTAACAGAATGAATTTATTTGATTGCCGAAATAGGCGACGTTTTCAACTGAAAATCCATTGAGCTTCACACTAACCAAAAAGTGGCGAACACGGGCTTGTGGTCCGACGGGCATGGTCCCCGAATCGAGTCATATTTGATTGATTGAAGCCATTCGGAATTGCGCGCCCAGAATAGCACACGATCCTGCAAATTTCGATTGTTGGTTGTAAGCGTTGGGGGGAATGCGATTACGGTGAACGACGGGATGCGCTTCTTGACGTAGGCGTCGGTGTCGGGCTCGAATTTGTGCGTCGGCGCGAATCGAATCGGCGGCTCGGCGAACTCGGCGAACGCGACGCCTTTGCTGCGCAACGTCGCCAACTCCTCCTCCTCGATGATTCGCTCGATGACGGCGGCGTCGACGGCGTCGGCGTGATGCCAATCGACGGTGTTCTCGACGGTCACGCGAAAATTGAGATCGCCACTCCACAACACGGCGTCCGATGAGAAGATGTCGTCGTTGCCGTGCGCGTGGAACTTCTTCAACGCGGCGAATCGGAGCGTCTTGATGATTTTCGTGTAGTCTTGCACACGTTGTTGCGATGTCGCGTCTGGAATGCTCATCGGAATTCTATGATGGTCCCTATGGTGGTGGGGGGTCTTACGCGAGAGATGGCATCCGATCAGCACTAGCCATCGTTGATAGATTCGAAGGCAGACGGCGATGGCGCCTTTGGTTCGAACCGGCTTCGCCATCGCGCCGGATGGGATAAACGTGACTTGAGGCTCTAAATGATGAACATTCGTGTCCGAGACGCGAGGTGTCGATTTACGAGAGATCTCATAAATCAACACTCGATCGGTTTTGCGCGACGAGACCCCCTGATGGGTCTCTCGACACGAAAATTTGACATACGAATAGCGTAACGGAGATGTTGTTTTCTGATGAAAACGATGCTCATTTGAGCCCACGCTCTATGCGATATGTACAAACTGTGCGAGGTGAACACGGGCTCGAGAATCTTCAACGCGTCCTCGTGGAACATTCTGAACGAACGACAATCATGATGTGTTGGTTTTTGGCGATGATTTTCGATTACGTTGCCGTCGACGGGATCTCCTGAAGCGAAATTGCGACGATGTCGCCGTCGATTTCATCGTAGGCGTCGCGCAATTTGTTGGCGAGATGCTCGAGAATTTTGACGGGCTTCTCATTGATGTTCCACGTGATGCTGGCGACGCGCAATCGGCGATCCGGCATTTTGGCGATGTCCTCGTAGCTCACGATTGGCACGTTGCCGAAGCCGGTGATTTGCGGTCTAGAAGTGAATGCATTCTTCGTTTTTTTTTTGCTTGGGGCTCTATTTTTTTTTTGGATTGTCTTCGCAATTGATGGCATCATTTCGATTTTTTAAAAGAAACATTTGGTTCGCCGAAAAAAATTGTTGAAGAATAAATGCGACGAAAAAGTGTGCATGCACATGCGCGCAAAACTGCACACATTCCTTTTTTCGAGGAAAAAAAATGAAATTAGAATTTTTTGAAGTTTTGCAATTTTTTTTTGGAAAAAAAAATTTAAAATTGCCGGCACATTATTAAAATGTCATGAATAGAGAATTTTTTTATTTATTCAAAAAGCATTCAATAATGATAAAGTCGGACAATTTGTAAAGGTGACATTTCAGTGTTGGAAATCAAAAAAAAAAGTTTTTTTTTACAAATAGGCTGAATAGTGTGCACATACATCCACACAAAATTGCACACATTTGAATGATTATTTTTCTTTTATTTTTGAAAAGGAATTCTCTTTGAAAGAATGCTTAACTTCAAGTTTTTGAAAAAAAAAAAACATTTTAGTTAAAAATCGATAATTGATTAAAATTGGGAGCGCATAATTCAAAAAACCTTAGTTTCTTTAGATGGGACTGCGGAAAATTTGCTAAATGCCCAAAAAAGCAGGGATCTTGGTGCAAGACTAAAATTGTAGATTTATGAGCCCACGTATTAAAGGCGCATCACCAAGATCACTCTTCTTTTTTTTTTCGTCGTACCCGTTATTCGATGAATCGTAACAATAGGTCCAGTTGCCGTCGCTGACCTCCATGACTGAAAATCGAGCATTCGTCCCTCAAGATTGCTGGGTTTTTCGACTCACAACTGCTTCGACGCGTTCCGTTGTTGGCCGACGCCGTCGCCGTCGCCGCCGGCTGCGAGCTCGAGCGGACCCATGGCGGTTGGCGCGAATTGCGCTCGTTGTGCGTCGACGACGATGACGTTGTGGAAATGGCGTTGGGGTGGTCCCCTTCTGGAACATTTTTTTGGCGCATTTCGGAATATTTCTGAGATTGCGCGCAATTTGACGACAAATTGCGGATTATTGAAAACGTCGCGCAAACCCGACTTTCGAATCTCGCGCGCGCGAAAACCAAAGTCCGCAAATTGTCATCTCGGTGTTTGCGGACTTGTTGACAATTTATTCGACATTGAAATTAAAATTGAGACGAGAAAATTTGCGGACAAATTTGATTGTCTGCAAATTCGCGTGGCAGTGTTTGCGGAATTCCCCCTCCCCCCAAAACCGAAACAAATTTTGCTAGTGCGTTGGCCGTGATTTGGCGACACTGTGTGTTGCGGAAATTATTATTGTTTGTTTCAAAAGTCCGCAAAAAGACGGACCATCAATTAGCATATCTCATTGAGAAATTTGAATTGTATTTGGAATGTTTCGAAAAAAAATTGTAGGGACAAAATGGAAAAAATATGTATTGGCGGCGGCCGAAACGACGAAAAAAAAAAACGATATTGAGGCCGGCGGCGACGGAATCGCAATAAAAGAAAATTTTTTTTGATTGAAATTAAATCGAAAAATTTATGAGGGTCACGATGAGAGCCGAAAAAAAAATGAACGAGCGCAAAATTGATTTTTTTCTTTTCGTGTGTGGCATTGAAACTGAAAAGTAAACATGATGCAAACAAACACGATATTAGGAATGTATTTTTTCCATGTTTTTGGTCCAAATTTCGGCCAGGTGTAACGACGCCCTTTTTCCGATGTCTGTTCGCTGCGCTCTCGCCGCTTCGCGCACTATCTCGACCGGTTGTCGCCGTTTCTCAACCGAGCCTAACTATGTGAATGCTTGGGTGCTGTTTGGTTGGCCGCGCGCTAGTTGAAATATTTTACGGCGTTGCTAAGCGATATCGATAGAGCGGGGTTGGGGGAAGGTCCCCTAATTGAGGCATTTTGGGATATCGAAAATTGGAAAAACATTTTTGAGGCGTTTTTTTTGCGGTTTCGATGAGGAAGTTGATGAAAATATATGTTTTTTTTTTGAAACAAGTTTCTAATATGTAATCATTTCTGAAAATTCGTCAGATTCTCGAGCAGCTGATTTTTGCGAGAATTTCGGTGAAGGCGAAATTATTGGAATTTTTCGACTATAATTTCTAATTTAGATTATTTTTGGGAATTTTTCGAGAGCCGCATTTTTTTTTTGAGGTTTTTTCTTGTCAAAAAAAAAAAATTCAAAATTGTCCGCAGATTAAAAAGGGCCATGTTTGATGCGTGAGAGAAAAGTCGCATTTCTTCGTCATCATTTATTTCCGCTCGCAACAATTGGACATAATCGGCTAGAGACGATGTAATCCCATAATTGGTATTCAAAATCTTAGCCAGCGAATCCGATTTGGGGCGTTTCTTGTTTATCTTGGCCTCGATGAGTGTCCGCAGATGAAAATTGTAATATGATTTGGACGATTCGAAGTTTAGAGACACCTATTGGAAGAGCATTTTGAGAACGTTTTTCGCGATAATTTTTTTGAAATTTTATTTTTAAATGAAATCCTTTTCTAAATTTTGAAAAAATGTTCATCGCTGTTGAATATTTCGAGGATGGATTTCCGATATGCGCCTTTAAACATCAACATTAATCGTTGCTTGAAAAAAATTTTCTAAAAATATTTATTTTCGTTAAATTTCGCTATTAGAGACTGCAAAAGCATGATAATGAGAGGTTTTTCTTGTCTCGGCTTCACCGATGTTATGGTTTGGATTACTGTAAGCTGGACTTTGGTAACATGTGATATTGTTACAGTAATCCATCCAAATTATCCTGTTACTGTAGGAGATGTTTGAAATTCGATAGAAGGATTTGAGTTCGAACGAGAGCTTCAAAAAAGCCCATAATTTTTGATTGGATATTTTTTTTTATAGGGAAAATCAAATTTTCCGAAAGTCTTTAAAATTCTTTTAAGCAATTTTAAACGAATTTTTTTTAATGGGTTCTCGAAACGAATGATACTGTAGCAGTTGTTTCTGGTTGGAGTCTGACGTTGACACTCTTTGGATAATCTTTACCGGCCAACATATTTGCAACTAGTGTTACAGTATGGTTACTGTAGAAAGTGCACGTTTGAAGCACAATTTTCCCCGTCCTAAAATATATTCCGAAAAAAAAAAAATCAATTTTGTTTTTGACGGAAATTTCGTTGACACGAAATTTCCGGTGCTCGACGAACAGCAGAAAAATTCCTTTTTTTTTTTCTTGGGACATGTTTCGTTTGCGTTTTTTTCCCATATTTGATATGCATGAGTATTCGATTAGGCTAAGTAGATGAGACGGCGAGCATCTGGGAATCATCTGGAGTGAAAGTGCAAAAAATGGGAGAGTTTTGACGAGAATTGTCAATATTTCGAGAAAAAATGTCGGATTTTTGCGGGTTTTCCTTAAATACCCTCCATTTTTTGCCTGCGAAACATTGGATTTTTGAGTGCAATTGACCTTTTATGGCGCAAAAGTAGAAAATAATGTTTTTCGGCAATTTTTTAAATTCGAACATGTTTTTTTTTGGAATTTCGAAAATAAAATCAATTGATAACTTTTTTAAGTGGAAATAAATGAATTGAAATGGAAATTGACTAAAATTTATAAAAAAATGCAATGATCGAAAAAAAAATGAGAAGGGATTAATTTTTTCCAACTTTTGGGATTTATTTGCTCGAAACAATCGATTTTTTGGAAGTCTTTTTAAATTTCGGAAATTTCATTTTTTACTGGTAAAATTAAAAAAAATTATTTAGAATTATAAAAAATGTTTAGTTTTATTTGGCGAAAATGTGCTATTGTGCTTTTTTTTTAGAAAATTTTTGAGCCGTGAAAATTAGGTTTCAAGAAAATTATATGAGGTGATTTTGTTCAAGAAATGTTCAATTTAAATCCTTTCAATGAATAAATTTGAATTTTTATGAAAATTGCGCGGTGCCGCATGAAAATCGTTAATTTTCGTGAAATTTATAAAATTTTATTAGGAATTTTCTTTGAAAATGAAAAACTTGAAAAAATCGGTAAAACTAGATGTAAATTTCGAAAAAAAACTAATTTTAACAATTCATTTTTTTAAGTGCAGAGAAAATTAAAAAAAAAATTACTAAAAGGAGAAAGTTTCTACATTTTTTCTTTCAAAATAAAATTTGCGACGATTTTTGTATCAAAAAATTTGCCATTTTTTTTAAATTTAATGACCCCTTTCTTTTTTTCTGAAAATTTTCAAGAGTGACTCACCGATTGTATAACTCCTCAACAATAATTTGCGAATCATGATAATAACAAATCGAGCCCCTTTTGATAATGAGCAACTCTTCTGGAGTCTAGCGAATGATTCGTTTGGGTGATGCCCACCGCCTTCTCCTAATTTCCATTCTTTCTCTTCTTCTCCGTCGGCTTTTCCTTCGTCGGCTCCGCCCACTTGTTCTTATCTTGAGCTTCGCGACTACCTTTCGCCTTCGTCTTCGTCTTCTTTATTGAGTTGTATGTGTGTGTGGTTTTTTCTTCGCTTTGAGAGTGCTGGACCTGCATAATTTATTGCTGAGAGGTTCTTTTTTTCCCCGTCATTGGTGAGGAGACGAGAAAAAAATTGAGAAAATGGGATTTTCCGGTGATTTTTTTCTTGACGGGACTCGCACGAATTCTATCATGAAAAACGAAATTTTTAGTAGTTTTGGTGATATTTTGATTGAAAATCGCGCAAGTTTTGAGATTTTGATGAATTGTTTTTTTTTCGGTATGAAAATTTCCCGAAATTTCGTAATTTTTCGAATAATCATCATGAAAAATAATAATAATACAAATTTCTAATGAATTGCCGATTTTGGTGAAAAAAATGAAGAGATTTACTAATTAAAAACAAGTTAATTGATTAATTAGCTGTTAATTGCTTGAAAATTATGAAAAATAAATTTTTTGAAGTTTTGGTGGTAAATCGGAAAAAAAAATGGAGAAGCTGACGAGTCAGTTAGCATTTAAATGAGGGTTTTGACAGATTCGCTACCCCCTTTTTTTAGTAACCATGGAAACTGGAAAAAAGATAAAATTTTTGAATAGAGGAAGATGCGACGTCGAAAATGGACAAATCGAGCACTTCTGGCACGATTTTTGAGCGAAAATTTGCAGAAAACGCTGCTGAAATTGAAATTGCCGGGTTTTTTTGTGAAAAATTTCGCGATTCTCGCCTTCAAAAATGTCGATTATTCCCGAAATTTGCTATTTCGATGGTGATTATCGTGATTTTCACACGCGAAACCTTCACTATCTCATTTTCAAGCGCGAAATTCGTCATTCGTCGTTTTTTTTTTCTCGTTGCTCGACACGGCTCATTTTATGATCGAAAATTGGCATTTTATTTTTTGGTTGGTGTCCCATCGAAAATTGGACGTTCTCGAAATTGATGGGACCCATTTCGCCAAAAATATCCGAAAATGGGAGCGATGACGCGGGACTATGGCTCGCTTTTGCCATCTGCGGACAATTTGCGAATTCGAAAATTGAAATTTGTCCGCAGATGGGTTTCATGATAGGTTTTGCGAGTAGCTATCATTTGCTCATTTAATTAGTTCCTTAATTTGTTGTCTGGAATGAAAAAACCATTTTTGAATGTTCTTGAATAGAATTCTTTGTGAGACCGCTATCATTGGACTACGGTAACAGTTGTTTTCCTAAGCTTCAGACGATCAATAAAGATTGGCAAAAAAAAAACAAAAATTTTGATTTAGCTCAAAAGAAATTGATTTGCAGGAGCTCGATATGGGCCATCGTTGATGCCGGGCGGCAATCCGGAAGCGTGGCCGCACATCAAAGACATCTTCCAGTCGATCGCCGCGAAATCGGACGGCGAGGCGTGCTGCGATTGGGTCGGCCGCGCCGGCTCGGGACATTTCGTGAAAATGGTGCACAACGGCATCGAGTACGGCGACATGCAGCTGATCGCCGAGGCCTATCATTTGATGTTGAAAGGCGTCGGTTTGAGTCACGATCAGATGGCCGAGGTGCTCGAGGACTGGAACAAAGGCGAACTCGGTTCGTTCCTCATCGAGATCACCGCCAACATTCTCAAGAATCGCGACGAGACCGGTCAGCCGATTGTGCCGAAAATTCGCGATTCGGCCGGACAGAAGGGCACCGGCAAATGGACGGGAATTGCCGCTCTCGATTACGGGGTGCCGGTCACCCTAATTGGTAGGCTTAATTGCGCTTAATTGGGCTCACACGCACGTAATCTTGGAAGAAAAGTTTTGAGACGTTCTCTTATTGGTCTGAAAAATATTTTCGACAAAATTTATTTTTTATTAGTTAATTTTTTTTCACCGAATTTTGTCGCCAAATTGCTACAAATTTCGATTTCTGAAGACATAATTTTTTTGGATTTGAAAGAAATGAGACATTTTTTTTTATTGAACACAAAAAATTAGAGATTATTAATTTTTTTTTGTTAAAATTGAATTTTTAAATAGTATTGGTAAAACTTTGAAAAAAAAAATTGGCGAAATGCTTTTTTTTTCTAAAAGTTTTTAAAGCTTTTAACTGCGCTATGCAGATTTTGAGCAAACTCAAATGAAAGCAAATAAAATCCTAAAATTGTGGAATTTTCTTTTTTTTTTTATAATAAAAAAGCAATTTTTTGGTTGTAGAGAATGGGATTTGAAATGAATTTTTATAGATTATTGATTTAAAATTGAATTTTTTAAAATGATACTCATTAAACTTTAAAAAACTGTATAGATGTAAATTCGCTGAGCATTTTTCGAGGGGTTAATGACACAATGGCAATTTTGGAGGGAAAAATTCAAAAATTACGGAAAAACTACGCTTGACTTTGGATTTTTTTCGCTCAAATCGAAATATAAGCTTGAAAAAATGCCGAAATTGATTGAAGAATTATTTGCAGGAGAAGCTGTGTTCGCGCGTTGCTTGTCATCGATCAAGGATGAGCGTGTGCGCGCCGCCGGCGAGTATTCGCGTGCCGCCGCTAATCCGGAATCGGTTATTCAGGATAAGCGCGAATTCATCAAGCATATCAGCAAGGTTTTGGCAAATTATTATTTTTTCGCCGTAAAAATGAATGAAAAAGAAAATGTTCTAGGCTTTATACGCTTCGAAAATTGTGAGCTACGCGCAAGGCTTCATGCTTCTCGCTGAAGCGAGCCGCCAATTCAAATGGGATCTGAATTTTGGCGCGATTGCGCTCATGTGGAGAGGCGGCTGCATTATTCGATCGCGATTCCTCGGCGACATCAAGAGAGCGTTTGATGTGAACAAGAGCCTCTCGAATTTGCTGCTTGACGCGTTCTTCAAAAAAGCGATTTTGGATTGTGAAGTGAGACCTTTTTTTTTGATTGTTTGTTTTTTGAGGGGGAAATTGTGAGCTGAAAATTCTCAAATGATGATTAATGCAGACAAAATTGCAAAAGAAAAATTTTTTCAAGAAAAAAAACCGACAGCAATTGGCGTGGAATCGAATTTTTTTTTTCAAAATTGAAGAAAATTATAGCCATTTGCAGAAAATTCGTTTTTAAATTGAGAATGATAAAAATTGTTATTTTTTTAAATCTGAAAATGCGTTTTTTTCCATTGAATTGGTTTATTGAGATGAGAAAACAAATATTTGGGATGTTTTTAAAAATTTTTTCTGTTAGTTGCTGAAATCGACCAAAATTGACGGTGAATTTGAGTTTTAAGGCAATATTTTGATGAAAATTGCAATGCAATCTCAAAAATTGTTGAAAAATGAGCGAAATTTCTCAAAATATTGCCATTTTTTTTGGTGCCTCACTTCGTGAAATTGACTACAATTCCGGAATTTGATGAAAAATGACGACGAAAATGTCTTCATGCGCCTTTAATGTAATTTTTTGAGTATGTTTGATGAACACAATCAACTCCTCATTGAGCAATCGACCAAATTGTCTGTCCCAAATTTTTTGCTCCAATTTTGATGGTCCAAATGGGGCCGCCACTCTCGCTGGTAGTTTTTGGGACCCGCCAAACTCACGCGGCCTTCTCCTCGAAATTATCAATGTCTTAATGATGCGAATTATTGTGAACGTCTTTAATAAAACGATCATCTGCGGACAATTTGAGATGGGTCGAAAATGTCCGCAGAAGCGAATTTATACGAAATTCCAATGAATTTGAGAAGACGAATTGTTTCTTGATTGCAGAACTCGTGGCGCGAGGTCGTCTGCGCGGCGGTTCGCCTTCGCATTCCGACGCCGGCTCTCTCATCGGCGTTGGCGTTCTTCGATGGATACACGACCGAGGTTCGTCGTTGGTTGGATGACTTATCAATTTTGCGTTTTGCACTTGAACATAGTGTGTTTACCAAAAAAAAAAATGAAAAAAAAGTGCAATTCCGAAGCGAAATGAAATATGGCAAGAATTTGGCGAATAAAAAGTGTTGTATTCATGCAGAAATATCGGTTTTTTGCAATTTTTGATCAGAAAAATGGATGAAAATGAGAAAAATTTGGGTTCTGAAACGAAAGTTTGAAATTTTGGATGGAATCGAATTTAATTAGATTTTTAGAATTTGGGATTTAGCTTAAAAAAGTGTATAATACGGCATTTAAAGGCACATGAGCGAAAATCGAATTTTTTTTGGATTTTTCTCTTTTTTTCTTCATCAAATTTTTATTTTCAGGTTCTCCCTGCGAATATGATCCAGGCTCAGCGTGACTATTTCGGAGCACACACTTATGAGCTTCTCGCGAATCCGGGCACATGGATCCACACGAACTGGACCGGACACGGCGGACGAGTCACCTCGCGCACCTACAACGCTTAAAGGCGCACAGTATACTCATAATCGATATATTTATATAAGTTATTAGATTTTTCGTTTTGGCGGACTTCAATTGTGATAGATTCAAAAATAAATTGATTTGAATTTTTTTTGGCGCCATTTTGTGCGATGGAGCGCGTTTGGAGCTAATTTCGAGTTTCTCCATTTTTTTCTATTAGTTCCCGTATAGATCAATTAATAAATTGCATAATTAAGAGAATTGTTGGGATCGGAACATTATTGCGGCTGAGGACCATTGAAAAATAGAATGGTCCCTTTAAACGTCAGAATTTAATAATCGATGATCATTTTTTATTGGAATTGCAATTTTTTTTGTTTTTTTTTTTTCGACAGTATGACCCGTCTCAGTCACAAATTATGCAAAAAATCGCATAAAATTGCACAAACACACAAAAATTGGGTAAAACATGAGTGGGGGGATTGATGGTCCTCAAAAATTGAGGTGTCGATGCCCGAAACAATTTGAGGGGGCAAAATGTCAGATTTCGGCGGGAGACAACGTCTCGCCGATGTCTTGGTGGCCGTTTAAAGCTTGTTCGTTCAATACATAAGAGATGGATGGAGGGGGGGGGTCCGATGCGATCTACTCGCTGAGGTCCGGCGAGCTGATGGTACGTCGAAGGGATTTCTGGCGCGCTTGTGTCGCGTGTCGCATCGAGTTGCGCATTTTTCGCTCCCATTCGGCGTCGCGAATCACCGACGCCACGTCATCGATGAATCCGCTCGTCGTCGTCGTCGTCGGCTTCTTTTTGTCGTCGAGCGTCTCGACGGTCTTCTCGCTTCCCGTGTCCTCGTCGCTGATTTTGTGAGTGTACGCGAATCTGGAAGTTTTTTTGGTTTGGGTTTTTGTCGTTTTCAATTTTCGTTGCGAGATCCCCGCTGGATTACTGTAGTAGACCTACGAGATTCGTTTTGAGGGCTGTGGTGGAGGATTTCGCTATGAGACCAAAACTCGAATTTTGCAACAAAAAAAAAGCGTGGCGAGACCTTGTTGTGGATTTACCAGAAGCGCTGGATTACTGTAGCTATTCGCTTGGTGGGGACCCTTCACAAAAAAAATCACAACGAGACCTAGGTCGTGGGTCTCAAAGCTAAGGGGAATCTAGAATTGAGCTTCAATGAGAGAAGCCCTGGATTACTGTAGCTATTCGCTTAGGGACCCTCCACAAAAATCAAAAAGCACTCACTGGTCTTTGCTCGGCAAATTGAGAATGACATTCTCGAGCTCCTCGGCGACCGTCGACACGTTCATCTTGATCTTCTGCGACCATCGTTGCGCCCGATTCAGCTTCTTCGCGTCGCCGTCGCCAAGCTCGGCGACGATCTCCTTGGCATCATCGACCTTCTCATTCTTCAGCCACATCCACACGCGAATGATCGGCGCGCGTTGGCCGGGCTTTCTCGGCAACACGACGAACAGCATGAGCTGAATGAAGGCGAGCAGCGAGCCGACGCCGTTGGGGAAGATGAGGTAGAAGTCGTTCTTGAGGAGACCGTAGAGGAACCACTCGGACGACACCATGAAATTGGCGATGCACAACGGAAGGGGAAGCGTCGAGGTGGCGCAACGACGGATGACGACGCGAAGGCCGGCGAGCGGCGCGGCGAAATCGGCGATGTTCAGCGTGAGGCACACGATGCCCAACGGATGGAATATGCGCATTCCGAGGAACTGAACGGCGAGAATGAGAGTGGCGCAGATGGCGACGACGCCGGCGATCTGAACGCTGATCCAGAACTTCTTTTGCGTCATGAGCCAGTAGAAGACGGTGTAGGACGAGTAGAGGATCACCTGGCAGCCGGTCACCCATTTCACGGTGCCGTCGTTTTTCAGCCAACCGTACGTCATCCAGCAGCATCCGCTGAAATCAATCGAATCAATTTTGGCGGGCAATGATTGGTGTGATCGCTTACCCAACGACGCCCATCAAGAATGGCGCGCCGGAGATCTCGGCGGTGTCTTTGCGCTTCCAAATCTGACGGCATATCGGCATTCCGCAAAAGAACAAACCGACGGTGGTGAAGAAGGCGAGAATCGAGAGCAGATTGAGGAACGAGAAGCCTTGGGTGAAGATCTCGAACATGATGGGGGGCTTGCGATGGTCCCTAGTGAGTTTGAGAAATTGAAAACGAGTTGGACGGGAGATTGGAGGACAGCGAATACGACGACCGCTTTTGTACCAACACCACAACCAACGCGATGTTGATGATGATGACGATGTTGTTGGCCATATAAGGCGGCGTGGCCACGCCCACTTTATGTGTCTCTTCACGCTCAACACACACACAAAGAGAAGGAGAGAGAGAGAGAGATTCACAGAGGAGAGGGAGGAAGGAGGAGGAGGAAGAGGAGGAGGTGTTGCTCTTAAGAAAATTGGCAACGATTTATTAGTCATCAGACGATTATGACCTCCTCGATGTGACCCGCCATCGTCGTCGTCGAAATTTCGAGACTCGGCTCGAGAGCTCTCGATTGATCTATCAACGAGCCATTTCACTTTGCACTTTGCTCAGAGCTCGCAGCTTACTGTAGCGTTGACTAGGATTGGCTTCTAGAATTTCGGGATGGCGTCAAGTATAGGCAGACATTGAATGGTATGAACATTGTGGAGGGGGGCTCCTACCGCGAATCAATTAACTAGTTCGACGCGCCTTTAAACAACGACAAATTGTGGTAGATCAGAGTTCGAATCGAACGATGCTTAGAACTCGTTTCTCTCTATCAATCTCTTTTCTTCTCAATATCATACTAAACTACTGGAAACAATTGGGTACCATTGTTATATATATATATATATGGCAAGAAGGCTGATGAATGACGAGACGAGACGAACTGATAATGACACAGCAACGCCAAAAACGACCTTATTATTATTATTATTATATATGATAGTGGGTAATCAGAAGACGGTGAGCAAATACATGTCCAGGATATTTATTTGATGCACTTTTTTTTTGAAATTGGGAGTTGCGAAATATTGATGGTCCCTAGAATTTTTGCATTTTATATTGCCTAGTTGACTGTAGGAGATACTGTAGGATTCATTTTTATTTGGACAATTCCTAATTGGCGTTCAGTGGGCCTTTTGTTGCCTTCCGGCGATCCATGACGTTCCAGATCATTCGTCATGATGAGTCCGCTCCGCCATGACAATCACAAGTTCGGTTCCAGTCGGCTTGAAATTTTTCTTTATTTTTTTTTCAGCAAAAGAAAAATCCCGCAAGGCGTTTTGTGTAAAATGGCGTCGTGCCAAAGCGGCACGTGAACCACGACCGGCGACGATTCACATGAAGGACGCGTCGGAGGAGGGGGGGTCCGAATTTGGCGAAGGCTTTCGGCGTCGTTGACATGCGACGCGCGCGCGATAAATCGGGTGAATGACACCCACCGGGTTCAATATTGCTAATCAATTTCACACTGACAATAATTAGAGGGACCATCGAATGTTTATTTTCGGCGAGGCACATAATTCAAGCTCGTTTTTACGAGGGTGATATAGTCGCAAAAAAGCCGCGAGCACTTTCAGTTTGATTCGCAGGTACGGTATTGATTTCAGTTCAACAATTTGAATTGCCCCCACGGTCCCCACTATGGGTCTCGCAACGCGAGTCAACCGATGTATTCTCCGTGTGGAGTACACAACACGTCGATTTCATGCAATCTAGAACAGCTGACTACAGTAATCCGGTGTGAAGTCTCGCAGCATCCAAAAATGATTGCCTCACAGTAATTCATGATCACACAGCTGAAACGTGTTCTACAGTAATCCGGACACCTGGAAGTAATTCTTTGCGCTATGTTGTTTTCATTGGCCGTTTTAGAAAATATTCTAGAAACTTGAACTTCCTTGTAGCGCTGCAACGAGTGCTACAGTAGGACGGTGTCACCGTAATCGCTCACCAACGAGTGTTTCGACGCAAAAAACCATTTTCGCTGAAATCGACGAATTCGGTCAATTTCGGCCGGCGTTTCGGTCAAGCCCAAAAAACGTTCAGTCATGCGAATTCCTGGTACGAATTGGCCGAAATTGGAAGGTTCATCGGGTGCAGGCGAGCGATTCGCGAGATGCTTCAACCATTGGCAAATCGAAATGATGTCATCGAGAGACACGTGAAGTTGAACGTCGGCGAAATTTCGAGACGATGATTGGCACGTGAAGAACAACGTTGACCCAGTTATGATATAGGGGGGGAGGGGCTTAAAGGCGCATACAGAATCTTTGAAGCTCAATTCTAGATTCCTCCTTCACTTCGAGACCCACGACCTAGGTCTCGTTGTAGGGCCCCAACCGAATCACTACAGTAATCCACGGCTTCTAATAAATCCACAACAAGGACAAGAATGAAGTGCTTTTCCATTGTTCGTTTTTTGTGAAGGGTCCCCAAGCGAATAGCTACAGTAATCCAGTGCTTCTGGTAAATCAACAAATTGGAATTGCTAAAACGAGAGACAAACAATCACCTCGATGTTCGGTCCGAATTCAATCATCGCAATTCGTTTGCTAAGAATCAGCCGATTGATCGATTGTTCGCTGACGTCGAATGGACTTGTGTGCGACTATTTGGCTGATCACACAACAAAACAGGCAGTTGTCAAATTGTCGATGTTGGCGTTTTCTGAGCGAACACCATATATGTATTTATACATACATGTGTGTTTTTCCTAATCGGGACAACACACATTCGTAAGGCAGACAATCGGGCATATCAAACCGCCAAAATAGATAATGGATGACACTTGTTGCGAATATGGGCAAGCGATGACTGAATGGGTCTATCAGGCTTCTTTTTTTCTTATTGGGGGTCTTGAAGGGAAAACCTTGAACGAAAAGCGTGCGCCTTTAAAGGCTCATCACCAAAATTCCGCAATTTGGCGTAGAATTCAAAAATTCAGAATGTGTGCATTATGTCGTCAAATTCGACGAATTTTCACAAAATTGAGTTAATCTAAAAGCAGGCATCATATCTGACGACCGATTGCACAGAATCGCGTTTCATTGTGATCTACCGCGGCTCGTCAATCATCGTCAGAATCGGACGCTCAATCTCGTATTGTCGATCGATCTGTCGTCGACAAACTTACTCTACTAGGTCAAAATTCGGTCAACTCTCCCCTTTTTTTTCGTTGTCGCCCTTATCAGTCAAGGTCGTTTCGGTGCAAACGCATAAATGGCGCAATGGTGTTTGGGTGCAATTGCACCCAAACACATTCGACTAGTTGCTATCAATGTAGGACGGCAAATTGCGACTTCGAGGGACCATTTCGATTATGCTCAGAAAATTGCACTATGTCAATTAAGAATCATTTCCAGTTGCCGACAATCATCGAGACGATGGTCCATTTCAAAAGTGTAGTGCGGAAATTTGAATGGTCCCGATGCCAGGAAGAAGATTTTCGCGATCAAGTCAAAAAATAAATCGGCTAGGGTGTACCAAAAGATCAAGAATCTTGGTGATTCGTTGAGATCTCAATCGAAGGCGTTGCCCTCGCTATTTTTTTTTGGACGACTTCGGATTCATCCTCTTTGATATCCAACGCATTCAGGATCAATTATTGTCCGTCAAACTGGCCGTCACATTCGATGGGTGAGTCGAAATTTAATTCATCGAAATCGATCTGCGGACAATTTTGAAAGCAAAACGACGACGATTCGAGAAACAACTTTCAAAAGTCATTGTCCAAATTGAGCCAATGAGTGACATATATTTTGGAATCGCCCAAAATTGGGGCGAATTATCGGTTTCATAGGCGATACGGTAGGATGCATTGTATTTGACGTAAAATTGCGGACATTCAAAATCAGCTTTATCGTGAATTTTTCCGCAATATTGCGTCAACGCATTAAAAAAGTCATACTGTAGTTTGCATTACATTTCACGTACAATTGCGGACTTATTTTGTTTTTAATCTCCACACACGATTTCTGAAATTTTACGAAACGCTGACTCTCTTGGTCTATGCGCAGAATTCCACGCAAAATTGCGGTCTCGCTCGGATTACTGTATAAAAAGAGCAAACAAATTTCGATGATTTTTGGATTTCAGTCGTCGGCCTGTACATATCAAAAATTGAGCCAATTCGACGTGTCCATTAAAAATCGGCTACCGTAAACGGCGATTGGTGGTAATTTGGGTGAAAATTTCGACCAATTTTCGCATATGTTTATTTTTATTGACACGAAAAAATCGGAAAATTATTACGGGGCGGCCGGCCGGGCGGGGGGCAATTTTTTCTTAAAGCGGATATGAGAGATCAATAGAGACGGGGGGTTGGGGCATCTATGTACATATTTTGGAAGAGGGGGTCCGAGCTTCGATCGAGCTATTCGGGAACCTCGAGATTCTTCAGAATGTAGTACTGATCGCCGGCTGTCAGCTCTTTGATTTCCATATGTGTATAATTTTTGTAGATCTGAACATGATTGATTAGGATGGTCCCTTCGCGGTTCACTCGACCTTGTTGCCTTGTGAGAATGGGATTTCGCTTGTCGGACGACCCCACACCATGTTCTCCCAGCCAATTAGAAGATCACCTGCAATTAGTGAGACTAATTAAGGGCAATTATGTTTCTTTGGAAATATAATTTGAATTTTGGAATCGAATTTTTCACTTTTGGATTTAAGCTAATTAGAGCTTCTTAATTTTGAAAAATTATCTTCGTGCTGATTTTAAATGCTAATTAGGGTAATTAACGATAATTACATATCGGAAGGATTCTAGGTGGATATGGTCTCTCATTATTAATTTTTAAATTAAAAAAAAAGTTTGTATCGCTAATTATAGTAATTAAGGGAAAATGGTAATCTGCAGCCACTCATTTCTTTGTTTTCAAATGCTAATTAACGATAATTAAGAGTAATTTGAGAGGCACAAAATTTTTAGCCGTCATTTTTTGCGAAAAACGTGCTGCGGACAAATTCCGGGAAAAAAAACTGCGCGAAGCCTCGCTTAATCGGGTATTTATCGAATTTTGAATAATAATTAAAACCAATTGTGTCTTCGTAATGAAATTTTATGGTGCAAAGGGTCACGGGATCGACCCCACCCCACGCCGATTAATTTTTGCAATATTTATTTTATAGTTTCTTAACAAAAAAAAAATTGCATTTTGTCAAATTTCTGCCTTTTAATGGTCATTTTTTTGGCTATGAATAGCCGCTTTCGGACCACTTCGAGTTTATTTTATGGATTTCGGCTCCTTAGTAACTCGACTGGCTCACGTTATGAGGAATTTCCTGCAGATTATTATTATTATTATTATTTCGGATCTCAAGCCGAACTACAGTAATCCAAATGCCACGTGTTTGTCAGGAGACACTTTGAAAGCCATTCGTCTCAATTGAATATCGGCATTGTGTCAACTACAGTAACCCAAGGCCCACACTCATAGTAAAGAGGGTCTGAGCTCGGTTTTACTTTCACTCCACATGCTGAACACCGCCTCGGCGGGCTTCTGCTTATTGTTGTTCATGTCCATGAGGAATCGCGAGTAGTGTGGTCCGTTGCACGGCGCCGCTTGCGGGTACTCGCCGCACAGGCTCGACGAGCGATCGTCGGCGCACGTCTCGCCGGGCCAAAGACCGTTCTGTGCAACAGGGCGATGATTGAATCGAGAGTGAGAGAGCGGTACCTGCGAGTTGCACGTCGGCCAGATGAGGCCCTCGCCGTGGCCGACGCAATTGCAGAGGCCGTAGTTGGCGCCGGCGATGCCGATGAGCACTCGGATGCGATGATTCAACGGTTTGCCGATGTTGCATGAGCCTTGAAAATCGAATTCGAATGATTATTGAAAAGGTTTAAAGGGTCCGGTTTCACGTACCATCAGCGGCGGCGATGAATCCGCCTTGAATCACTTTTCGCGCCAACGTCACGCCCATCGAATGCGAGAGGATGTCGATTTTTGGCGATCGCGTGTACTCGAGAACCGATTCGACGAATTTGCGCAGCCGGTACACGGTGACACAATCATGGTCCCTAGAACGAACCGATGAGAATTGGTGGCGCAAATTTTTGAGAGTCGAAAGGGAATCTAGCGAATTGATTCGAGACAGTCTAAAGGGTCCGAGCGACCAATACACAATCGCACACATGGAGCTAATCGGTCATCGCCGAGGCGAGGCGAACCCCTGTTTTGATCACGGGTTCTGATGTTCTCCATTCCGACCGCCCCATTGATGCTTATCTGCTGTGTGGCTTGGTCCATCCCCCCCTCACGATAATCATATTTGGTCTTGTGTGTTTTGGTGGACGCCTATTTGTGTGTGTTCTCTCGCGATCATCATACTCGACACCCACTGCCTAATTCACCATCTCGCTTCGGGGGGGGGGGGGGGTCATATCTCATCCCCCCATTCGCTTCTCACTCATTTGGTTACCAATTACGGTAGATCGTTCGTTCCAACCCGAAAATTTCTATCCCGTGTGTTCTCAGAGTTCATTTTCTACTCGTTTTCAAATCTTGATCTGATCTATTTCGCGCCCCATTCTGTCTCATTCATTTCGTCGAATTTTCCTCAATTTTGCCCTACCCTCTCAAACCCATTGCTCTATACCTCCTTGATATATTTTCAATGGTCCCTAGAGGCAAGGAGGGCAGAGCTTCATTTTTTCGCTTGGTCCTATGAGCACTTTAATACCCACCCTCACCACCCGGAAATCGGTGTTTCCGGCCTCCGGACCATTATTATCGTCTCACATGTGTATGTGTAAAAAACTGCCCCCCTAGAAAGTTCGCCGATTTCAATGGTCCCGCAAAGTTCAATGGCTTCTAGCGAAACTAAATAGACGGTGCGGGTCCCGATGAGGAATTGGTGTCATTAAGATGGTCCCCCCTCGATACCTGAATATCGCCTGCGTTGTGTTGGTGTCGCCCCACGACGTCGCATACAAGTCGGCCATCGTGTATCCTTTGCCGAGCAAATACTGCAAATTCAAATTCAAAGGATTACGGTAGCTCTTGTTTATTGGGGTCCCGACGCTTTTTCTCTAAAATTGATGATTGCCGGGGGGGGTCCGCCAAAAAAAAAACAGTTGGCCTGCATCGAATATTATTAATTAGGTTCGTTCGACGACGCCCCGATGACATTTCCAATTATTTTTTCCCCTGATGACTACCGTATTATGGAGCTTTTGACCCCCGCCCCCCTCTCCAAAAAAAGTAATGGTCCGCAATTTCTCGTAGATTAAAGGGAGGTGGCATTTCAGAAATTTTTTCTTTTCAAATCAATTTATCGCGTACGCAATTTGTCGTCAATTAATGCGATTTCAATTTTCGAGTTTTAAAACATTTGCGATTCGTTTCGAATTTCCAAAGTCCGCAATTTGTCGTCATCACATTAGACTTGGATTACTGTAGTATACCTTCACCGTATTCGTCCATCCCGTCGAGAAATTGTTGGCGGTGAGCGCCGCGTCCGAATTGCCATGAAAGAACACGATTGGCACGTTGGGCGACATGTTCGGGTCCTGCAACGCATCCATCGTTGGACTACGGTAGCACTAGTTGGCGAAACGTACCCAATCGCTCAGTTTGCCGCCGAAACTCCCATAATCGTCCATATCATCTCGCGGGAATTCGAAATTCTCGTAGCCGTTGCTAAAAAAAAGCAAAAAGTTGCACAAAAAAAAATCGGGATGCGCCTTTAAAAAACCTGTTAAGCCATTGCTCGAAATGCGGTGTGATTGGTCCAAATTGTTTGGCGCTAATTAGGCTAATTAGGCTGGCAATGAGTGGAACGAGCTTCTGCATTGGTTTTGACGATCTTTAATATTATTATTATTAAAATTTGGCTCTTAAATACCATTATATAAGCCACACCCATTTATGGGGGGGGTTCTTTTTTTTCGGGAATTGCATAGTAGAAGAATTAATAAAGGATGAAGGCGGACGATTTGCGACGGGTTCAGAACACAACAGAGATCGAGCCTTTTTTTTGAATGCAAATTGGTGGTTTGGGCGTAACCCCGATAAATGTCCGCATATGGATTTTATCAAGTTTTGAGGTTTGAAATTGTCCGCAGATTCATTTTTTTCATATGAAATTGGTAGTTTTGATAGTTAGAGCATAACCTGGGAATTGTCCGCAGATTCCTATTTTCATTAGAAATTGCTAGTTTTGATATTTGGAGCGAAACTCCGATAAATGTCCGCATATAGGTTTTATCAAGTTTTGAGGTTTGAAATTGTCCGCAGACTCGTTTTCCTATAATGAATTTCTGTTATTTGTAGATTTTTGGCGAAAAACCAATAAAAATAAGATTTTTTGCGCAATTTGCGTAGGGTTTTTCTTTTGATAATTTTTTGAGTTTTTTTTTGTGAAATCTCTGTGAATTGTCCGCAGATAGAAAATGTTTTTAGCCCGAAAATTGTCCGCAGATAGAATAGGTTTTTTAGCCCGAAAATTGTCCGCAGATAGAATAGGTTTTCTAGCCCGAAAATTGTCCGCAGATAGAAAATGTTTTTAGCCCGAAAATTGTCCGCAGATAGAATAGGTTTTTTAGCCCGAAAATTGTCCGCAGATAGAAAATGTTTTTAGCCCGAAAATTGTCCGCAGATAGAATAGGGTTTAGCCCGAAAATTGTCCGCAGATGGAAAATGTTTTTAGCCCGAAAATTGTCCGCAGATAGAATAGGTTTTTTAGCCCGAAAATTGTCCGCAGATAGAATAGGTTTTCTAGCCCGAAAATTGTCCGCAGATAGAAAATGTTTTTAGCCCGAAAATTGTCCGCAGATAGAATAGGGTTTAGCCCGAAAATTGTCCGCAGAAAGAATAGCTTTTCTAGCCCGAAAATTGTCCGCAGATGGAATAGGGTTTAGCCCGAAAATTGTCCGCAGATGGAAAATGTTTTTAGCCCGAAAATTGTCCGCAGATAGAATAGGTTTTTTAGCCCGAAAATTGTCCGCAGATAGAAAATGTTTTTAGCCCGAAAATTGTCCGCAGATAGAATAGCTTTTCTAGCCCGAAAATTGTCCGCAGATGGAATAGGGTTTAGCCCGAAAATTGTCCGCAGATGGAAAATGTTTTTAGCCCGAAAATTGTCCGCAGATAGAATAGGTTTTTTAGCCCGAAAATTGTCCGCAGATAGAAAATGTTTTTAGCCCGAAAATTGTCCGCAGATAGAATAGGGTTTAGCCCGAAAATTGTCCGCAGATGGAATAGGGTTTAGCCCGAAAATTGTCCGCAGATGGAAAATGTTTTTAGCCCAAAAATTGTCCGCAGATAGAATAGGGTTTAGCCCGAAAATTGTCCGCAGATTGACTTGTTCAAATCGAGCAGGGTCCATCGTGCAATTCTCAGCCTTTTAAAGTGCAAAAATGGCAAATATACTCAAATATCACAATACTTATATTTCAAAAGTTTGAAATGTTCACATTTTGAAATTTATAACCTTTTTTGGGGGTTTGAAAATATCAAATATATTAGATTTCGACTTTTTCAAAATCCACAAATTTCCAATGATTTTTGAAAATATTAAGAAATGATGAAACCGGAGAAATGTCCGGAGATTGATTTGTTCTAATTTTTTTAAAATTAATGCACGACTTGTTTGAACTGCCGCCATCGATAATTGCACAAAGCGACCGGAAAATGTCCGCAGATGTGTGAAAAGAAATTTGTTTTTTTTTTTTAAAGCAGATCTCACTCAGGTAAATGAAAATCAATCGGATTCGAAGAAAAAAATCAATAGAAATCAATCTGTTTCGATAGAAAATTAATTCGATTAAGAAAACGCTTAAATTTGATTCAAAAATCTTTGAAATCGATCGATTTTTTTCTCATTTTCAATTTTGAGATCGGTGTTCAAAAATTGGGAAAAAAAATTGCTCGAAATTTATCTAAAGATTTCAATTTTCCAAAATTTGACAATTTCTATTCATTAAAAATTTTTTCAAGCCGATTTCAATCCGAATTTGGACCCCCTGAGTATATCAGAAGAAGACTTGAGATTCTGAATTTTTCGAAAATCAAAATGGATCATCAAAAATCGAATAGGTCCGCAGATGAAAGATGATGAGAAATCAGGAGTCCAGGGCGTGAAACGCTCACGCGCAACCCGCAAGGGTGTCCGCAGGTGGGATCGAATACAATAATTGAAATTCAAAATTCTAGGCTTAAAAAAATAGAAGCGCAATGGGAAGATGGCGCCAGCGCGTTTGGTGTAACGTGGCGGGGTTAAGCGGACCATTTTAAATGTCGTCGTGCCGAGGCTCCGCCCAAATTGTTCGTGTCGAGCTTTGAAATTCATCATTCTCATGATGACATCATCATTGTCATCAAAATAAAATAGACTTTAGCGATGCCCAATTTAGGCGTTTATGAATGGCTAATGACAGGCTTAACACACGCCGATGGAAAGGGGGGGGGGGTCCTAAAGGGCACTTTTTTCTTTTCCAATTTTCAGCCAGCCACACCCACAATTTCGTGGAGTGGCTCCGCCCACGAGATACCGTATCACCTCTGGATTACTGTAGCAACCAAGATTAACTATTTCGTTTCGACAACGAGGTAATTTCAAATTGCGAGGCTCCGCCCACAATTTCAAAAATTCGCTTGTCACCATTTTTCGAGATTACGGTAGATTGATGATTATAAAGCGAGAGAGTGAGAGAGAGAGAGAAAAGAAAACCCGCGAAATGTCGAAAAAAATTGCATTTTGTCAAATTTCTGCCTTTTAATGGTCATTTTTTTGGCTATGAATAGCCGCTTTCGGACCACTTCGAGTTTATTTTATGGATTTCGGCTCCTTAGTAACTCGACTGGCTCACGTTATGAGGAATTTCCTGCAGATTATTATTATTATTATTATTTCGGATCTCAAGCCGAACTACAGTAATCCAAATGCCACGTGTTTGTCAGGAGACACTTTGAAAGCCATTCGTCTCAATTGAATATCGGCATTGTGTCAACTACAGTAACCCAAGGCCCACACTCATAGTAAAGAGGGTCTGAGCTCGGTCTTACTTTCACTCCACATGCTGAACACCGCCTCGGCGGGCTTCTGCTTATTGTTGTTCATGTCCATGAGGAATCGCGAGTAGTGTGGTCCGTTGCACGGCGCCGCTTGCGGGTACTCGCCGCACAGGCTCGACGAGCGATCGTCGGCGCACGTCTCGCCGGGCCAAAGACCGTTCTGTGCAACAGGGCGATGATTGAATCGAGAGTGAGAGAGCGGTACCTGCGAGTTGCACGTCGGCCAGATGAGGCCCTCGCCGTGGCCGACGCAATTGCAGAGGCCGTAGTTGGCGCCGGCGATGCCGATGAGCACTCGGATGCGATGATTCAACGGTTTGCCGATGTTGCATGAGCCTTGAAAATCGAATTCGAATGATTATTGAAAAGGTTTAAAGGGTCCGGTTTCACGTACCATCAGCGGCGGCGATGAATCCGCCTTGAATCACTTTTCGCGCCAACGTCACGCCCATCGAATGCGAGAGGATGTCGATTTTTGGCGATCGCGTGTACTCGAGAACCGATTCGACGAATTTGCGCAGCCGGTACACGGTGACACAATCATGGTCCCTAGAACGAACCGATGAGAATTGGTGGCGCAAATTTTTGAGAGTCGAAAGGGAATCTAGCGAATTGATTCGAGACAGTCTAAAGGGTCCGAGCGACCAATACACAATCGCACACATGGAGCTAATCGGTCATCGCCGAGGCGAGGCGAACCCCTGTTTTGATCACGGGTTCTGATGTTCTCCATTCCGACCGCCCCATTGATGCTTATCTGCTGTGTGGCTTGGTCCATCCCCCCTCACGATAATCATATTTGGTCTTGTGTGTTTTGGTGGACGCCTATTTGTGTGTGTTCTCTCGCGATCATCATACTCGACACCCACTGCCTAATTCACCATCTCGCTTCGGGGGGGGGAGGTCATATCTCATCCCCCCATTCGCTTCTCACTCATTTGGTTACCAATTACGGTAGATCGTTCGTTCCAACCCGAAAATTTCTATCCCGTGTGTTCTCAGAGTTCATTTTCTACTCGTTTTCAAATCTTGATCTGATCTATTTCGCGCCCCATTCTGTCTCATTCATTTCGTCGAATTTTCCTCAATTTTGCCCTACCCTCTCAAACCCATTGCTCTATACCTCCTTGATATATTTTCAATGGTCCCTAGAGGCAAGGAGGGCAGAGCTTCATTTTTTCGCTTGGTCCTATGAGCACTTTAATACCCACCCTCACCACCCGGAAATCGGTGTTTCCGGCCTCCGGACCATTATTATCGTCTCACATGTGTATGTGTAAAAAACTGCCCCCTAGAAAGTTCGCCGATTTCAATGGTCCCGCAAAGTTCAATGGCTTCTAGCGAAACTAAATAGACGGTGCGGGTCCCGATGAGGAATTGGTGTCATTAAGATGGTCCCCCCTCGATACCTGAATATCGCCTGCGTTGTGTTGGTGTCGCCCCACGACGTCGCATACAAGTCGGCCATCGTGTATCCTTTGCCGAGCAAATACTGCAAATTCAAATTCAAAGGATTACGGTAGCTCTTGTTTATTGGGGTCCCGACGCTTTTTCTCTAAAATTGATGATTGCCGGGGGGGGGGTCCGCCAAAAAAAAAACAGTTGGCCTGCATCGAATATTATTAATTAGGTTCGTTCGACGACGCCCCGATGACATTTCCAATTATTTTTTCCCCTGATGACTACCGTATTATGGAGCTTTTGACCCCCGCCCCCCTCTCCAAAAAAAAGTAATGGTCCGCAATTTCTCGTAGATTAAAGGGAGGTGGCATTTCAGA